AGCTTAATTAATTCTAAATTAAATAAAAAAATAAAATAGAATAGATATAATAAATTATAAATATATTATAAAAATATTACTTATACTAATAAATCTTTTTTATTAGATAATATTAAACTCTGGATATTAAGATTAACTGATATAATATATATCTTTATTAATAATATAAATAAAAAATTATATATATATCTTTTTAAAATATTTATCTTTATAAAAATAGATTATAGCTCTTTAAATAAAATTATTAAATATAATATTTTTATTAGTATTATATAATTAATCTATAAGATCTTAGTACTGAAAGCTTATAATCTAAGAATTATAATAAATTTAAAGAAGAGATCTAGAAGATATTAATATTAGATTAGAATATTTTATAAAAAATTTTTATAAAATATTATTATTTTAATAGCAGAAGAGATTTTGAGAGAGTAAAATTAAAAGATTTTTTAATTTATTAAAAAAAGAGAAAATATTTTTATTATATATATTAAGAGAGAGTATATTATTATTATATATAAATATATTAATATTATTATAACTATTATTACTATTAGAATTACTAATATTATTAATATTTATTTTAGTATTAATATTATTAGAAAAATCAGTATTACTGTTAATATCTATATTAATATTAATATAATTATAAAAGTTAATATTACTGCTTATATCTATTCTAGTATTACTATCTAAATTAATATTATAAATATATTTATAATAATTAGCAGCTATCTCTGATTCAGTATTATTATTAATAATTAATTCTTAAATAAAAAATTAAATATATTTTTTAAAAGATATAAAAATATATTATCTAATTATATAACTAAAACTAGATTTATATTATATTTTAATTTCTGATAATTAGTTTTTTGAGAATAAGATATAATAAATAATATAATATTATTCTAGAAAGTATTTAAAAATAATAATATTTTAAAATAAAAAAAAATAGTTATTAGAAAGAAGCAGAAGATAGAAGATATATTTAAATATATTTTATAAATATTAATAAAACTCTAAATAGCTATTAAAAAAAAGCAGAAAATAAGAAATATACTTAGATATATTTTATAAATATTAATAAAACTCTAAATAATCTGTAATACTGTAAGATAATAAAAATTATAAATAATATTATTTATAATATTCTAATAAGTTTAATATATAGATAATACTTATTTATAATAATAAATATATTAAATATAGAATAATAGATATTATATTTATTAATAGATTAAATCTTAGTATTATAATTATATTTTTAAATATATTTAATTAATTATAATATTATTATAAGTATATATAGTAGTACTAGTATAACTAAAAATATCTAAGTAATTTTATAGTATATATATTTAATTAATATAATTAAACTATAAAAATATATAATAATATTATTATAAGCTTAATTTAATTATTACTAGTACTAGTACTACTACTTAGTACTATAGTATTCTTAAATATTTTACTACTAGAAATATTTATTTATTATTAATACTAGTAATAGTTAGTACTAGTAAGTACTTATTAATAATAGTATTAAGAAAAATTAAATATTAAGAAACTAAATAATATTATTATTTAATATTATTAGAAAGATTTTATAAATATTTTTCACAGAACTCTTTATTATAATTATATTATTAAATAATAGTAATAGTATAATTTTAATAATTATAATAAAAAAAATTAGTTTTTTTTTATTATTAACTTAGAAATTATTATTCTGTTACTCTATTTTATTATTTATATAAAATATATTTTTAGAATAACTATCTAAATAGCTTTTTTCTTATATTATTATTAATATTATTTATTATAATTCTCTGAATAGCTTTATTTTTATATTATTATTAATATTATTTATTATAATCTTACAGAATTCTGCTGGGGGAAGAATTATCTAGAATTATATAAAAATTATTTTTTTTTTTTTTTTTTTTTTTTTTTTTTTTTTTCTTTATTTTTTCTATCTTTTTTTTTTTTTAATTTTATTCTCTTTTATAAAAATCTATTAATATTATTATATTTTTAATTAATTTTTTTATTATTACTATCTTAATTGACTGCTATATCTATTATTATAAAGAGAAAAATATAATATATATAAAAAAAAAGTAAAATAATAATAAATTAATAATAAATTAATAGTAAATTAATAGTAAGATAATAGTAATTCAGTAAATAATCTATAAAGAACTTATTTACTATAAAAAAAAATAATAATATAATTATTTATAGATAGATTAAAAATAAAAAAATAATAAGCTTTTAATAATAATAAATAATTATATAATAAGCTTTAAATAGTTACTTTCTTATTATTTTTTTAAATATAGTTTTAAAATAGTGTAATAATTATTATATATAATATAATAAAGATATTTATTATTTATTTTAGTTAGTAATTATTAGAAACTGTTATACAACTGGTTACAACTAGCCACAACTGGTCATAACTGGCCACAACCTCGCGGTAACTTGCGCCAGCGGCCTACTATGTATTGACTTGCATGTATAGGTAACAGATGGAGGTCAGAAATAAAAGCTAATTAACTTCACCTTTATTCAGATTTGCTGTTGCTATCGAATAGAAATCTTGAGGACATCGTGAATAGTACTTTCCTTATAGACATGCCGCATGTGTTCTGTCGTGTGGCATGCATGGTGTTAGAAGCTCTTCATGATATGCTGCCATCCGTAGTTTGCTAAGATGGTCAAATGAGAAGAGTGCGATAAATACTTCTTGGTTGAAGCAGTCAATATAGTAGTATTGTTGCTACAGAGTAGCTGTTGTATAGACGAACATATCCAGTAGTCACCTATCAAGACATGAATAGATAATGTAAAAGGTTTTAGTATATAATTATAGTAGTCTTCTCTTATTGTACGTGCCTTTTATAATCAAGTACTGTACATGATTGCGCCATTGAGAATCGCAGTGTATCCAATTTATTGCCCTCGGGTGTCTTGGAAGTGGTGGAGAGCTGAAGCCACAAATGGCGAATTTACTTGGCTCTGTCCTCTCAAGCTCCTGCCATTCATCGGTGGAGCCCACAGGGCTAGCCTAAGCAGGCTTAGCGCTGTCTCAGGGTGTTGCCTCTTCAAGAAATTTGGTGGAGCGATGCAGGTCTTTCCGTTCCCATGATTTCTCGGACAGCCTTTGTAGGACCCTTACTCAGTGCCTTGACTGCTACATTGATTTGATCTTTCAGCAAATGTCAGAAAACTATTTATCGGGGCTGAGCTCAAGGTTGAAGGTCCATCCATAATCCCCAACAAACCAACACACAACACAGCAGCAGTCAGGGCGGTGGGTTGGATTGATTCCCACAAATCTATCAGCCTTGTCACAAGGCTGACTGAAAATGAGCTTGTGCTTTTAGTCTCCATCTCGCCATTCCATTTCCCGGGTAGCCGCTGGCGATCGTGTTGGATTGCGTAATGGATTCTACCGGAAACATGGCGCTTCTTAGTACTCAGTCGCGGCCCCATCCGGGATCCCAGCAGAAAGTTTGGAAAAGCCTCCGAGAAGAAAGACAATGATAATGGTAAAGCCAGCAAGTGCAACTAGGAGACGACTGGTCTCAGTCGATTTGGGCAGGTCTTGGCACCAAGCCCGAGTGCGTCTTGCCTGACAGCTTGTCCTTCTTTCCTATCCAGTCTTCCCCTCAGTGCCCCCTATTCGAAGAATGGTAAGTCTTCCGATCTATCTCGCTACTTCGCTAATCGTTTCTCCCGCCTCCGATGCACTGACTGCACAACTAGACTTGGTCTCCTCATCGCTGGGCCTGAAATGGCAAATCAGTATTTGACAGATCTTCAAGTCCCACCCGAAACCCGTCTCGTTGAGTCGTTACCCCTTTAGAGCATTATAGCTTTGACCGCGCCGGGATAGTATTTTGCTTAGTTACTTTCGGCCCAGGTCTGTTGAAGTGCCTTTTTAAACGAGGGTTGGTAGAGTTACCAGCACCAGCCAGCTAAGTCTCTATCCCCAGGCTCGAGACAACGTGCCAATATCAACTGAAATCCGTAACCGGTTCCAGAATTCAGACCTAGGTGAGGTGGTATCTCAGAGGCGACTGTACCAAATATACTCTTGTCAATTGAATTCTTTATCTGATTTGGGTGGATTTGCGATTCCGCGAATTCCGGCTGACGCACTACGGAGATGTGCGCTATCATGGCCTGGTCAGTTTATCACCAGGCAATGACGCCCGTTTTCAAGAGAAACTTCAAGAATCCTGGCCCCGTTCCACTCAACTTCACTAAAGCCTGAAGAGGATACCTCAAAGTCACTCGGACGAAATGATCAGATAAACTGGTCAGTATCTCACACGATTGGTCCAGCTGAGTGGCTGGGGAGGTGATTTGGCGCTCCCAAATATAGCAAGTATCGAGCTAGTTTGAGATGTAACCACGGATGGACAATTAATTTCGTCCATTGGGTGCCTCGGAATGTGATAATCTAGCCGACGGACTAGCCGATTCGGGTGCGCCATTTCTACCAGGGTCTCTGTGAACTAGAAGTCGTCTATGGAAAAGAGAGTCGCCATTGCAATATTCATGGAAATGGTGGCAGCGACATAAAAGAGCATTATTGGGCGATGTTTTCCAAATACAGGAAAGAAGGGTTCTTAACGGACTGGCCAAGTGAGGTCTTTCCTCTGCCACGAAATGAAAACGGAAGATCCACTCGGAAGGGGCAGGCACCACTTCGCCCTATAGGGCTGGGGGTCCCTTACTCGTAATATGGCCGGAGGCCCACCATGGCTAATCCACCCCGGTACTGTGTGTGCCAGGCTGCTAGTAATAGGATCTAGTGGTCGGAACTTGGAAGAGTCTGCGCTCGCCCCCTATGCGTTCATTCTACTCCTATTTAAATATTTATCAAGTCCGGGATCTTATCTGATGGCACATATCTGATCTGATAATTTTGCATGTTCTTTGCCTTGCTTAATTCTGCCTCTTGACAGCGCGGTGCGGAAATGGCCATGGCCGACACCAAAATCGGCGTCGACAAGGAGGATGTGTACCCGGTTGAAGACTCTGACCAAAGTGAGATTGCATGCCATTACTCTTTCTACCGTCCGGACTCGCCATCTACTAAGTACGACGTGCTAATGGTTCACTCAAGCCGACAGAGATTCTCAGACAGATGTGCTACGGGCCGCTGGCATCGGTATCCAGGAGAATGATCCGACAGAGGCAGTGTTGACCCTCAGGATGTGGGTTCTTGGGGTCGGCTTTTGCATCGTTGCTAGTGGACTGAACACTTTGTATACTCTCCGAACCCCCTCCATTACAATCTCGTCATCTGTTGTCCTTCTGCTGGCATATCCGCTGGGGAAGCTATGGGAAAAGACCGTCCCCGCATGTGATGTAAACCTAGGCGTGGTGAAGTTCAATATGAACCCTGGTGCATTTAGCCAAAAGGTAGTCTTTCTGTTTATTATACCTCTAAACCATCATCATTCTGAATACTGATCGATCTCTCGTCTTTAGGAACACGTCCTAGTTTATATCATGTCCAATCTCAGCATCTACGTCCGACTCGGGGCAGATGTCCTGACCGAACAAGAAAAGTTTTACGGATACAATGCAGGATGGGGGTTCCAGATTCTCATTACCTTGGGAACCTTTTTGATAGGTTTCTGCCTTGCTGGTTTGTTCCGTGGTGTTGTGGTGGCTCCCAGAGAGCTCATCTGGCCTGGTGTGCTGAGTACAACATCACTCACCACGACTTTGCATCATATAGGTCAAGGAGATTTGCTCGCAGTGTATGCAATCCATTTGTTCTATCTTTATGCTATATGAAACTAACGTGAAGTAGTAAGGATACGTGGAAAATGTCTCGCTATGCATTTTTCAGCCTTGCTTTCTGTATATCATTCTGCTGGTATTGGTTTCCAGATTTCATTTTCCCGGCAATGAGCTACTTTACTTTTCCTTGTTGGATCAATCCAAAGAGTACGGTTGTGAATCAACTATTTGGAATGAAAAGCGGCATGGGTCTATTGCCAATTACATTTGACTGCAAGTGATCCGATCAAACTGGCCCCTCCAAAACCAAAACTAATGTTTGACTAGGGAGCCAAATCTCCTATGTCGGCTCTCCCCTTCTAATTCCGGCGTGGGCAATAGTGAATGTTTTTGCTGGTCTCGTTTTCTGGATATGGATTGTAGCTGTAGCTTGCTATTACACTAATGTGTGGTACACAGGCTACCTGCCTTTCCAGAGCTCGTCAGGTATGTTGGCATGCCCCCCTCGTCATTCAATCGCTCCGCAGAAGTTTACTAATAATACGACTGCTTTCAGTTTATGATAACACTGGTGCCGTCTACAAAGCTTCAAAGGTCATCAATGAAGCGACTGGCTACAAGCTTGATCTTGCAAAGTACGACGCCTACTCCCCGGTATGGAACCCAAGAAGTGTCATGCGAATATTTATTAATGATTTGATAATTTTAGATTTACATGCCTATCACCTATGCATTGAACTCGTGTGGCTTATCATTTGCCACGCTGAGCTCTCTCCTTGTCTGGGTTGCCCTAGAAAAGCGACACGAGTTGGCCGCTAGTGTGCGCAGAGTCCCACAAGCAATTCGCAGATACTTGTCTCAACCAAAGGACACCGATGAGAGCGATCAGTGCCTTGATGTCCCACTATGGTGGTACCTCGTGGCTTGCCTGATTGCACTATTTGTTACCATCTTTGCAGTCGAGTACTGGGCCGTTGAGCTCCGGTGGTATGGCGTCCTCTTGGCCTGCGCGGTAGCTTTAGTCTTCTATGGCCCAGTAGGTGCCCATTCCAATTGCAGGGGGGGATTCATCGAGCTAACCCCAAATTTTCACTCAGCTTGCAACGATCTATGCCACTTCAAACCTTAAAATCAAGATTGATATCCTTTGCCGTATCATTGCTGGCTTTGTATTCGAGAACAAGGTTCTGGCAAACATATGGTTTTTTGACATCGGATATATCACAACGATCAAAGGACTTTACTTTGCTGAGGACATGAAACTATGCAATTACTGCAATGTATGTGCCGCTCCTGTCCTTTGGTGGGTGTATGCTAATGCGAACCAGATCCCCCCCCGAAAGGTCTTCCTTGTCCAGTGCGTGGGAATGGTAGTCGGCACGCTCAGTTCCGTCGGTGTGCTTAACTGGAGCCTTGGGCATATCAAGGGTATCTGTACCTCCGACGCCCTGAACGGCTTTAGCTGCCCTTACTCTCGTACTCACTTCAACACCAGCTTAATTTGGGGCGCCATCGGACCCCGAAAATACTTCAGCAATGACATCGGCTACAGCGCCCTCCTTTACTTCTTCATCATCGGCGCTGTGCTCCCCATCCCCGTCTACTTTCTTCGGCGCCGCTATCCGAATTCGCTCTGGCGCAGGGTTCACGTCCCCTTGTTCCTGGGCGGGCTGAACTACCTCCCTCCCGCCACGGGTACCAACTACGCCAGCTGGGCCGTAGTGGGCCTGACATTTGGATACCTCATTCGGAACCGACTATATCATTGGTGGTACAAGTACAATTTTGTGCTGAGTTCTGCGTTGGATTCCTCGGTTTCCATCGCCGGCGTGGTGATTTTCTTTGCGATTTTCTATAGCGGGGCGTCGAAGCACTTTAGCTGGTGGGGAACAACAGTGTACGAGGTGAGTGTCACGCCCCGTGTGTACAGTCTGGATGACATGAACACTAATGCTGGTCTAGGAAACGTGCGATTACAAGGGATGCGCTTATCTGTCGATCCCCGAGAGCGGCAAGTTTGGAATTTAGACGATATGAACTAGTCGATAAAGGCGAGGCTTCCTTTATAGATAGCGAGAGCTGTGCTATTGCTATACACACATATATAGTATACCGAGATCTATAGAGATAATAGTATGGAGATGAGGTGGCCTTAGGCAGAAGAAAGGCAGACAAAGTAGTTTTTTTTTTTTTTTTTCGTTTTTGCTTTTTCTACCGCATTGGTGGCGTCTTCTGCATACTTGTCTTCTACGCACCCATTCCTTTTCGACGCTGCGCCCCCAACGAGAGCGACAACCCGCCCATAATCCTACGACGACTCGTTCAGAAGGAGCACCAATAACCAACCCTCTAACTAGCCTCATTGCTGACCGCAAGAACAAGCTGTGATGATCAGTGCGACCGCCTCAGCCTCGTGGTGATGACTATTAATGGGCCGAGTGCTCCTGCAGGACGAGTTTCCCCAACACTCGAGCGCAGCACACGAACAAAGCCATGGTGCAATTCCGATTACTACACCGACTTTTCCGTCGGAAATCCCATTCCCTGCCCGGACCACCCGAAGGACCATCGCAGCAAGCCTCAGCAGTAACAGCGACAGCCCCGGTTCAGGTCGAACCGGTGCCGGCATCCCCGCTTATCAACCCGGTGGCCAACTGGTCGCGTGCCCTGCTGAACTCGACCGGTCTCGCCGCCTCCACATGCCAAGTCGCCGGGGATCTTTCCGATCCGAGCCGAGTGCCCATCCTGCCCCCGGACTATTCGTCCCTCGTCCCTCGAACCAGCAACAGCAACAGCAACAGCAACAGCAACGGCGACGATGTCTTGTTCCCAGTCATCCACCCCCAGGTCCAAAGCCCCTTCTTCTTCCGTCTTCCCCCCGAGATCCGCCATTTGATCTACCTCTACGCGTTCGGGGACCGCCGCGTTCACATCGACTTCGATTTCCACCCCGCCAAGGCCCAATGGAGCTGGTGGCATCGTGTGTGCGATGACCCGGTCCATTGCCCGGATAAGGAGGACCCGTTCGTGTGCCCAGAATATGAGGGCGCCGAGGAGGCTATGTTGAAGCTCGGGACGAGCGCCTGGGTCAAGAACGGGTTCGAATATAAGGTGGATGCCGTGAGTTGGCTTCAATCTTGTTGGAGGGGGTGAGTGGTGATCCTAGTCTTCTTCTATATGCATTTGCATTTGCCACTACATGCCATCACTCGCATGAAACGAATCCCTCCACTGACCGATTGCGACCGACTCAGATACCTGGAATCCCTGTCGGTTTTATATGCCACGAATAGCTTTGTCCTCACCCACGGCATTGATCAGCTCTTCCGTTTCTCACGCATCTTGCCCTCGCAGCATCTCGCGTTGATTACCACGCTGATTATCGAGATTGATGTTTACCGGGCGTCCAAAGGCCCACCGGATATGGAGCCGGAATTTCGGACGTTCTATGACGCGTTTTTCGGTCTGTTATGTCGGTCGCTACCCGGTCTCCAGGATCTCAGGCTATCGCTTGCGGGACTGCCCAATCGGGGCGGGCGCGGGATCGAATGGTCCCAGGAAGGGGAGTGGCAGTGGATTGGGCCGTGGGAGGCCCTGGCGCAGAGCCGGCGGTGGAAGAGGTTAGAGATTGCGGTACCGAAGACGTGGATTGGGGATTTCGAAGGGGTGGTGGAGCGGAGGAGTCGGTTGGAGGAAGGGAGAAGGTATCGGCTTGTGGCTGGGGTGGATCTGTACCCCAGGGGGTGGTGATTGATGGAATGCTTAGCGCGGGTCGTTATGAATATGGGACGATAGTGGAGGCGGGAATCGATGTCGTGCCTTCGTCTATGACATCTACAGGAAGAGATGTGATGCACGGGGTCAAAACTGGGAAGCCCATATGCCCATAGGACCATATCAGACAATTGGTCATTCTAGCTTCAGCCCTATGCCGCCAAGAGTTGGTACCTGGCAATACGCATGCTCTGCTCTTGTGGTGAGTGTCGAGTCGTTCCACCACGTGCCTTATACCGGAAAGCGATGGAAGCTCTGGCACTCCATAGCATGTCGACATGGATACTGGTAACCAGGGCCTGGACACGAGTCAATTGAGAGCGCACTGTGTGGAAGCGAGGGTGCTCCACAGCACCCTTCCGAGGATACTACTAGTAGTACGGAGTACTACTAGTAACCTCGTTGAAAATGCGGTGATTCTCATTGGCAGCAACCCCTCACCACGTGCAGGGATGCTGCAGGTGCCCAGGCAAGTCGCGGTCACAGTCGGTCACAGTCGGTCCCACCACTGCTAGTACTCGCACTGCGGAGTCCTCCGTCCACAGTTATCTTGTACCTTGAACCTAGTCAGACTGTCAGAATTAGGACTAGCTCAGATGACCCACAGCTGGGCGAATGTGGATGCCTGGCTGCGGCCAACCAACCAGAGGGCCATAAGCTGGCCACATGCTCGGCACGGCTAGCAAAACAACAAATTGGGAAGGCTTCTAGTGCAAAAGGCGGCAGCAAGTGCCTCCATCCATCCGCATTCCGAGGGCCAGCTTTGCAGCCGGCCGCCTCCGTCGCCCGGGCTGTTGACTGTCCAGCCCAGCATGGATGGATGCATATCGACGGCAGCCCATCGCGTGCCTTTTCTTCCGAGCCAATTGCTGCTTGGGCTATCTACACGTGTGGTATCATGCCTTGCTTCGCCGCGACGGCAGGCAAAACGATAAGCATGCAGAATTCATGGATATAAACCTACCTTGCTGCCATGGACTGGGTGGCTGGCTTGTCGATCCAGATCAGCCAGTCCATTGTTATCTCCTCGCCTTGCTGTTACGCACGCGACCATGAAGGGATCTGCTGCCTCCGCTCTGCTTGTCGCCCTCTCTGCGACGGCCGTCCAGGCCCGTCCTGTCGTCGATGAACGGTTTCCCTACACCGGGCCTGCCGTCCCCGTTGGCGACTGGGTCGATCCCACCATCAATGGCAACGGGAAGGGCTTCCCCCGTCTGGTCGAGGCTCCTGCCGTGAAGCCCGCGACGGCCAACCCGAAGAACAACGTCAACGTCATTTCCTTGTCCTACATCCCTGAGGGCATGCACATCCACTACCAGACCCCCTTTGGGCTGGGCAAGGTGCCGTCCGTTCGTTGGGGCAAGGACCCTCGCAACCTCAATCGGACCGCAGAGGGCTACACCCACACGTATGTTTGCCAGAATTGCGTGGAAACTGGGTAGTCGAAGTGTCACAGTGCTGATTCCAGAACAGATATGACCGCACACCTTCTTGCTCAGAGGTCAAGGCCATCACCCAGTGCAGTCAGTTTTTCCACGAAGTCAGCATTGAAGATCTGGAGCCTTCAACCACGTATTACTACCAAATCCCCGCGGCCAACGGCACGACGCAGTCGGAAGTTCTGAGCTTCAAAACCAGTCGCCCAGCTGGCCACCCCGGTCCCTTCAGCGTTGCTGTGCTGAATGATATGGGATACACCAACGCCCAGGGCACGCACAAGCAGCTGCTCAAGGCCGCTAGCGAGGGCGCCGCCTTTGCCTGGCACGGCGGCGACATCAGTTATGCCGATGATTGGTATTCGGGCATTCTCCCCTGCGAAGACGACTGGCCAGTCTGCTACAACGGAACTAGCTCTAGCCTTCCCGGTGGAGTGATTACCGCCGCGTACAAGCAGCCATTGCCCGCGGGAGAGATCCCTGACCAGGGTGGCCCGCTGGGTGGTGATATGAGCGTTCTGTACGAGTCGAACTGGGATCTCTGGCAGCAGTGGATGAACAACATCACGCTCAAGCTTCCATACATGGTCATGCCTGGTAACCACGAGGCTTCGTGCGCCGAATTCGACGGTCCTGGCAACGTACTGACTGCCTATCTAAACGACGACATCTCCAACGGCACCTCCCCCACTGACAGCCTGACCTACTACAGCTGCCCGCCGTCGCAACGGTAGGAGGCTTATGCCCAACGTATTCTGACCTTGAGCTAATTCTGTGCTAGTAACTTCACCGCCTACCAGCATCGATTCCGCATGCCAGGTCCTGAAACCGGGGGTGTCGGAAACTTCTGGTACTCGTTCGACTACGGTCTCGCCCACTTTGTGTCGATCGACGGTGAGACCGACTTTGCCGACAGCCCCGAATGGAACTTCCAGGAGGATGTCACCGGTAACGAGACTCTTCCTACCGAGTCCGAAACGTTTGTTACCGACAGCGGTCCGTTCGGAAAGATCAACGGCAGCGTCAAGGACACCAAGTCATACGAGCAGTGGCATTGGCTGAAACAGGATCTGGCCAAGGTTGACCGCTCCAAGACCCCTTGGGTGTTCGTGATGAGCCACCGTCCCATGTACAGCTCCGCCTACTCGTCTTACCAGCTGCACGTGCGCGAGGCCTTCGAAGGGCTTCTGCTCCACTATGGGGTTGATGCTTACTTCTCCGGGTGAGTGTATACTCCCTATCTACCTAGCACCCGCCCTCAAAAACGGCCGACAGTTATTCTAATTTATCGCAGCCACATTCATTGGTACGAGCGTCTCTACCCCCTCGGTGCCAACGGCACTATCGACACTGCCTCGGTCGTCAACAACAACACCTACATTGCGAACCCCGGTAAATCGATGACCCACATCATCAACGGCATGGCTGGCAACATCGAAAGCCACAGCGAGTTTGACGAAGGCGAGGGCCTGACCAACATCACCGCTCTCCTGGACAAGGTTCACTATGGATTCAGCAAGCTGACCATCTTCAACGAGACCGCCCTGAAGTGGGAGTTGATCCGCGGTGACGACGGGACCGTCGGTGACTCCTTGACGATCCTTAAGCCGACTCCCGTCCCCGGCGGTAAAAAGTCCCCGAATGGGTTCCACGCGTAGGGATCGAGCCTAAGGTTCCAACCTCGAAACCCAGATTGAGGCGATTGATGATTGAGGATGGGATGGGCTATGCGACGACTCTGGAATGATGTAATGGGATTTTTGAATGTGTGTCTATCTGATCTGTAATTACGAACCGGCGAAGATGTGTGCATGTACAGAGATAAAAAGTACCTAACCTAGATACATAATGGCTTGTTTCGGCTGAAAAATAACACTCGTTTTGATTGGTAGTTCACCAAGTTTCAATTAACTAGTCGCTTTCAGGAACTCCCAGGATACAAAGAAAGTATATACTTACCGACTATACAAAGGCAGCCCTGCCGCCTCACGCCCGATCGGGCCTCTAAAAGCCTCGCCCAGAGCGCCATGAAATAGGATACACGACAGGGTTTTCAGTACGGAAGCCGTGGTCGATGGATGTACTATACGGGGGTATGTATATATACCTACCTAGGTAGGTATACATACCAGGGCGGGGAGTTCTCCCTTTGCCTCTCAATGAGTTTCTGTTCCTTTTTTGTCTGCCGGCGCCGTGTTTAAAGCCGAGTGTTGAGCTATGAACCTTGTTACTGACAGTGTTTCATCATTAAACAACATTGTCCGATAGTATGTAACAGCTCTAGACGTTGGCAAAGTATATAGTACTAGTAGCTATATTTCTCCAGTTCTAGGTCATGTATCAGATACCACATAGCAAAACGTCATTTTGGTTATCTCTTACAGATGAAATAACTTCAACGAGATGCATCACCATACCCGGAATTGTCAATGGCATATAACAGATTTATCTGGGCCTGGATATCATCGTTATTGTTTTGCACCGTTCACCATAGCTCCGGTTTCTGGAGACTTGTATCAATATCAAGAGGCTCGACCCTGTTAGCTACTCGAAAGTCGCTCGCAGAACTTATTCAACATTCTAGCGAGATTTATGGTTGGCATTGATGTTGTAGAGCCTGATATCAGCTTTAAGAACTGTATTGTCTTGGAGTTTTGGGAAGGGGGGGGGGGGGTTCATTCAGAGTTTCGTATGTATACTTCAGCGGAGTGAGACGCCGGGTCATGGGGGACTTCAGATCGTCAGATATTGCTAAAATTATCATTTCAAAGGGAATGGAAATACCTCTATTCATCTACCAAATCGAACAATTCTACTTCATTCCACAAAGGCGACAAATGTGTCTCATGGACACGGGGGTCATGCAAAAAGACTGAAAGTTGCTGGGTAAATTCTTCTTTGTCCCGGACTCCTATCTGGGCCACCAATTTCGACACATGACGGATACAGAACTCCTTCAAGCCGGGCCGGGTAGAGTTGCATGTCGCCAAGAAAAATGCCCAGAGCCGAAACTCAGGTGTGAGCCATCTGGTTACTGTGTCATCGTCCAACAATCGAACAAGACGTGTAACAAGTAGGTTGCTACTTGATGCGCCCGGCGGGGATTCATCAAATATAGTAAGCGTAGAAAGCAATAATGCCAGACGGCAAGTCTCCTGGGCCTGATTCCACGGATCGCACTGAATGTCGTATTGAATGGAGAGAAGTGCGTACTGAGTCGATGTCAACCAGAAGCGGACTTTAGCGACATCGGCATGATTACTCTTCTTAGAGACGTTCGCAAAGACGGCTAGAAGATTCTGCAGATTTGATATGGCTGTCTTGATCATATCTTCCAGGTGCAGCAGGCTGTCCAGCATTTGGAAACCCCGACCTAAGCGGTAACTTGTAAAGTCTGATATGGGTAACTGCCAGAACCGGGTCCCGAAAGTAGGTGTTTGCATGACATCTATAGATCCACATAGGTCGGCACTGCTGGGATAAGCACGAGAAGCGCTGGGTATCAGTTAAAGAGTCCGTGACATACCGATAAATCTTGCCCTGGACTAGTGGCTTGTCATTGAATGCGTCCAAGCCCCCACGCAGATCGACAAGCGCCTTCAGGATCCGCATGTCACACACCCACTGGTCATGTAGTCCGACGACCTTCTTTGCCATGGTCAGCTTTTGTCAATATAACTTCTACCCAACGTACCTTGGCAACGGCCATACTGGCAATGGCAACCAATGTCTCATCGGAAGGGGTGTGTGCGGGAAGAGCCAGCCTCTCATGAATAATGTCCGTAGCTTGGCCAATATGTCTAATAAAGACGGGGCTCACCCGTTTCCGATCTACATTTTTCATAAGAAGTGTAGCACATCCCAAAGTTACATGCAGCATCGCTGCATCTCCACAAACAATAGGCGCCCAGTAGTCATGGATTGGATTGCAGCCGCCTCTTTTCTCGATCGAATACAGAGTCTCCCAAGCAGCAGTTATGTCTGATTGATTCAGTACTTGTCGAAACATGAACGAGATGCATGAAACGAATATTTCCACTTACAGTATGATAACAAATCGTGCATATAGGGCTCAACTACGATTGGAAGCGTGTCGAATGGATCCATGTGACTTGTCGGGGAAGGCACGAGCCGAGGGTAAGTCCTCTCACTCGTGGAGATCAAGCTGACACGCGTATCTCCGTTATTCTCCCTTCTTTTTTGGTTGCGACTTCCATGGCTCAGCATTGCACGGCTTCTGATAATCTTACGGGTTTCTTCAGTGATATCGGTCGTTCCCACCCCAATATTGATAAATTCAAACTGAGGGGCGGCGACTCCATGTTTAGGAATACCTTTCGAAGTTTGTTTCCTTTTATTTGCTGTCATTTATCAGGCCTGTAAAAAAAAACTATTCCGCGTGGAACTTTAGGCTCACATCCTGCGGGGCGGCCTCTCCTTCGCGGCGCCACCTTGATCGGGCCATTGGTGTATTGAAACACGACCGATTCGGTTGATGACGGATTGGCGGAAAACACCACCTCACTGGGAGTGTTGTCCATGGTGATGCTGGAAAGATACTGTGGTCCGCTTTCGTTCCTTGCGGGAAAAAGGGATGACGGAGGAAAAGGGAGATAAATCGAGAAAGGTAAAGAAAGTCATGCCTTCATGTCATCCCGCCAAGCCCATTATCTCCGCTCCACGGGCGCGCTAGCCCGATCGGGATGCTGGTCGATCCCAGTAATTTCGCCCAAAAGAGTAATCGGCCCCATACTCCAGCATCATTCACCAGTATAGCTTTGATTTGATCTTGAGAGGATGGGAAATGGCCGGCAAACTCGTAAGCCCATGACATAACAGACGCGCTAGAAAACAACGATACTATTGTGGCTACTGGATTGTTGTGTGCTGGCAAAGATATAAATATTCTCCTGTCACCCGATCATTTGCAATTACTATCCCATACTCATAGCATAGCATCTGCACATTACCCTACTTCAATACTTTGCCCCATCATCATGTCTGAATACAATGCCCAAACCACAGCCGAAGAGATGGCTCGAGATTGTCAAGCTGCCATCGTCAACAAAAACATCCTCGTGACAGGTGTTAGCCCCGGTGGTCTGGGTGCCGAGTTCGCCAAGGTCATCGCCCCTTACGGCCCATCGCTCATCATCCTTGCCAATCGTGATCGACCTAAGGCTCAGGAGACGCAAGCAGAAATCCAACGAATTGCACCGTCCGTGGCCACTCGCATCCTGAACCTCGATCTAAGCTCTCAGGCTCAAGTTCGCAACGCGGCCAAAGAAGTCCTGACATACAACGAACACATCGATGTCCTGGTGAACAATGCCGGAGTCATGGCATCACCCTTTGCATTGTCCGACGACGGAGTGGAAACCCAGTTCGCTATCAACCACGTCGGCCACTTTCTGTTTACAAACTTGATCATGAGTAAGTTAGTGGCGCCGGGAAAGACCGGTCGCGTGGTGAATGTATCCAGCAACGGCCATGAACTGGGACCCGTCCGGTTCCATGACTGGAACTTTGATGTGAGTATAAATGTCACCAGAAAAGGATAACCGGTATTTTGTCCAAGCTAATAGGGGTGTTCTAGAACGGGAAGAATTATGACATCTGGTTGGCGTATGCGCAGGCCAAGTCGGCCAACATCCTCTTCTCCGTATCACTTGCGCAGAAACTCGGCGACAAGGGTCTCGTCTCCGTCAGTTTACATCCTGGGACCATCAACACGCATTTGTTGAGGGGTGACTGGGACACATCGTTCAAAGCCCTTGGTAAGAGCTTCATTCTAAATTTTCATACGCTCAAAATGAGCCAGAGCTGACAACCCCCAAGTGAAGTGGTTTAGAGTTTTGGGATATTTCCGTACCGGGCAGAGTGAGTTCACTTGGAAGTCTATGTCTCAGGGAGTGGCGACCCATGTCTTTGCGGCCTTTCATGAATCTCTGTCGTCGCTGGGTAAGCCTTCCCGAGTTTATTTTGCCGTCTGAATGTGTCTAATTAAAGATTACAGAGAGCAACGGTTCTTATTTACAAGACTGCACCATACTGAAGCCGGAACAGGTCCGCAGTTGGGCCCGGGATCCGATCGAGGCCGAACAGCTGTGGAAGTTGACAGAGGATATTGTCAAGGAGAAGTTCGATTATTAGAAGGGGAGATAGCAGAAAGGGGGATCAAGGATGATGAAACCGTTCAAGCTTCATTGCAGGATTGTGGATGTTGGAAGAATATGGGTTAATTTGGATGCACTAGCTTCTTTGAAGTCAATGAATGGAGGCCTCCTTGATGATGTCTAGGAAAACCGCTTCTGATGGTAATTTCTATGAATCAGCAGCAAGTAGAAAGGGCGTTTTTTTATGGCCCAATAGCCTGTCTGAAAAAGACGAATGAGAGCATCCATACATCAACCGACAAGTGAGATACATTGCAGTCAAAAGGTAGTAATATCATTCGAAGAAAGGAACGGTTGCAAGCCGTCTTTTATTCAATTCCTATTACCCCAGTTCTGACATTATTAAGTTATGTGGTGTCATCACACGTGTTGTCCAGGGATCTTGGAACCATCATGTCTTCTTCCCTTAGTCCGTGGCGCCAATTCCATGCCACTTCCGATCTGGAGAATACTGCCGCCCAATGGGAGACCGCATGTCGATTTCAGATACGAGATCTGTTTAGTAACCGGCCCAGGACCGGGCTAATCCGAGAGTGAGTGTGGAGGCGTTCTAGGTGCCAAGTCCCAATGAAGGCAGTTTCCGGGTGCATAGTTCATTTGTGCAGAGCCATTGAGCAGTCCCTCCTGTGCCCATGCGTGTATTCACAGCCTTTGCCGCACAAGACCACTTCGGTCTAGAAAGGTCGAGGACGTCAGAAGCGGGCATTAAGGTTTCCGCACCCGCGCGGACCAGGTGCTACTCGCTCACATCGGCCAACCCTACAAACAAGCTGGAGAACCCTCCGGATCAGGTTCTTTCCATTCCTTTTCTCCCTTTCACATTCCTTCTGGTCTGAAAATCCCGATAGAATAAGAAGAGGCTGGTGGACATGGGGGTTCTCACACAATCGAGACTCACCAGCCAGTTATAGAACCTTCTGGGCTCTCCGACAACTCACATTCTTTCCAATACCCTCTCCAGTTAACCGTTGCCTGCCGTCATTGTCGACATGAAATTGTCTCTTCAGACAAGACGGAAAGGGCGCAACCATGTCGACATCCCCTGACCTCAAGTCAGACAGTGGGGACTTTTCGTCCTTGACACCAACGGACCCAATCCAGCGATATCTGATATCCGCTTTTGCAGCCATTACGTGGTACAACGCCATTGAGCTTGTTGTGCTCTGTCTGACGACCTTCAATCGATACCGGGGCTGCTATTTCTGGAGTTTACTGATCACTTCCTTCAGTCTCATCCCCCACTGTGTGGGATACCTGCTCTTTGTCTTCTCCTTCGGAATCTCTCCTTATATCCCCGTTTCGCTGATCGCCCCAACATGGTTCTGCATGGTTACCGGCCACTCCCTCGTTCTCTGGTCGCGATTACATCTCGTGCTGCAGGCGCCAAAAGTCCTCAAAGCCCTCCTGGTCACGATCCTCCTCGACTGCTTTCTCTTCCAAACCCCTACCATTGTCCTGCTGTACGGATCTTTGTCGCACGACGGGCAGTGGTCAAGGGGGTATGATATAATGGAACGGATCCAGCTGGTGGCCTTTTGCATCCAGGAGGCCATCCTGTCCGGTATATACGTGTGGGAGACGGTGAAGATGCTCCGTCTCCGCCCCGAGCGGCCATGCTTCGTCATCCTCACACAACTGCTCGTCATCAATGTGATCATCTTCATCCTGGACGTGGCTGTCGTTGCGATCGAGTATGCCGGATACTATGCACTGCAGGTGATGTTCAAGCCTGTCGCGTATAGCATCAAGCTGAAGCTGGAATACGCTATTCTGGGCCGACTGGTCAAAATTGCCCGTGGAGAGGGTGCGAGCACAAGCTATGATCAGGACCCGTATTCGCCAAGCGCCCGCGGATTCAACATCACTGCATCGGGCTGCGAGGATTCAGTTAGTAACGGCGCAGGCGTATCTGCTGTTCGGCAGATACATTCCGACTCGTTCACAAGGCATAATTCCGGATTGTCCCATGACACCCTGGGTCCCTACTAAGCAGGGTTCCGACTTGATGTTTTTGGCTTGATCACCGACTCCATGGACCGAGTGCGACTGTGTTCCTTACCGATCCAATCCATCAAGATTCCTGTCCAACATGGATTAGGAACTGATTTGCAATTGCATCCAGCGAGTTGAAAGAGATTCAATACAACCTGGCATCGCAAACTGCGATCTTCGGAACAGACCCCCCGGAGAGTTGCGTCAGAAATTCGAGGCCGATATTTTCCACACTGCCTGCCCTCAATCCTGACACTGAGTGTCGCAGGATATTTTGTATCTATCCTAGGAAATATTTGCTTCCCAGGATTGCCCTGCTCCGAGAGCTTTCACCGAATCAAACCAGGGAGGGGCCCGAATTGATATAAATGACGATTGAATGGTCTGAGAGTTCATCATTCAATCGGTAATACAGAAAGCAGATAGCTCATCATGTCATGAACGCACAGCTCCATTTCCCAATTAATATACTCATGGTTCATTAGGCATCAACTCCCATGGCAATTCCCCAATTCCCAAGCCCCGTACGGACATGCCTACCCTCATACCCCCTCCTTATCCCTTCCTCGGATATCCCCAGGTCCAGTTCCGAATATAATCCGGATCAATCCCATCATCATACGCCTTCTGCTTGGCCAGGAGCTGCATGTTGAGGAACTTCTCTCGCACCCCCGACGCCGTGTTCCCTAGTGATTTGGCATGGTCAATCGCATCAATAGCAAGACTATACCGGTCTGTCTGGTTGCGAACAGCGAGTTCAAACGGCGTGTCGATATTTCCTTTCTCCTTGTAGCCCCGGACATGAAGATTCTCCTGGCCCGGTCGCTTGTAAGTCAGGCGATGGATAAGCCAGGGATAGGAGTGGAAATTGAATATAATCGGTTTACTGTCCGTGAAGATGGATGACCACTGTCGATCGGACATGCCGTGGGGGTGGTGGATCTCGGAAATGAGTTTGAACAAGTCCACCACGTTTACAAATCGGACTTTCAACTGCGGAAGGTGTTCGCGCAACAAAGCGGTCGCGGCAAGGGCTTCGTGGGTGGGAACATCGCCGCAGGCCGCCATGACAACGTCCGGTTCGTAACCCTGGTCATTGCTCGCCCAATCCCAGATCCCCAGACCCTTGGAGCAATGCGCTATGGCATCATCCATATCCATGAACTGGACGTGGTCCTGCTTGTCGGCGACGATGACGTTGACGTAGTTCGCGCTCCGGAAGCAGTGATCCATGACGGAGAGAAGCGTGTTGCCGTCTGGCGGGAGATAGATGCGGACAACCTCGGGACTTTTATTTGCAACCACATCCAGGAACCCCGGGTCCTGGTGAGTGAAGCCGTTATGATCCTGTCGCCAGACTGTGGCGGTGAGAAGGATGTTGAGGGAGGCGACTTTGGCCCGCCACTCGACTTCCAGACACTTTTCGATCCATTTGCAGTGCTGGTTCACCATCGAGTCGATAATATGGATGAAGGGCTCGTAGCTGTTGAGCAGACCGTGGCGGCCGGACAGGACGTATCCTTCTAGCCAGCCTTCGCAGGTATGTTCGCTGAGAATTTCCATGACGCGGCCCTGCATGGCGAGGTTCCCCCCATCGCTGTCCTCTTCGAAGTAATCGGCGAGCCATACCTTCTTGCCTGCTTTGTAAATCTCAGAAAGCTTGTTGGATTCGGTTTCATCCGGGCCAAAGACACGGAAGTTGGTCTGGTTGTTGGCGATTACGTCGCGCAGAAACTTGGACATGTTGACCATGCTGCCCCGGATAGAGACGCCTGGGTCAATGTTCGTGAGCGCATAGTTTCGGAAGTCCGGTAGGTCCAGCGGTCTACGGAGGAGGCCCCCGTTGCCGACAGGATTGGCACTCATGCGGAAGTTGCCCTTTGGTGCAAGTTCCTTCAGCTCGGGGATCAGCCTGCCGTCCTTTCCAAACACTTCTTCCGGCTTGTAGCTTTTCATCCAAGTCTCGAGGAGCTTCAGGTGCGTCGGGTTGGTGAGCACGTCGGTGATTGGGATCTGGTGGGCGCGCCAGAAGCCCTCGAGCAACTTTCCGTCCACTTCTCGCGGCGCGGTCCAGCCCTTGGGGCTGCGGAGGATGATCATTGGCCAGCGTGGTCGAAACGGTTTGCCGGAGTCGCGGGCTTGCTTTTGAATTCTCCGAATTTCCAGGACACAGTGCTCGAGCGTCGCTGCCATGGCCTGGTTCATGCTGTCCCGATCACTGCCTTCGACGAAATAGGGTGTCCATCCGTAGCCATACATCAGGGATGAAAGCTCCTCGTGGCTGATACGCGCGAGAAGGGTCGGGTTGTTGATCTTGTATCCGTTGAGATGCAGCACAGGAAGGACAGCCCCGTCGGTACATGGGTTGAGATACTTGGTGCTGTGCCAGCTCGTGGCAAGAGGTCCCGTCTCGGCTTCCCCGTCACCCACCATGGTGAGTGTGATGAGGTTGGGATGGTCGAATACAGTTCCAAAGGCATGGGAGATGGAATATCCCAGCTCACCACCCTCGTGGAGACTGCCTGGGGTTTCAGGAGTCGCGTGGCTGCCGATGCCACCCGGGAATGAAAATTGCTTGAAGAACCTTTGCATGCCTCTTTCATCCTCGGACTTGTCCGGGTACACCTCAGAGTAGACACCCTCCAGGTACGACTGAGAGAGAATGCCGGGGGCGCCGTGACCGGGACCGGAGATGAAGAGGACATCCAGGCTGTATTTTCTGATCAGGCGATTCATATGAATCCAGGTAAAGGACTGGCCGGCATCCGATCCCCAGTGACCGAGTAAGCGTGCCTTGAGGTGTTCCACCCTCAGAGGCTCCTTCAGGAGGACGTTGTCACGGAGGTACAGCATCCCAAGACAGAGATACATGCTGGCACGGAAATATGCGTCCATCTTGCGGATGTCCCCGGGTTCAAGGGGCTGTCCCTTGACCGTGGAGCGAGCAGCTCCATAGGCGGATATGCTCAGCTTGGTTGAATCTTCAGGCATCTGTGCGATTCGGAGGATGGCGATGGGATGGGATGGGTTGAAGGAGAAGGGGGTGAGACGAGCACTGGGGGGGTTCTTAAGCACGAGCTGGAAGACTCCGAGGGCCTGGAAGTGGCCATCGTATCGGTGGTCTGATGCGATCCATGTCCGCTTTTCCCTGGAAGGACCTGCACAGTACTGGCATATCAAAGAGACGCGGTCACTCCATGACGTTCGCCTTCCGTAACGCTCCGCCCTCCGCGTCACTGGCTGAGCGCCCCCCACGCAATCATTGGCCCGGGGGTCGACAGCCGAGCATGCGGTGGCCCCATCGATTATTTGATTACTACACTTCACTTCTCCAGGTTGGTTGAGCAGGAATACACCGAGGCTCATTCACTGGACCTTGAACCTCATCTGGAACATGACAAAGCATAGGTAGTTGAAACCACTCTTTCTTTGAATAGACAAGCAATTTCGGAGAAAATACAGTCATCTCGTGTATGGTCATGGCTAGAGCGAAACTTGCCTATACTTTAACAAAGGTAATCTTCGGCTTGGCCCGAGGATGATCTTCCCTTGTCACAACCAAATTGCTAAGACCATTGTTCTTTGGGGATAGCACTTCAGGAAATCACCTCGTCTCATCGGCTTCCTTCATGCTACTGCGAACTCCCATGCTGTGCCAATGTCAATAAATGCCCGCTCCAATGTTTCATCCAGAAATCTATATAAACAGCTCCGATACTCCGCATCAACATGAGTATCAAATCTGCCTCGAAAAAAGAGCCAGCATTGCCCGCAAGGATTCCCAATCTCTTCGATAGCCTTATTCCACCGGTGTGAAAAGATGGAGTATCTAATTGACGGGCAGCTAGCAAAGTCGGTCACTGCTTCTGCCCTTGGCATGTCAACGGTTGACTGCAGCGACATGATGGATGAGGGAGATAGCTGGTCCTTTGCGGTCGAGCTGCTCGACCCCGTCACCCCACGCTCCCTCAGGGAACGCCTCAATCGGCGGGAACCGGGTATTCTCTCTATTCCACAGGGCACAGAGCGCGTTGTCATTCGCTTCCCAAATCCCCGGTGGAAAAGTGATGCCGATACTAGCAACTGGGCCGGGCAACGAGTAGCGTCAATGGCTCTAGCGGCCCGCGCTCTGGAGTTCACCGAGTTCGAAACCATTGTGCCAGCTGTTTATGCCTGGAGTGAGGGTAGTCCCCATGACCCTACATTCGTGATCGAGGAGTACCGTCCTGAGTTGAGGCTGTCTGATTATTTTGACGGGCTGGACGAGACACGGCAAGCTGATGTCCTTCGAGACTTTGCGGCAATTACCAGGTATTTCCAAGCCTATGTCCTTCCATGGGGCCTCCAAGGTTACGGAAGCTTGGCCTTTGATGCCAACGGCCGACTTACCCTGTCGGGGTCCCATTTGATACCAGGTAGGCCTGGCCCCTTTGGGAACTTCCGAGACTGTCTGAGTGCTCGGGCACAACGGTCCTGGGAAGTTTGTGAAGATCATTGGTCGGCTAAAGAAAATTGGCCTTTGCTGAGCCGTGTCAGGGAATTTTATATCACAAAGAACGAGGAGCTATTGGATGCCTTCAAAGACATGCAAATGACTGCCTTCATTCATTGCGGCCTCGGTAAGTTCTCTCTCTCATTAATTATCTGCTCAAGATGAGTTGAATAACCAATCTGATATATCGTAGATCTGCAGAACGTTCTATATGATCCCCAGAAGGGTAAGATCACGACTCTGATGGATTATGGGCGTTGTCGGATCGACCACCCACTCTTTGAATATTTTAATTCTTTCAGTTCGATAATGGGGAAACTTTTCTATCCCTTCGATGCGCACCTACAATTCCTTGTTGAGTGCGTCCTAGAGGGGTTTCCAGTAGAAGAGTGCCCCATCGATGACCTGGACAGGTCCTACCTTGCAACCTCGGAAAACAACATGAGTAAACGCTATGCTGTCGGCAAGAAGTTCCATGGCCAGCTCGAGTTTCATGATGCCGATGTCCTCACGCCTTGGAAAACCACGCAAGCAAAGCAGTTGTGTTATCTTTTGGGCATTTATGATGCTATGAGAGGTCGATGCAGGGTTGCTTGTGGTTTATCTGCGGCGGAGGCTGAAGAACAGAAGGAAGAGATCCTGAAGAAGTATCTCGCATATTATGGATCTTAACCCATTCGTCCCGGGGATCCGGTTTTGTGAGTATACAGTATACGGTCTATTGCTACATTACATTTCGGTTTGGTTTTCTCTATCATATTCGTGAATAGTTGTAAGATTGGAACATTGCAACTGCGGCGAACTTGCATATTCGAAGCGACTTGAACTCTTATTATAATTTAACCACCTGCCTATGCCGGAATACATACATATGCCATATTCCACCGTGAATCCGAAAAGAAAATAGATAGCTGATCTGCGACGTTCATCGTCTGGTGCCGGTTGCAACTGGGTACATATACCAGTCATAATCCTATCTCTGCAGTAGCTAAAATCTCACAGCCAGCATCATCCATTTTGCTTCCATATAAACCAACGGATGGCCATACTTAATGTAGCTGGGTGTGTCTGGACACAGGCTGCAGACCGCACTTCACTCGGCTCTCAGCTCCTCCTTTCACTTGTATGCAAATCATGACCAGAAAAAATATTTATTTATGAGCTGTATCTGCGGCGTAGCAGATTCAGGAGAACCAGACTCTTCGAACATGTCCTCTCAACAACAACAACCTTGTCATTTGTGGCTTCCAGTAATAATCTTCACATTGAATAATACCACCATCCGACGCGCTGCATCGGACAGCCTAAGTATATACACGACTCGAGCCCATTTGCATCAGGAAACATCAATGTATTTACTCCAACTCCTCAAAACGTCTGAGGTCCATGGGCTTCTCCAGCAGCGGGATAACGTAGGGGTCGAAGGTCTTCCAGTAGGGGTTCTCCAGGTGGTACTTCTGGGATCCCTCGTTCAGGTAACGCTCGACGATGCAGAAGTCCTGCTTGTCGTGGACGCTCTGCATGACGAACCAAGAGAGGGTCTCCTTGTCCTTGGAGTACACGGCGGAGGCTTCGAGGAGCTTGGCGTGGAGCTTGGAGATGCTCTCCTCGTCGGGCTTGGCGCGCATGTCTGTTATTCGGATTGATTTTTGTCAGATGCCTGTAAAGGCGAATAGTCTTTGGGGAGATTGGGGGGGGGGAGAGAGATTGGACGTACGGACGACGATGTTGTAGACCATTGTGACGGTTGAAGGGGGGTAGGTCAATGGGTGAGTAGTGAGGTTGTGGTTGGGGTTGTTTTTGGTGGGGGATGGAGGGGTAATGGGGTTCTTAAGTCATGGAGTGAATCGGATGAGTTATTTTTAAGTGTCTGGGAAGGTGGGGCGGGTGACTTACTGGATAGGGCTCTCCCGGTGAAGATGAAGCTTAAGATAAGCTTCTTCCGGTTCGGTTCGGGATTGGGATTGAGGGACTGGCTTGCGCTACTACTTCCGTGTGCTCTTAAGCAAGTGTAACCCACCATTGTCCCTAATGTTTCAAAGCCTCCGGGGTATCGACATTGTGCCCATTTTCTTTGGGTCATCTGTTGTGCTCGAGCATTCATCCCATCTGATGATGCTCTCGGGGTTTCTTCGGGGAACCCACTATGACCCGTAGACTCCACTGCTGTGTGCTATGTAGTTCCATTGGGCCAACCCGAGGATTCTGTGACGTGCTGTCCTTTTTAGAGATGATGGTTCGTGGATAGGTGCAATATCGTTGGAATTGCATCCCATGGAGATATTATCTTCGTCCAAATCAACATGGACAAGACAATGTGTACCGTGTCTGCCATGAACCTACTTGTGGAGCATATACGCTCAACATTCCCTCGTGAACTCCTTCAGGTCTGTTGTAGCCGGTCCAACGTACTCCCAACGTCTATACGTGTTCCCCCAAGTATTGTTAACAACATTCCTCTTTGCATCCCTCGTCATTTTATCGAGCCTCCGAGTATGCCATTTCACCTGTTTTCTCCCCCGCAGTCAAGACGCGTCAAGAACACGCCCGTCAAGTGAAAAGCATCAAACCTCAACACGTGCGGAAGCCAAAGTACACGGTGTTATTCTTCGTGTAGGAATGTTTTGCCCCAGATGTCAATCAGACTGTGCCCAAATGCCTCCCCCAGATCAAACAGTATCTTGTCAGCCAACGTCTGCGGCTTATACGGTGCCACCACAACTTGTCTGCCCCCGATGCGGATCTCAACCAACCCGATATGTTCTCAATCCATCCATATTGTATAGTCCTTCCTTCGATGTAGTCGACTGTCGCATAGATATCGGTGACGCGCGGGCGCAGGTCCGAGAGTGTGCGGAGTGCGGCCGCTTTCACCTTGGTGGGGAGGATGGTAGGAGATGGCGACAAAGCCTTCGTGGCTGGTTTCCTGGGCGTAGAGGCCAACGGTTCTCTCTTTGACATCACTTCCGGTTGGGGTTGGGCGATAAAAATAGCTGAGGCTTTGATGCTGGAGGATTTGGAGGGCTAGTAGGAGCGTATTAGGCTGCTGGGATCCTTGGGACTGAAGCTAACGGACATCATTGAAATCTTCCTAGCAGGGTATGCTCGGGAATTGGGTGATATATAAGTGATTTGAACTGTGAGGGGCTTCGCGAACGGAGACTGTCATGCAGTCGTCGTGTAGGAATTGGACTGATCTGATCTCCCCCGCTAAGATCTGGGCCGGCCGGTGACGTCATGGCCATGCTCGCGGATCACTGGGAGTGAGTGAGTGAACGAAATAATCTATCAGGATACATGCATCAGTCCTATATCGGCATTGCACCCTCTGAAACACCTTTTTAGTCGAGTGGCTTTGTTTGACATATTCGTCGATATGACACTACTGTGTGTATACATAGCAGATCCATTCTAGATCAAGTGAAGATCTTAGTCAGAGCAATGTGATCTCTTTTGACACCTGCAGCCGGCCGCTCCCTGGACCCGTAGGCTTTCTTTTAGGGGAGACGAGGGGCTTTCCGACCGTGATTATTTTTTTTCGTTGTTGTGTTTGCTGTCTTGCTGCCCAAAATCTGGTCTGTACCTAGCACTACTACTAGTAGTTGTACTGTCATAAACTGGATTCTACCTAAGGCGTCCCATGTTCAACGCCGTGTTTGCTGTTCTATATCAACCATTCGTCGAGCAAACCGACAAGTGTCTCACTACCCCGCATCAGAGCTACCTACTTATTTGGAAGAGAGCTAGGAACAGAGTACGGAGTAGTACGGAGTCGAGACTTGGTAACACCCACGCAGTGTCTCCATCGCCCTGCATCAAACACGAAGCATTCGGAGAAGTCCGGCTTCTATTTCTATTTTCCAGGTAAGGGGAACCAGGGTGCTTCAGCGGGAAGACCTGCGATCTCCGATGCCAAGAGCCCTCTGATAGGACGGACCAAAACACGATGCCTTGCATTGGGCTGGGAATGCTGGCTGTTGATTTGCAGTGTCTCAGGACCCTGCAGAAGACCCTGGATCTTTAATTTTGAACCACTCGCTGCAGTCTGGCATCTGCTATGTTTGCCATCATCATTCATACCATGGGCTTCCCCCCCCCCCCCCCCCCCCCTCTTTTGTCACGCAGCAAACGACTCGACTGTTTATAAAACAATGTCCAGTTCTCATCGGTGATTTGCATTTTCTCCCCTTTCCTCAGATCAGGTTCTGTCAGATCTAGTACTATCACACCTACTATATCTTAGTGTCTGGTCTGGACGCCTTTCTAGTCGAGTGGTTTTGCTTCAACAAAGTCCCAAATCCCCCCACCTATCCCAAATTGAAGTCGGTCCAAAATGCACCTCCCCACCATCCTGGCCAGCCTCACGGCCCTTAGAGTTAGCACGGCGCACACTCTCCACCCCCGCTCCATCACCCCCCCAGCCGGCTGCCCCCTCCCAACCTGGCAAGTCACCACCTTCCACTGGTTCAACGGCTCCAAAAGCCTCGACTGCATCCACAACCAAGCGGATATCAACTTCCAAGACTGCCTGTGCGGGGGGCCCGGTGTCTGGTGCGCCCCCGACGCCGCCACCTGCAACGGCAGCATGGTCAACGTCTGCTGGACCGGCATGCCCAACTACCAGCCCTGGGGATACGGGCCACCCGAAACCCTCGACATCGACTTCGCGGACGGCCTCGCCTGCCACGACGAGTATATCGGGTACCGGGTCCACGATATCGGCAACGGGGCGTCGAATTGTGGATACGCGGATCGGGGCGAGGGTCGCATTGTCTCCTTTTATGGAAGCTCGAATTATGCAACGTCCACCGGGCATATGGATTATGTGCTTGGTGATGGTCATGCGTTGACGTGCTCGAATGGTAGTCGCATTACGTACTCCGGCAGTACGGACTTTGAGTTGACTTGTTCCCATGATGCCTTTTTCAATGCGACGTGTACGGCTCCCGTGTTCGAGGTTCCGGTGTTGAGTTATCAGTGGGTTTCTTAGATTGGGGGGGACGGTGGAGGGCCCGGGTGAGTGGTTGGGTTTGGGGGTGCTCCCTGGGGCTTGGAGGGGGTGGGTTTTGTAGTAATGGGTAATTCTACTCGGGGCTTTATGGTACTATATACTAGACTGATGATGAGTCAAAGGGCTAATATATCGATCAATAAACAGGCTCTAATGGCTCTAGCAAGACATAAATGTAAATTACCGAATCAATAACCCCAATTTCATAATTAAAGCTGCATTGGAAGAGTTGAAATCTGTAGACTTTAAAGCCGATCTCACGGTATTAGATTGCAAATTTCAAACATGATCCTAGGTAGTTGTTGGCATCGTACGCATCAGGATAGACACATGCTTCAATCTCTGTACGCCTCCGGCTTCCCAATATCAATCCCGAATCTGGACCCTTCCCACCACCCCAACCCAAACACCAATCCACTAAAGGTCCCCCGTCTCATCAACTCCTTGTCATCCCACCACTCCGACCCAGGCGGCAGTACATCAGACTTCAACATGTCCGAGCCAGCGAGCAACATCGCCGTACCGGCAATACTGCATGGATTTACGGGGATCACCTCCTTGGTGCGCATAAAACGGTACGCAACTAGGGTGGACAGAATCATTGCTGCGAGACATCCCTCCAGGATACGGGTAGAGATGGCACTTTGCACGAGGCGCAGTCCGTTTGGGTTCATAAGAGTCCCGCTGTATCGGGTTGAGTTTGTGCTGGAAGGGATCCGCGAATTGCCGTTGATACTTTGCGCCATGAGGACGCGATAGAGATGCTGGGTGGCGTTGATGACCGTCGGGTAGTGGGCGAGGTCGGTGATATCCTCCATTGTCAGCGTTTTTTGGTCGTCGATCATAGCTGAAAAGAACGCGTCGAAAGCTTGGTTGTCTTGGTTGATGGGTTGAGGAAGGTAGTTACTGAAACTGAGGTCGGAGGTGACGTTATCGGTGAACAGTCGCGCGGACGAGTCGTTCGCGCTGAGAGACCCGATCTGAAGGCCTGGGAGAATGAAGCTGCCGTTTGCATCCACTTCATCGATTCTTGGGTTGCAAGTGAATCCGCGAAAGCCGTTGGTCGAGTTGCCGTTGAGGGTGCCGTAGAAGCCAATAAATGTGGGGTAGTCGCCGAATGCCAAGGTGCCTTTCAGGTAGCTGAGGACTCCGAAGCGTGTGATTTCCTCCCCGGGGTAGTCAGTTTCGACTGACAATGTGATCAATGAATCATTCGAGCTTTTGTTGCCAAGGTTCATTCGAAGTTGCCAGACATCGTAGTCCTCTTCCGGGGCCTCCACGGAGTACACAATGTTCTCGGCAAGGGCCTCGCAGGTGAGACTCGCGCGCAGAGCTGGAACGGTGAGCTGTAGTGAATCTGGATTGTCCGAACTTCCATTGGCTAATGACTGCAATTGAACCAGCCCATTCGAATCTGCCAAGGAATCTTCACTGAGGGTGGGGATGACGAGTTCGCCGTAGGTCCAGGGTGGATACGACAGGTTTGCGGCCACTACAAGGGCCCCGGTAAGACCTATGCCTGGGTTGCTATCTGTAGATGAGTGAGGGCTGATGCTGGAGTTGAATGAGTCGATCCGTGCAATTGATGCAGGGCGCATGTATGTCACATCCTCTGTCGAATACAAACCGCTCACTGCGACGGTGAGGACGGGAGCTAGAAGGACCGAGGTTGCGGTAGCACATACTGCCCATTGCCTTCGTGCAATTGCAGTGCAGAACGAAAAGGGTGTCATCTTTGACAAGTGATTTTCCATCAAGCTACCTGGTGTTGTGATACCACCCTGTCGTAGCTCCAGATAGGGCTGAAACAACATGGCGGAGAAGTGGATGCAATCGAAGAAGACACGGGTAACCAGCATTACCAGCGCCGGGAGATACACCCAGGTGTAGCGGATATACCCTTCGGAATCGATATTACCCAGTCCGTTTTGATGGCGGGATATTTGATAGGCAGTTTCAAGCCCCGCGATAATGAGGATGGGGAGAACAATAGAGATAACCCACCACCAAAGTGATGCAGACATCGGTTGCCACCAGGTAATGGGACCGGAGCTAACTCTCGTACGAGTACCCTCAGTTGCCTTGTTGGTTGCCTCGATACTAAAAGTTCTCCAGCCATCATCCTCGCTCGCCTTGCTATGGTACTGACCGTCTGCTAATTCGTTTACCAAGTCTGTGGCCCCTTGGCAACCTACAAGCCGACCTGACACTGAAGGGCTCCGACTCAGTATACTTGCCATCCCAGCTATGGTACTGGGATCTCGAGGGGTACAGCGAACAGGTCTCCAGGTCCATAACCCCGCTATCAGTATAATGAGGGCTGCTAAAGTGGCCTCCATTACTCTGACCGAAAATTCTCTCACGATCAGCCTCTGTATATGGGCTGAGTAGGTTCCCTTAAATTTGATGTTTGAGGAAGACATCAGGTATCGTCTGGCAATCTGTGCTGTCATCGCGGTATATGTTGGAAGGGAGACTGCTTTCAACACTGATGCATCCAATAGGTCACTCAGTGCATGTGGAGAAGATAGGTTCGCGACTAGATAGAAGGCGGTAGGGTAGGAGCTGTTTGGGTCCGACAGGTTATACTGGTAGGTTTGAAAGCTGCCCACTGACGTATCCACATAATTCAGCGTGTCTAGAGTGTCTTCGGCGGCCGCAAGTGTAGATATCAGCCCAGCACCCAGCTCATTGGGGGACACGTTCAGTATCGCATTGTTGCTTGTAATATTAGCTGTAGGATTGACGGTAACCGTGCTCTGATTCCCATATAGCAAGGAGACGAGCCCCTGAGAGACTGTATACGTAGGAGTACAGACGAGCGCTTGGATTCTTGTGCTGTTGTCTGTCCAGTGAGCCGCCGTAAAAATTAACGGCGTATTGTTCGAGCCATTAGATGTATCCGCACACGTAGTTGAGAAGACCTCAGCATAGTATCCACCTGCCGAGGATGAGCTTTTCTGGAAGCTTGTGAAATGATACTTTGAGCAGGACGATGTGCTGAGTGTGATGTTTAGTCTAGTGTACTCGCACATTTCGGTCCCGCATCCTTGCGTCCAATTTGTGACCGTACCGACGTCGCATTGAAGATCGGGAGAGAACAGATCCACGGTCCCAGATATCACCGCATCGAAGCCTGCATACTGGAGTCAGCAACAGATTTATATATAAGTAGCATTTCAGAGAGTCATACCCAGGGGTGTGTTGGACGTGGTGAACGGCTGAAACGCATACTTCTCCGTCGTCCCCACTGGATGCGGGAGACCTAGCCACCGAGTTCCTGCCACCGTCATTGCAGCAGTCGCATCAACCATACTGCCATTGTACATAGTCCCATTGAAGATCGCCTGTGCCTCAAGAACAGTTGGGATTTTGTCCATTTGGACTGCCTGCAGCATGAAGAGTCCTGTCGAGACCACTGTGAGCAGTTTGATGAGCAGAGTACCAAGAATGGCAAGGGCGGCAGCCCAGTCGGATTGCTTCAATGCTCGAAACATGACAAGAACGTTCCAGTCCGAGATATAGTCCAGCAACAAGCTCTGGGGTGCAGGCTTTGGTGTTGTACTCATGGACTTCCACGGCATAAGCTGCTTCGTTCGGTATTCAACCTGTCCCCAACAGCCCGCGACAATTGTGAGCACTACAGAAAAAGTCATTGTGAGTTCCCCGAATTCCTCTGGTGTGAATCAAATATAGAAACGAGCACACACCCGCTGTTGGACCATATGTCCACAAGTAATGATATTTTGACTCGCTGGTGCTCAGGCCCTCATTTCGATTCGACAGCCAATAAAGGACTGCGATGACAATGAGCATTGCTGCAAACAGCACTGCAAAGCCAGCCAGCGATACTGTTTGAAGGACGGCAGGAGTCCACATCTGGCGTTGGAGTCCATGGTTGTGACGGCTGTCGCTTTTACCATTCGATAGCGAGTTGGTGCTACTCGGCTCGTTCGAAGAAGTTCTCTGAACTATTCTTGTAAAAGCTTTTGCTTTCGGCATAAAATCATGAGCCATGATTGCAATACAAGCAAGGCACTAAGACCCCCAGCTTTTTGCCCGACGGCTCGAGGAGACATTGTCCAGTTGCAAAGATCGAAAGGAGCGCGGTCGGAGGATTTAAGTAGAAGTCTGCCGACAACGCAAGGCTGGCGGCACAGCCCCCAACTATTCCTGTGCAGGCTGATCACTGATCCTTTGCATCCTTTGGGCACTTGGGACAGTGACATGTGCAGGACTCTATTGGTGATGACCCTCGACAACTTGAGGATCGGGAGAAGAACTTGCGCATCTTAAACCATGCCACGCTCACATATAATTGGGTTTTTGATGATGTAGAGTGCTGAAGGGTGCGACCCAGGGTCCAAAACACCAAGGGTCCCCCGCATGCCGCAAGTACCGCCCGCCACCATGGCACTGCCGCCCCTGCGTATTGGCCAATCATGGCAATCTGGTACGGATGGTATGGATGAGTGTTACCGTCACACAAGGTAAGTTACGCGGGTCTTCGACGGCAGTTGGCACTGTCACCATTGTGGTTGTTTCATGCTGTCAAAACCCAGCCAGTATCATTCAGTATCACGCCTACTTAGGTGTCTGGACACCTTTTTAGCCGAGTGGTCTTTTTGGTCTGTCACATGCCATGTCATGTCAAGGCTCATCATGGCATGTTCCTGACAGAAGCAGATCAGCCACACAATGACTTCGCTCAAAAATGATGTAATGCTAGATCTCACTATGATTTAACTAGGTCTTGACGCCTGGCCATGAAAGTATGGTAGATGGTCCAGCTTGGGCCATGAATTTGAACGGTATGTGAAAAGACATGCATGGTTCTCGGGGATCAGTAGCACCCGAAGCTGGCGCCCATACAGTATAGTATGCTCTTGTCGGGCTGTAGAAAACCCCGACGTCCCATAGAGACTCCTAAGACCCAGATCCGGATTATCTGGCCCATGTTTCTCTGTTCTTTTCTTCTTGCTATAAATACCCGAAGGCACTGCCAAATAAACTTATTCTCATCATTCATGCACACGTTTTTCGTTATTTCAAGTCGCATCATAATCGGATCCCTCATGTCCCATACCGCACCCATTGCTATTATCGGCGGCGGGCCATGCGGGCTAACCTTTGCCCGCCTTCTCGAGAATGTTGGAATTGAATATATTATTTTTGAACGAGATGTCTCACCAGTGCCGACACCTCTATTTCAGGGTGGCACGTTAGACCTCCATCGCAATACAGGACAGGAGACGCTACGTCGCGCAGGCCTCGCCGAAGAATTCGAGAGGCTAGCACGACGAGACGCGACGACAATGACGGTTCAAGACTTCCTTGGAAACCACCGCAGTACGTTCGGTGAGGGGCATGATGCCCCTGAGATCGACAGGTTCCAGCTGCGACAGCTGCTTTTAGATTCGCTGCCGTCACAGCGAATTCGATGGGGGAAGGTCTTATGCACTGCGGAGCGCAGAGAGAAGGCGAAGAGCCCGGTACGGGCATCGGACTGGGTCTTGCGCTTTGCGGATGGCTCGTCTGAGAGTGGGTTCCGGCTTGTGGTGGGCGCTGATGGCGCATGGAGCAAGTTGCGCCAGTTGGTAAGAGGCCTCAGTCCTTGTTGTACCTTTTGATATATAGGTTTGATTATTGACATCCCATTCTAGATAATTCCCGTGAAGCCACAATACTCGGGCAAGACTTTTATTGAAGGCAGGTTATCGCGGGACAACCCACAATATGAGGCTGCGCGCGAGATGGTGGGCACTGGTAATTCCATGGCCATAGGCGATGGTTGTGTGCTGTGCATCCAGCAGGTATCTGACCTTTCCTATCGTGTGTATATGGGCATTCAGGCCGCCGATACCGCGACACGGCCAGGCGGTGACATTGACGTGAGTGACATCGAGAAGGCACGGTCCGCGCTTCTCGGGCCCGGCAGGTTCTACGCCGGCTGGGCGCCGCATCTACGTGCGTTCATTGAAGCTGCGGAGGGTCCCTTGCGCCCTTGGCCGCTGCATCGCCTCCACCCGGACATCTTTCTGGACAAGAGCCCGAGCTGGACGCGCGCCCCCGGTGTCGTCTTATTGGGTGATGCGGCGCATCTGTCCACGCCCAACGGCGCAGGTGTCAATATGGCCATGTACGATGCACTGATGCTATTTGAGAGTCTGACAACCGAACTGCAGACTAAAGGGAGCGACTACGGTGAAGAGGCCGATGTTGCGGCGTTGGAGCGTGCCGTTATCGCGTACGAGACGGAAATGCGGCCTCGCGGCCGGGAAAACATCCTCGACTCCATTATGATGGAGGAGATGATGTACGGTGAGGGTGGATTTCAACGTATGCTCGATATGGTTCAGGGGGTGAACCACGCTGTGAAAGATTGACTTGATTTTCCTGGAGGCTTGGTTTGTCGTGCCAGAGAGCTGTTGTGAGGTGCAGGAGACCTCGGGTTGTATTTTTATGCCAGTGTGTAGTATGGAATAGCTCTCCATAATCTGCAACCATGATTCTTCAAAGCACCGCTGTCGAAGTAGAAAGATGCTAAGGTGTAGGACGCATCGAGAGAGTGCCTCTGACCCGGGCATCCAGCTCCTCAATGGCCCATCACTATCACCATTACCATCGAATGAAATTATAGCCCCTCCCTTCCACCTAATGGACTTCCACCCGCCATCCAAACCATAACTCTCGTGAACCGTCCCTCCTGATCCACGTCAAAGAAGTTGCAGTTAACCATGTCCTGCTTTGTCCCATCGCTAAGCTCCCCAGTATACCGTTGCTCAGTGGCAACCCTCCTCGTCTTCTCGTCCACCACGATGTTCCGCACACGGTGCTCCATTGATTTAGATTGCGCGCTGAACCGTGTCAGCATGGCCTGGATCTCTTCTCTGCCGGTGAAGGTTGTGTGTTCGGTCACCACGGTGAAGGTCGCTGTCGGGGAGAAGAGAGAGGCCGCCCCGGCGGGGTTGTCGGTGTCCACACATTGGAAGTATTGCTTTGCGAGCGTGGCGAGGGAAGTGTGTGTGTCGGATTCTGGGGGAGACATTTTGATTCTTGGGGTTGGATTGGCTGAGAATGTTGTGTCGGTGCAGTTGATGACGGTGGAAGCAGAAGAAGAGAGCGGGGTGAGGGGAGAGAAAAAAGCAGGGGAGAGGGGGGGGGTTTATAGTTATCGGTGCGACGCTGGGCAGCTCGAATAGGAAGCAGCGGGACGCGGGCCACAGCGGGGGCGCCTACCTGCTCCACTGCAATCCCTGCCGCCATCGCGATAGCGCAGGAGCGGTTGGTCGCTCAGCTGCGCCGGCTTCTCCAAGGGAGAGTGCAGAATGCCTATCTAGCAGTCTCTAGCGAGAGAAGTGTTTCCTGGAGGCAGACGCCCTCATCAGCCCTTTAATATCTCCAGCTGCATGACGTCTTTATAGTGCGCAGTACATTTGCTATCCCGCCACATGTGGATATTGACACCCCGATTTACGTTGTGCTTGTTGGCGTTGGCGTAGCCGTTGGAGGGAAAGCGAGAGGACAAGGGTTGCTCCGCTCCGGCGAAGATGGCTCCCGTGCCCGCGATGTGTGCGCAAATATTTGTTGTTCAGAAACTGTTCCCCTGGCCGAAATCGGGCGCTATTCGACAGACCCTCGAGCAGGCTGTTGGAGGGGAAATTCGAAAAGAGGGACACTCGCCCCTGACGTTGTGGTGTGGACAGAGAAATGTTGAAATGCTTTTCATAATGCCCGTATCTCATTCTTTGGCTATCGTATATCTTCTACTTTTGTCACTGTATACATAAAAAGAATTTGATGTAAGTGCTTCAGTACGCAGCTTGATTTTGACATTGACCCCCCCCAATGTCCAGTGAATCTGATACTATAGTGGAGTAGAATTCATTTGGATACCCCGCAGCAGTTGGTTATCTGTCGCGCTTTTGATTGGCTTAAAGCTTAAAGCGCGTTACCTGGCTGGTAAAGTGGGTCGTGGCTATTTGGCGATTTCTTCTAGGTTCAGGGGAGTTCCAGCAATACTATTGGTCTTTATTTCCCACTGTATCTTACTTTTGGTATTACATTGTACTGCAGTGGTACTGTACCTTTCGGCCTAAATCGTTCAGGTGGGAGGAAGCCTGTCCCGCCAGGCGATTCCGGATCCCCGGGGAACCAGGCACCAGGGTGGAAGAATATCTGTCTCATACCTATTCATGACTTATCGCCTGTCAGTCGAATGCCCGATTTCGCACATCAAGATGACTCACTGGCGGGGTTCTGACCGCAACTCTTCCAATCGCATCGCAAAGGATCGGACTAGCCCTTACATCCGGCTTATGGCGAATACCCGGCTGGGATGACTTTCCCGGCGGGGAAACAGTGATAAGGTGAAGATAGTACTATAGTAGTTGATAAATATGCGGCCGCCCGCATAAACCGGTGATGAATCTTCTGGACGTACGACGTTCTCGGTAGATGTTTCTACTCCTGCAGCACTATCAATTCAGTCGCTTTGGACACCATGTCGCCAGATGAGACGACCCAGCTGCTTCCTAGTTCCGACGGTGCACAACCGTCCGATTCTGCAGACGATACGTCTTCTGATTATGGCAATGCACGGACAAGACTCGCTATTTTCATTGCGTACCTAGGTATTTTTCTTTCAACTTGCCGGGCCACAAGACAAGCTACAAGAAAGAGCTTCTGACGATTTACTAGGAGCCTTCCTGGCTAGTTCGGACGAATCCCTCGTCATCGCTACATACGATATCATCGCCTCCGAATTTCATGAGCTGTCGAAAGCATCATGGCTGGTGACGGGATATAACCTGGGATATTGTGTTGCGCTACCGGTTGTCAGTATTGGCTTGCTCCAGCTTTTGTGCCATTCTGACCCACGCAGTATAGTACGCTGGCGGATATCTGCGGTCGCAAGACTTCCATGCTCATGGGGTATCTGTTGTTCGGACTGGGCTGTCTCATATGGTGTGTCACATTAGATTCTTGATATCTACTGGTTACTGACTAGTCCAGCTCCCTCAGCGGCTCCATGGTTAACCTGATAGCGGGGAGGATTATTAGTGGCGCGGGCTCTGCGGGCATGGTGGTTATGATCTCTATTATGATCACAGGTGCGATGGCATGATCTGCCCTGGGGGTAAAAGCTGAATTGTATAGATCTGGCCGCTCCAAGTGATGTCGCACTGCTGCGCAGTTACACCAATGTGGTGAACATGACCGGTCGGGGTGTGGGTGCTGTTCTGGGGAGCATGATGGTGAACTCGTTTGGTTGGAGATGGTAGTACACACCTCCCCTGTCATCTCAGAAATTTGCTGACGATCTAGGGCATTTGCTGGTCGCATCCCATTCATCCTGCTATGCTTGCTCCTCTCCCGCGTGCAGTTCCCTACGAAGCAAGCTGAATCTACCGTCCCCGAGCTATCCGCTGTAAACAAGTTTAAACGCTTGGACTTCTTCGGCATTGCGAGCTTTGCGGCTGCGATTTTCACGTTGCTATTGTCATTGACAACAGCAGGGATGGTCGATGGGAAGCTATCACATGTGTATATCTTGCTGGGGGTGTGCATATTCTCAACAGTCGTCTTTGCCTGCCATGAAGTTCTCTGGGCAAAGAAACCGCTGATGCCACTACGGCTGGTCACACAGGGTGTGGGACAGTACTGGCTGGTGCAGGTTGTGTTGTTCAGCGGACGGAATGCGGTAAGTCATCCATCCCGTTCCCTCGATGCCTACGACTACTGACAAGGACAGGTGGTTGCAACCATCACACAATACATGGCACAGGTGAAGAAGGTGCCTGAAGCCACCGGGTCCACCTTTCTGGTTCTGTGCACCATGGGGCTAGCGACAGGATCCATCATTTCAGGTCTTTCAATCAAACGGTAAGTCCCCTTGAAGTAACCCTGCTGAGGCTCACCCGTATTAATTATCGTAGGACGAAGCGATATAAGAAGATGAGCATTATCTCAATCGTGGTAAGCATTGTATCGTCCACCTTTCTCTTCTTGTCCTGGCACTTCGACCGTCCTGTGCTGGAGTCTCTTGTTGTGATTCCGATGAGCCTTCCCATCGGAATTGTCATCTCGGGCGAGTTCATTGGCATGTCAAGTCGCGCGCCACCGGAGGACCTGGCTGCATCGGTGGGCGCGTACTATCTCAGTCAGCAACTGGGCGTGATTCTAGGGGCATCACTGGGCCCTTTGCTGGTGCGGATGGGATTCATGCATGATATTGCTGGGAAGTTGGGGGACAGAACTCCCGAGGTATGTTCGTTGCCTGTGCCGTGCGCGTCCTTGATACTAAAGGAGACAGATTGTCCGTCATGTCCTCAGCGACGCTAGATACGTTGAAACACTGCCGCAGAGTATGCAAGAAATTGTCCGGTCTAGCCTTCAATACGGGTACCAGTTCATTCCAGGTAAGTTCTCTGACGGTTGTCTGTGTATTCTACTGACGAGATAGTGCTCGCCACGGTTACTGCCGCGCTGTGTGTCCCTAGTCTGATCCTGACGAGGGAAGAGCGGGTGGAATAGATATTTCGCCCTCATAGTCTGTCTTACTGAATTGGTCGGGTGAAAGGGGGGTCGAATGGCGTAGAGCATTGCCGTTGTTGCTTTTCGTGAAAGGTTGTGGTCGAATCCACGTTGAAACGTGAGTTCAATTGATGCGTCATATATACATATCTTCCAATGACTATCGACCCCTTAGAGAAGTTAGAAGACCCCGTCTGTAAAGTCCACGACCTGGGCCTTCTCCAGCAGCCCATTGATAGTCTTGACAAACCCCAGATGAGCGGGGTCCTTGGTGAGATAATATTCACGGTCCTCGTTGGAGTCAAACTCCATGACGAAGATGTGGGTGATGCCATTCTGCAATATTAGTATTCCGTTTGGTCAATGCACTGCTTGCAGGAGATGGGAGCGCGGAAACATACACTCATCCCCTCCGGTGAATTTTCCTTGCCGGCCTTGAAGGAGCGGATGTAGGGTTCCTGGGTAGTAGGGTGTAAACATTTATCCTGGAGAGAGACAAGGTGGGCACATGTCTGGTTTGTGTCAGCGGAATGTTTTCTACTTAGGAGGTAGGTGAGTCGGGGATGCTCTGACCTCCCGGATCTTTTCAGGGGCCACGGAGGCCTTGAACTGGAATTGTACGATGTGAACAATCATGATGGTGTACGGCTTGAGAGCGGGTGGGGGGTGAGGGGGAATGAGGGGGGATGGTGGCTGAAGTTGGGAGCGTGTGGTGGCCCCATGGGATAAGATGGGGAGGGGGGGGGATCAGTCAGCCGGAAGGAACATTGACTACTAGGACGGCGGATTAGTGCTAATATTATTGTACCGAGTAGTACCGGTGATGTACCAACCACAGGCAGGATTAGAAGTACTAGGCATATATATATGCAAGTACTTTGTGTCTAGACCTATGGTACTATGAGTACACAATACTCATGTCCAATTATTCACATGCCACTAGATAGCTACTCCTATTATTACTTCTCCGAAGTGGCTGGCCAGGACTAGACCATTGGGAGCATGATTTGTCACTTGTGGGGATCTTGCCAGCATTTAATAACCCGGTTTCCTGTCATGCCCGACATCCCCGGCGACAACTGAAACCGGTTCTGTTCCCTCCGCTTCTCTCACGGCCCATATTCGTGGGATTTCTCTCCGTGGTTTCATGCTAAGGATGTTATTTGCTATCATATGTTACATCGACCCAGTCATCCCTGCCCTCCTTCGTCGTGCTACGTCCAGGAGTGCAGGAGAGGCCCCGCGGTGTCATCGGGGACCACCCGGGGTTCAGCGCGCACCGGAGCTCGGGATCTTCAGTGGACACTGCGGGCTCCAGGGTGTGACCGAGCCACTAGAGCCACCCCCACACCCGGGCTTGTCGGGTGAACGCCGCAGTCGCCGACCTTCCACCTCGATCGCGGTGTGACCCTGCAGGCAAAATCGCCTCTTCCACTTACTTCCTCCCATGTACTCCGTACTATGGCCTAGTTCCAGCTCGCCGCCCAATTCACCGCATCCCTTTCCCGAGACAATGGATGGACCCCGGCCGCCTTGTCCCCCATCCCTACCCACTCCCTCGGGACCCTCTCGGGCTGATCAGCCATGCAGAGCGCACGGTACACAATGCGCAGGCGCAGACTGCAGACTGCAGACACCGTCTGGCTGGGTCAGATGGCTTTGTTCGGGGCCATATTCGTCCCCTAGTCCCCGACCGGCCTGGCTGGTCACCGTGAGCCACGCCTATCCCGGCCAGCGGTCAAACGTTGGCGTGTTGCCCCGTCAGCCCACGGCGGCCATCTCAGCTAGGGGACTAGGTGTTGCCGGATGCCCCCCCCCCCAAATGACACTTCCCCACGGCGTCAATCTAGCCAGGGAAGGGATGGTCCCCGACTCGGGGATCTCGGCATGCATGCGTGCGTGGCTTCCAGAAGTCAGGCATCTGCTTCGATGAGGTGAGATCGCTTGCTCGAGTACGTCCGCCGTCCGCCATCCTCATACATCATCATACAAATATATCTCCATTCCCCCCTCTGCGGCTCTCTTCCCCCCTTCCACCACCAAACCATGCAAGACTCCAAACCCTCTGCCCTGGCATGCCTTCCCTGCCGTCGTCGCCATCTTAAATGCGACGCTCGCATGCCCATATGCTCCCGCTGCCATGAAACCCACAACGACTGTCGCTATGTGCGCTCTCGTCGCGGGTTACGCGGCAGACCAGGCTCGGACCCGGCCTCGGGCGATGTCGATATCCTCCCAGATTTGACCAGCTGGTTGGATGGTGCAATTGACATAGACGTACTTCCCCCCTCTCTCGCTTGCAGTCTTAACGATAAGTCCATGCTAACCAGACCAGCCAGATCTCCTCGATCTGCCACCATTGGATACCAACCTCGATGTCAACGTGCAGATGGACAGCATCCACTCCAGCCCTATCGCAGACCTCCATTTCCCGGCCGGGGCACGGCCAGGATATATTCGTCCAGACGCCCATGCCGAATCCCTCGCCCATGATCCCATGATCCAACTATACTACCACCATTTCCACCGTGCTCATCCCATTCTTCTGCCTCGCCGGAGTCTTGCATCCTCCTGCTGCCAACACATCCCAGCCTTCATCCCGCATATCATGCGTTACATTGGCAGCCACTACTATCCCCACCCCGGATTCAGCGACTCCTTCCACGGAGCGGCATACACAGCCCTCTCGGCCCCCAATGATGGATTCAAGGTCCAGGGGCTTCTTTTACTATCCATCATCGAGCACGCGTATGGCCTCGAGGAAACGGCCTGGAAGCTCCTCCGCGAAGCAACCCAATTAGCCTGCCAAATCGGCCTGACTAGCCCCTCATTCGCGAAGGCCCACTCTCGCGGGAAACCCATTCTCGAAGAAAGCTGGAGACGAACTTACTGGGAGCTCGTCGTCATCGAGGGCATCATGACGGCTCTATCTGGAGGAAATATCCTCTCCAACTACAAACTCATCAACGAAGAGATGCCCTTGCCCTGCGAGGAAACCGCCTACAACTCCGAAGTTTGCCTCCCCCTCCCCTATTCGCACAAACCATAAACACCCCCCTAACAGCCCAGCAGCAAACTAGTCCCTTCAAACGCCCTCTCACACTAGCGACACTCCCCAGTCAGGCCGACTCCCTGCACATCTCCTCCTTCACGCACCGCATTCTCGCAATCAAGACTCTACGCACCGTCCTCCAAACAACCCTCTCCCTCGACTCGGTCTCGGAACACCAGACCGAAACCCTAGACGCCCGCCTCGTCGCGTCTCTCATGCGCCTCCCTTCCTCTCTACCAGACCATGACACCACCACCGTCGACGAAATGGTCTTTCAAACATTAATGATAACATATCTGTACTTCCCCCCCCCTCCCTCCATGCCCCATTCCCCCACTCAAGACCACCCACTAACCCCACACCACCAAAAGAAGCCTCATCTACCTCCACCACCCACACTCCACCCTCCGCCTAGTCGCCTACCACCCAAGTACAAGCCGCGCAACAACAACGCTCTGTCCTCGCCTCCGCGCCCTCCTCCCGGGCCCCCCGTCCTCCGGCCCCCCCATCCCGAACACCCACACCCACACCCAGAAACTCCTCCGCGCCGCAGACCTGCTCTCCAACCTCGCCACGCTCCCCAGCTCCGTCATCTCCCGCACGCCCTTCTTTACCTGCGGCCTGGCCATCGCGGTCGTGGTCCATGTCGCTGCGTTGGTAGGACTGCCACCGTCCGATGCCGCACACGCACAGGAGAGGGAAGAGTCGCTGAAGGCTAGGATTGAGCTGGGGGTGGGCGCGTTGCAGGTTGTCGGGAGGGTGTGGCCGCTTGCGAGACGCGTTAGAGGCGAAATGGTGGAGATGTATCGGGGACGATAGCCCACACTCACTTCAAGGATTTTGCGTGGTGTGCTCCCTGATACGATGGGTTCCAGCCCATCCCATCTCCCATTTCCCATCCTATCCTATCCCATCCCATCCCATCCTATCCCATCTCATCCCAGCAGAGCCGGTAATTGGGTCCCGTGAACAGCATCATCATCATCATCTCCACGATCAAAACTTATATAAATGACATATATTGACTAACGAGCCCCACACACACACACACACACACACACACATACATGATACTCCTAGACAAAAATAATTCCTTTTTTCGTTCCTTACTCACTCACCACTTCATCTGACCGTGGTATCCATAATCCATGCCATATCATATTCCGATTTCAGATTGAACACATTTCCTCTCTCCTCTTATCTATAATCGACCCAAGGTTTTATCCAGACTTTTCAAGCCTGAGATCTAACCATGCCCGGCAGCACGAGGAAGTCATCGCATGGATGCAATTAGTTTTCCTTTCGAGAATGTTGTGGTTGCGTGGGTTACATGTTAATGAGGTACAGGAACGGAAGACAAATATCGAGTGAGTGGGTGGGTGGGTGGGCGGGTGGTTTGTGTCTATTTTCATGATTACTGAGTTTTAGGTAGGTAGGTAAGGCAATATAAGAGGAGGAAGAGGAGGAGGAGAAGTAGTAGTAGTAGTAGTAGGCCTATAGTGAGTAAGTGGTTAGCTAGCCTTTTGTAAGACTAACTAACACATCAACTCAAATTATGGGAGATGTTTATTGACCCTTGAACTTCCAATTCAGAGCTTCGTTTGCACTACATTCCATTGCATTGGAGAGAAGAAATGAGAAAAAAGGGGGGTTTTCGAGAACAGAGGTTTCTAGAGAATTGACTTTTCGACTATTTTCTAGATCGCGGTTCGGTTTCAAGAAACACATTCCAGACCATAGCGGGGTGCGAAGTCCTGCGATCCACATCTTCTCTCTTGATCCAGGGGGACCAGGGAAGGTTTCTGCGCTGGTAATAATCATTAAATATCAATATACTATCTACATAAAACATTTTCGTTTCAAAGTGAGCGAGGCCGTAGTCCTGGGTTGGTTGCATGCGTATTATTGAAATTCACAATTAACGGCCTGCACCACTTCATCTACATGATGATGTATGTCAGTCTGAGTCTGGTCTGAGTTTCAAACAGGATGGATGGATAGATGGATGGAAGGGTGGACGGAGGCAAGCATACCGCGCAAGGGCTGAATGGCCTCGAAAGCAATCGCATGGTTAGTGAGAAACTTCGCCACCAACCGCAGGCTCTGCTCCAATTCATGGCGGAGCCCTGCCAGAGACGGACTTCCTACGCCGGAGTCGGTGCTATCTATGTTGAAGGCCTTGGCCTGGCAGCAGAGCGTTAGCATCGTGTAGCAGGCCTGCGTGGCGCAGCAGATCAGGGTCGGCATGGCCCGAGGGATTTCGCAGTTTTGGTAAATGTAGGGCATGTTGTTCGCAGAAGCGTCGCTTCGGGTTGGGTTGGGATATGGGAGACTATCGAGTAAAGTAACCACGTTGATGGCGGCGTGGACGCAAATGGCTGATGAAGTGTGCGTGGAAAATGGGAACTTGAGTCCGTATGCCTGCAGGGATGTCGGATGGTGTGGTGGACTGGAGGTTTTGTGTATGGATGCGGCGTTTATATCATTCGGGCTGATATATCCTGGGTCCAGCCCAGGTTGTTGAGGAACCACAGGGACATCTTGGAAGGCACAGTATCGGTGGAGTTTGATCCGCGCACTAAAATATCAGCGACACCTCTGCGATGTTGGGAATACGCCTACCTATGTAGTTTGACTTCAGCAAAAGCCCGCATGGAATTCGAGGCTACTGATTCCACCGATTCGGAGCGCGGCACCTGAGACGAAGGCAACAGATCTCGACACTCAAAAAGCAGAGAAGTAATCTGGATATCTAGCTCCGCCATCCGATTCGGGATCCATGATGCATCGCCCCTTGTTCGGACAGTTTCATCGAGGTCCCTAGCGAAGATCCCGGCTTCGTATAAAGCATGCTGGGCTTCCACCCGCAGTCTCCACCCCTAAACAGCATGAGTGCCTGCCTTCTAACCGGGATGAGAACAAACCTTTGGGTAAGGTGTCACAAAGCCAGGGTCGTAAACATTGAATGATGCGGCCTACAGAATTGGTCACTTCCTCCTTCCCAGTCGTCGACAATAACACGTACCGTGCCGCTCACGGTTGCCAAATGACACACCGACATGTACTATAAAATCAGCATCAACAAAATGATCTGGGATGGGTTGACTAACCGCGATCCACCATGCCCTCCGTCGGCTCTCCGCATATTGGTTTTCTTCCAGTGACTCGTGCAATCCCAGTCGGATGGCTATCGCCAGGGCCTCATTAGCTCTACGTAATGTACTGTCCATGTCGCCCCGCTGAGCATATTCCCAGAAAGAGAGTAGAGTCAGTGCTATGATTCCTTCCAGACACACGGGTACCTTGAGATGGAATGGGGGTCGATTTATGACATCTCTCAGGGAACCTTCAAACCCACCCGTCGACCGCAGTAGTTCGTAGTCCCTCGCAACGACTTCGTACGCGGACTGGGCGAAGCGATTCGAGACCTCGCCCCGCGCATTCACACACTCGGGTCTCGAGGGATCTTTCACATCTTGGTGGGGGACCAGAGCCACGATGGCCGAAACGGCCAATGCTAGAGGGCTGGCCGGTTGGAAGGCATTCTGCTCCAGCAGAACCGGGTTGTGGGAGACAGGAAGGTGTTCCGGGGGAGGCAAAATCGGGAAATACGGATGGATGAAGATATAGTAGGCGTCCAGTCTGCACCCGCGTCAGTTGGGTTGAAGGCCTCGGTCCGTATCGTTATGCTTACATGTCCGCGTTGGTACCAAACAGTTGGACGGCGTTGGAGGGCTGAGCGGCATGCGAGTCGCCGCCGGTTTCCGCTGGGAGGCGCGGGAAGACCGAGTCAAATATCGACTCGATCTCTGCGAGAGGCGTTCCGACATGACGCAGCCCTGCGCCAGGACCACACAACCTAGCCAGCCTCTGGACCCATTCTGCGCTGGACAGTCAATAATTGGCGCTGGATTGCAGCTGGGGGAAGACAGATCAGAAAACTATACCGTTTCCGTCGTGGATCGGGGCTCCCGGGGAGGGAGCATCTTCTGTTAGAAGCCCGTCACGAGCCGCGCAGTTCGACATAGTTTTCTCGGCATCGATGCTCTGGTTGAGTTTCTCTGGTCGCGGGGGTGCTGCTCCTCCCTTACCACGGGTAATATAGGCGGGTGATGGGCGTGGGGAGAGACAGGCGGAGCATGCGCTTGTTGAACCAGTGCCACGGAGTTGGGCCCCCGGACTAAGATAGCGAGCAGGCAAACAACAACCGGTTAGCCAACAGTCTCCGTAGTGTCGGGCAACGGGTAATGTATCACCCATTCATTCTAAATACCTACCAGGAAGGACAGGCCGACTTCACGGGGATAGTATATTCCCCACGACTGGCTAACCGTGCAGAGTGGGTGGGGTTTGTCATAGCTCAGCAAGTGGTTCCATGATCCATCATTGATGTCAATCAAGGTCAACGCAGGCCGGGCCGAGAGAGAAAAAAAAGTACGGGAGCGCGAGGTATTATTAAGAACCATTAAGATGCGGACAGATGGCCGGGGTTGGGGGGTGGCGGGCAGAAGGATGCAAATCCCGGGGAAAGCAACGAATCCCGGGCAGGCAGGAGATGGGAGGGATGGATGGAGCCTGGTCTGGAGAGATGGAGGGAGTTGTCACTTGTCAGTTGGTTTGGGGGGGGGGGGAGCATCCAAGCGAGGGCGGCCAGCAGGGAGGGGGTTCTTGGCAACGGCCGCGGCAGAGAGGAACAGAAGGAACAGAAGGAACAGAAGCAGTGCAGAAGCAGTGCAGCAGCAGCAGCAGCAGCAGCAGCAGCAGGACTTCCGCGGAGATTGTCTGGGACGTACGACTCCGTACGGCGTGTGTGTAACTTGGGCCCTGTCCCCGAAACCGAAAGCCTGAGGCCGCCGACCAGGCAGACATAACCGGGTCGAATCCCAGCCGGCCAGACCCCGCTGGAACCCCCGAGAACCGCCCTTTTCTCGGCCGAACATAGGGTATGCATCGGGGCTGACGGGTGTTTATACCAGCCGGGTATGTATATCGCTTTGATGCACTCGATCGTTTTGGGTCCGTTTTGTCCACCACCGATGGACCACTTATCTACCCCGTGCATCTGTCATCGTCTGTCAGCCATGCCATTGGTCTTTTGTGCTGTCCAATCAAGGGGCCAGGAAGTAACCCCCGATTTGATACCAAGCCAGACTGCACTGATGGCCCAGATCCACACCGTCCCCATCCCTCCAACCATTACTACTACTATTGGCACTAGTAAGACTGGTCATGCCCCATGCATAATGCCACACCGATGTCCAGAACGAGTAGTCTCAAATCTGAGTCCTCTGGCTTTAAGATCTCCTTCATCCTTCCGCATGTCGAGAGGTACTATATCTAGGTACCAGCCAGCCAGTCAAAGTTGCATCCAAATCAAGTGAATGAATTCCCGAAAACAACTCACAGTCTATATCCAGGGGAAGAGACCATGATGACAGTGTTCAGTAGAGGCAGCTCCTCCAGCGTAGCTTCAATCTGACTTCCACCTAGCATATCATACTTACTCCCAATCCCAGATCATAGACATCCTCCCACTGACACCACTCACAGCAACAGTCCAGCCTGCCGACAAAAGACACGCCCGTGTGATTGCCGTCTTTTCCGATCATGCTCCCACCCTCGCGTCCGCCTCTACCTATAGTACTATACCTCTCGCCTCTTTCCCATCCTCGGATTAAGCCGGCATGCTGCCGGGTCAAATTGATGACCATCATCCCGTTTACCACCACACTCTCTGCCCACTCGAAAAGATAGCAACCGAAGCGAAACATTCTTTGGAGAGATGGATGGAAGAAGGAAACATCACCGCAACCCACCCAACATGCCGGGGGTCATCGTCGGACCCACAGGCTAGCATACCAGGATCGAGGACATTGATATATTCGGGTTCCTACCATTTTAGCCGAGCGCACACTCTGCAGGCGGGGTGGAGGTCAATCTGTTCCAATTCATGCCTCTCCTTCCAGGGGTACTTATATCAACATCCACACATACGCCCTCGATTAGGTACTCGATCGTTTTCCAGTGTCGAATATATCGATATGCCCTGCTTTATCTCGATCGAGATCACTCGCGAGGATCAGCTTAGCACTACACCACACTACACTACACTACACGCATGTCGAGCACACACTCCAGCAAGATGCCACTTGAGAGAGTGGGAATAGAGCCAGAGAGGTAGAAAGGAGTAGTGATGTAGGTACCGGCCTGCCGATCGAGCTGAAAAGCCTTCCGTCTCGTCTCGTCTCGTCTCGTCTCTCGGGCAGTATTCAAGGAGGGCGTGTTGTGTATCTTACACCCGTATATTGATCTGCGCCGACACGACGGTGGTATGTTTTTAATATAATCTCACGCAGTGTTGGTTTTGTAGAAGGGCCATTGATGTGTGAGGTACCTCGCCTTCAGTAAGGAAAAATAATATTAATCCAAGATACTACTTTCATTGAGAACAGACTTCCCTGGCTGTATCTGTAAAAAAGAAAAATAAGAAATACTAACAATCTGGTATCATTCATAGAATAAGTCAAGAGAGAGGGGAAGGAAAAAGGAAAGATTCCGGAGAAAGAAAGTAGTATATAAATGAAACAATAAACCATGGAAAACCAAGCACGGATTTCTCTGCCCGGAGGTGAAGGATTGAGCATGAATGATCGCGACAACAGGTGAGAAGGGAAAGAAAACGGCACAGGGGAATGATATAACCCCAGCCAGACATAAAGGGATTGATTGTATTTAGTAAAAGCCGGACATAGAAGCATAAGGTACTAGTATTTTATTAGAAAGGTGTCACATTGGGCGAGATCCCAGGATTCGCGACTGGCCCCTTATCGGCCCCACATCCTCGCAGAAGTATCGTTGGCTTTCCCAGTGTCGCTGATGGAGGAGTCTTTACTGGACTGATCGCTTCCCTCGCCCTCGGATGCATAGGCGGGTTCGTGGGTGATCTCGATGGTAGTGTGCTGGTACACCTTGCCGAGGGGGGCCAGCTCCATGCCGGAATTTTGTACAATATTGTCCGTCGAGCCGTCGCGCACGGTATGCTCCAGGTCATCGGCGTCTTTACGCGGCCCTTTGCGCAGAGCACTGATGTCGGCGCGGTTGGCCTTGGGGTCTGCGGTGATGGTCGTCAACAGATCCGTCTTCCGGTTCTTGCTGCTGGCGAAACGGTTATAGCTCCTATCGTTACTGGGCTCTGATTCCAAGATCAAGTTGCGACGGGTGAGGGTGTAGAGGAGGGCGTCGACCAGTCCAGAACTGGTGATCATGGCACCCGCAACACAAAAGTATGCTACGTTCGGCGAGTCACCTTGGGCTGTCGCCATTCGACCTGCGGCGAGGGGGAGGGAGAGCACGATGTAGGCGATTGGATAAATAACCATGTATCCAATTACTCGGCGAAGACGCTTGAGACTTTCGGTATGGCTTGGGCCCAGAATGGCGGACTGTTCGATCCGATGGCGCAGCTGGAACCACATCACGGCGTACAGACACACCGTGCCAAACTCGGCTAGGAAAATCCAGATGTAGTGTGTCCATAAGCGGACTGACTCATAGTCTTCACTGATCCAGCACTGGAGACGAGAGGTTAGATATTTCACAATGATATATCAAGGCTTTGACGGAGACCCACCCAAGCCCCTGATGGAATGAAAACGTAGCGTCCATGAGAAGCAAGCGGGATGATGACCAGGACGCCCACAAACACCCAGAGCCCGATCACGAAGCAAACGAAGACTCTGTGGCTCATTTTCCGGCCCAGAGCCACTAAAAGGAAGGTGTGAAAAGCGATGGCGAGCACAAAAAGCCCACTGGCCGGATCTCCGATCTGTAGCCAGAAGCCCTGGAGGAAACAGGCTGCCGTATTGGCGGATATCTTGTCCTCTGCGATCCATTTGATGCATATCAGGAACGCAAGTGACTGCTGGAGATCGGCCAGGACTAGGTTGTAGATAAGAACAATATACTGATTGTAACCAATGTAACGCGCATAGGAGCCTCGCCAAAAGATAAGTCGATAGCTAATGAACGAGATGAGAGCCGCAGTGGCAATGAAGGATAAGACTGCCATGACGGAGACGGCGATAAGACCCTTGCGCTGGATGCTCGGGAGAGGGTCTATGTCCAACGTGACACCATCGTGGGTATACACGAATCGACGGAACAGATCTTTCCCCCCATCGTCGAATGCGCCCAAGGCACGGAGAACTCGTACAGCGCTCATTGTTCAAACGGTCAGAAGCCTTGTGGAGATGGGGTGCCGGGGTGCGCCGATATCATCCTCTTGCTGAAGCGGGAAGGGAAATTGCACCTGGGCTTTGGGAGTAGTCGAGACGATGATGTTGAAGGAGCTTGAGCGTTCGAGGGCGGGCTGAAGCAACTATGCTCTTCGTGGTGTCAACTTAGGAATGCAAAAGAATGGCACGCTGTCGACTACCAGTTTGAATTCGAATCAGGGGCTATTTCTTCGCAGTCACTCCCCACGACTGTCGAGAGAGATGTAGACAGGTGAGAGGAGGAGGAGGAGAGAAAAGGGACATCCTCCGGTGGAAGGAGGAGAACGGGCGAGGCGAGCCACAACGGTATGGGTTGGATTAGAATCAATCACCGACAACGGTGAGTGGATTCTGTGGAGGGATAGCCTTCGACGACGGGTAGCCTTTTGCTAAATTAGTCTAGATAGCTTGCTAGTTGCTACACATCAGGGCAAAGAAGGCACAAGACCAACACCCTTTGAATCGACCATCACTCTACCCCATGTCACGAACGGTCTGGGCCGACATGCTCCGTCCTGGCCCATGGGCTTTGAGGACGAGCCTATGAGGACCACCTTCTCCAAAGTCAAAACAGGAGGTCCCAGTCGGGAAGGTCAACAATGTCAATAAAGGTGAATGGGACGCTCTGACGCGAAGTCGAGGGCAGGCAAGTGGTCCCTGAAACCTTTCCAGCGTGGATACCAGACCAGACACCCAGTCCGCCGCCAAGCTCAGGGGAAGACGCCGACTGTGGTTCAAGTGTTGAGTCTAGCGGGGGCTGTCCGGCTTCGTTCCGGTGGCATCATTGCGAGCATCGACTCCATCGAGCTTAGGATCAATCCTGCCGTACAGCCAGTCGGCCATGGCCATGACCCAGGATCCATGGACCCTCGCCGCCTGCGAGCATGACACGTTCCTGGGGACGGGTCCAAGCCACCATCGTCGGCTACTCGGTCTGGTCACTGGTTATACTGTGAACGACTTAGTGCGTTAGAAGCATTCGGAGTTCATGGAGCTGACCAGTGACCACCACGCCAATACATGGACAGTTCGAGCTGCTCAATAGCGGACAAAGGAGTCTGATTGCTGGCAAATGGGCAAGACTAACAGAGTTTTTTTTTTTTTTTTTTTTTTTTTTTTTACCCCTCTTTTTTATCTCATGGACTTGGGCGAGGTTACAGACAGTTAGTTACACGGGAGTCAGGACTGACCCCAGTCAAAATGGCGTTAGCATGGCCGAGGGACACTGGAGCCTTGGAAGAGGCCATGCCCGATTCCAGAAGCTTGTGGGCCCGCGCCGCTGATCACTTTAGAAACCGAATCCCGGTTACCCCACTTGAGCCCGGGAGCCTGAGAAATTGATTTCCCGAGGTTAGATAGAAAGGGAGGCCAAAGAACGGGACAGGGAAGGGACAATGAATCGATACTGTGTAAGGTCAGGCAGGACAAGTTTCTGGCTTCCGGGACTTGATCGTCCCATGGCGGGAGCATTGGGATTCTGGGATGGGGGTGGGCTTGCCGATGGGACCATGGAATGGCAAAAGCACACGGCAGGGGACCACAACTGGGAGGTACGGGTACAGATTATGAAGTGCGATAGAAGAGCATCTGATTCCATCTGTCACGGCTATAACGCAATGATTGATGTTTACCAGGACTTTGCTCTAGCTTCTATCAGTTTTTTAGTAAGTAGATACCATGTGACATCCACTTAATCGGCTCAATAACTATCCATGCCAAGCTGACGAATCTGTTAAAGAATCAAAGTTCTAATCAGTGTCCATATCACTGGGTCAAGTGCTCTATCTACATAGTGTCTAGTATTATCTATCTAGATACTTTCCCTTCAGCTAAGAATCCTTTGAAACCTAGTCTTCACATCATCCTGTTACTCCTTTCTTCTTTCATTAATGCTTGGGCTTACGATCATTGCATCGCGAATTGGACGGCAGGACCGGCGGGACACTCAAGAGCCTCTCTCTCTATCTAGGGCACTCTGGAAAGGGGTGACGAAAAACCCCTTCGTTTGTCCGGGGCCTTGGCGGTCCCCAATTTAATTCCTTGGCGGCGCGACTTGATGCCATGACTCGGTCTGTCCCATCCCATATTCCCAGCGGCAAAGCCGACAGGATAGATAGATAATTATTGCCTGTTTCAGTCTCGCAGTCTTTTCTTTCGGATTCCAGGCGCACACAAGCTATAGGCAGAGGAGTTGGTAACTACCAGGAGACATGTATGGTTTCTGATGCAATGATGTCAAGGTGGTCGGTCGGTGCTTAGCAGCATGGCAGGCGTAGCTTGGTATACACTATACACTGTACAACCATACAACTGGGATGAAAAGTGCCGGTTGGTGAGTTGTCAACCACACAAAACCCAAATACTAGACAAGTAGACATCTGAGCCAGGTGCACCCTGGTTTGAACACGAGTGCGTGCTGAAAAGGTAGCTTCATCTTTGGTAACCAGACCCTGATCTAAAAAGACAGGTAGAAAAAAAAGAAAAGAAAAAAGAAAAGAAAAGAAAAAAAGTGGCACCGACAATCATTCTGTCTTGAGTCTTGACACCCTCGGAGGGTCTCCGTCGGTACGGTGCCGAAACCTGAGGAAGATTAATTATCATTATTATTACTTTACTCACTCGGTGCGCTCACAAAGTCACAGGTCACAATAGCAAGAAACCATGAAGACTGCGTGGGGATGGGGATAGATAAACTTCAATAACCCGTTCTCCAGCTATGCAAATTCTAACTGGGGAAATATTGATCACTGCGCTGAATCTAGTAATTAGTAATCTCTACCCTTTTAGATTTTGCCCAGGTGGTCGGACCAAACCTTCTTTCCCGTGGGCAGAGTCTGCCAAAGTCCTAGGAAAGTTAGAATGTAAGGTAGAGAACCTCGTGTTGGAGACTTGGAGTATTCCTTCCTATTCTTACCGAGATCCCACACCAGATTGGGTCGCGGAACCGAATAATTAATTAGATATGTGCCAGGTACCTAGGTACCTACCCCATGTGGCTGCCAGGCTGCCGGCTACAAGATCCATCCATCCACCCTTGGGCAGACCATGGACATGCTTGTCTGGGATGCATACGAGAGAGAGAGAAGGAAGGAAACCCAATGAATGAAACAGCTTCAGTTCCTCGTATTTCCCAGCCATGTCCGCACGTCAAACTCGTCGGAGTTTGAACCGGGGAAAGACAAAAGAATGGACAGTACTAAATACTACTAATGGGCGATTCCATGCGACCATTCTTTGCCACTCGTGTACTTATCCTCGTATATCTAGGTACTGCATATGTCCAAGCCCGCCACGCCATGACAGAAGCAATTCTGGCCGACGGCACACGACGAAACCACGGGCAACTAATATCGTGGACCATACTGACTCATTCATTTACTTATTTCCTTACTGATCATATTGAATCGGGTTGCTATATCTCACCCATCGAAATCGCCACAATATAGAACTACTACATAGTTAGCACCTAATAATAACAAGTCTAAAGACCCCCTAACCATCCACATTCCACTCACTCTCAATGCCCCCTCCCCCAGTCCCGGCTCTCTACTATCTATAGTATCTACCATCTACCATCTACTGGTCGGTAGTAGGTACTACGTAGGTAGATAGAACCCCCTCCTCGCGCAGATCCTCATCTGTTCACCATTCACCATTCACCACCAGCTAACTAGCTATGCAAATCCAATATCCAAATCCAATCCCCATAATCCATCCATATCAGCCAATCCCATCAATAAACACAATCCCGAATCCCTGTCGCGAGTCATGACACAATCTACTAGTATACACAATTTCACCCAGTGATACTTTATCTAGGGCCCGCCAGTAGCGGCGATCCATGATCCTGGTGCGTGAACCGACCCCTATTATCCACTCCACTCTGCAGGTCGCAGGATCATTAGGGAAGGGGGGGGGGAAGGGGATCCTTCGTAGTTCGTACGGGGTAGTAGGGTTCCGATTAATATCTAGTACGGAGTGGATAGCAGTACTAGTATCTTGGAAGCTGAAAGTGGTAGGTGGTAGGTGGTAGGTACCAGTAGTGGTGCGGTACGAACTACTACGAAGGATTCGGTAGAACCACTATCGCGGACGCGGCAGGATCAAACACCTGCCTAAAGCGGGTAGGAGGGGGGCTTGGCGGGAGTTCTGTTAACTAGAATATTGGATGGAGCTCGGATGGGGTGGGTGGGTGGGTTGGAAAGGAGAACTGAGGAAGAGAAGAGAAGAGAAGAGAAGAGAGAAGAAAAACTGGAGGGGGGGTGGGTGGATGTGTATCTGATTCTTGCACCTTTCTTGCCTTTACATATTCACACATCACCACTACTGGGAGTACCCCGTAGATCGATGGTAAGCAATCAACTCCCAAAGAAGTCATTTCATTCAATGTTCAACATACTCCATATGTAGCCAGCCATCCAGCTACCCAGCCACCCATCTCCAAACCAGATGGATACTAGTAGGCGTAGGTAACGCATGCATGCACAACGGCATGATATTTGTTATAAATTATAATCAATGTACACCAGATCACCAGCTAAAGGGGAAGGAGATGCGATCAAAATAAATAAATGAGAAAAGTTAAAAGAAAAAACGAGGACAAAACATCATTAAAATACATAAACATTAGGGACATTTCCATGTCATTGTCAATGTTATGCATGCCATGTCATGTCATGTCATTCTGCTTGCTTGCTTGTTTGGTATGGTGTATACATGAGCAACCAAACTGTAGTTGTCGACGATACTCGTCAAGTTGTTCATGCGTTGGTACATCTCGTCTCATCTCGTCTCGTCTCAATTCATGCATTCATAGTTCCATGCGCTCATCAAATGTCGTGTCGTGACGCTGAATGTTGTAGGGGGGGAGGGGGGAATGAAAAGCAAAATCACAAAAGATCATAGGGTTGGGGGAGTAAAGTTCTGGGCAGTTTTTTATCTCTTTGTCGGGGTTTGTTCATAATGAGGTATCTTCATAGGCCAGAAGGTATGTAGCAGTCATTTATCAGAGGTTTTATCTCCTGCGAGAGCCTCGTCGACTGTCGTATACTTCGTCCTCGTCTTCCTCTTCGACAGGGGCGGGGGTCCGTCGTTCGGTGCGGCGTTTGGGTCGACGTCGGCGGTTGGAGCTGATGTTGCTAGCTGAGTCGTCTGGGGCTAAGGAGATGGCATCGTCGAGGAAGTCATCGTCTGCACCGTCATCCCAGCCGCCTAATCCAGATGCGGGGGTTCCTAGCCGAGCTTCAACGAAGGAACCGCGCCGATTTTGGTTAGCAAGAGACAGGCCCGCGCCGCGTTCCCGGAGAGCGCGGCGGACGACCTCGGCCTTGCAGTGTAGAGCCTCAAAGGCGTCCTCGAGAGCTTCCATTCCGAGGTAGATATCCCGCTCAATCTCCGCAAGAGCTGCTATCTCCATCTCCTCGTCCAGTGCGATCGGGCCGCCAAATGATGCCGGTGCAGGCGATGGGGACGTGCCATATGGCTGGCTGGCTGGCCGTGCGCTGCCATCCATTGGACCGGGCGTTGGGCCACGGGAGATTCCGCCAGTGGTGAATGGGGTGTTGGAGCGGCTGTGGCTCCAACGTGGAGGTGTCGAACCAGGACCGGAGGCAAAGGCGTCCTCTGCGCCACTGCGCAAAAATCCGTCAAAGCGGCCGGATATCAAAATGTCCCATTCGTCGTCACTAATAGCTGCGAGAGTGGCCAGGACATGATGCATGCCTGGGTTGTTGAGCATATAGATAGCAGCTTCGGGATCTCGTGGAGCGGACGCCAGCCGATACATCCGTTGGATGGCTAGAGACGAGGATACCAACGGCGCAGGTCGGGGACGTGGTTGTCCTTCTGGTCGGGGAGTAGGTGAGGTGGAGCTGATTCCGAGGAAACCCGAGAAAAGAGGGCGTTCGTCAGGCCCCAGGTGCGTCAAAATAGCAAAGGTTAGAGTCTCGTCATCTACCTCCTCTGGCGCGCTCGTGGCCTGGCCAGGCTGCTCACTGAGCCACCTGTCCACGGCAACTTTGGTCTTCCGCGACTGGCGAATAAAGTGGTCACGGTATTCCTCCGGAACGTCAATATCTAGCTTTTGCATAGGAACATGCTCTTCCCCAGACCAGTTTGCATCGAGGACGGACGGGTTCATTATGAAAGGCGGCCAGCTGGGAAGCTCGCGACGGCCGGAGACTAGTTCCAATACTTCGCCCCAGCTCACTCCCGATGGGCGTTCTTCCAACTCTTCATGGTCGCACATCAGACAATGACATGACTCGGATGATATGTCGCGGGCAAACACAGCCTCCAGTCGATCCAGCAAACGCCGGGCCACAGATCGATACCCTGTCGCCACCGCCAGCGAGCCATTCTTGGTCATGACATTATGAAAATCATCGAGAAGTCGATTAAAGGGGTCGAAGACCTTGCCCGCCGCAAGTTGAGGCTGTGACGACGAGTACGGCGCTGTCTCTGAAACGCCCTGGCCAGAGAATAGCGACTTCTGAGCCCGGTGGTCTAGGCCGCCGTTTTGCAGGAGATAATCCACTTTGGGAATCGAAAGAGGCACCTGTGGGGGAGGAGGCGGGGGAGGAGGAGCGCCATAGGCAGAACTTGCCGTAGGAGGCCGCCCGTAGTCGTATGCAGCGTCAACAGGCGTGCGAGCCCCATATCCCTGACGGTATGACATTGACGAGCGCGTCTGGGTGCGGGAGGGCGGCTTTTCCGGGCTCTTCGGTTTCCGATAAGCAGTAGACTGGGTAGGCGGAGCAACAGTGGCCTCGGAGCCAGTTGTTGATTCAGGACCCATGTCGCGGGCCGTCGCTGGTGACCGGGGCGGAGTGGCATGACTGGATGACCGTTTGGGCGAGGTCGCTTCCTCGACAATTTTCGACTTGGTCGAGTTGCGGCTGGCCGTTCGCGACGGCGAGTCCTTCTCATGGCTTGACCATTTCGATTTCGGTGTGTCCGAACGCGTTGCTTTGCTAGTCTTCGACCCTTCGTCCTTCTTCGACCGTAGGCTGGAGGACGAACGGGTCGACTCGGCCCTGATTCGAATTTTGGTCTTGGGCTTTTCCGGCTTATCCTCTGCCTTTTTATCTTCCTTTCCTCCGAGTGTGCTCTCTTTGTGTGATTGCTGGTCCACGCTTGTCAACGGGGGGCTGGGGGGTGTCTGGTGGTTATCAGAACGATCTTGGTTGTTTCCATTGGTACCTTCTTTACCTCCCTCGGTCAAGTCGGTCGGATCTGGCGTAGGGATACCCGGCTTCCCGACAGCCTCTTTGCTGTGAGCCTTGGAGAACGACGGGTACGGGAGACTGGTCCTTGACTCGAGGAACGAGGCTGTGCCGGAGCGGCTGGCGCTGTCGACACCAGGCATGGAGGAACGGCGCTTTTTGCGGGAATTGGAGGAGGATAGAGAAGGGGTCGACGAGTGGCCCGTGGGAGCGTCGGGGTCGCGTTCCTTGGTTGAAGTGCGGGAGGTCGGACCGTGGGACGAGCGATTCTTGCGTTGTTTGGATTTGGAGGAGATGGTAGAAGATGAGGATGCTTTCCTTTCACCGTGCCTGTCGCGATCTCGGTCATTTAGTCTCAGCGGCAGAAACATGATGTGAAGTTAGGTGGGAGGCTTCGAAATGAGGTGGATGGAAGGTCAGAAGACGGCGAAAAAGCGAAGTCTTTCTTCCTTTCAACCCCTTGTTTCCTGCTTCCTTCCCCACTGTCCGATCGGTTTGTGTTGCGTCTAGTTACCTCGTAGGAAAAGAACAGAAGAATGACGGAGTTGTCAGCTGTCAACAGCGTGTCACAAAAGGGATATCAGTCGGGTGGCCGAAAGCCGAGTTGCTTCGTTTGGCGCTTAAGAATTGTCGAGGAATGCACCTCTGACTGGTTGAATGCTTGCTTGGGTTTTAGGCGCTTGTGTCAAACCACCAAAGGCGCTCCAGAGGGACATGCAACATCCCGTGGGCGCGGGGTGGGGGGAGGAGACGAAAGGAGGAAAGCGAGCGAGATCGAATAGATTGGCTAAGGGGGCCAGAAAGAAAGAAATGGGAGTAGTTCAGCAAGTGTGCATGAGAGAAGATCGCGAGGCGAGTTGATTGATGGAGGATTTTGCGGTGAGGGAGCGGGCTGGAGGATTGGATCCCCCGCAGCGATCGGTAGCCGCCTGAGGACTAGAAGGCCGCCGAAGGCACGGACTGACGTGGTGCCGCTGCATAGAAACCCGAGGAGGACGGCGGTGGTGGAATGATCGCTCGTGGATGGATAGCGTGTAGCGATGCGACTGATATGGGCTGTTCGAGACAATGACAATGGATGATGTGGAGGAGAAGCTGAAGCTGAAGCTGAAGCTGAAGGAGTCGATGAAAGTGACTGCCTGGCAGCCACAGCGGCAGCCTCAGGCTAAATGAACTCAATGCCTGAGGCAAAAGCAGATCGCTGCCCAATGAGTTGGAGTCATCGGCAAGAGAATAACCATATCACGAAATCTACAGGCCGATCAGAACCTGATCGTGTAGCTCCGGTCATTTAGTCGTTCAGTAGCATTGAAAGGCAGACCCCACAATGGACATCTACACGCTCTTCTCTACTGGCCACTCGCTGAACCAAAACTGTACAAGTCACACCAATCCCAGAAGCTGTCATCTATTCTTTCTATCCAAAGAACATCATCATTTATCGACATGAGACCGGTAAACCGTTAATCCAAATGGCTTCCATGGCCGCCAACCCAGTGCGGCAGCCCTTCCCCGTATGCCTAACTCCATGCCGTTAATCCATTCGACGCCTTCTTCACCGGCGACATATCCAGAACCCAGTTCCCGTTTTCCTCATGGGCCACACCTCCCCGGTGCGCAGCTCGCATGAGTCTCGCAGTTGCCAATGTTTTCTTTCCCGTGTGTCGGTCCCAGACCCAACCCTCTTTCAACCACATCCATGTCAGATACGCCCGCAACTCTTTGTCTTGGGGCAAGACCGACTTCCATTCGGGGACAAAGCCTGCCATTGCAGCCCCATTTCCTTTCCAGTCCGATGCCACTCCTCTGAGCTTGTCGCGGCAGAAGATCCTCCAACTATCCAGAGAATAAGGACCCACACCAGGAAGGTGTGCAATTTCCCAGGCTATGCGGGGGTCTTCGTCACCAATGCATTCATCCTGTTTGACATCCAGTCCATCCTGCTTGCAGGGGTAGTGAAGTCTGCGATAGCGCTTTCCTTTGGTTGGAGGGCAGGCGAGCCAGATCTGCGCTATACCGACACACTTCTTTGCTCTCTGGTTCTGAAATCCAAGACAGTGGATAAGAGATGCCAGGTCTGGGATTTCAGCCGCTGCCAGAGCCTCAACGGTGGGATAATGATCAAAAACTTGGAAAAGGACCGGTAGCGCAACGCTTCCGCGGGTACGGTTGAGAAAGATGGTGGCAATGAGTAGTCGGAACGGATCGTGGGCAAGTTGCTCTTGGACTAGCCCGAAAGACGGCGCATCAATAGGTGGGAATGGAAGGCATGAATCTGGGTCGATCAGGGGTTTTGGAAAGTAAGGAGATATTTTCTGGATCTTGGGGCGAGGTACTTTAGACAGGAGATGAACACCCCCGGTGATCTTTTCTTTCGTCGGAGTCATTGGCTCTTCAGCCTGCGAGATGACCTGCACTCGCAAGGGTGAATCTTGAGAAGAAACCGACTTGTTGTCGAAATCACCGGGTACATCACTAAGATCTGAATCGGTGGAAAGCAGGGTGGAGGGCAGGTGTCGTTTATTGGAAACCAATCCAATATTCTCAGGGATTTGATTTTGACCTTCGCTCAAAGAGAAAGATGCTGTCATTGTTTCCTTGGGTACGATGAAATATTTCGACCTCACCTCATCGCCGGTAGTCACGCCTTGCGAATCATCGGCATTTAAAAATCCAGATCCCAGAACATTTCATCCAAGACGGGTGTGTCTTGATCAACTGCAGTAGATTGGCCATCCAATGTAGATGTCCGTTTTTTTGCAATCTGTTTCACTCGTTTCGCAGCTTCCAGTGTGCGGGGCTCGATATCTGCCATTTTGGAAAGGGTTTCGCGAAATGTGTTCTCCCCTTCCTTCTGGTTCATTTCTTGACGTATGCGCTTTTCTTTTTTTGAATATCTTTTCTCCTGTGTCTTAGCTTCTTGGGTTTCAGGTTTTGAGAGGCGCTTATCTCTCTTTTCCTGTATCTCCAGGACGGCTGTTCGTCTCTCCTTTTTTTTGCTGGATAATAAGGAGACTTCTTGAGTCGCTGGGGACTTGGAATGTCGACGACCTGCAACTGATGAGTCATCGCCTTTGGGAATGAACGACTGGATTTGCGGTTCGACAGCATTCTTTTTGCGATTGGTGACAGAACTGTCAGGTAAAGAGCGCTGGACAGAAGGCGGGTCGATCGATTGTCTCACACGGTGGGGAGTTGAATCCTTGGACACATGATACTGTTTTGGTGGTGTTTGAATGTCACGACGATCCCTGCACAGCCCACTGGCCGTGCGAGGCAGCATTTCATCGTCGTCGGAGCTGGCTGAAATTTGCCTTTGAGTGGGAATAGTAGAGTGCTTCGATGAGGCTGGTTCCGAGGCAGGACCATCATTCCCAGAGTTGGATGAAGCTGAAGCAGTAAGTTGTTTTTGAACAGGAATAGAATCCTTGGATGTGACTGGTTCCGGTACAGAGTCGCTCTCATCATCATTGTCGTCATCATCGGGGCCGGCTGAATGTAGAACAGTAATTCGTCTTTGAGCGAAAGTAGGACAGCGCTTTGATGAGGTTGGCTCCGGTACGGAGTCACTCTCATGACCAACGTCACAATAATCATAATAATTATCATCATCAGACATGGGCGAAGGCGAAGCAGTAACTCGCTTTTGATCTGGAAGAGGGGAGTCTTTAGCTGGCGCTGCTCCTTCACTCCCGTCGTCGTCATCATCAGATTTGGATGAAGGTAAAGCAGTAGGTTGTTTCTGGTCAGGAAGGAAATAGTCCTCGCGTGCGACTGTCTGGGGTACAGAGTCACTCTCACCATCATCATCAACATCATCAACAACAGAGTTAGGTGAAGGCGAACGATCAAGAAGAGGAGAGTCCTCGCGTATAACTGTCTCCGGCACAGATCCAGTCTCATGGTCATAAACAGCATCCCTGACAAATTTGGGTGAAGGCAAATGATCGGGAAGAGTATAATCTTTGAAAAGCACTGTTTCCGATACAGGGTCACTCTCATCGTCATCAATATTATCCATGCCAGAATTGGATGAAGGCGAACGATCAGGAAGAGGAGAGCCCTCACGCGCGACTGTCTCCGGTATAGAGCAACACTCATCGTCATCAACTTCATCCATAACCGAGCCAAAACGATCGGGAAGAGTATAGTCTTTGAATGGCAGTGTCTCCGGTACAGGATCACACTCCTCATCATCCTCATCATCCTCATCGTTAACAATGACAGAGTTGGTCGAGGGTATAGCAGTAACCCCAGTCGGATCGGGAGAGCCCTCAGGTGAGCCTGGTTCGAGGAAAGCTTCACTTTCATTATCCTCATCCTCATCCTCATCCTCATCCTCATCATCATTCTCCTCCTTCTCATCATCATCATCAACAACAACGACAGAGTCAATCAAAGGCAATTCAGCAACACCAATCCGATCGGGAGAGTCCTCAGGTAAACCAAGTTCGGGGAAAACCTCACTCCCATCATCAGCATTACTGTCAACATCCATGATAGCCGAGCTAGATAAAGGCGAAGCAGTTAATCGTTCCCGATCAGGAGACTCCTCGGATGAGGCCGGTTCGAATACAACATCACCCTCAGCCTCGTAAACATCATCATCATCATCATGGCCGTGATGATTGTCAGATTCAACAGAGTAGGATGGCGCAGGCGAAGGAGTAAATCCCTTCTGGTCGGCAAGGTTGAAATCCTTGGACGAGAAGTAGACAGGCGGTTCTGGTATAAAGTCGCTCTGGTATTCGTCATCATCATCATCATCATAATCATCACCAACACCACCACCATCGTCATAATCAGCTGAAACCTTAAACGTAGACGGCAAATAAACAGTCCCCTCCATCACACGAGTATCATGATACTCCAGAGACTCCGAACCCGGATGCGATTCCACTTCCTCTGACGCCTTTCGCTTCTTCCGCGTAATCTCCTCCGACTCATCACCATCATCAATATCGCGCTTCCTCTTCCTCTCCTCCAAGCCATCAGCCTCGGGCTGAACCTCAGCCTCGGCCGCAATCTCATCATCAACCTCATCCGCATACTCCTCCCCCTCCGGATCAAAGTCCTCAATCCCACGTTCCTCGAAAAACGTCTCCCTCACACACGCAATGATCACCTCCCTGGTATCCCTCTCCACCCCAATCCCACGAAGATGACGGCGTAGTTTCTTCACAAATCTTCGTCGCGAAGACCGTCGTACCGGGCGATCGTAACGTAGTCGCATGAATCGGCTATCTCCCAAGAAGCCCTGTGTGCTGAGCATCTGGTCTCGATCAATCAACCTGAAGACGGGAGAGTCTTTATCCAGCGCGAAACGGTCATGTTTGTCGGGCTGAGAGGTAAAGCCTAGAAAGTTTCGCAGTTTGCCAAGTTCCTTTGTATCAGTCGAAACGGCCGGGTTGGGGCATCCTCGTGGTGGTTTTTGACGATCGGTCTTGGAAGTCGAGAAGTACGGAGAAGTTGTACTCGAGTTCGCGTTCGCGTTCGAGGTCGAGGCCCCCACCCCTTCAGCATCGACGAACCTCACAGCCTTCTTCTTCTTCTTCTTCTTATTCTTCTTCGTTTTCGAATTACCACTCCCTGCATGCGCCTGTGCCTGTGCCCATTCCTGTATCCGTGTCCGTGTCCGTGTCTGTCCCCGCCCCTCTCCCTCCCCAGCCTCACCCCCAAGCGTCCCCATCTCAAGCGCCTCGTAAACCCCGAGATCAACCAGCGGCGGAGAAACCACGACCGCGAGCGAGTGGTCTTCAATTCTATCTCTATCCCTCCCTTTCTTCTTCTTTCTCTTCATCGGTGAGTCCTTACTGCGCGACACTGCCGAAGACATTTTGTGGATCGGATCCCAATCTCAACCTCAACTGGGAAAATAGTACACGCGAAGGAACGAATGCGCAGCTGCGTACTCCGTAATTATTGTCGACGTATCTAGTAGATAGCGGATCGGTCGTGGAGTGGAGTATGCATGGCAGAGGTCGGGGATGCGAGAAGGAGGGAAGGAAGAGAGGAGGATTGATGGATGGATGGACGGATGGACGACCGACTAACACTAACGCAAAGAGAGAAGCGGAGAAGCGGGCCTGGCCTGTCGGTGAATGTTCAACTTGTTGTTATTCACTGGGTACTACCTACTTACCTACTGTACCGTACAGCCAGCTTATCCAAATGATTCCTTCTTCCAAAGGTGGCCATGTGAGCTAGATAGCTAGAGCGGGATAATTCGCCACAGAGGGATAAATGAGTCAAATGTGAGTACTAGTCCTCTATTCATTGTTGCGGGCCATGGTCCCAAATGGAGAGTGGGTGAGTGAGCTGGAGCTGAAGTGGATGCGGCAGGGAGCAGGCGCAGGTCCGGGGTTGCGTCGGGCGGGCGCACGGACCTGGGAATTTGATGGGTCTACCCGCCGATACGGACGGAGTACTCTAGACCAAGTACTTGCGTGGCGTCATCGGGGTCTGCTCTGCCCTCCGTAGTACCTGTGGATTTCCCCGATGCTTGCGGTTTCATCTCCGGACAGTTTAAGCTTATTGAAGTGCTTGTAGAAAGGCTCCGTATGTTCCCTTTTCAAAGTACATGCATTACTCAGTAATGGAAATGGTTACTATACCTACGATGGGAGTATTAAATTACGCCTACACAAAAGGACCAACTAGAGAGGCATACAAGAAAAGAAGACCAAAAAGAATTGCGAATCCAGAATTTATTAATATATGAACTATATGAATTCTATGCGTTTTACCTCTCTTCATGATGCGGTCGCAGTCGACCTTCTAAGTATCAGCCGTCATATACCAAAATTTCTCAAAGCCAATGGATGCTCAAACACCGTATGTATAGTCCAAACTCCAATGGGCAAACGACTCTCCCAATCTTTATCTTCAAACAGCGAAGCCGCCAGAGTCCGCCTGTCTAGGTTCCCCAGCAGCATCGAATGTTCCATTAGGCAAGACCCGGATTGCCTGGGCTGTGCTTTGGCCAGTGGCGATCCAGGTCACGTTGTGACCTCTTTCCTTCATGAACGCCACGGTCTCATTGTCGTATGTGTATTCGAAGGTTACGTAGTTCGGGATTAGCTGATCGTGAAGACGGGGCTTCGCTAGGGACTCGGCTGCCGATAGGCCTTCGTCGACGGCATGGATGATGTTTTGGATGGTGGCGGTGATGATGCGACTTCCTCCAGCTGAGCCAGCAACAAAGAACACTGTACCGTTGGGGTGAGTCACAATTGCTGGTGTGCTGGACGATAGTGGGCGTTTCCCAGGTCGGATGAAGTTTGCCTCAGAAGGAACATAGCCAAATGAATTGGATGAGTTGGGGATCGAGAAGTCTTGAATGAAGAGTCAGCGTTAAGGATCGCGGGTACAGCGGTGACAAATCTCTGACCATCCATTTCATTGTTCATTATGATGCCGGTCTTAGGAATCAGGACTTTGCTCCCGAAGAGCAGGTTGATCGTGGTGATTGCGGAAACAGCGAGCCCCGTATGATCGATAGTGGCAAGGTGCGAGGTACCAGGACTATATAGGTGAGCTGCCTTGTCAGGATGTACTAGTCCAGGAAGACTTACGTCTCAAGGCTCTCAATGCCTCGTGGATCGTACGCAGACACATCTTGAGTTGCGAAATCGGATATATTCCCTCGGATCTCATCAATCGTTGAGTCGGCCAGCATGCGTGCCTGGTATTCATCCATGTCATCGAGAAACAAAGGATCTCCAAGATTGGTCCTCTTGGCAACGAGTTAGTTCACGGCAGCAATATGCGGATGATGGGGATGATGGGGAAGGTGTACCAGTCCATATCCAAAACGTATAGCCTCGTCCATCCGGTGAGTACTTAGGTTAATATTATCCGGTTCAAACAAGTCGTCATAGGTGCCCAAAACCTTTAAGACATTCATCGCGACAATGCCACTGGACGGTGCCGTGGTGCTCGTGATCTTATAGCCGCGGTAGTCTATTTGCGAGACGTTCCGTATAGCGACCGTATAATTACGCAAATCCTCGAGTGTCATCGTACCGTTAGCAGCCTGTACTGCATTGATCATGGTTTTCGCAATTGCTCCGGAGTAGAAGGCGTCCGCGCCCTCGTTCGCAATGGTTTCCAGTGTATCCGCATACCGCTTCCGTGTGATGGTATCGCCAAGGCCAAGCCGAGTGCCATTGGGAGCGAAGTCAAGCGCCCAGTTAGGGTCCTGAGAGAGGAAGTCCTCCCCATCGCCGACGGCTGACTTCATGTAGCGGACCAAGTCATGCCCGACCGGAAACCCCTCCCGCGCAGTCTGGATGGCTGGCTGCACAACGGTGGACCATGGTAGAGAGCCGTATTTGTTATGAAGATACTCCAGGCCACGCAGTTCCCCCGGAACGCCACTTGCACCATTGTCAGCTGGGCTTCTGCATATGCAGCTTGAGAATATTGAGTCACCTTGCCAGGCCGCCGGATGTGGCAGCATCGGTATTGTTGTCGAACATCTCCTCGAAAGCGGCCGCCGGGGCCGTTTCGCGAAAGTCGATGAATTCGAACGAGCCGTTGGGGGCCTTGACTAGCATGAAGCCACCCCCTCCAATGCCACTGTGGTACATGCCTACCAGACACCGTTCGTCAGTTCCCGGGTTCTCTCAAAGATAGCTCGCAGACCACTACTTACCAACTACCCCAACGCAGAGCATTGTTGCAACCATCTGGTCGAGCAAAGTCAGTACGATAACGATGGGCCGCGGTAAAAAGTCCAGGCTAGTCTAGGTCCTTACAGCGTCGGCAGCATTCCCCCCCATTGTGATGATGTCGGTTCCATGGCGACTGCAGATCGCACTTTCGCTCGCTGCCGCACCGCGCTTGCCATCTTCCAATTCAGCTTGATGTGCTAGCTTGCTAGTCGCGAACTCCAGTGGTGAGGTGAGCGCGCTGGGCAAGTGAAACACCAAGAGGCACAAGAGCAAGCTGGATAGGAAGGTGAACTTGGCCAGCCGGAACATGGCTGAAGCACTGGGGTTCTTATCGGGCGATAAGGACGAGCGAGATGACGCGACCGGAGTGGCCAACGGCGTCAGGAGTGGCTGCAGAAGACGGCGGATTAGGCACTCGGTCGAGGAATGGCGTGGTATCACACAAAGGAGAGGAAAGGAAAGCGATCCGGTCTAAGTACCTGCTTTTCGGCATCGTGGCCTGGGTTGTTGCCCGGTTGGTGATTCTTCATGTTACTCGCGATTCGCATCCGGATCCGGCAGGGTTCAGGCAATGGTGGAAGTCCGACAGGCTAGTAGCGGTCTCGGAGGATCGGCATGGGGGGGGGTAGGGTTGGATGTCACTCTGGAGGGAGGTCAGGATTTCGAGACTTGAGAACAGGAAAGGAAGGGCGACAAGTAGAGCAACAAGAAGGATCAACCCCCAGGCAGAGAGACGAGCGACAAGAACCGAGAGAAGGGGAAGGAAAGTTGTCTTCTCCCGTAGACCACTTACCAGGCGTGCTGTGCTATCTTCCACTACTACTATCGGGGGGGGGTCCCCGACCCGCGCGATAAGGCCCGTGGAGGGAAGGAAGGGAGGGAGGAAGGATGGATGTCACCGTCACCCTGCAATCGCATCGGGCACGACCTTATCAAGGTCGACCAACGAGAACCCCACCCGCCACTACAGAGCCCCGGTCACGCGAGCCCGTCCCAACTTTCGCCATGGATGCAGAAACTCTGCCACCAACCTCCCGTCCTCGTTCCCCGGATCGACAGTCTCCGTGCAGCCTGAACTGGGATGAAATCTCCCGCGACACCGGAATTTACATCAAGAGCCAGGGTTCCGATCATCTCATCTATACCCCCCCCCCACATTCGTCTCCCTCTTCTTCATTCTCCCTCCATTTTTTCCTCCTCTCCGTTTTATCTCTATCTTTTTTTTTCTTCTGCTTAGGTTTTTCCCACGTCCCTAGGGTCTTCATAACTTCGCTGCCTATATCATAGAGTAAAATAATAGCACGAACTGGAAGAAGCAAGCATTGTTTCTCTAGACTCTAGAGCTCCACCGCCTGTCTCGTCCAGGAGATAGTCTCTGCCCACATAGAGGGGATTTCGTCCTCCGACTGCAAGACAGTCTCAATGAGGCGCCTCCCCCAGTCCCGGACAAACCACTTGTCGGAAAGGAGGTGCAGGCCGACCCCGTAGTGAAGAAATAGAACACGGGCCACCCAGTCCCTGTCTTTCAGGAGGACAATATAGTCTTCGCTGATATTGATGGGCCATGCAATGACACCACCGTTCGGGCCACCGAATGGCCATCGCTTGATCGCTTCGTGAAGTATCTCCCACGTACCCTGATATGTAGCTTGGTGTGGCCCGTCAAGACTGGTGTATTTCGCCTTGACGCGGCCAAGGGACTCTATGATGGCACTGGACGGCGGATGTCAATTTTTTCGGGCCGGCTTTCCCCCGGGAAATAAATAGGGTGCTTACCTTCGTAATTTAAGTTGGGAGTCCTGCACGCTAGACGGGGATTACTATACGAATTCATCGAAGAGATACCCCGCGGAGAGACTTACTGATATGGATTGCCATCCTGGTCGACCTCATCGTCTTTATACTTCAGCCACCCTTGTAGGTCACCCCGATATTCCATGCCGTTGAGCTGCTCAAAGAGGAAGGCACAGCCCGCGATGAGCTGGCGGATCTCTAATACATGGGATAGAGGGTCGAATGTATCTCTATCTTGGGTGACACAGGGGTAGGCAGTTGCGCATAGCATGATAAAGATGGAGCAGATGAAAGCCGGGCCACAGCTTTCGGGCGACATCTCCGCCAACACGCGACTGAAGGCAGAACAAGCTCGGTTCTGGTACTTGAGAGCAACCTCGAGCCATTTCGGGTTATCTTGCACCTCCAAATAGGCAAGGTGCAGGGCCGACAGGGCTAGAAGGCTGTCTAACAAAAACGTATGAGATACCGCAATGCGCGGGATGACTACTTGAAAATGGTTGGCGTCCAGGCGCCCTTGACACAGCGTGATGTAGGTCTCGGTTAGATAGTGATGGAACAGCTTCATCTCAAGCATCCGCGTAGATGGTGTTTCACCATCAGAACTAGATGTCGCTTCGGCGGAATCCTGCGGCGGGGAGTGATGCTGGCTCTCGGCATCGCTGGATGGCGGATAGGTGCAATCAAGCCTTCTTTTTTTGCATAAGCCACATCTGGGTGACCCTTCGTCACACTGTGTCGGATACGATCAGTGGGAGGACAGTAAAACGCCAATGAATCCACGCTGGGCCAGATAGGAGAAGAAAGGGCGAATGGTCAAGAGAGCACCGAATCATTGGCAAACACTTCTAGGAGCTGGCCATAGGTGTCCCAATGGCTGCGGATAAGAGAACAGGGGACAAGAGAACAAGATAGAAAGCAAAATTGAGAGCATTGGAAAGGGGTCAGCGGCAGACCTTGACATGTCTTTTTTTACATTGGAGGCACCCCCTCCGGGACTTGGTATGGCTGCGACGTGAGGGCATCCGGAATGCAGCGACCAGATTGAAGACCGACGCGTGTGCTTGAGCGCGCTGGCTTGCTCTCTGGTCCCTAATAGAAGAGCAAGCACCTCTGTTACCTACCTGGGACCTACCTTAGATATCTGCTGGAGAAGAAACAATAATAGTCACAGCCCACGATCTAGTCGGTGGCCAGATACGGGTCCAAGATATATGGGTCATTAGATCCGCGCGACACAGTGGAATTGGGGTAGCCAGAGTGGATGAGGAGCATTGAGAAGGGAGAACTGGAAATTTTACAATAACAATAGTGCCGTCAACACGTTCGCTCGCGAATCGCCTCTAGAGCGATCAGGTTGTCAGCCGTTGCCGCGGAGGGATTCTGATCGAGCATAGCGTTTCCCTGAAGGGTCCGCGAGGCAGTTGGTGCCGAACTGCCCGCCAACATGGAAGGTTCAGCCGGGCCCAGCTCCCCCGAGGGCGATGCTGATTGGCTGGCTGTATTCTGACTAAGCCCTGTGTCTAGCATAACCCGGAATTCAGTCGATGCTATATTGGGATGATGTCCCGCTGTCAGTCCTGTAATTCCAACAAATACTCTCTGCTATGGGCTATATTGGCGGCTTTGAAAGCCTCGGGTATTGTGTTTGCTGAATTTGTCTCATCCAAGCTGGTTTGCGGTGCGGCGTCATCCGTGATTCTTCACCTGCAGCTAATTATTCGGTTATGTCGCTGCCTGGCGAATGGGGCTTACTATACATAGAAGTATGGACATCAATGGACATGAATGTTGCTCTAACATCTCACTCATTCTGCATACCTAGATACAAAGTACGTAGCGTAGCTGGCCACTGAATGGCCCAAAATCCTAGTGGGCTACATACACGCTTGACCGCAGCAATGGCAAACACGGTCCGGCAGCCGATAAAGCCCCCTGCGTTGGATGCCTTCGAAACATCTTTGTGGCTCTCTGATTCCTGGATCAAACACCATGGAAGAAAAAATGTTTCCCGTCCGCTTGTGTTTTATCGTTGGGTTATCTTCGGTTTGAGCATTAAGCCATCAGTCAGTCCACTTTGGATATTCGGTATGTCACTTGCCAGTTACTTATATATAGTATACTCGACTAGTAGTAAGTACATACAAGGTGTGTCTACCCACCCCCTCAAAATCCTTTCAATACAAGGAACTCTTCAATTCAGAGAGGGTCATGTTATCTGAAACTGCATTAACTCCCAATATCCACCGGACTTCATCCCCATAATGCCCTTAATCATCCCCCTCCCCCACCAAACCAGGCGGCCCATCTCCACCCCCAGTCCCCCAGCCACTCTCCTCCTCCCCCAACACCAACTCCAACACGCCTCCCTGGGTAAAGAACTCATGCCCGATCCAATTCCTGGTATAAACCTCCCCATCCAATGTCGCACTCTGTACATAGATACGGCGATACTCGGGATCGAAGCCCACATTCCTCACAGTAGCGGTGCAATTGGTAACAGGGTTCGTGACACTCACCTGCGGGAAGAACGGGGGCGTGATCAGGTAGACGTTCTGGCCGGGGTTGGGGAACAGGCCGAGCATCGCGAAGACGGAGAAGGCGCCCATTGCGCCGGAGTCGTCGTTGCCGGGGAGGCCTGCGGAGGAGGCATTGAAGAGGGAGGGGATCAGGGTGTGGATGCGGTGGGAGGAGAGGGCCGGGCGGTGGGCGTAGTGGTATTGGAAGATGGTGAGGAAGACGGGCTCGTTGGATAGGTCGGCGAGGCCGGAGGTGTGGAAGAAGGTGAGGCGGGAAGTGAAGGTGGATGCGCCGCCGAGGTGGGTAATTAGACTGGGTATATCATGAGGGACGTAACTGGGATATAAGATATATGCATTAGATGGGAGGGAGGTGTTGATTGTGGGGGAGAGGTTACAATTGGTATTCCCAGATGCTGGACTCGAAGGTCTCAGAGGGATTGCTCGTTAGAGAGCACCATGAAGAGGAGAGAGTACTGCAGGCGATCGGATCCTGATGGCCCCAGGTTCCGTTGAGGTATTTGGGCTGGAAGAAGCCAACGAAGCCGGTATCGGTGCCATTGGTGAAGAAGGAGGTTTGATCGGCCTTGAAGAGATTCCGCCAGTTGTTTGCGCGGGCGAGGTATTTGAGGGAGTCGTCGTATTTGCCGAGGCCTCTGGCGACGGTGGCAAGGCAGAAGTTGTTGTAGGCGTATTCGAGCGTGCGGGAGATACTGCGCGAGTTGGTGCCGAATCCCAGGTAGTCGAAGTCAAGGTAGGGGATGTAGTTGAGTTGTTTCCAGCTCTGGAGGCCGCCGCGTCCCTCGTAGGACCACTCCTGGGGCTCGTTCTCGGCGTCGTTCACCATGGCTTCGTAGGCGACATCCCAGTCGATACCGGTAAGGTTCTTGACGTATGCGTCAGCCAGGACCACGTCGGCGTTGGAGCCGCCTTGCGTCCACCCTTTGCATAGACTCATTCGACAGTCTGGTAGCCAGCCTTCGTGGCGATATGTGTCAAGGAGGCTGCGCACCATCCGCGACTGAGTGTGCGGGTCGATGATCGTAAGCAGTGGGTGCTGGGCTCGGAAAGAGTCCCAGATGCTAGGGAATACAAGTATGAGTGTGCGTCTGCGCCGGATGATATGGGCTGGGAAGGGAACGTACCAGTAGAACGAGTCAAAATAGGGCTCGCTGCTCTCCCAGAGCGGATTCTCACCGGTCAGGTCCTGAGGATCCAGCATGGTTCTATACACGCCGCTCCAGAAGGTCGTCTGAATCTCCTCGCTCACACCCCCGGTCTCCAAAGAGATGGGACCCAGCTTCTCTCTCCACGTGTTTTCGGCGTACTCCCGGATCCGCTCGAAGTCGCCCAGCGGGTCAGGTATCTCCGTTCGAGCATTCTCACAGGCCTTCTCCGTGCTGATATAGCTGACGCCAACTCTAACCGTCACGGTCCCATTATCTGGTCGTTGAAACCGCACGAAACCACCGGCTTGGAGGTAGAAGTTATTGAAACCTCGAGTAACAAACAGCTCCTTGGGCTCTGTGCCCGCGCGATTGTTAACCCAGATGCCGGTGTCACGTATAGAAGCGCCCTCGAAGTCCGCGCAAAAGTACGACATGTACGACCCCGCACCGAAACTGGGCAAGAAAGTACCATTTGCTTTGATCTGGCCCGTTTGGGCATCAACACTGACCGACGCATTCTGCCGACTATCCCATAGATCAGTCAAGTCTAGCAGAATCATCGGACTGAGCGGGGCGCCCTCATCGGTCGTGGCAGACGGGAAGTTGAAACGATACAGCGCCGCATGGTGGGTGGTTGTCATTTCCGCGTGAATGCCATTCTCCAGCGAGAGGGCAAAGTAGCCCGGCCGGGCCACCACCGAGTCATTGAGGTAGTGGACGGCGCGCGCGGCCTTTGGGAACTTGCAGTTGTCGAGCGCATCGTCTGGGCAGAGCTGGGGAAACAGGGGGAAGTTTCCCAGCGATGGATTCCCGCCGGTGCCGGAATCGTGCAAGGCAGAGAAGCCGGTGACGTTGCTGCCGTCAGTCGAAAAGCCTCCGGTGTTTTGGCCGTCGACGTCGGCAACTGCCTTGGCCATTCCGTAGGGGAGACTTGCGCCCGCGAAGACATTGCCTCCGTTGGTGGAGCCGATGAGTGGATCGACGAATGTGAGGACATCCGGGCTGGTGGGAGTGTTGTTGCCCAGTACAGTGGCCACCCATATGGGCAAAAGACAGAGGTATCTCTGAAATAATACCATGGTGTGCTGGGAGAGGCGAGGCATTGGCCTTCCACTCCCAAGGCTGGGTCTTGCGCAGAGGCGGACGGTCAGACGAAGACAAGGCGAATTCGGATAACATAGAGCTGGATCGCAAGCAGGTGATGCAATGCTGGTCAGTCATGCGAGCGATCAACGGGCGCTGGAGATTCAAGGCCGAGTATGCAGGGGATAAACAAGGAGGGGGGGAATGGGACATGTAAAGTACCCATGCAAGTGCAACCAACCCTTGTATTCATTCACCACTACTGCTGCAGTCGGACACAGAATCCACCTACTATCATAAACAAAACTAAAGAGTAGAAGACATTCATTAACTTATAAGTAGAAGTAGATACACGCATAATGCCATCCACCCATCCATCCATCCATCTATCATTTCAAACTTTTGATGTCTATGAAAGTCAAAAAGAAACAAGAAGAAATCCCCGCTGCTACCAGCCAGCCAGCCAGGCATGAAATGCACGCTAACTGAACAACAGTACAGTACAGTCAAAGGAAATACAATACTATCATGGTCGATGGGCATAAAGCAGAACAAAAAAGTAAATCCAGACGCAGGCTCACATGACCGAGCCATTCATCGAACGTCATCATCAATCCCACCATCATTATCCTGGGTCCTCGGGAGGGGGACGGGGAGAAAATGACCAGGTGAGATGCAGTAAATGACCTCCGAACCGACTAACTACTCCTCGACCTCCTGCTCCCAACTCTCCACCACGGCATCAGTGGAACTACTCTGCCCTTTATCCTCATCCTTGTCCTTGTCCACAGTAGCACTAGACGTAGACGACCCCTGCCCCAGACCGCGCAGCTGCTTGACCCCCGATCGAAGAACGAGCTTCTCCTTCTTCGGGTGGCCGTCTGTATCATCGCCCGCCAGGGCCGAGAACATAGTCGAGGACCACGGGGAAGCAGCAGCCGACGCAGTGAGCGGGGTGGTGCTGCGCGCACTACTAAGGCCGGAATTGCTCTTCCGGGAGGCAGCCACCTGCGCCCAGCCGCCATCGCTTGCCCCGTTGAGGTGTGCGCGCGCGGCCTCCCGTTGGGCCTTGATCTCCGCGGCGGCGAGGCGCTGGGCTTCTTGTTCCTTGGCGCGCTGGCGCTCGCGGAGCTTGACGCAGTCGGCGACGCTCATGCCGCCGATGCCGATGGCCGTGCCGTTACCGGTGCCGAAGAGGGGCGGGGTCCAGATGGTGGGCTTGAGGATGAAGACGTGGCGGTGGGGTTCGGGGTCGAAGCTTTCGCTGGCGAAGCCCCAGTCGGCGGCGAGGGAGTGGGCGAAGGCGCGGAGCGGGGATTTGGCGGGCTGGAAGCGGGTCGAGCGCTGGGTTGTGCTTGTGGCGAGGGCGTGCAGGGTGGATTCGAGGGTTTGGAGGGTGGACAGTGGGTAGGAGGAGGAGAGTTGGATGTAGATGTCTAGGGTTTCGGCGGAGTAGGGCAGGTTGGTGGAGGTGAGGGTTTGGGAGACGGTGGTTGATGGGTTGATGTCGACGCCGAGGGCTGAGGCCAGAGACCGGTTTCGCTCAAGGCGGCCACATTCGTCATCGCAGGTCAGTGGAGTAATGGCTGGGCCTCGTTGCGCCTGCTGGAGCTGGCCCTTGGAGACGACGGCCTTGGCTGCGTTGCAGCGGCGCTCCTGGCGGAGTCGTCCACAGCCACATGTTACCGTGATCATGAACGTGCAGGGCGTCTTCTCGGAACATGGGTACGGAGCATGACAGGGATCGGCACAGGGGTGGCCGCACATTGTCTTGGTCTTTCCACATCCCTGCTGGCAAGGCCTCAACGCATCCTCGCAGTCACCGGGTCGATGGCAATGCTTCTGGCACGTATGGGAGCCGCATTTGAGCAGCTCGCCGCAAACCTGGCCGCACCGCGCGTCTGCCAGCCAGCAGGGTTGGTTCTTCAACACCCGCTTTCCGCACAGGCATGGCTTCTCCGTCAGGTATGGGCACTTGGGGCAGCTTTCGTCGTCCGTGTGGCAATTATGGGGCGTCTGAGGATGGCCACAGGGTTTGGGACGCTCGCACGGAGACGAGCACGCTGGGGGCTGTGTCCCGCAGGGCAAAGGCGGATGCAAGATAGATCGACCGCAGTTACACGAGATCTCCTCGAAAATCGCCTCCCTGCAGGTGTTGCAGGGCCCCTTGTGACAAATCTCCGGGCATGTGTGCCGTCCGCATTTCAGCATACGGCCACAGATCCGGGTGCAGATGTGTTCGGCCTCGACATCCTCGTCGCTGGGCCGGAGATGCGATTTGAGCTTTCGGCGCATGGCCTGACGCTCAATCGCCTTCTGCTCGCCAGCGCAGCACCGCTCGGTGCACGCATGGCGGCCACAGTGTAAACCAGCTTTGCAGATGCGGAAACACTGCGGTGGCTCCATTCCGCCCTGAGGGCAAATGGTCTGGAAGGTGTTGCGTCCGCAACGGCATTGTATGGGAACTTTCTGCATACAGGGGCCGCAGGATCCAATATGGCAGATCTTCTCGCATTGGTGTCCACATGGCAGCAACTTGCCACAGGCTTCTGAACAGTGGGCGATCGGATCCTCGCAAGATGTCCGAGGTGAGGATCCAGGAATGCTAGCCAGCGGTGTCTTGCCGCAAGGGCAATTTGGCACCACGTCGGGAGATCTTGGACAGTGAGCAGGGTGGGCATCTTGCGCGTGGCAGCTCTTCTCGCAGAAGTGGACTCCGCAGTCGAAGGGGCGGTTGCACTGATCTCCACAGTTAAAACACCCTACCCATTCCTCGATCTCTCCCTCCCCTTCGGTTTGACCCTCATGCAGCATCTCGCTGTCCAACTCCTCGTCCTTGGAGCTACACAGCATCTCGGACTGTACTTTTCCGCAGTAGCAACGCGCCTCAATCTTGACCTCGCAGGAGCCACAGAGACCCTCATGGCACGGGCGAGAGCAAGTATGCTCCCCACAGGGCAGCAGGTCACCACAGATCTCCCCACAACTCCACCCATTGTCGTAGTCGGTATCCTGGCAACGCTTTGTAGACGAGTTGCGGCCGCAAAAGCAATCCTGCGTCGGGCCCATAGCAGTACAAGGCGTACATGGCCCGGCATGACAAGTCGCATCACACGGATGCGGGCATCCTTTACGCGCACGCGAGCACGTCTGCCCGCACGAATGTGGAGGAAGACCAGGAAGCGGGCGTGGATCTACCTCCTTCTCGCACCAGCACGAGTAAGACGAGGGAAACACCTCCTGGGGCAAATTGCAGCCAGGACAGCGCCACGCACGAGGCGCACTGCTCTCGCCATCACCCTGTCGGCGCGCCGCATCCTGAGCAGCCGCGCCCTCATTCCTCGACCACTTCTTCACGCAGCTCAGATGGAAGACGGTCCAGCAGAGACCGCACGACCAGACCCGCGACATCTTCCCCAGCTCCGCCGTGCAGATCGGACATTCGTAGAGGTTGTGCGCGATATCTTCGTGGATCCGGGTGGCAATATCGGGGGCGACTGATTTCGTGGTGACTTTCGGCGGCGGCGGCGGTCGAGGCTGAGGATTCTTCGCTCTGGATTTGCCTTTCCCAGCACCACCAGCAGCAGACGCACCCTTGGGAACTTCTTCCGCGGGCTGCGCAGCTCCTCCTGGCACGAACGTTGGCGCATCCGCCCGCAACCCGGCGTCCGTAGCATCCTCCGCCCCTGCACCTGCGCTCCCCTGTATCTCCTGGCCATCCTCCACGGTGTGCTCTGCTTTCGTTAACCGGCCTTCGAATCGCCGGCCTGTGGGAAGGGTTGCCTGGTCGCCGCCACCGCGTGCTCGGCCCTGCCGTCGGCTCACATTCGAGTTTTGTGCGCCTGCTCCTCTTCCGCCTCTTTTGCCTCCTCTGGGTCCTCGTGGGGGACGTGGTGTATGTCCAGACGTGTGTGATGTCGTAGCGTCGGCGGGTTGTTGAGCCTGCGGTTGCGCGTCGGTGGATGAGGGTGTTGGTGCCGAAGTCGGTGCCTGTGCTGGGGTTGTGTGTCGATTGGACGAACCACGACCGCCCCGGCCTCTGCCTCGTCTAGAAGGTCTGGGCCGCGAGGAGTTCCCGTCCGCGGGGGGTGCTGGAGGTAGCGACATGGTCTCCCGGGTCCCTGAGAGTGGGTTGAAAGTTTCGAGGGGTGGGAGGACGAGCATCCACTAGGAGTAGCGATAAAGCGGGCGATCGCGATAAGAGCGAGAGGGGAAAAGAAGGACAACCGCCACTCCTGGTCAAACGAAAAGAATGGGCTTTGAGATGGGGGGTTTGCGCGGGGGGCAAGAGAGAAGAAAGAAGCGTGCGGAAGAAAGTAGATAATGTTCGTTCCTGGAGCTCGAAGCTGGATCGGGTGGCGGCGGGTTTGCCTCCGAGAGGGAATGGATGGATACAACAGGAACGGGACTAATATTACTACTACCAGTCTAAGTAACTACCAGGTTCAGGTTTATGAAGACCTGCTCCGATAAGACAAGTCAAATGTCAGGCTCGGAATCTCAGGCGCTGTCATTATGAGTCATGGTGGACAGGGCTTGTCTAGTGCTGCGCCGTCGAGTCATTTATATCGCAAATTACTCATAGCGGGACCCTCGAGGGAGGGAAATTGTGAAACTCCATGTACACATCTGAGTAAATCTTGAATCTTCAGATAACAACCATCAATAATACTCGCTATGCACCATGAAACAAAGGACCAAGAAAAAAAAAAAAAAAAAAAAGGCATCCTCCCTATCCTACGATTGATCAGAAGAAAAGCACGACCTCGCCCCGCTCGTTCTGCTTCACCCGCAATGTCCGCCACAACTCCTTCTCGTCGTCGATTCTCCGTTCCCGATCCGCACGACTGTCGCCCTGGTCGCGTCCACGGTCGCCGTCATACTCGTCCGTGAAGTCGCGATGGAACCGCTTCAAGACCTTGTTCATCGAGAATCCCCGCGTGCTGTCCGGGCCCTTGGTTACCAGGGACATGAAGTGGGCGGCCATCTCTCGCTGCAAGCCATCCGGGACGGTGCTTTGCTGGTAAACCACCACCTCGCGGCCGTCGTCGCCCTGGCGAGACTCGGAATACTCAACCTGCTTGAGGCGACGCGAGGGCCGATCCCCGTCGGTTTGAGAGCTACTCTTACGCTTGCTCTTGCTAGCATCGGATGACGTGCTCTGCCCGTTCGAGGCGGTGCGGACCTTGGGCAGTTTCTTGGACCGGCCATCTTCATGACGCCCAGCCTTTGCCGAGGGTTCGCGGCTGTTCACACTGCTTCCGGAGACGGAAGACCCACCGAACATGGATGAGACGAGACGTTCGGCACGGCTCTTCATGGAGATACCCAGGCCGGCGTCCCCATTGCCCTCCTTCTCATCGCGCCGGGTGCGCTTGATGGGCGACGAAGGATCCTGATAGCGCCGACGAGGGTGGTCCTCGCGCCCTTCATCGTCGACAGACGGCGAGCGGAGCATCCGGTTCAATCCCCCCGTCAACCCAGAGTGGTTCAGCATGGGAGTGCCCGGGTGGTTCACGACGCTAGACGGCGCTTCCATCATCGGCGTATCGGCGTCCTCCATGTCATGGTCCTCGGTGCGACGCTTGCGCTTCTTTTCGCTGGTGGTGGCGCTGGCCTTGGCCTCGCGCGAGCGATCCTTCTTCTTCTTCGGCGCAGGTGTCATGAATTCCACCGAGGCATTGGCGACCTTGCCCGACTCCTTGATGGGACCAGTTCCGTAGGAGAAGCCGTTTTCCTCGTATGCAACATCATAGGCTTTGCTTTCCTCATCGGCATCAGTATCGACGCGCGCCAGCGAGTCACTTGGCTCGAAAACGGAACGAGCGTTGGCCACCATCTTCATCTGCTCCTTGGACCCGCCAAGAGAGACTTTCGACGCGTTGGGGGTATTCTCCGCGACCATGTAATCGAATACGTTGACCGGCTTGTTGCCATCGGCGGCGGGGGCACCCGAGGTCTTGCCAGCGCCGGCCAGAGGGGGGGATGGAGCCGGCGGCGGGTTATCGGTATCGTTCGCATCTTCCACGTAGGGAGCACGGTGACCATGGGGGTTCTGCTTCTGGTTCTGCTTGGGATTGTTTTGTTGTTTCCGTTGGTTCTTCACAGGCTTCTCCTTGTAGAGCGCGCCCTGGTACTTCTGCGCCTCGGACATGCATGACTAAAACAAGGCAAGTCAGTCCCCAACTCATAACAGATTAGGATGTTCGATCGACAAATCAAAACGAGGAGCGACGGGCCTTGAGTGCCACACCAGCTAAACCGCCAAAGACCCAATCGCGAAAAGAGCAGACACATTATTCGGGGTAGAGAGATAAAGCGAACAAAGAAGGATGAAATCGTACCGTGTGCGATCTGTATTCAGTGCCCCAGAAGTGCACCATGCAGTCGATACAGGTGAAAGTAGCGCCGCGACATTGGTTGCGATGGGGATCGAGCTTCTTCTTGGTGAGGATATCACCGCAGGCCTAGAGACAAAGAGAGAGGCAGCAAGTCAGCAATCCATCCCACTCCGCGAGCAAGTAGAGTTCCGCGCTGGAACCCACTTGTGATGTGACAACCGAGACACAGACAACTCACCTCGCAGGAGAAAGAAACCATGTTGATTGACCGGGCGATGTAATGCGCGTACGAGTGGATAAGTGGCTGCGCGACTTGAGACTGCCGCGGGAATGGTGTAATCGAACTGGATCGAGATAGAAAATCGAGAAGGGAAGAAAAGAAGACAATCCGGGCTGGCACTAGTCCTTTTGGACCCGCAATGAACCTGTCGGGGAATAAGCCGACCAAGCGATCTGGATTCCTGGCGACTGGCGACAAATGGATGGATCCCTGCGCGCGACGACGACCAGTCCAGGAAGTGAGACACGAGACGAGGCTCTCCGGGTGTTGTTGTTGTTGTCGGCGCAACAACAAATACGAGGGGTTGTAGGACAGCAGGAGCAGATTAAGAATAAGCAACTGGGCGAGATAAATAAACCACCGCCAGATCCCAGGAACGAAGCACGGCGCCTACGGAATTCTTCCTTTTTTGCTTTTGCTTGTTCTTTTCGGCGCGACAAAAAAAAAAAAAAAAAAAAAAAAAAAGCCAAAACTCAACTCTGGATCGCGTTTGTCCCTTTTGGGACTAATTGAAAACCTCGGACCACAGACTGATACCTGATACCTCAGGCATTCAAGATGTTCCCCGCAGGCCGCAAGACTAACCGACCATCCAGGTCGAAGCAACATGAACACGCCTTCATGCCAGATCCACCGACGATGTTTTAAAATGGGCTCCAATCGGACCTCCTGTCCATCCCATCAGGAACTGTATCTACGCACTTTCCAATTGTCCCCTTTACGCCATCATGCTGGCCTGAACACCCGGCCCAGCGACGAACCTGGCGGTCAACTAGACCTGGGAACCCATGCAATTGCTGGTATGATGACCCGTTGATCAGAGGCCAAGAGGGAACAGAACAGCGCCTGCGCATCCAGACACAGCACAGACTCGTCAGGAGACTCGATTCCGTGCAGCAAGAAGGGCTCATCAACCAGTTACCAACGAGCTTCACCCGCCCCTCCGGTTAGTGTAGCGCTGGCGTGGAAGGGCGATACGATCCCACGGATGATAAGAAGCTCTGTACGGCGTAGCTGATTAGACTTTCGGTTCGAGCCAGCCTTGGTCTGGTATCCCGGGATCCTTGGAGCCTGGAGGTTGTTCATGGACCTCGTTCGCCAGTAGGGTTCTGTTTTGGTGGTAGCCCGCGCGTATCGAATCCCCGGGGGTTTTTAGCGTTTACCATCTAAACGCTGGGTTTCAGCCGTGTCTCTTGCGACTCGAGGCTATCGCTATGTAGACAGATGGCTGAACTGCTGCGATTTGTATACGCTGAGAAGACCGTCGGTCGGTTGTTTAGGTGGCGGATGCGACAATTAATGCTTTCCTTGTTATCGGATCCCAACTCACCCCCCAGACTTGGTCAGCCGCGTCAGTCAGATGCGTCGCTACAGTCATGCGCGCAGTGGTGCATATCTTCGCAACTTTACCTACCACACCTATCATCATCTGCGCATCGCTTGCTGAGTCTCCTGGCGGGGGGGGGGGGCTTCTTTTACATCTGTGCGACTGCAAAAATCCTGTTACCCTGACGTAGGGATTACTGCGCGGAGGGACAGATCCTCCCCCGAGATGTCCGTGTGCTTACAGGAACAGGATGGTTCACATGCAAAATACGACTTGACTTCCGTATGATGTATGCGGAACTTCAATGAGTGTGACTGTAGTGGAGTATACGCTAATGTAATGATCCCGGTCCAAAGCACTCAGCGATCCTGCGCTGGTGGAATATAGAAGATAAGTGATGGGTATAAGATACCGAATCTGCAACGCAACCAAGTGCACGGGCAGAACGCAAAGTTTCTGGGTCCTGTTCATCCCGTGTCGTCCTACATCGTCGGATCAGTACCGTCTCCATGCATGCGGTATGGAGCAAGGGAAATACCAACACTTCCTAGGATATCTCGGCCGGAAATGTCGCGTCTTCGGCATCATCGGCCTCGTCTCGAGTGGCGGCCTGAGCCTTATCTTTCTTATCCGTCCCAGTCTCCTGGTCGTCTTCTTCATCCCCGGCACAACCGCAGTCGTAGAAGTCCCCGATATTGTTACAGTCAAAAAGCGGTTTTTCAAGCATGGTATTGACCTCGTTGTGGATGAAGCAGCCCCATCCCGCGGCGATGTTGCGCGACGAAACCTGCGGCGGGTATTTCTTCAGATGGCCTTGGAAATGGGATGCGCATTCTCCGCTGAGTGACCAGTTAGCTCCAGCGACGAGTATAACGGAAGGCAGCAAGAAGGCTATTTACCATGGGTAGAGGCGCGCGAAAAGGTAGATGAATGATCGAAGCGTTTCCTGCTGCTCCTCCGTGGGATCTTCGGGATACCGCGCAAGCATGGTGTGGAAGTACTTCCACGTCGCACGACCCAATTCCGCCCTGCGATGTTCCCCCTTCGGTCAGTAGAGTTGCGGACGAGGGGTGGAAGTGTAGCATACTTGGCAGTTGCGTTCCCCAGTCGGGGCATCACAACCTCTCCCTTGGTGAGGTCATCTTTCGACAGCACAGCCGGCGCAGACTTGTCGATGTGACCCGGGGCACGGATCGCGGGGCTAGGAGGCCCGTCGGGCTTGATGAAGAAGACGAATATCAGAAATATAGAGATGGCAAGGCTGATGAGGATGCGCCGAGTAATCTGGCGGTTTGCCATGGTGGGTACAAGTGGTGGGTTTCAGGGATATCGCAATTCGCAAATCAATAGAAGCCGTCAATGGCGGGCCAGATCGCCAAGTGGCCCGTCGAGGAAATGCTTGGTTTAGGTTTCCAAGATTCGCGGGCAGATCTAACGAGAGACAGAACGAAGGAGAGACACGGGTAGAGACCTGAAACAACAAATGAGATAGATACAGTGAAGCAGCTCAAAATGGGCCAAAAGGAGAGAAGTGGGAGTTGCCAGCAATAATGAGCGGCTTGTTAGATGATTGGCAGCAGGCGATACTCCGTAGTTTAGTGAACCTTGCATGATGGCATGAGCCGTTGTTCAGTAATTCCGCCCGGATCCACGTGGGGCCGTCTGGTTATCCAGCGCCACTATGCTGCTGAGTCATTGTGTCAGCTGGTCACTTGGTTACGCAGGACCACGGTTTCTATCAGATTCAGCAGCATTGATTGGTATGTGTTGAAGAATCAATGCCATGAATGGCTGAGTGTGAGTGTAATCCAAATCTGGAGCTCGTACTAAGTACCGGGGCCTTGCTACAGCCAATAACTACCTGATCAGCTTTTGTAATCTGGTGAATATGCGACATGGCTGTAGTATCTTGATTGACAGTCTAATATCATAATCACATCACCAAGCAGCAGCATCAAGCCAGAGCGCCAGCTAGCATGAATTATTGTGTCGATACAGGTACAGTGCAACATCATCGGATCATACAGCCCATCCAAAGGAAGGGTGATTTTGACCACCAGCTAGTTTCTAAATCTAGGTCACATGCATAGATCCTTCGCCCATAGATACATGAGCGCATCCAGTCGAAGACAGCCAAAGGAAAGTCAATTCAAAACACCATCGGGGAATCAGAAATCAGTGTAAAAGGTAGTGCCAGACTCAGTAACGCCCAGAAAGTCAAATATCATCACAAGGGGGAACGGAGCAAGCCCCACGGGGGGAACAGAAAAGGGTTGCGAAGCGGGAAGCAGACGATCGCTGAAGCATGGTCGATATGAATACATAACTCGAGTCAATGCCATATGCGCAATTAAGAGGCCCTAGAAACATTATCACCTCGGGACCATCGGAGGATAAACATGCGGGAACAAGCTATGAAGACAAGGAAAGGTAAACAAGGGGGAGCATGGAAAGGTTGACACAAAGCGTGTAATCGAAGCGGCTTCTGCAGAGGCTGCTAGAAGAAATCTTGCCAAAGAATATTACAGATCGGCAGGCTTTGGGGACATTTTATCGGTAAAGACGCCCAGGGGGGTCAAATGTTAGTCATGAATTCGTGGGCTTGTTAAGTCGAGAACAACCGAAGATCCGTCAGTGTTATAGAAGCGGCCCAAAGCAGCCGACGGTACAAGTTCGTATAGCATGCGCTGAGGGGCCTTGTGGCGGATCTGTCCTGTAACTTCCATGGCAAAGGGTGGCTCACTGCTCATTTGCAAGGACTTCCTCCGTCACAAAAGAGAGGATATGCTCAAAATAGCCCGGTTCAGCAACGCTATCGTTGTGAGCGCCATTGGGAAGCGTACGCCAAATCTTGCGGTCAGATTTGGAGATGGCGAAGAGCTGGGTCATGTTGGACGGACTATTCACGCGTTGATGGCATGTCAGTAAAGCGCTCACACTGATTTATTGCAGATGGTTCGGGAAGAAACTCACGGGACTATCTCATCCTTCAATCCACTGAGGAAAAGGATGGGCACTTTTGTAATTTTGGGTATAATGTCTTCGCTAGTCCAGTACTGGTGGCAAAAGCGGGCAAGATACCGCGCAGGAGGGAAGACCCTGAGAAAGTCAGCTCTGTGTCGCACCTCTCCTAGATTGATAGCTTGGATGACTATCCGGAGGGGTTTGGAACATACGATGGAATCAACTTGCGAATACTCAAGAACGTGTTTTCGAGGATCAAACCTGCAACCGCGCCATTGTCTTGGTTATTGGCGACCAAATTGATGGATACTGCTCCTCCAAGACTTTGTCCATACACAATGATCTTGCTATCCCTGGTTTCGGCTCGTTGTCGGATATAGTCCAGCCCTGTCTGCGCGTCGCGTTTCAGACCGGTCTCATCCGGCGTCCCCGTAGACAGACCATAACCACGATATTCTAGCATCAATACATTGCAACCCAGCATGTCCTGCAGAACTTTTGCGATGGGAATTCTATGGCCAATGTTGCCTGCGTTCCCATGGAACATCAACACGGTAATATCCCGGCCTGGGAGTTTGCGTGAAGGGCGGATAAAAAAGGCATGTAATGATTCGCCGTCAGGAGTAGGAATCTGGAGGTCCTCGAAGTCGGTGATGCCGAATTGTTGTGGCTTGGGTACATTTGTGCGTGCGTCCACGGGAACGTTGCGGGGGTAGATCAGCTCGCTGCATAAGGGGTCAGCTCGTGGGCATCGGCTATAGACATGCGTCTCCACCAGAGGCAACGAGAGGGTAGCACAAACTTTTGCTTGAAATATAAGAGACCGCTGGCGACAACAGCCAATCCCGAGGACGCCAGAACAGGCAATCGTAGAAACTGGACGGCGCTGTTGGCCATGCTAGCGACACTCCAAGACGGTGGGGGCGGCGACTCCGACATGGCTGTAGAACAATAATGGTTACCTGGGCAGTATAGTTGGCGCAGGTGATCGACTTGGCGGAGATAGGTCCGAAGAGGTGGCTCGGAGAAACCAATCTGGGCAGCTGGGGTCAGGGGGGAGGTGAAAGGCTAGGTGATGCAGTTCGCAATCCGGAGAGATACCCCTTCAGCGGGAGATAATGTATCGGTTTGTTTCATCGGGTGGTCTGGCTGGGGGGAAGGGAAAGGGAACCGCCCAGTAGGAGAGTTGCGGTCGCTCACCGCCCGGCGGAATCAGCTCCAGCTGCCAACGTAACGCGTTCGCCTGCCTTGAGAGCTCCGTCAGAGCTCATAACCACCCGACCTGTTGAGCAGCCAACGAGTTTTCTTCGCACTCTTCATACTATACCACAAACCCAGCCTTTTTTCCTTCCATCACTTGCTTCATTTAACGCAGTCTTTCTCCTACCTCCCATTCTCTCATCAGACACCATGGTCGGTCACGGTATGACGGGGATGCTCGGCGAGGGTGAGTCGAAGTTCCATGCGGCACAGCAATGATGCATCAGGGTAGGAGGCAAAGGCTGATGGGCTATTGCAGATGGTATCCATGTCGATATGAATCACCTGAAGAGCGGAGAGGTGAAGTATGTGCCCACAACCAACCCCAGAAACTCAAGCATACGATGGCTAACTCATCTGTACAGCCTAGGAACTTCTATGTGAGTGCAATCGTCTTCGATTGCCATGGATCTCATGAGTTGACGGGAAATAGCATGGCCATCAACTTTAAGGATGGTGTTATATTGGGTGCCGACAGCCGAACAACAACCGGAGCATACATCGCCAACCGAGTCACCGACAAATTGACGCAAGTGCACGACACAATCTGGTGCTGCCGATCGGGATCAGCTGCGGACACCCAAGCCGTGGCGGATATCGTATCCTATCATCTCAACATGTATTCGATTGTCAACAACGAGGCGCCCAGTACCCAGGTCGCGGCAGCACTGTTCCAGGAGCTGTGCTACGAGAACAAAGATATGTTGAGGTAGGCAACTCTTCCCCATATCCGGGATCGCAAACCATCGCTGACCATCGGGCCACAGTGCTGGTATCATCATTGCGGGATACGACCCCAAGCACGGAGGTCAAGTGTACTCGATACCTCTGGGTGGATCCCTCCACAAGCAACCATACTCCATCGGCGGATCCGGATCAACCTATATCTATGGCTACTGCGATAACCACTGGAAGGAAGGCATGACGGAGGAAGAAGGTGTCGAATTCGTCCGAGGAGCTCTGCAGGAGGCAATCAAATGGGATGGCAGCTCGGGAGGTGTGATCCGAATGGTGGTGTTGACGGCGAAGGGAGCGCAGCGGCACCTCTACCTGCCGGACACGGCCTACTCCGGACCGGGCATTACCAATTAACGAATGTATCTATACGGGACGATGACTTATTGTTGTTAGCTGCTATTTGATCTATGGATTTCGGTTCCATCCGAATAGGTGTTTCGTTTTTGTCTCGCATACCAAGAACCAAGAAGCTCCTGGGCTCAATTGATCCATCCATGCGCACCATCATCTTCACTTCACCAAGAGGGACATGGGCCTATATGTGGGGGACTACCGATAGATTGCCATACGCCTAAGCCTCTGACTAGACACATATCCTGGACTATCATAGAATGCCTGGGCATCTAGTACCTATATATCAACCTACTAGTTACTGGTTACTGCTCTGTAAGCAGTAGCGGTAATCACGCGTTCCTTGTCTTTCATGGGACGATAATAGTTAGGACGGGGCTGTGGAGGAGTCTAGGCTATTATCTCCACCACTGAGTGTCTACTCCGTAGATAGGTTTAATTAATTATTAGGGAGAGCAATCCGGTCCTGCCATGGTCAGTGATGGGCTGCCATCGCCTTGAGTCCAGCTGGAGCCGCCACCAATCAACCGGCGCGCCTGGACACCTGGGCGGCGGATGAGCCGCCATTCGCCCATCGCACCCCCAGGCGGAGGATGATCCTGAATGCGACCATCGGGTTTGGTCTGGGACCAAGAAGTGAGTCGTGGTGAAAGTGGTGATGATAATGAGGACAATGAGGATACATTGGCCATTCTATTGCAGAATGACTGTTCGGTATTACTATGAGGGAGATTTTCAGCATCCACGGGACCGACTTCTCACCTCCTTGGTATCGCCGCAAGGAACCTTCATCTGTAAGGATCGCGCTCCCGAGCTACTACGTAAATCGTAAGTACATAGCAGCAGTAGACCGAACCCCGGCGCCCCTCCAGATGATGGATCATCTTCCGGTATCATATCACCGCCAGGTCGCATTCCTCCGTCTCACATAAGTACATATAGGTAAGTCAGTCCATATCAGGGTCAGGGCGGACGTCGCTGGTTTGCTCCATTGGGATCGTGTTGAGCCAGAACAATCCATTGATCATTACTCCGTATCTACAGTGTAGATCCATAGTTAGACGGGAGACTCGGGTGAGGTGAGTGAGTCGTCGAGCCTTCCCGGTGTGGAACCCCCCCCAACCTTGCCGGGACGGACGAGTTTCTTGTTCCCTTCCTGCATCATCATCATCCACCGGTCTCCGCCACCCTATCCATCCAGTCCATTCGCTCCCTCCCTCCCTTATCCTCCGTTATTAGTACTATCCCATTCTATCCCCGTTGTTATCTCCTCTTCTTTCTCCCCCCTCTCCCCCAGATTATCCCTCGCTGATTCATCGCAATGGACCATCCCATTGCCAGCTATCGCCTGTGATTCCCTTCCCGCTTCAGGCTTGGGTCGGGCTCACCACTTCCTCTCCCTCCCCAGTGCTCTGACCCTCACGCCGCGATCTTCCAGATCCAGGCTTCTCCCCCCCCCCCCTCCCCAAATCCCCGGGGCATTGACTGAAGTTAATTAATACTCCTGTACTTCCTCCCTGTCTTTCTTTTGCTCTGCCCTTGCTTTTGAATGAATCCTTTCGTGTTCGGGGCCTCCAATGACCCCTCTCCCTTCTCTAGCCTACTTCCGTTGCTGACCTTCGGCCGCCGGCCCTGTGGCTTCTCCAGAATCGACCGCGCCTTACCTCCTCAAACCCATCGGTTCTGATATGGGATCGGTCCTCGTCAATCATCCGCGATCGGAGTACATGGATACCTCCTACACAATGCTGGGGGGCGCCATCACTTCTTCGGAATCCGTCTATCGATCCTCGTCTCATCACCAGGCCTCTCACCACCCGTCGTCACACCTGGAGACCGGCAGCTCTAGGTCGGCCTCGTCCAATACCACCCCCACCTCGTCCACAGCCCCGCCATCAACATCCGCCGCCGGCTCTGCTCGCCTACCCTCCCACCCAACCCATGATGTACCGGCTTATATCAACCGGCCCTCTCACTCCAGTTCTCAACCCTCCACGCGGGCGTCTTCAGCCACTCCGGGATCAGCCTACACCCACCCTCACCCTCCATCAGCCTCAATGACCTCGACCACCACCTCCAGCCATCCATCGCGCCCGGACTCTCTTTCTCATCCCGCAACACACCCGTCTCACCCCACCAGCGGTGGCCACCATGCAACCGCGGCGGTACCTACCTCGGTGCCGCACCCGGGCAGCCAGTCATCACCAACATCGCCCCAGCTGAGACCAACTTTTCAGTCCCTGCGATCGCTGGGGGGATCCGAGGCGAACTCGCCGAGTCGGATCAAGGTCCGGGATCTGTCACACATCCAAAGCTTTGCTAGTGAAGAGTTCTTAGCGCAGAAGGATCGGGCGCCGGGGCAGTGGACACAAGAGCGCCAGTACGAGATTAGCTCCATGCCGGTCACGGACATAATCGAGATGGTTGCTGGGCTCCTGATGAAGATCACGACCACCAACGATGCGCATCATGAATCCGTCCATCGTCACATCCCTCCGCCCGACGGCACAACCAGTCTCAGCCCACAAGCAACAAGTGTTCTTGCATTCCATGGCAAAAACATCCCGAGCATTAGTATACTCAGCTATTTGACTAGGATACACAAGTATTGTCCTACCACCTATGAAGTCTTCCTCAGTCTGCTGGTATACTTTGACCGTATGGCTGAGCTGGTCAATAAGGGTCAACTCGAGCGATTGCGGCGTCGCTGGGACCGTCCGGCTGGTGGCGATGGTACTAGATCCTCATCGTCTGAGCAATTGACAACCCAATCGATGCACGCCTCGCCCATGGTCACCCCACCTTCTTCAGCTGTGATAGCTGCGCAAGACCCGTCAACACCGTCCTCGGTATCACCCTCTCTGAATCCGCAAGAAGACGAAGATCAGCTTTCCCATTTTTTCGTTGTCGATAGTTTCAATATTCACCGGCTAGTCATCGCGGGCGTGACTTGTGCCAGTAAATTCTTCTCTGACGTCTTCTATACTAATTCTCGCTATGCAAAGGTAATTGGCCCTCTCACTATCTTGGTTCCCTTTTTCTCTCGGCATATGGCTAAACAGTATTGGTTTCTACGCAGGTTGGGGGACTCCCACTGGTTGAACTCAATCATCTTGAACTTCAATTCTTGCTGTTGAACGACTTTCGCCTGTCGATTCCTGTCGAAGAGCTCGAGGCATATGGAACCATGCTTGTGGAGTTTTACGCTAGAGAGATTGTTGCCCAGCAGCAACAGCAACTTTCCCAACCTGCGATTCCGCGTTCAATAAACCCTTCCACGGCGCCCGATTCCCAAACAGAAGGGATGTACATGCGCACTCGCGAGAAGCATCGGTCTGATCATCCCGAAATTCAGCAAACACCTACACCGCCCTAGCCAGTGTGCGCCTTCAACCACAGCGTGATGGGCGATTTACAGCTTCTCGCGTATGCGATCCGCCTTTTCTATCCGAGGTAGACTACGAGCTTTGAGATCCACGCCCGGGTGTACGTATCCATTACTGAATATCTCTCCTTGTGGGTATCGCATACCCTATTTGGTACATATCTTCACTAGTCCTGTCTTTTTCTCTCATGTTCCGGTCCTGTTTCCTGATAGACGTCGACGGTCGGCACTCTAACTCATGGTTGAATCTTCTTGAAGCTTTCTCGGCTCTTATTCTTCCTATTCTTTCAAGTCTGCCTCTGTGTACACAATTTCTGTCTCTGCATATTGTTCATTTCTCACCATTGGCTGGCGTTTCGGGGTTTCTTTCGGTCTGTCCTGTCCTCCATTAAACTGACTACTACTGTACGGGAAGAACGGTTGCGAGTTTTGTCCACTCCGGGTTTTGGATCACGCTATGGAATTATCTTTGCGACTACTAGTTACCTTACCAATCCGCGTTACCAGCGTTCACGCTACCTGACTATTGTCTTTGTTTGCGTATCCGCGGTCGCCCCCTGCCCTCTGGCCCGGTGTGTATTGCCTCCACCAAGTACTACCCTAGTTAGTACCCAGTAATGAAGCATCGAGTAGCGAACGCGTTCAAACGAACGCCACTGTACTACCGGCCTTGGATTGGATAGATACTATGCTCGGTATCCAGGAACTGCCCCATGCATCCCGAGCAAAGCCTGGCGAATAGGATGGGCTAACAACCGCCTGCTGTGATGTTAAGATACGTCATGCACCGAAAGACCTCCCCTCCCGTGTCAGGTCGAACGCAACTGAACCGGTCATGGATTTGCTCGCTAAGGATACTAATATACTAGCACTTTGTAAGCGTACATTCGTGTACTTTGTAGGGGTCTATAGTAGACACTACCTTTACTTGTTTGAATGGACGTGGCGATGTCCTATGTCCTCGGTTACATCATAGCGTGCGCTGATCAAGACATCAATCATATCACATCACATCACCATGATCCTCACTGGCTAGCCACCTCGTTTTCGTTTCGTTTCGTTTCCCACCGCACAATATTAATGTTAATGTCAATGCTACGTACTTCACTAAAAGTACGAGTATACACAGTATGACTACAGAGTACACTGCTGAAGCGTGTAGAGAGTATCTTCAAGTAGGTAGCTCTTCTAGTGGGTGGGTGGTAGTTATGTGTATACTGGATACTGTATACTGCCAGTGGATACTGGATACTGTGTACTAAATAAACACTGTAAGTAGGTAAGTATAGTAAGTAAGGTAGCACACAGCTGCAACCCTCACCCCACCCCAGCCCCCGGATATTAGTATCTACCCCTTCCATGCAACGCGTCAACCCCACAATCGATCGATCAATCATTCATTCAATCAATCGATCATACCCCAGATCAAGTTTTTTGTTTCCCTCTATTACTCCATACTATGGAGTACTTCCCCGATCGAACCTCGCGATTTCAAAATCCGAAGCAAGACCAAGACCAAACACGTGGCTTTCGAGATTCAGTTTCGGTCGGGTACATCAAACCAAGCAAGGCAAATGGGTTGGGCCCGGCATGTCTTCTCAGCAATATTGCATAGTACATAGTAGTTAAGAGTAAGTAGTGTTCTGGGTTGGTTCTATTACTGCGATTTGGTCTTTGGTCTCTGGTCTGGTCTTTGGGCCGGAAACGGGCCGAGCCTATCTACAATGAACGGGGGAATTTTGGGCCAGGGGAATTAATTGAATGGGAACAGGAAAACAGGAGCGTATTATTTTGATCAGGCGGTTATAATGGTAGAGTAGAAATATTCATTGTGTTTTCTGGTTGCGTGTAAGGCATAGTCATCAGTTAGTCGATCATCTTTGCTTGTCTTGAGAAGTTGTGCTGTTTGTGTCAACAGATTCATTGTTATTGTTGAGCCGAAACAATGTCCTTAGGCCACGCAGGTCTTAGGGGCTAGTTGTCCTGATATAAATAGCCCTTGTGTTCACTAACTGCAGATCAAATAAAGGGTTAGTAACAAATACTTAACACGCACGACATTGTCAAGCATATATCTGTTTCATGCAAGCTTGGATAATATGTCAATATCTTATATTTATTGATGCCGTTTCTTCGGTCAAGTCTGTTCCCGACTCTGTCTCGGTTGTTTCTGCGGGATTGCACTTTGCTGTAGGATGTCTTGAAGGGGCAGAGGCAGATATCAGGAACTTAAATGATTGTGGGGGTAAACTCCACGTAGGCAGAGACTGGTACACTCTCGCGGGACTGGCACCTCACTGTCGCTGCTCCTGCTACAGCAACAGTGACTTTGACTTCAACTTCCAACTCAAGTCCCATTACCAGCGGCCTTGACGACGTTCCTATTCTCCGACACGAGTATCTCCCGGAAATACGGTCTTGTGCACCGAGTTTTACTCACAATCAGGGAATTCTTCCATGCCTCGTTGGTCACCCTCGACACCCGCATGCTGTTCATATGCAACCGGCTGGCTGACCGGTGTAATGCTTCTCAATACACAATAGATATCCGAGTGGCAGGTGCAACAGGGTCGCCTTGCTGGCCAGGCTGCTGCGGATCTGTGGAACAAGCTGAAGGGGTAGATGGGTGGTTGGATTGTTAGCTGGGTAGCAATTATGCCGCGCTATACGCATCTGCTAGTCCCCTAGAGCTTTTCCCCCTCTTTACCTTCTTGTTAGTATATATGATCCGTTGAATCAATACCCTTGGGAATACTATCTCTTCTCCACCGCCTATATTTTCCTTCCTGTGATATCTTGTTGTCGTAATCAAGACTATCAAGAGGAGGGTAAGAGCCTTCCACGCCTATATGAGCCGGGCATCTCTTATGGGAAAAAGAAAGCTCGTAGAGGCCATAGCAGAGGCTATAGTCTCGAACCTTATTGCCCAACTCAGTCCCGAAGGATGGATCCATAGTTCAAACATGGCAGACGTTGCCAAGCTCTGCCGCGCCAGCCAATCAGAAGGCTCCCTCCGCGTGCACTGATCAGCTGCTCGTTCTCAATCTTCTATTCTGTCTATCTTCATCCTTTCTTCTCCCATCGCCAATCTCCCTTTCACCTACATTTATCGGTCTCCAGGCATGCAGCAAATCTCAGCAGAAACAGACTTATCTTCTCCTACTAATGGTAGTACTGAATATCAATATCAGAGCAATCCTTTTTGAAGTGCTCCCGCCACAAACCTATCGCTCCGGCGTTAGTATCTTGCCCATACCCATGGAAGAACGCAATGGGACAATGAGATAGACGTACTCCAAGTCCCTCTGCTACTGACCCCCGAACCGAACGACAACAAAGCGAGCGATGACTCCCCCATGACGATGACCCTAGGCGATCATGAATCGAGCGATGAGGTTGGTGGGTATAGGGAGGCATCATCATCGGCGGCCTATCCATAATTGCCTAGGGTCACCATTTCTCAGGCTTGTCATCCGGGGGCGTCGTCGGTCGGTTCGTTGTCAGTCGGTTCATTGTCAGTCGGTTCGTCGTCAGTCGTCGTCGGTCGTCCGTCATCGCTGGGGTCGTCATCTCGGGGGGGGGCGTCGTCGGGGGAGTCGAAGTAGCAGCAGTGGGGACGGCAGGTTGCTGGCACTCCAGGCGAGGAACTACGACTTACTTTCCGCGTACGGGGGTGCGCCATTACCCCTGTTCATAGGGAACCCTCTTCTGGAATCCCCTTGATTCTGTTAGTCAGTGGAGCTTAGAAAGGCTGGTGCTCTCACCTCTTGTCCGGTGCAAATGTGCCACCAGTATCACAACAGGATATACGCACAGCCCGATCTGTTACCTGGTAAACAGAACCTGGTTGGACATCCCAACCAGGGCCAATGGGGGAAACGAACGGACGACATGAGAGTCAGGGCTACAAGACGAGTGTGGGCAAACGAGTGTGGAGGAGCAAATGAAATGAGTGACAGAGAACAGAAAGACTCACAACCGGAATCCTCCCCGCTCTCGAACCTGCTCCCGGAGCCGATTCCAAACCATAAACACTGTTGCAGGTCCCCACGCGGGCCTCCTGGCGGCGATCCGGGCCAGTCGGTTCCACGCGCAGTCCTGGCGGTTACATGGCCTCGAGGCGTCGTGACTGAAAGTAAGCATCACATAGGAGTCGGAACCCCAATATGTTGCATACTTCTCCATCTCTCCGTCCTCGTCGGGCTCCGTTAGAGGCGTGACACTCCATCCCTGAAGGTGGCCCATGGCCGCAATCGGGGCGGGGTACACGTGCTCTTGCCGTACAATCCAGCGGGAAACAGGAATGACGGTATTCTCGCCGAAACGAACAACCTTCACCGACTTGTCCTTACGACCCGCACTGGTCGGAGCCAGAGCGGACTTTGCAAGGACCTCGTCGATGCGCTTGATCGCCCTTTGAGCACGCGTCATGTGTGTAGCTGGTGGCGACGGCTTGGAGGGAATGGCGGCGAGCTTCGACCGGTGTCCCTCGAGGGACTCGTTCGGACTCTGCGACCTGGGCAAAGCCCAAGGTCGAGATCGGGCCTGTCGAGCTGCTCTTCTTTCCTCCAGGCGGGAAAGGGAGCCTTTTAGCGAGCGCACTGCCCCAGTGGGAGCTGGGGCAGGTAAAACAATGGAACGAGGGGCAGGGGGTCTCACACAACGAACAGGAAGATGCGAACACTTTCGCATTTCCTCAAAGGAGCGGACGCCAGCTCGTTGAGACGAGACAGGCAAAAACGAGCGGTAAGAAGGAACCAGAGGGTTCCGGCGGAAGACGAAGCGAGCAGTCGGGGGGCAAGGGAACGAAAGGAAAGCGGGCTGCGTCGTAAACCGAGGAACCAAAGGAGCCTTCTTGTAAGGTAACCCAGGAGTATAGAGGTGAGACATCTAATATTCCTGGACAAAAGCGGATAAAAAGTTGTGTGGGGGAGGGCGGAGTGAAGAGAACAGGGACAAGGCAGCTGGAGCAAAAGCTAGAAGCTAAGCAAAACACGGATGGGCTTGACGAACGCAGAGCGTGAAGAATCACGATACTAGCATCAAACAACCAACCATGCGGTGTTGGGGAGAAGAAGAGGAAGAAGAGGAAGAAGAGGGAGAAGAGGGGAGGGGGGCTTTTTATATAGACTAGGGGTGTTGGTACGGAAAGAGCACTCTTGCGGCAACCACCCTCGGGAATGGCTTGAATCAGCAACAGCGTTCTGTGATCGCGGCTGTTGACACGGCAAGAAAGACTTGACGACAGTGAGCGTCAAGATCAGACGGGTCGGGGCCAGGAAAGACCAAAGAGCATCAGATGGTTACCATGCAACCGACTTCCCTCACGAGGAAGGAACAAGAGAGTAGAGGTAGCTGTCTATAACAATCCCCCTCTTGGGAACAATCGTAGATTCACAGTTGCTGAAGGGGTATACCTTGACGATATGGTCTCCACATATTAGCCCTCCATGATCACGACGACAGAAGCTTCTATGGTATCGTAGTATAGCAGCTGGGACACTATCAAGGTCTGTCATATCGAGCCAAGCTCCTTCCATTGCGAATGCCCGTCGATCCCGCTGCAAGGTAATGCGCAACTGCCGAGGACGCTTGGATGGCAGTCACATCCCTCGATTAAAATGGTATGGATGTAGAAACTAGAACTAAAGAGGGATCTGCCCGGGTACTGTATACTAGTGGTTGATGCGGCCAGCGCAATTACTAGTAGTTGCTTACAGCGCGCAGGCCTAACCCGATGTCAGTGCCGTATCCGGTTAAGTATCTAGAAGTCCGTAAGTCGTTCCTTCACACTTAGACTTCAAGCCAGATCATATGAATGAATTCACCAAGACACTATTCTTCCTGCTAATTGAGATCGGTCTTGTATCCGCGCTCCGGCCCGGGGCTCCCTACGTCTCCTATCAGTGGCCAATCAATTGGGCCAACATATTACCTTCACGTAGATAAAGATAGATAGATAAAGTACTAGTAGTCAGAACTGGATCGATTCCCGAGGCACACTACTAGTACTGAGCTAGCAAAGCTGGCTAGCACTAGCCTTACCCCGGAATCCCATTCCAGCGATAGTGACATCCCCCCGATGTCCCTTGGTTCGTCCCTTGGTTCCATCCAATATCCATCAATCATCTGACCCAGAAACAGACACTACAATTTACCCTTTTTCCGCCAAGAGAAGTACCTCGGGTTAGAGCGAGGGGGACGAACGACGGCCGCTGCCACGTGAGGGTCGCGCACCGCCACAGGTGACGTGACGTCTCCGCGGCGGGGTGGCTGAGGGAGGAACTTCTCCTCTCCTCGATTATTCGTCTCCTGCGACCACCCCAGTCGATCAATTGTTTGCTTTGGCATCGACGTCACCTCGTCTGCCTTTCCCTCCCTGCACAGCCCCTGACCTCTCCTGTGTCGAACGCGATTTAACCACGGCAGCTGGGATCGATTCCTTTCCTTTTCATCCCTAGTGATCGAATTCCCCGCCAACGGACCTCCGAGCAAACAGGCGGTTCATTCCCGATTCCCGATTCCCCCCCCCCCCCCCCCGCCTCCTCTCCCTACGCGATCGATCGATTTGGCCGTCGTATGTACATGCCCATCGTATTCAGCCCGGGATTTTATCATATCAAGCGTGTTTGTCGTGCGTCTGGTCACCGGGTTAGACCAGACCGCCATCCCCACGCCCCGCGCGATCTAGGCCGAGGGTGAGGACGGACGGACGGACGGACAGACAGACAATACTGTACTTATTCGGAAGGGATCACGATGCGGGACGGTGGACTTGGGAAGCTGCATAAAAGGATGAGGAGGTTTGGCGATACAGTAGGTCGAAAGGACCCCCCACTCCTCTGACTATCCTATCCTATCCGATCCGATCCGGCTTGCCTGCTCTGCGTGCATGCGTGGATTTGTTGGCGCAGCCAAGGGGCTAAATCAGACGTAGTTGAACCCGGATGATGCGTATTTAAGTTGTAAGTTCGATTCCCCCGGACTGTCTTGGGTTCGGAGATGGGTCTAACTCTGGAGTTGGCAGACTACGATGTTCGATGTATGTTTCCCGATCGCGAAGATATTGATCGCCCTTTATGATGGATTGGCCGTGACGTCTGACATTGGGTCTAGTAACAAGAGGGGATATGCAGTCACTGAAGAATGACTGGCTAACAGATAATGTTCGTGCGATGCAATCACGCACCTCGCGACACACTCAGGAAGGAAGACTGGCTAACAAAAGCCTCCCATCGTATAGGTCATCTCCTTCTGGGAAGAGTAAGTCACCCCTGCCGATGGGGGTGACCCCGACTCACAAGTCACAATGGCAGATACCTCGAGCGCGAATTTCTCGCGCAGTACAAGTCATCCAACATCGTCCTCCTCCGACCCAGCATGTCCTTCATGATCCTCCAAACCCCGAACCCGCTCTCCCTGCGCGAAGCCCTGCCCGACTTCTCCCGCACAACGCACGTCTTCCTCCCTATAAACGACTGTCGCAATGTAACCGAAGCAGAAGGCGGCACGCACTGGTCCCTGCTATTGATATCGATCGTCGACGGGATAGCGTTCCACTATGATTCGCTGCCCCCGGGAAACTACTATGAGGCGCGGACCGTGACAATGAAATTCGGGTCGCTGCTGAACCGTCCGATCCGCTACGTCCACTTGGAAGACTCCCCCGTTCAGGAGAACGGTAGCGACTGCGGAGTGTTCGTATGTCTGAGCATGCGTCACCTGCTGCTGAAGAGGCTGCTGACCGCCAACGCCAACGAGAAGGTCAGCATGAGTCTGGGTGGAAGGAAGGTCGATGCTCGGTCTGGGCGGAAGGAAATCGCTAAGACCATCGAAGGATTCCGGAAGGAAGGCGAAAGACGCAGATCGTACGTTACATTGTCCTCCCTCATCATCAGCCCATAGCCCATCCATCCCCCACCCCAGCCCCAGGACCAGCCAATACTGACAATGTGAATGCAGAGCCAGCCTAAGTCCCCTCGGCCACAAATCCACAAGTCCCCCCCGAATCGAATAATGTCTTTACTACCCACATACAAGGCCAGTCCACTCAGCCGGCCGCCTACAAGAATTCCTTATTGTATATTGGAGTTAATACCCGGTCTTGGATAATGCAATGCATACACACCTACCCTACCCCACGGGAAACCCTACCGAGACCAAACCCCCATTACCGTCGTCTCGGGCTTCCTTCTAGCTACATCATTTCCTTTTTACCCAATGTGTCCATGTCCATCCATGGTCATCATTCTTACCACTGCGTCTGTTCTTGTCGCTGCTGTTGTTGTTTTGTAACATCGGGGAGCATTCTGTGCCTCTTTCTTCCATGACATTGTCTGAAGTCCATACCATATCATACCATACGGCTTAATGAGATACGCCGAGCACTGACCGAACTGTATTGAGTTCTGCGTTGCGTTGCGTTACGTTGTATTGTCTTCGCATTCTAAATCATCCATCGGCATCGTCATCGTCATCGTCCGCCTTTACCTTCTGCTTTCCGTCCTTCTAAAGACCCTGCCTGCTATCATGGTTTGTGATTTGTGATTGCCTCCCTGCTCAAACTAATGCCCGTCTATACTTATGTAAGTTGTCCTGTCCTGTCCTATCCTTCTTTGCTAGGACTTTTGTCGGATATAGGAAGAAGCCTTTCTTTCTTCTAGTAGTAATATATCAGTAATAAGAATTCCACTCAAAACGCACTTACGTGTTTACTATTTTATATGCATGCATACAAACACCACCAGATCCCACTAGTAAGAAGCGCACCACAACAGACATTTATCAACTAAGTAATCAATCCATTCACTTTAATTTAATCAAGGGGTATCTAAAAGTACATATCAAGGTAGGAAGTAAGTAGTAAGTAGTCAGTCGCTCTCTCCTGGGACGCGACGCGAGGCAGCGCAGCACAGGAAACCTTCGAAAAAGGGGACACATCAACATCAAACTCCTTCCTCTGTGGCGTGTGCAAGCAAGCATGCATGCATAGTAGATACCTAGTCCATAGATAGATATTCCGATTCCGCCCAGTCATCCAGAATATTGAGATTGACCTCAATATCATGCCATATCATATCATATCAAGTCACAAGGACAAGCCGCAACCTGGTATTTCGCCAACACTGTATCCCACTAACCCGCTGAACGTAAAACAAGAGAGAAAAAAAGAGAAGAAAAGAAAAGAAAAAGGAAACAGAATAGGTCAAGGAAAGGTGAGATTCGACGGATGAGGCGCGCACATCGGAGAGACATAATGTTATGTCAACGTACGATGGCGACAAATGGTTGTTGAATGGTGAAAAGATAGAGAATGAAGCGTATCAGAGATTCCAGGTCTATGACGCTGGTGGTGGAGATTGCTCGGGAAAATGAGTGTCAAGGATGGAAAAGAAACGGAACGCGTTGTTCATCCAGCTTAGTTCGAAAGCTTCGCAAAGTGTTTGTTCCAGATCCATCCAACTTGGTGTGTAGGGTCATCCTGGTTCTTGGCCAGCCAGAGCTCCCCTTTCTCGGCGATGACATCAAAGATTTCCCCGGCCACGTATGTCAGGTAAGGATAGCCAGCCTCACGTCGGGCGCGGTCGATATTGAATTCGTAGATGCTCGCAGCGAGGAATAATACTGACGGCTCTTTGGGGGGGGCATTATCAGCACGTGGGTTGTTGTTGTCTTGGGGGTTGTCCGACATGGGCATCGCGGAGGAGAAAAAGCTCGAGTATCGGCCGGGGGAAGCTGGGGGCTCTTCCTCGGCTTTTGTATCGTCGCTGGAGGGTCCGATTACGTCAACTAGGAACGGAGAATCGAGGCTCAACCTAGGTAGGCTCGGGAAGGACTCGGTGTTGGGGTTAGATGCCGCTATGGAGCCAGATGAAGCATTGGTGATCTGTTGCAACATTTGGCTTCTCGGTATTTCAGTCGTCTCGTGCATAGCACGACCGGAAAAGGTTGAATCGGCCCTGTGGCGCCCATGCGATACCTGGGATTGAGTATCGAAGCTGGGTGAGTGGAAGGAATGGATGCCGCTGCCGAAATCCTGGGACACCTTAGGTGAGTCTTCCATGGTCGACCCTACGCGGGTGCTGACGCTGTTGACTGTAGAGGGTCGCCGAGGGGAGCTGATGGTGGCCCCAGTAGAGGGCGTGTTGAAGTTGACAAGGTTAACGGTGTCGGCAAGCAATGAACCATTGCAGATACCGAGAGACAAAACTTGCGCCTCGGAGCAGTTGAAGTTGGAGGACCAGTCCTCTACAATCTTCTGGATGTCGTCTGGGAACGACTCGAACAGAGACCCAAGCTTGTTCTGCATCTGCCGGAACCAAGTGGTCTGAATGTTAACGAAGTTTTTCAGACACGCCTCCATCAACTTGGCAGTCAGAGCATAGAGCTTGGGAAGTTCGTCCTTGAGGGTATCATTGAGCGCCATGAATTGTTCGCCCTGCTCAGTTGTCTTCTTATCCGGTTTATCGCCTCGGTCCTTTATGCTTCGAAAGCGAGCATAATCCATAAGACGCTTGTCGCGCTTTCTCATGACCCTCTGAGGTCCATCGTGCAGTTTGAGCAACGTGACCATTGGGTCAATGACACTCTTTCGAACCACCGTAAGCTGAAATCGTAAAGACAACCGGTTAGCGACACTAGAATCCATGGAAGGTAACGAATCATGGAAATCCGACTTACATGTTCGGGCAACGTCACCGTCATTATATCCCGGACGGAGGCACTGAGTTCATGCCATTTACCCTCGAGGTCGACGTAGTTTGATTGAGACACGTCAACAAACCCTTCAATCGCCGTCACGAATTCATTGAACCCGTCCATCGAAGCCTGGACCTCGCGTGTGTACATCTCGGCGTCGCGCATCACCAGTTGCAACTGGAAGAAGTTATCACCAAACTTTTGGGCCAATGTGTCGTATTCCTTGTCTTCGAACATATCGGAAAGTCCCACTTGCTGCTTCAACTTCTCGGTTCGTCGGCCAAAAGCTTTGGACAACCCCGTCCTCACGTCCGACTCTTTCCGTTTTCGACTGACCACTTGGCCCACCAGGTCGGCCCGTTTCTTCATCTCGTTGATGCGGACTGAGATACTCGTAACCTCTTCCAGGGCATGTTGGAGAGCCGTATGGTCGGGATGGTCGCTTGGGGTTGAGTCGAGCAGTTCGCTCAGCAAGAGAGGGTACTTCAAGATTCGTTGCACAGGCTTTACCAGGAGAGAATCCAAATCCCAGGCAGTAGTCAGGTCGGACGCCCAGTCTCGGCACTCCTTGAGCCAAATGGCAACCTTCGGGTTTCGCTGCAGTGTCTGAAGCTTCTTGTTAGCAGCGTCGTGGTTCTTCAGGTAATCGGCGTATATCTTCTCCATATAGCTCATTTGGTTGAGGAAGGCCTGGCCAATGAAGGTCAGGTTGTCTTTGTCCTGATCCGACAGGCCTGTCGTGCTCGAATTTTCCGACTCAGTCCTGGATGCAGGGTGGCGCGCACTGCGTTTACTACTCCACCGTTGAGATTTTGGCATCACATAAACGCTCTTTGCAGCATTCTTGAGTGCATCCTGAAACGCCATGGAAAACTGTACGACCTGGTCTGAATTTGCGAACAAAATCTTGACATCCTCCGCCGAAAGGTCCAGGCATGAGCTTGAGGTTCCTTTGTAGATATCGTCGACGACTTTCATGTCTCTTCCAAAGGTGTATTCCGTGTCAACAAGCTCCTTGATCACATGTCGCCGCTTCTTCAATCGACGTTGCTCTGGTGAAGGGGACTGGGCCTTGAGGCGAGGTTGCTCTAAGGTTGAAGGAGCCAGTGAAGTAGAAGATGAGCCAAGCGTCTGGGGAGAGGGTGTAGGCTCAAGCCTGCGAAGAGATGAATCTTCGCTACTTCCGGTGCTCTGGACGGGATCGAGCGGTGCAAATATGCCAGATATGATGGTACTGAAACGTTGCTCAGCAGCGTGCACGGTTGGAGGCAGCTGTCGCGGCTGTCGTACGGCGTCATTCTCTGTCGGCGTAGCTTCAGCTACCGGTTCTGCTTCATGGGATGGCAGGGGAGGTAGTTGCTTTTCACGGGAGTCGGTCTCTTGTGGCAGGTGTAATTTGATGGCCAACCCTAAGCCACGTTCATCGCCCTCGTCTGAGCACGAAGACTGCAGATTCGGTGTGGCTAACCGCGGTGTTGGAGCGCCACCGTGTGTTATATAGGCATCGCCATTTCGATCTTGCAAAACTGACCCATCTTCGGCAGCAACCTGCATCCAGTCCATAATAGATGGAGAAGCATGTTCCCAGTCATCGCGCAGGACTAGGCTTGCCGTTTGTCCAGGCCGATCCGAAGCAGAGAGATCGCCAATACGAGATACGACAACGGGATCGTCAGTCAAGCTGTCTGGCCTTCCATCTGCCATTCTATCCTCTGGGGATGCGCGAAGTGCAGGTAAAGGAAGGTCATGGCCTCGGCCATTAGCCAGTTCCTGAAGATAAAGCTGACCAACTCGTTTTGAATCCCAGCCGCCTAATCTTGCCAAGCTGGACGCGTTGGAAAATGCAAAGAGGTTTGCTTGAGACGTCGCCTCGCGTCTCGACTCGGGTGTGATATCGTTGTTATGTGAGAGAGAGGTCGGAAGCGGGTGGTCACTCATGGAAGGGGTACTCGAAGACGCAGAGCAAGATTGCGTCGCAGCTTCGCTGTCCTCCGTACACTGTTGTAGCTGAGAAAAGTCATCCCCGCTGTTCTCGCACTGCTCGTCTGCGGAGTGCTGGTTGCGAAGGGAAGACGACCAAGAGCTCATACTCCATCGGTTGGATCTCACCCCGTTAGTCGCTCCGTGTCGTACATAAACGTCGCATGACTCTGGGTTGTCGCTGCTGTCTACATGCTCATCAAAGCCAAAGCCGTTTTTCAGCATGATCGGTAGGGATTCCCTGTCATCATTTTCCGAGAAGCTACAATCCTGCTCATCGCATGATGAGCTGCTCGGACTGGACTCCCGGACATTCATAATCTGACTCAACAGAGCCCTGTGCGAGCTTTGTATTTTCTGTCGTGATAATTCGACTTGTGGCTCTATGTCAAACGCAGTGACATGGGTTTCGTTAGAACCAGTGGTAACGGCAGACTCGGGAGGCGCAGGGGAATTGGACTCGAATCCTAGCTCCCTTTCAACTATACCCGGGTGTCCGAGAGTTGGGGAATCCATCGTCATCAATTGTGCGGTGGACATCCGTTTGGAGTTCTCCTGCGTATGCACATCTGTATTGACATGGAGCTGAGGTAAGGCTTGCAGGTCTTCCGTGTCTTGTGTGTGTTGCGGTTCCTCATCGAAGTCGGCTACTTCCTCAATGACGGTTGCGTTATCCTCGATCTGGGAGTCCGGTTCAACTTCTCGCTCGGCTTGTTGTGGTGCTTCTGGTGTAGAATCCTGGGAGTGTTCACGATTGCCTTCCTGTGCCTCAACTTGACGTCGGAGCTCAGCTGCCTTCTCTTCCTTCCTCTCATTCTCTTGGACTGTGCGATTAAAAGCCTGCTGGATTCTTTCTCGCCGAGTCGCAAAGTCAACATGGCCTAGCTCCGGTAACCTTCGCTCACGTGGCCTGGGGTTCCTCGAATCTCGATCGCGGTTGATCTGATTCTGGAAATTCGATACCGTTTCAACCACTTTGGACCGGGACGTGAATGTGGAAGTCTGCGACACGGGCTGGCGCGGTCGGGAGCTGCGCAAGGCGGGCGACTTTTTGGGAGGGGGAGAGGCTATGTAAGCTTCTAAGAGCGCATTCCTTTCTGGAGGCTGATGACGGGACCGGCCATGAGAGACTTCCCGCTTTGCGCGTGGTGACGAGGAGGCCGCAACTTGGGATTGATCATCCTTAGTCATGTCACGCGGAGATTTGGGCGATGGTTTGGGAAGGCGGCTGGTGCCCTTCGGCGGCAGATGGATTTGCACGGCAGCACGGTTTCCGGAACTTGTGCCAGACCTTGAGGGGGGAGGAGAATCGTCCGAAACGGAAGGTGAATTGAGGCGGTGGGACGAAATCGGAATGCGTGATTTGGTATGTGGGTTGTCTGGGCATGTTTGGGAATTGGGCTGCAAGGGGGCCGGGACCGCCATGTGGGAAACGGAAGGGTGCGCTGTCTCTTCGACCGACCAGTTTCCAGCAAAATCGCTCCTCGTTCTCCGATGGGTATTGGCGCTGGATTCAGTACTCACGGCCTCGAGAAACGGTGTGCGTCCCAGATACCACGCAGTAGGCGTGAGGGGGGTCAAACCAGCTGAAGGATCAAGATGATCTAGGAACGCTGTGTTTGGGCTGGGGATGATCCCATCTGAACCTCGACGTCGCAAGTTCGCCGAATTTCCATATCCAGGGCTCGTGTCCAGTTTAAGGCTTGCTCCGAAAAGAGATCGTCGAGGAATCGATTCTGGCCAGTCTGGAGTATTCAAAGAATTGCCGTCGAAATCAGTCGTCCTCAGCTGCGGTGAGACAAGCTCTGGCGGAGAGTCGGAGCCGAATGCACTCGCAGGACGCCAGTGGTAAGTTTCTTGTTTCGTCGAAGTGCTGGGTGGTTCTCGTTGGCGAGGCAGAGCTCGAGGTTGGTGTGCTGCAGTAGGGCTAGTCGGGCTAGCAGCCCTCGAAGTCACCCGCGATCTGACAGTAGAAGTGGATGGAACCGGGAGCACTTGGTCGGCGTTATTGTTGAATTTGTTGATAAGGTCTTTGAATGATGTCTGCCCCGATCGTGCTGTCAACGCCCGCGCTGATGACCCCCAGGTAGATTCGTGCCCAACGCCTTTGTATGATGAGTCGGATGCCGAACGGTGCGGGCCAAGGTTTGCAGTTGACAAGTCTATCGAATGTATCGGTACCGATGATACACGTTGGAGATGTTTGGGGTGTTGTTTCTCTGCGGGAACCTCCTCGTTGACCTCCACCATGGAACGACCATTCGAATCGACACCACTCTCGTCTCCGGCCGCCAGGGTGGGCAAATGTGGTCGATAATAGTCGTCTGGGTCGGGCGAAGATCGACCGTAACTGTCGTGAGGGAGTTCCGGGGTTATGCTTGTAGGTGCAGGGAAGGGTTGCAGACTTGTGAGACCCGGCTGAGTAGGATACGTTTTACCCGACAGCGAAGGGACAGGAGTGGAGGACAGCGCTAGAGGGTCTTCGCGGGAGCCATTCGAAAGGGCGTCATAGAAGTAATCGTCGGTGTTGGGGGAGGATAGGCGCTGGAAATGACGAGGACTGCCGGCGAAGATGCCAGAAACGTGCTCGACATCACTCTCGGACATCTTGCATTCTTCAGGCAGAGAATCAGCGGGATAGTTCTTCGTCTTTTTTGCATTTGAGAAACATCAAACGGGGGGGATGGCAAATAACGGAAATAAAAATAAATAAATAAATACCCAGCAGATTGGTTGGTTGTGATTGTTCCAGTTCAAGGGTGCTAATCTTGCGATGCGTTGTCCACAGCTGGTAGGTCACAGATGCTATTGCAGGTTGTCCGGCCAGAACTACAAGGCAATCGTCACCGGGTAGTACCACCCGGGCACGGCGTCATATTTGGGATAAAATGAGACCACCAAGCCCACGGGACGATCCTGGACCTGTATCCTGAGGACCGGAGGATTTGTCCCACTGCGAAGCTCTCCGAAATGAACAAACGGGTCTGAAGCCGATAGGGACGAAGGTCCGGGGGGGAGGGGGGTTAGGGAGGTTGGGTTGACAACGGGGATGACAAGCAGTTCGGGGAGAAGGAAAGGAAAGTGAACGGCGATGGATAATAACAGCCAAAGTCAGACGGGCGCGGGACAAATCGTTTGCACGGCGTCTAACAGAAACAGGGGGATGAGGGGGAGGGGGAAGAAAGGAAGAAGTGTCCGTCACAGGCGGGCCGGGAGGGGTTTGGTGAGGTCAAAGTGACAGACAGTGTAATAATGAGAGGAAGTGAATGAGAGGAAGGGAAGAGGGAGAACGAGAGAACCGGGATGATGAACAGTGAACAGGTAAGGTCGGCAGTAAATCATACCCATCAAATAGTAGTACGTAGTAATGAATGAATCCTGGATGACAAGCCCCGAATCGGCCTGGTGGTCCTGTCGATTGAGAAGGGCTGCAGGTGGGCCAACAACCAGCAGCCAGCCCTGTTTGAGGGTGTGTCCGTGTTTCTACTTATTTTTATTCTGGTATGGAGGTGGTCATGACTCCGGTATTAATTACTTTGCTCAAGACTAGCCGACTAGGAGACTAGGTACCTGCTACGCTGCTAGTCTACGACGATTTGGGTTTGGGTGTGGGTGCGGAGAAGGTGGATTAGGGGCCGGCGAACAATTAAGAGGAAGAGAGAGGGGGGGTAGAAAAAAGAGGGGAGCCAGAAGAAGCTGGAGCCACCCAAACCACCTGGCATCAGGTACATCCTGTGTACGTGCTCCGTACTCCGTACTCCATGCTATAATAATGGTAGACTGTTACTAAAGGGGAAGTGAATGAATGGCATGCTAATTAAGGGAGCCAGAAAACTACAAAAGTAAAAAAAAAAAAAAAAAAAAAAAAAAAAAAAAAAAGGTTGTATGTAGGTAGGGCCTCGATCCCCGATGCCAATGCTTACCTACTTACCTCCCTAAGTAGGGACTATTACTTCTACCTACTACTACTCTACAATACAACTGCATATTAACTTATCCCGCCTGAAAAAATATGGTCCCAAAGCCAAGAGTGATCTCGAGGGAGGCACTGTCTGAAAGAAAAACCTGTCATGTAAGGTAATGTCAGTACCTGAAACTTTTGGCCTTGTGATGATAGCATATTTTTTTTGTTATGGAGCACAAAGCACTAAGGTAGGTAGTCGACGGTCTAGGTCTTTCAGACCTACAGTAGTAGATCTGGGCAGCCGGGTCTAAGGCGTAGGGTGTGATGAGGCAGGAGAAGGCTCTTGTTCGGATAGAGCCCGAGGACGGAGTTTCTAGGCAAGTATATACCTACGGAGGAGAAGTTGGTTCGCGCAGACGATGCCTTTGTTGGTGAAGCCCAGCCTCGTCATCCTATTTTCTCTTGCCACTTCCCCCCTCCTGGGCATGGAATCAACGAGAAAGTGGAAAAAACAAACGAGCGAGCTGGGTGATCTATCTAGATCATCTTTCATTGCCGATCGATCCCACTCAGTTAGCGGCCGGCTCTCCCGCACTCTGCAGTGACTGACTGAGCCAGGAAGGAGGAAGGTACTATGGGGCAGAGACCTATCCACTGCAAACCCATTCTAGCGCCTGTCAATTGTACGGTCGACATGCGAAAGAAAATTCCTTCGCGGCTTGCTAACGCGAAGAAGCCGAAGCAGAAAAGAAAGAAAGAAAGAAAAAATGCGCGGGTTGTTCGTTGCCCTTTTGGTTGTTCCATGGAACTTGATTCCATGCGCCAGTCTTTGGACGATTTACCTTTCCAGGTCCGTGGTCCTCGGCCATGTCGAGGAGACAAGGAATCGAACAACGCTCCCTCTGTCGTCAAGATTTCCCTCTTTCCTCCCTTCGTTTGCTGCTGCTGCTTTCTCCCGTTCATACACCGAAGGTCTGATGGTAGGTTGTACGCGATTCCTAGGTAGTAATCATCCAACGAACCCAGTACCTGTAATACGTATTGGTCGTGTAACACACGTTGTTTACATACCTGATACAGTAAGGTAATCCCGCATCGAGTCCCCATATAGGGCCGCATCATATCGGAGCTTGCTGAAGCCTGGCTAAGACATTAAGTGCATGGCCGTCATGTGCGTCCTGATCAGCTGGAACAGCCTTGAGTAGATGTATGCGCGATGCTTCAAAACGTTATTTCTCTCCCTACAATCTCTGCGTTTGCCCGGGAGTCTGCCTTGCCGAGTATCACGATCAGAAGCTGCCCAAGACCAACCATCCTTTGTCCTTTCGGGAGAATCCGATAGCAGCAGTCCTACCGATGCCACTACGGAATCTGACTCCTCTCATTGAGCTACGGGACAGATAAAGTCGAGTACATATCTCTCATGATCGTCCGTTCTTGTTTTGCCTTCCTCCGACTGCGCCGTTGCGCTCTTCCACCTGCCTTTCTCGTCTGCTCGACAGTAGTATTGTAGGAGCAAGGGAGAGAGAGGAAGGGGTCATGTTGCCCGCGGCCCTGTCGGTGTGTCGTAGACCAGTCGAAATAACTGCGCAAGTCAGTGCAACTGCCGAGTTAGTATACTACTAAGCTGTAGGTGAAGTAGTACACGGTACGGAGTACATGCAAAGCACCTATTGTGCTACCTACCTAAGGTGGTCGTGGTTATTGGTTAGCAACGGCCAGATTCCAACGGACCTACTTAGGTACTTAGTTAGTTAGTACTCGGTTCAAGGTAGTCAGGCAGCCTGTCCAAGCGGGCGAATCTACGGCAGATAAGCGTGTTATTAATCTATCAGCGCGCAAATCAGCGCAACTGATAGGTTTAGTGCAGCATGAAGGGATTTCCAGATCTGATATGCGTACTCCGTACAGAGTCCTCCGTACGACAGTCCCAATCCCCGACATGCTGTCGGGCTAAGCAATTGCGCCCATTGGGCCTGCTACACAAGACATGTTAAGCCACCGGATGCCTGGGTCTGATTCATATATATAATCAACTTTATTGCTTTTGCTATCGTTGGCGGTATGCGTCTGTCAATATTTAATTGCGTTTGCAAATCATCGCCCGCAAGAATCCACGGTTAGCCCTGACGTGCCTGGTTGACCCCACTGCTGCCCAGTATTTGGGAGTGGTCATGGAAGCGTCTAGTCTTGTTTGGAGCGGTCCACGGATATATACTTTTGAAGTATGGGGTCCCTCGCGGTCGTGTTGCAATCTAACTGGACGGGCAACCTCAGACAGGCACCCGAGGTCATTTTTTAGAGAGATGTCTATCCATCTCTATCTACTTATTTCCTTGACCGTGGACGGATGGGGTGCATATGATCCATACAGACGGAAGCCGCCGCGATGCAGCATTGAGTTGTGGTGGTGTTAGTATGCGGTCACACCGCTGATTCAACATTGGTTGTTTAATTGGCATCCTTACTGTGCGGATATAAAGCATCAGCCATCTGCATGCTTCAATTATAATCGGCAGTTTCATGCAGCGACATTTTTGACGCCCTGCTCATTCCCCTCCCCTGCCCTCCGGGGCGTTTGAGAGCGTTGGGGTTTGGGAGCAGGTACACACGATGCAGCAGCCAGGAGGCGGTCGACAGAAGCCTGCATTGCATGCCTCCCTTCCCCATCCCCAGGGGCTGCACGGTACTCACTTAGGCACTTAGCCCGGCTGACACGGTGGGGACGCAGTCGCAGTCCTTTGCGATTGAGCGACCTCCCCGGGAGTCGGGAATGCTGCCACTGTGCTAGGGCCTAGCGGCGACCTTTCTAGACCACCGTCGTTCCAGGGATCTGGCTCAGCTCCCCATCCTTGTCCGTGCGAGGCCGCAAGCACCGTGGCTGCGATGGTAATAATAAGAAAAATAATAATAATAATAATAGTAATAATATTATTGCCAGTCCATAACCTCATTATGATTTCTATTATTATCCGACAGTCTCGTCCGGAACAAAAGATCGACAGGTCATTCTGCTGATTGGGCAACTTTCCTCTTCCAGCCCCCAGCCACAGTCACATCCGCATCCGGACCCGAGTTCCAGGATTACTGCACGCTGTCGTTTTTGTTCTCGTCCTGTTGGTGCATGGAAGAAGAAGGTTCACAGGAGAAGGGTTAAAAAATCGATGAAGAATACAAAAATGAAAAAAAAATGAAAAAAAATATATATATATACACAAAGAACAATGTTAGAACAAGAGAAGCTGAGATCACAGGATTATTCGACCTATGCACTGTGGGCATTGTGATGCCCCCCCAGGTCATCCATCTCCCAGGATGAACCTGGCATATTTACCCACCCAATCCTTGCCACTGAAGGGTCATCTTCTTGGCCGCAATATACAACTTCAATGAACTTAAACCAATATTGACCGCTCAAGGAGGCACTCCGGCGGCCCGCCGGATGTCGCTTTCTTGCATCCGCATCCTTTGACAGACAGATATGCCAGAGTTTCTTCTGCCGTCTGCAATGTACTACTATCAATTTTACGGTTGGGTAGACAACACGGCCAGGCACACGTCACCTTGTCTTCAGCAGTACTTACTCCGTAATCTGTAAATCTTGGGTATTCCATTCATGCAGATTGGGATCATGCAAAAATCTCTTCCTTGTTCAAAGTACGGCGTAGAACTGCCCAGCGAAGTATCGGTAACGATCGGCGGTCGCTTACGCTACATTGAAGACTTTTTCCCCTCGAAAAGGCGAGAATTACCGATGCGATGCTGTAGACTGGCCCGTTGAGATGTCTGGTAGTCCATACGGAGCGAGAGACAGCATGGTTCTTTACACTCTGGTTCTCTGGGTTGACGGGTTAAGGCCGAAATTAACGAGCCACGAACCGAAGACCCTGATCGTTGCCACCTCTTTGGACCGGATCTGCGTTCCTGATCGACTGCTGGTAGTTTCAAGAGGAGAGAGCATCGCTCTGAAAGGGCGCCGACTCAATGAGGCTCCCCTGAGTCGTCAGTCGACAAATGTAATCGACAGGAGCTGCGCCTCAGAAGCCAAAATATAGAGTTCGGCGTGAGACACCTTCAAACGGCCCTTTCAAGCAGGTTGGCGTTGAGTATTGCCCTATCGAGCATCCAGCAGTTCCCTCCTCTTCTTCCGAGGAATGTGTTCGGTCGGGCTGGACTCCGTAATACATAATAAAAATAATTCTAACTTCGATTATTGACCGTTAGTGTTGTGCAGTCGGGAAATGCGTCGGCGAGTGGAGAATTGTTTCACTTCAAAACACCATGCCCCCCCATGCCCCATGGCCTTCCATCGCTTCGACAACTAGCGTCCTCCCCGATTGTCAAGGAGTGGAAACAAGTTCATGCTGGATGGACAGGGTCCTCCTGGCCGAAAGGCATTTGCCTGTGGCCCGGTGCATTGTGCAAGACAAGACAAGACCCATAACGTCATGACAAGAACATGATCTTTGCACGGCCAGTCCAGAACGCGAAAGGGGAAGCCGACGAAGGCCTGAGGCCGTGGTCCCGTGATCTCCGAGGGCCGCGTTACGCGCTTCCCCTTTCGGGTCATATCAACACAACGCCGCGGACCAACTTGGCATCTATCTGCATCTGCCATCAATCCGGAGTCATGGACGCTGGAACGATGTAAGCGTCAGGCGACCATCAATGTGAGGCGCACCGTCCCCTGAAGTCACCCATCTCGCCTTTGTTTGAGACGCCTAGCTCTCCTCGATGGGAAAGAAGAGGAAGAGACCCGTCAAGGGTGATCGTGCACAGGACAACTCGTCCCAGACAGATGTCACTACAGCACCCACTTGTTTCAGGAACCAGAGCGGCCTCTCCCCTGATCATCCTGCAGAGCACTCTCATCCGGTCATATCCTTATACTATCCCCAGGTTGTGACACTGCGGCAATACCTTTTGCGGCAGATATCGACGTCCTCCAGGTCTCGTCGTCGAAGAATTGCGTCAGTACGTGATGAATATCCTGACAAGGTGGCCAGTGACGATCGCTCGGAGACCCAACTTCGAGGACTTGCCAATTTACTCGACTCAACCCTAGTGGGGATATTGAAGGAGTCGCCTCCCACGTGCAATCAGGAACGACGACAGGAATTTGTCGCATTCACACAGTCACAGTCTAGGTCTGGACTCACCAGCACAGACACTGGGCCACCATGTGCGCAAGCAGAGGTAAGACCTGTCGACTTTACTACCAAGCTTCCTCCTCGACTATGGGGTTGTCGGTTCAGAGGTCTGATGTGCTCTCCCACCTATTACCATCGGTGTTTGATTTGGGACGGTATCTGGGTTTCGTCACAGCACCTTATCTGTCCTGGTAACCGCTAACGGTATAGTGTAGATAGTGGATTTTGTTGTGTCGTCTCTCTTCAAACGCTACGGCTTCTCCCGTCAGAATCAAAGTCATTTGTTGATCCGGGGCTTTACATGTGCGAGTGAGGGAGACAAGAATGGCGCACTTGCATGCAGCATTCCAGGCCTTGTGGCACGATTTCCAAATGACAATGTCCAGAGACTTAAGCAAGCGCCTTGGACAGAGGTCCTTGGCTTGCTGGGAAGCAACGGAGAAGAGACGATGTTGAGACTCTTGCTTGACTGTGGAGTATTCATGGCCGTGGACCAGCAGAAAGGTATCTACTTTCAACTCAGTGGTAAGCTCTTTTTCCCTGCAGAAGTAGTAGTAATATGCGCGCTGAGACCTCGTTAAAGGGCTCCCCCTATCGGCGCTTTATCCCATATCCAGTGATCTATTGCCCAAGAACACAGCTCCCCCTGTAAGGAATGAGTCTGCCTTGGCTTCTGGCGTTAGAGAAAAAGCCGCGATTGGCCATAAGAAAGCTTCAAAGCCACCGACTCCCATTATCTTCTTCCGTCGACGCATTCTCTACGCATCCCCGGTGTTTGATTCTACAGGGAGAGTGCAGTTTGGGTTGAACAATCATGTCCTGAGCCGTTTCCCTTCATCTGGCTGTTTAACCCAAACTATACACGTTCTGAAATACGTTTTCCCCAGACAGTTTGGCCTACGTAATGTTTTCACACGTATGGCAAGAGGTCCAGACATCCAAGCATTCAAAGACTTTTCATCGCGCGAGGAAGAAATTTCCAAACTGCAGAGGCAAATGCGACACCGGCCAGGTGCCGATGCAGGCGAGGAATCTGCATGGGTCGAGATACCGAAAAGGCTCCGTAATGCTGTAGAGCTGGCCCGGCAGTTGCAGAATCGACACAAGCGCTGCTCATATGCATCTTTGGTGAATTATTATTGTCCTTCTGAGGTATGCTCCGAACACCATTCAATTAGGACTCGGGACTGATGTTCGCCTCTAGCGTATTGGCCCGTGGTTACTTGGCCCTCATAGTTCTCAGCTTGAACCGCTGGACGGTGAACCAGAGCCTTCAGCGCCAGAGTCATTAATCACACAACCACGACTCTCTGGGCAGCAGGCTTCTTTGTCGCAACCAAGTTATGACGCCTCAGCACCATCAGACGCCTGTCTTCAGGTTGGTAGATCGGTGATCCGAGGGCCAAAGGCCAGCTTGACAGACTACGCAACCCCAGCCTCATCTGTATCTGCGTTCTGTCGCGCTGCATTGAAGAGCCTGATCCCACCTCAATTCTACGGGACCGGTCAACATAGGATTCGTCATCAAGATATTGTCTTAAAGCATGTCGACCGGTTTGTGCGTATGCGGCGGTTTGAGAACCTGAGTCTTCACGAGGTGTGCAAGGGCATAAAGGTTGGTCCAGCTGTCCTTATTTCTCGTATGGATTATGATTTAACAGAGGTGATATCCTGTTCGCAGATTACGTGCATCCCCTGGCTCGAGCCTCCTGCTGGTCCTAACTACAGCCCCTCACAACACAAGCTTTCATGGACTGACTCGCAGAAGCGCATGGAACTGCTCCATGAATTTATCTACTACGTGTTTGATTCAATTCTGATTCCTCTCATCCGTGCAAACTTCTATGTCACTGAGACTCAGTCCCATCGGAACTGCCTATTCTACTTCCGTCATGATGTCTGGCGTAAGTTGACGGCAAACCCAATGGCTGAACTCAAGGCTTCGGTTTTCGAGGAAATCAAGCCAGATATAGCCCGGGATGTGTTGGGGAAGAGGCGATTGGGATATGGGTTCTTACGGCTTCTACCCAAAACGACAGGCATCCGTCCCCTGTTGAACCTGAAGCGTAGAGTATCGACGCCAGGTCAGCCCCGGGGAGCCAGCGTGAATTCGACTCTGGCTCCTATCCACAGCATGCTGAGCTATGAGAAGACGCGAGCACCAGCTAAGCTGGGTGCATGCATTTCCTCGATGGGAGAAATCCACTCTCGACTGAAGGGCTTCAAAGAACTCCTGACAACGAAGCAGGAAACCCCCCTGATGCCGCCATTCTTTTTTGTGAAGCTTGATATCCAATCTTGCTTTGACACCATCCCACAGCAAAGACTGGTCCATTTTATTGAGAAACTGATTACCGAGGAGGCCTACCATTATACCAAGTACCTCGAAATAACACCATCCGATGAGTTTCACGACCTGGTGCCACTGGAGGAAAACCGACCAAACAAGCCTCGGCGCAGGTTTGTCGGCAGAGTCACCTCTGCGGCAAAACCACAGCACCTAGCGGAAGCGATCGCCACTGGTGAAATGAGAAATAGGCGAAACGCGGTCTTTGTCGATAAGTTGTTACAGAGGGAAGAGAATGCAGAGGATCTGCTGGACCTTCTTGATGAACACGTACGAAGCAACTTGGTCAAGATCGGGAAGGCGTTTTATCGACAACGCAGTGGCATCCCTCAAGGCTCGGTTTTGTCCAGTATGCTATGTAATCTCTTCTATGCAGACATGGAGCGGCAGGTGCTGGGGTTCGTGGAGTCGGAGAAGGCCTTGCTTCTTCGGCTGGTCGATGACTTCCTGCTCATCACCACCGATTCCGCCCTCGCCATGCGCTTTCTCCAGGCGATGCTCAAGGGACAGCCAGCGTATGGAGTCTCAGTCAACCCAACGAAAAGCCTGGTGAATTTTGCCGCGGCTGTGGAAGGGACGCAAATCCCGCGGCTTGTTGACACTCGACTGTTCCCTTACTGCGGGACCCTGATCGATACCCGTTCATTGGAGATCTACAAGGATCACGACCGGCTACTGGAAGGAGGCCAATCAGCCGCCGCGAGCCTGTCCAACTCGCTCACCGTCGACTTTACAAGAGCATCCGGCCGAACCCTTCACCGCAAACTGCTCGGATCATTCAAGCTCCTCATGCATCCCATGTACCTGGACACCGGGCACAACACCATCAACGCCGTGCTGTTCAATCTGTACGCGAGCTTTGTGACCTCGGGCATGAAGATGTACCGGTACTTGAAATCACTTGCAGGCCGAGCACACCCTACACCGGAAGTTGTGGTGGATATCATTCGCAGTTTGATGCAACTTGCCAACCGGCTGGTCCAAGCCCGAAGAGCGATAAAGCCACCAGGCGAGGCGACACCCCAGTCCTCGTCTCAATTCAAGGTGCACGCCTACGAGGTGGAGTACTTGGCAGCAGCGGCATTTCGATTTGTACTTGGACGCAAACAAAGCCGGTACGCGACGGTGTTGCGCTGGGTAGATGTGATCTTGAGACAGGCGCAGCCCAAGGCCAAGGCACCAGCCGGTCGTCTTGCTCAGGTGGTGCGAACAGGTAATTCGACGTATAGCGGCTGGAAATTCTAAAGCCATTCATTCAATAGTGAGATTCAACGAGGGTTGCGACCCCTTGCTGGGGTATGAACCAACCCTTGGGTGGATACGAGAGTTACATAGTTAGTACATTTAGACGTCAAGGGGGAGAGAAGAAGAATAATAATAATATTTGAGACCGAACAGATGTACTGTATACATCCATGGTGGCCAACTCTAAGGCCCACTGTTAAAAAACCGGCTGCAGACAGACAGCCCGAATCCCGCCGAGTGATGTAATTCCGCCGCACACTTGCAGGCCGGGGTGCTGGTGCTGGCTGGCCTTGGAAAGTTGGCACAGCCATGACGATGTGATTACGCTGCCGTGTAACGGTGGAGGAGGAACAGAACAAGGCGATCCCTCGATCCCCGATCGATCGTAAAGTAAAGAGGAGCCTGGTTGGTAAGGGAGGGAGGATATCTCCCCACGAGACAGATACTCCGTAGTCCGGACAGTCAAGCAAGAATGTATGAAGTAGTACTCCGTATCGTTGTCAATATTATTATTGTGTAGTGTGTAGTGTGTAGTGTGTAGTGTGTATTCCGGTAGACTTGTCGAGATGCAAACATCCACTGACCGAATGAGTGGAGTGGGGCGTACCTGCGATCGGTGGGCACGACCTCGAACCGCCCATGGTTACGGTAGGGTGACCACGCCCAGGGCGCCCGGAGCCGTGGGACTCCGGGCGGGCAGAAAGAAACCGCAGGTGGACCACAACAAACATACCACGGATCTGGTGGCTGTTCACTACTGGATCAGGGGAAGAGAGAGCCAAGGGGGAAGGGGAGGGGAAGGAGAAGGAGAAAGGGGGAGGCGAATGAATGAAATACCGGGACGACTGTCTAGCAACCAAATGTCAACAACTGAGTATTCATCTGGGTGTTGGTTGTGACTCCTTGCGAGTAGGGTTCTAGCATAGTAGTAGTGGTTGGTAGTGGTTAGGTTATTATTATGTTTGATGAACGATGTTGTTAATCGTTTATCCCCGGCAGTTGGAAGAATCGGACAGGAATGAGAACCCGACTAGTATTTTGTGGTTGCCTTCCACCCGCGCGGGTGTGGCGGTGCGGTATTAACTTCCATACCACTGACACTGGGGCTAGAGACAGAGCAGCTAGACTTGGAGTCTAGCAGTCTAGCAGTCTCTTCTTCGAAGGCTAGAAGTCATTACTATCCCTAATAGTCACGCCTAATCAAAGTAGCCAGCAAACAGTGCGCTGGCGAGCAGGAATCCTTCTGGAAGCCAGCCAATGAACTCGGGCCAGGCAGGTTCTCCAGCCCTGCTGCTAGCCCGAATGGGCGCAAGTGGCCCGCGTGGGATTGGCCAGGCCTGGTCCTCGCGGCCTGAGGCTCTCGCCCGCTTGCAGCTTCAGCCTTCATTCGGGCCTGCTTTGCATCCGGCCGCTCGTTAGTTTCATCTTCCATCCCATCCCCATCCCATCCCATTCCCCCCCCATTCATCCCCATCCCCTTCTCCTCTTTCTTCTTTCCCTCCTCCTCCTTCCCACCCCCATTCCTCTCGTTCTTCATCCGCCTCAAACTCTCGTTTCCCTGCATTCCGATCGTTCGATCTAGTCCATCGCTTTGATTTTCTCTCTCTCTGTCTTTCTCGTCTCATACCTCCGTCCATCTCATACATCCGTCTTCCCCCCCCCTTCCCGCTCCGGCCGGCCCCCAATGCACTGCTCGCTGCACGATTGACTCCTGATCCCCCTGTGAAAGAAAACGCCCCCCCGACCACTCCCCAGAACTGCCACCTGGTCCGCCTCTCGATTGCATGCGGAATTCACCCTGCGATTTCGTCACTCCTATTAATACTGCGCCCTCTGGAGCCGATCGTCCCTCCCTCCCCGTCCTTCGTTCCTGATAACGGTTTTCTTTTGTCTCCGCTCACGACGCGATCGGGAGTTCCTGTGCTCGCTTCCACCCCCTCCCCCCGCCAGCGCTTTCCGATTGCCTCGAGTATCTTCTCTCACGCTGATCTGGGAGAAATCTTGAAGCTTCGGTTGCTCTCCCGAGATGACCACCGTCATAACGACCCCGAACTCCCCTCCCGACCTATCCGGGTCCAAGTCCTCCAAGTCCTCCTCCTTCCGCTCCTCCTCGCAGCACTCCGGCCCCGAGGCCATCTTCACCGATATCTCCAACTTCGAAGAGGTGGATCTCCAAGATGATGCGCGCGTGGCGTACATGAATGGGGCCCCGCCGTATGCCCGGTCCGCGGCCCGCGCCTCAACGACCGTCGTGCAGACAAAGTCCGCCGCGGCGGTTGTCACAACTCGCGACCTGACAGCCACAAAGACGAGGCCTTCCTACCCGGCACAGGCTAATGGAACATTGGGACAACCGGGGCGCGGAGGCCCTAAGCAGAGGGCGGGCAACAAGCGGGAGCCCGCGGCAACGAAGCAAGCCCCCCTTCAAGTGGCCCAGCCTAATCGTTCGCGATCGACTTCCCCGCTACGGCCAGGTTCGAGTCTTGGTTCGTCGCCATCTGCCAACAGCCTCTCTCTCTCTTCAGTCAATGCTAGGACGCTCAACCGAAAGCCATCCTGGCAGCGGACCCGCAAGTCCCTGAAGGACCTGGAGGCGGAATACCATGACTCCGATGAGGAGCTACCCGAAGACGCGAGTTTGTGGAACGTCCCCATCTCTCCGCGGCCTGTCCAGGATCGATCCCCGTCGTCCCGGGCTCCGAGCCCGAGTGGTCGGAGTCCAGGCCCTCGTCCTCTACCCTTGTCGCATTCGGTTTCGCAAACTACCATTGCTCGATCGCCTTCCGGCTCCCGATCTCCCACCTCCCGATCCAATCGACCGATCGCGCGGTCCAGCTCAGCAGGACCCGAGCGCGGGCAGATCTCGCCGCGCAACCCGCGTGCGTATTCGTACAACAATATGATGTCTGATCTGTCGGAAGAGGCCAAGATCATCACGGAGGCCCTGGAATACCATGCCGATGAGCGCGATCGCAAGCGCGGGGAGAGCCTTCAAAGCGGACTGTCTTCGCTAAGATCGAGCGAGGAGTCGAAGCGAGCATCGAAAAACAACATCGAGCTCCCCCCATTGCAAAAGTCGAACATCATGATCGATCCGCTGCCTCCAAGCAAGGAGAAAGAGAAGGTCTTGACGCGGACGCGGCCCAGCTGGCTGCCACCCAAGGATCAGAAGGAGGAAAAACGGCACCTCAGGGAGTATAAAAGAATGATGGCGCAGTCACGAGAAGCAGGTATGTTTCGCCCGTTCCCTATGGAGTTGTCGGATCATGTGGCTGACAATCAGCAGACAAGCGCAGGGCTGCTAAGGCTGCTTCCGAGAAATGCGAAAAAGATAACACTCGCGAGACTCTCCAGCAGATCTGGGACGAGTACGTATGCCCGAATTGGGATAATGTCATTAATGAAACCCGCACGCGGGAGCTGTGGTGGCGAGGTGTGCCGCCCCGGATCCGGGGACCGACCTGGCAGCGTGCTATCGGCAATGAGCTGGCTCTATCCGAGGACACGTTCAAGAAGGCTCTGCAACGGGCCAAGGATGTGCGATCCAGGCCCGAGGGCGACTCCGGGGAGAGCAACAAGCGGATGAAGGAGTGGTTTGACACGATTGACACGGACGTGTCGAAGGCGTTCCCGGACCTGAACCTCTTCCAGGTCGGCGGGCCCCTACGCGATACGTTGATCGATGTCCTGCAGGCGTATTCCATGTACCGGAGCGACGTGGGCTACATCAGTGGGCTGCACGTGAGTGATCCCTGACGCTGTCTGTTTGACTGCGGCGACTGACCATTCTCCCAGACAATCGCGGCCCTCTTGGTCCTGCAATTCCCGTCGCCTTCTTCGGCGTTCCTTGCCATGGCCAACGCGCTCAACCGGCCGCTGCCCGTTGCTTTTCTCACGTTAGACCGTGGGGCTATCGGTCGTACCTATTCACTGGCGTCTGCGACGCTTCGGTATAAATTCCCCCGCCTGACGACCCATCTCTACGAGACGCTTCGCCTCAGCGACGAGGAGATCTGGGAACCGATGTTCCGCTCCCTCCTTTCGAACGGTCTGGACCTGGAGCGTCTCAGCCGGGTTTGGGACTGCTGGGTGTTCGAGGGAGACCGAATCATGATCCGCGCTGCAGTCGCGATCCTGGGTTGCTTACAACTGCAACTGTTCGGTTACACGAAGCCTGACGACCAGAGCCGGAAGGCCGCCAAGGACATTCTCAGCTGGGGCCCCCGCAACGGGGGCAGGGCCAAGGAGCGACACAGCGCTCCGGTGGCTTCTGCGACTGGGTTCGGCGGCGGCCAGCTTACTCCGGGCGTGGGTGACTACTGGATGCTCACCTCGGCGGGCGACGAAGACGGATTCATGCACGAGGTTCGGGAGGCAGGCAAGGTTCGGAACGGTGGTGCATCCGAGGAACCAGCCGCCGCTTGATGATCCGAACTGCCCCTGGCCCGGTCCGGTCCTCTTTTACTTCTTTTCACATTCCTTCGTTGAACATATTTACTACTTGGCTCGCGGCATTACATGTACCGGGGTCTTAATGATGAGCTGGGGTTATGGTTGTGGTTCGTTGTGCCGGGCTCTCTTGCCATCCGAAATGGTTTGTATGATATTGTATCCATATTTCCAAGACCTGACGTCGATGGCGCCTGCTCTAGGTACTTTACTTGAGATAAAAGATATTTTTCCGTATGAGACCCTGCCAGCTATTTAACTCTATCTCTACCTTTTTTTTTTTTTTTTTTTACCTTGTTCTCGTTAGGCTGTACTCCCCATTGGCCCCGTAATTTCCTCAAGTCATCTGCTCTGCTCTGCTCTTCAGAGCTTGTTACCGCGGCAATCCAACTACGGTCCCCCCAACCCGGTTCCGCGGTTCACAACGCCACATCTTTGGTCCGGGAAAATCCCTCAGATCAGCCCCGCGTTTCAGTCCCAAGCCTGAGTCTCTCGAAAGTCTGAATTGAACATGCATGTGTCATGCTGATGCATACTACTACTAGTATGCTTTCCCTTCCGCCATCGCATCGCAGCGGTGGACACTTCCCCTTCCCCTTCATCCCCTCCTCCCCCCCCTTGCAGACGCCACCCCTGTCCGTCCTGTCTGGTTAGTGGTTTGTCCCAGAAAGCAGGTATCTCGTTGGATGTGTTTTCCAATCGGACTTTCTTTTTTTTTTTTTTCTTTCTTTGTTTCTGGCTGGGGGTGTGTGTGTGTGCGTGTGTGTCTGTGTTGCACGTACGCCAAACAGAATACTGAATCATGCGCATGATTGATGGATTTGACTCTAATATCCCCGCGCACGGTCCCAGGACCCTACCTACATATATGTTACATATGCGTCTGGGTCCAAAGCTGCAGGCTGGATGGAGACGCGCTCTAGACTGAGCCACTGATCCTTCGACCCTGCGCGGGATTTTGTCTTTGGGCCGTGGCCAATAAGCTGGGCTTTTAGGGGGGGGTGCTTTGGCTGGTAGGTAAGGTAAGGTACTTTACTTTGGTGTCTGTCTACCGTACCTGGTATTGAGTGAGTGGATTGGCAAATGCCTCATAGGGTAGGGGGGGGGGGGGGGTTCTAGGGGTTTCTTCCTATAATAATGGTAGGTCCCGTATGTCAATGTCGATGTCAGTTATAATCATCATCACACTTTGAGATTGTGTCATATCGAATTTAAAAAGCATTTTGTGTTGAGCTTGTCCAATGCGCATGCACTTATTATAGCATTGCATGCAGCAAGAGGAGAAATCATAATCATGCTCTTGTCGAAACAGCCGTTGTGTCTCTTTCATTTCCCTTCACTTTGGGCTCGATGGCAGCAAGCGCCTGGGCCGGAGCCTTCCCCTTCCCCTTTGCCTTTGTCTTCGCCTTCGCTGTCGTCGTTATCTGGGCCTGATTCTGACGAGGTGGATCTGAACGAATCCCGTCCGCTGCTTCCTGGTTATCATTGTCCGGATAGCTTGAGCAGTCAGACCTACCAGACCAACATCCAGATCCCCCCAGCCATCTCCCCATCTACAACCACCACCTACGGCACCTGCACCTCCATCCTCCATTACGGCACAAACAGCTGCATCCGTCTCTACAAATCCACCACCACCACCTCCTCCTCCTCCCATCCCACCAAGAACCCAGCTTCAACCCCCCAAAACCTCAAGAAAACCCCCAAACCACCACCCAAATACCACGTCCTCAAGACCCAACGGCCCACCTCCTCCACCGCCCAAAAACTCCGCAACGCCCTGGAATCCCTCCTCTCCACGACCCTCACGCACCCCTCTCTCTTACACACCATCGACGTCTTCTCCACCACCTCGCCGCAGTCATCTCGCCACCGCAGCCCTAGCCTGCGCTGCATCCGCGGCCCCAGCCAGAGTTCCAGCCAGAATCACAGCCAGAATAACTGTTACAATTACAATCACATCCCCATCCCCAGTCCCAGCGAAACCACCCTCGTCACCGAATTCTCCCCCCTCGGCGACCTCGGTCTCTACATCTCCTCCCAGGAGCAAGGGGTGTTAGGCGCCGATGAGGCGGCGTGTATCCTGAAACAGGTGCTGGGTGCGTTGGGGTATTTGCATAAGTGCGGGGTGGGACATGGGGGGGTGAGTGTGGAGAATGTTTTTTTGGGGGTGGGGGAGATTGGCGGGGCGGGTGGGAAGGGGAAGGTGGAAGTGAAGGTGAAGGTGAAATTGGGGGATTTGGGGGGCGCGGTGGTTTTGGATTCGAGGGATCGGGATACTTATGGTGAGGGGGAGTGGAAGGGCAATTGGGCCTTGGCGAGGGGGTTGTCTGTTGGGATCGGAGAGTTTGAGGAGACGGAGAGGATGAGGATGAGATCGAGGTCGGGGTCGAGGTTTGGGGGTCCAGGTGCCAGGAGGTTTCTGGGGCCGTATGCGGCGCCGGAGGAGATGGGGAGGTGGTCTGCGTGGTCTGGTGCTGATGCTGGTGCTGGTGCTGGAAAAGAGTACGATCCCCGGCCGGCGGATATCTGGGCTGCCGGGATCGTATATCTGGTTATGCGATTGGGGCGCATTCTCTGGAGGCGCGCGGCGGAGGACGAGGATGCCCGGTATGCCGAGTATTTGCGGGGGAGGAGGGCCACGGAGGGGTATCCGTCGGTGGAGGGGCTGGGGACGGTGAGTCTCTCTTTCTTTCTCTCTCTCTCTCTCTCTCTCTCTCTCTCTCTCTCTCTCTCTCTGGGTATATGTGTGTTGATGCTGATTCTGTAGACCCAATGCCGCAACGTGGTGTATGCGATGCTGGATCCCAACCCGGCGCGGCGGATTAGGGCTGCGGATGTGTTGAGATCGGAGTGGTTGTTTGGAGTGGACGTCCCGGAGGAGGTGTAGATAGATATCATTATCATGACCATCAAGCAGATGCCACCAGGCATACAACTAACTATACAAGTATACAATTTTACCCAACCCACAACTCAATTAACCGCCCCAGCAGCCAAAACATACCCCCCATCCACAACCACCGTCTGGCCATTGAGATACTGATTCGAAGCGACAAACAACACCGCCCCGGCCATATCCTCCTCCTTCCCCGGCCTTCCAGCCGGCACCTTCCCCTCAAACTTATGCTTGGGCACCTCACTCTTCTGCGCCTCATCACTCTCCCCGGCAGTCATCTCACTCGGGAAAACCCCCGGCGCAATATTATTCACGCGGATCGCCAACCCACTCGAGGCAATCTCATGCGCCAGCATCTTAGTCAAATGAATCGCGGCCGCCTTGGACGCATTATACGCGAAATGATGCTGCGAGACCTTGACGATCCCGGAAATCGAAGTAATATTCACCACCGTACTCGACCACCCATGCTCCACCTCCGACCCCTTCTGCAGCAGCGGCAAAAGCCCCGTCGTCGTGAAATGCGCCTGCACCACGTTCGTCCGGTACGCGCGCTCCCACTCGTCCATCCCCGCGGGCGAGTTGAACAGGCTCTCGCGCAGGTCGTGCGGGTCCGTGTCTTCGGTCGTTTCGTGCGCGCTGCTGACCCCCGCGTTGTTGATCAGGATGGAGAGGTGTTTTTCGCGCGATTCCATCGTTTGAACCAGTTGCGCGATCGACTCCTTTTGCGTCAGGTCGCACACGATCGGGATTATCGTGCCCGGGATGGAAGCGTCGTTGTAGAGCTCCACCACCCGGTCCAGCTTTTCTTTCGTTCGCCCTGTGATGTATACTTTTGCGCCGTTGACCGCGAGGGCCTGCGTCGCCATTAGGCCGATGCCCGAGCCGCCGCCTGTGACTAGGGCCACTGTTTGGTGGTGGTGGTGGTGTTAGTTTTGTGTGGTTGTGGTTGTGGTTGTGGTTGTGGTTGTGGTTTAAATGGGAGGGAGGGGAGGGGAGGTAGTGGGGGATGTGCGAACCTTTGCCCTTGACATTGAAGAGATTCTCCAATTTGAAGTTGGCGTTGCTGTGGGCGGTCATTTTGAGGAATTTGGATTTGGATTTGGATTTAGTGGACGTATGGATAAATTCAGTAGTAGAGAAAGGTAAAGTTGGTGTAGATTTAGATGTATAGTAGATGTGGGGATGGGGATAGGATGTCGGGTTACGTTAATGTTATATAGGATTGGACGACTGGTATGGCGTAATGGGTTAAACATAAGTAACCTTTACTGTTAACAGCCCGTGGCAAGGATATGCGCGCAGAACCGTTCGACGTGACATGGTGCGGGGTGGGTGTTCTGTCCATGGGTCCAATCCGGTTTGGTTTATATTGTTGTTGTGGATTTTGTGGTGTAGGGTCTCTCATCAGCATGACGTTGGGGGTGTCGGTGGATGGAGTCATTGTGGTTCCGATGGGCTGGGCTGGATCTGATACCCTTATTCGGGCGTTTATCGAGGTACTCTCGGAGTTTATCTGGATTAGCGTCTTCAACTTGTTCTTTTATATGGTTTGTTCGACCACAGGAGAGCTTTCTTTTTTTTTTTCTTTTTAAAAAAAAATTATAAACTGATCATGATATCCGTTGATTTAATCTACTACAGCTTGGCCTTGTCGTCAATCGCCTCACTCACAGGTACCACCTCCACCATCATCTTGCCCGTGTTCGCGCCCCCGTACAGATCCACCAGACCCTGCGGCGTGGCCTCCAGGCCTCCCTGCACGATGTGCTCCTTCCGCTGGATCTTGCCCTGGGTCAACCACAGGCCCAGATTCTTCAATGCCTCCGGATACTGCTTCGCGTAGTCGAACACGATGAAACCCTGCATCTTGACTCGTTGCGACTAGGGACGAACAAACATCATTAGCAACGCACCCTCCCACCTCATCCACAACGGAGATCACTTACAATGACCTGCATGATATTGGACGGACCCTGCGGCTTCGCGACATTATACTGGCTGATGGCACCGCAGATGACGAAGCGCGAGAACTGCGCGGCCCGACCCAGACAGGCGTCGAGAATCTCGCCGCCGACATTGTCGAAGAAGACATCGATATACTCGGGGGTGGCGTCCTTGAGCTGCTTCATCCAGTCCTCGTCCTTGTAGTTGATCGCGTAGTCGAAGCCCAGCTCGTTGCGCAGGAAGTCGCACTTGTCGGCGCTGCCAGCAATGCCAATGACTCTCTTTGCGCCGTGGATCTTCGCGATCTGGCCGGCCACCATGCCCGTCGCGCCCGCCGCGCCGGACACCACCACCGTATCGCCCGCCTTGGGCTGGCCCACCTCCATCATCCCGAAGTACGCCGTCAGTCCCGTCATCCCCAGCACCGACATCGCGTCCGTCGGCCGACACCCCGTCGGCACCGCGATCTTCTGCGCCTCCTTCGCCCCCAGCACCGCGTACTCCTGCCACCCCGAGTAGGCCACCACCCAGTCGCCCACCTGGTACTGCGACGTCAGCCCGCTGCCCACCCGGATCACCTGCGCGATGCTCTGTCCGCGCATCACGGCGCCCAGCTCGACCGGCGCGATGTACGACCGTTTGGCCGTGAGCCATTGCCGCATCGCCGGCTCCAGAGCCAGGTAGTGGATGCGGAGGAGGAGCTTGTCGTCCGGAACATCGTCGGGGAGGGTGATGGTGTTGATCTTGAAGGTGCCGGAGGTCGGGGAGGGGTCGATGGCCGGGGTGGGCGTGTTGGCGTACAGCAGCTGTCGATTCGTGATGGTCATGATGGCTGGCGATGGCGATGGCGATGTGAGGAGTGGGGGTATAGTGTAGAGCAGAACGAAACAAAAAACGGTGAAAAAAACGAAAAAGGAGGAGAAGGGGGATGTCTTGTTGTTAAAGGAGCATGCCATTGAGGCCAGGAACCTCGGCTCGTCCGCTGGCGAACTAGGCCCTCGCTCTGTTTAGAGTAACTCCTCCGACGGGCAACCCTGGAGTCCTTTTTTTTGAGGGGGTCCGTTCCCGAGGTCTCTTTCCCTTGACTGATTAGTCGGGTCTTGTACGCGCTGCACAGAACAGTTATGTCTGAAGCACAATTTGGTACTTCACAGTCCTGCTCACAGCACGTAGTAGTGGTGTAGACTAGTTAGTGGCTGCGATCCATGACATCATTGCAAACTTCTTATCGATAAGGTGTCGGTCACATGACACGCTCTGGGATGAGAGTGATTCTCTTCTACATCTGGTGCACTCCGGAGTACATAGCAAAGGATCCTTCCCCGAATGGTGAATGCGACTGGTGTCGTAGCCCTTGATTTAATGCAAAGAGGCTTGAGGCAAGTTGTGAGACAACGGCAGTGATTGTCGCCCCTGCGCTCAGCCTGACGTCACAGACTCGATCGATGATGTCGAGGAGCCCCCCGACTACTTTGTATATAAGATCGAGTTGTGACGGTGGAGTACGACGACCGTTCAGGGACAGTACTATCGATCTGAATCTCTGAACATTGAATATTTGCATCTCTTCAAAAGTAAATCCCATCAATCTATCTATCAATTCATCAACCACCACGATGAGCAGCACGCAGACTCCCTACCACGGCTACACCTCCGGCCAGCACCCCAACGCAACCACCGCGACCGGGGCGCAGACCGGAGGCATCACCAGCACCGGTCAGGCGAGTACAGGCCCGGCGTCCACCACGGCTGGACCGCATCAATCCGATCTGGCCAACAAGGCCGACCCCCGCGTCGACAGCGACCTCAACAACCGCGCCCAGTACGCCCCCGGCACCACCACCACCGGCAACGTCCATCCCCAGGCCACCCAGGGCGTGTCCAACACCCAGAGCTCCACGGGAGGCCCCCACAAGTCCTCGCTGCTGAACAAGCTGGACCCCCGCGTCAACAGCAAGACCGGCGAGACCTCCTCCAAGTCGACCAACCAGGCCGGCACTGGAGCCATGCGGGAACCGACCGACACCTCCGGGGCAGCTGCTTATTCGAACCCCAGCAGCTCGACTGCCGGGACTCGAGGCCCCTCGTCAACCACCACGGCGGGCTACAGCACCGCGCCGGTGTCCGGGTCGCAGACCACCAGCGGTGTGGGATACCAGCCTGCCCAGTCGTCCGGTAGCACCTACGGCAATACGACCACGGCCGGATCCAAGTCGGCGCAGACCGGCGAGGAAGTCGGCCGCGGGGTCAAATCCGCTGCGGCGGGGATTCATGTAAGTCCAGTCCAGCCCAATCCAATAATCCAATCCTCCAGGTTCCGAGGCTCCTCTCCGAGACACCTCTCCGAGACACCCCTCCGAGCCACCACCACTGCCCCAGCCTAGCTTGCTGGCTAGCTGCTAGCTATCTATATTCTATCTACCTATCTAGCGGCCGCGCGGGCTATCCGGCGCTAAGGACGGCTGATGCTAACTTGAAACAGGGAGCGGGGGAGTCGCTGCGCGGCGGGCTGAATGCGGCGGTCGACAAGGCGTTCGGGCATGAGGAGGGGGCCTCCAAGAATGCCGCCATTGCCCGAGGGGGTGAGCAGGAGATCCAGTCGGGGAAGTTTGCTAGCCAGCGGTGATGGTCTTGCTGGGAAGTTGCGATGCGATGATACCGGGCTTTTCCTCTTTTCTTGACGTTATGAGTGATGAATGTACACGACCTGCTAGTTCTATCTAATCTGTATCTGTATCTGTACGGTATTTGTTTTCCCATGGATATGATTTGTCTGCCGCACTCGTACATGACGCGAATTCCTTTCTTAAGTTGGTCATCTCTTCGTCGCAGCTGGAACTGGAGCTGAAGCTAGCTGGTAGCTCGGGGGGGGGGGCTGGGCCTAAATTAGCACGCAGCAGGAGGATTCGGTTCGATGGCGCAAGGCTGACTGGCTGGCTATCTAGTCGGCGATGATGATGAGAGTGGCAGTATCAAAGTAGTTCGTTCGTTTAGCTAGACGAATAGATATTGTTGCTGGAGCCTCAAGGATCAGTCGCTCATACGGAGTAGATACTCGGTGGTGCTATGCCAGCAGACAGACTCGTGTAGGCGGGTGGCGACTGGGCCGATGGGCGTCCCCTGATTGGCGAGCCCCTCGCTTCTCTTCCCCCTCGAGCCCACTTTTCCTGGCTCTTTCACCCACTCTCACTCACGGAGAACTCCCTCTGGAGCATCATTGTGCTCATGATGACGACGATGCTACAGCTACTCCGTACAGTGCTACTGTTACAAAGTACTACTCCCTCCGTACTGTTGTTATCTGCCAGGTCCGGGGCACCTGGTGCTTCTGTTCTGGCATGATCTCATCGTGGACCTAAGGAGAGAACTCGTGGGCCGTGTTGAGTCGGAGTCTTCTGCAGACTGCAGCAGCCCAAGCTGACCTCAGCTCCTCCCCGACCGTCCGTCCGATCAATAATCAATCCATCCATTAATCTTCCCTCCAGCGTCCAATATCCAGCCACTGACTTAACCTCCAGCCAAGCATCTCACTAACGCTCAGCGATCCTGGCCTATCCGCCGCGATCCATCCATTATTACGGAGTCTTCTCCTTGGCCGCCAGGTCCCAGATTCAGAATAATCAATCTTACTATCAAATTCCCCCCTCTCCCTCCCTCTTCCCCCCCGGAATTAAAAATAAAATCGTCGCGACTGACAGGAAGCTTCTGCCGGAACCCTCGGAGGCTGTGCGGTGGAACCTCTTTTACCTTTCGGCCCTCTTGCTTTTTTTTTCCCTCTCTGTCCCTCTCTCTCTCTCTCGCGCGCGCGCGCTGCTTGCTTCTTCGTCTTTCTTATTCTTTCTTCTTTTTCTCTCGTACCTGCGTGGTACCGGTTCCCCCTCTTCTCTTGAATTACTTAGTTATTCATCGCCCTGGCCGCAGTCGATGTTACTCGCATCCTTCTTCCTCTTAGGCTCCCCCATGTGCCTGATTTGCTGATCGCCCCAGCACCACTCCAGCCCGGCTCCAATGGAACCACCCTAACGCGAATACGAATGCTCCATCTAGACATTCAAACCGTTAGTGTACTGCTGCCCTGCTCCATAATCTATCAATCAATCCACTTTGGCATGTGATGGATCCGAATGGGCTTTCTCTCTAGCCTGTCTCATCTTTCCTGCATCTATTCTTATCTTCCCTTGGCCCTCCATCTCTGTACTCTCTCTCCATTTATGGGTGACCTATAAACCTCATCCCTGCTGCCCCCTCCTCTTCGCCTGTCCCAACCATGGCGATTCCTGTTCACCCGGCGGGGGCCCACGGTCAGACCCCTGCCACAACACACTCCTCGCCAGCCCTGGAGCACTCCTCTCCGACCATCCATTCCAGTTCCGACAGCGAGGGTCCCATTGTCCCGGACGCCGCCCGGGAAGATGAAGCCAACAACGTGATCGGTGTCAGTATCAGCCGCACCCAAAGCCGGATGAAGGCACGTCTTACGCCGGCGGAGGAGAAAAGTCGAGTGATGGAACGGCACGGCGGCTACTTCGAGCCGATTCCCGACAGCGCAGATTCGGACGGTCTCTTTGCAGCTGAGATCACCGATGAACCGGACAATTTGCCCGAGGAACCTGCGCGCAAGCCGGTGCAAGCCCCGGCTCCTGCGTCACGGCAGAAAGCGTCGCAACCCGATGGTTTACGGGTGTCGAAGGACACTGGTTCTCGGACCAGTTTCACCCGCTCGATCTTGAAAAACGGGCTGCCATTGCGGCCCCGGGCGTGGTCCGGCGACTCATTGACCAATATCAAGTTCAAGAAGTTCCTGCCAGAGAAGTTCCTACCAGACAAGTTCTTGCCAGACCTGTGGACCCGGCGTTCGTCGCTTTCCCTCCGACCCGGCTCGTCATCACAGATCCGGTCCCGCAGTCAGACCCTGAAACCCAGATCGAAGCTGTCGCTGGACCTGGGCAAGAGATGTCCGACGCCACGGCCCCGGCGCCAGTCATATTCGGATCCGGATTCCAGTAGAGATAGCCCGGAGGAGCAATTGTCTGATCTCGACCCGCTCGGAGGCGCATCGACCGCCAGGCACTCGTATGCTCGAAGGCCCAGTGCGACTGTCTCGGGGGCGCCTCCCGTCCTGCGAAGAACTTCGTCGGACCAATCCCTGTACCTGAGGGCGTCATCAACGGCATCGTCTCTGGAACAACGACCCCGCTACGAGCATATCCATTCGCAGGTCAACAGTCGGTTCAAGGCTATCAAGGACAGTCTTCAAGATTCCAGCAGCCGCCTGCTTAGCATGCCCCAGCTGCACTTGCAGGACCTGCGGAGCGATTGGGGCTACAAGCCGTTCATGTCCGATGTAGCCCATCGCAAGGGCCACACATACGCCACCCCGGAAGATCCGCCCGAGGCACGAGAGATGACCTCCGATGATCTACCGCCGCCCCGGGCCCGCTCGCCGCGGTCCAGTATCAGTGTGCAGCACCCCATGTTGACAGACGCCATGTCCGAAATGACGGGCGACGTTGTCATCCTAGGCGGCTATCGGGGGTCTGTCTTGCGGTCGGCCAAGCCACCGCAGCGCCAGCTGTGGGTTCCGATGAAAGTCGGTTTGAATCTGAGGAAGGTAGACCTTGAGGTCGGCTTGAACCCAGAGGACGAAGAGCGTATGGAAGAGACCATCATCCCATCCGGTGTTCTGTCGCATGTTGGCCCAGTCGATATCTGTCGTCGCCTGATGAAGCGTCTTCAAAAGTGTCCAAATGCCGTCAACGGCGACCTCCGAGTGTGGGATTACGGCTATGACTGGCGGTTGAGTCCCCATCTATTGGCAAAACGGCTGATCAAATACCTGGAGGGCCTGCCCAGCAACTCCCCGGACGTTCCCCGCGAAAAACGAGGGGCCTACGTGATCGCCCACAGCCTCGGAGGTCTCATCACCAGACATGCCGTGAATCAACGGCCCGATCTCTTTGCAGGGGTTCTTTACGCTGGTGTGCCGCAACACTGCGTCAATATTCTGGGCCCTCTGCGTAACGGTGATGACGTGCTGCTCAGTTCCCGCGTCCTCACGGCACAGGTCAACTTCACCTTCCGTACCAGCTTCGCCCTCCTTCCTGAAGACGGTCATTGCTTCATCGACAAAAGCTCCAAGGAAGAGTACCGGGTGGACTTCTTCTCCGCCCAGTCGTGGGACGAACATCGACTTTCGCCGTGCATCAACCCTGCCCTCCCGCTTTCCAACGGCCGGGGTTTCAAGGACAACCTGCCTCTTCTCGGCAAGCGAATCTCCACCGTCCTAAGCAGCAAGGAGAACCTGTCATCGTCGGACGATGCCTCTGGCGATCCAAAGTCCCCGCGACCAGGCACTAGCGACACACGCAATCACACGCGCAACCCCAATGAAACCGCGAACCCGCCCTCCGAGTCAACAGGCAAACCCGCCCCAGTGGCTCCTCCACGGGTAGAAGGCCTAGTGGGTCCGACCTCCAATCTACGAGGCTCCGCCAATACCAAAGCCACAACCGCCACGACCATCCCCCGCGCAACAGCCCTGACCTACCTCGAACGCACCCTCAGCGAAGTCAAACAGTTCAAGCAAGAACTCGAATTCAACCCCTCGCATCAGTCCCATAACGAATACCCACCGTTCGCGGTCCTGTACGGGAAATCTGTCCCCACCGTCTACGGCGCCCGCGTCGAATCGCGCGAACGCATCAAGTACGATGACGCGTACGATGACCTGGCCTTCGCAGCCGGCGACGGCGTCTGTCTCGCCTCCGCCGCCATGCTACCCACCGGGTACCGCATCATCAAGGGCGGGCTCGTAAAGAGCGATCGCGGCCACGTCGGTCTCCTCGGCGACCTCGACGGTGTCGGCCAGTGTCTTCTATCGTTGATCCGAGGACGCAAAGAAGGCGTTGGTCTGGGCGACTCGCACCCTTTGACTTGACCTGACATGACTCACATGCCGACGCGCAAACCCACCATATATCTCCCCTCTCCCCTCCCCCAGCACATATACACAACACACAACACACACATATATATATATCGCCTGCATCTTTCCGGAATACCTCCATGCATAGAAACGATACCCCCCATCATTTCTCGTCTCGTCTCGTCTCGTCTCGTCTGCCCGCATCCGCATCGCACGCATCTGTTCTTGAGTTGACGACGTTGAATGAATGATTTACGAAAGACCGACCTTCATATCTGATCATGATCCTGATCTTGGTTTCTGATGAGACTCTGCATTGAGTATAGCAACAGAACAGCAACAGCAACAGCAGTAACAACCAGTGTTGGACAGTAAACTAGTGTTGGATTTCCCCTGTTGGCTTGGCTTGGCTTGGCTTGGCTTGGATTGCCATAGATCGATCTCCGGAATTGAATGGTCACATTGAACCTGCATGCAGTACATAGGCATCTCTGTACAAATATCGATGTTCATATTATACTAGCATATACATACATGTCTACCTACCTAGATTTGAAAATATATACATCCAACTAGAATCTGAATGGATGAGTACCGCCACTACAGCATTCTGAATGGATAGTAGTTTATATATATATGTAGATACTACTAGCAGCTAGTAGTATTCACCTCAATTCTAACTGCCACTGCCACTGCCACTGCAACTGCAACTACAATTGTAACTGCAAAATGCATTATCGTGATGGCGGTGACAACTTCATCATGGCAGTTTTCTACTACCGCACTACATGTATACATACATTGATATATAAATATAGATATAGTATCTACTTGAGATAGGAGTCGGAGCCCTTGTGTGTGTATATATCTATATATATATCTGTGTGTGTTTATGTGTGTGTATATGTAAAAAAGGCAAACAGGTAGACAACATCTCTATACTTTTATTTCTTCCAACCACGATACCCAGATATCTAATCATCTAGAAAAGATGTCCATGCCGAACAGAAGAACGTAATATATAATGCGAGAAAGAAAAGAAGGTAAGAAAAAGTGAAACACGCCCTATATCACAGAGAAGGAAAAGAGAAGAAAAGCAAACATCATGACCGAAATGACACACAATACATCAATCAATCCCCACTCATACTTTTTCTTTTGGTTTGATTAGAAAAAAGAAAAGAAACAAAGGAAAATATAAGAGGGATATTGGAAGAAAAGGGGAGAAGAAGGGGAAGAGGAGGGAGAGGGAGGGGAAGGAAAATCTAACCCGTTCTTGAGTTGGCGATGTTCAGGACAAGAATATCCGTCGCGCCAACCTTGGTCAGCTCGTCCATGACCGTCGCGATCTTCTTCTTCTCCACCATCGAGCTGACGGCCACCCAGCCGTCCTCCTCCAGGGCGGTTACCGTGGGAGCGCGCTTGCCGGGGGTGATGCCGGAGGCGGTCGCCAGCTCGGCGCGGGGGATGTTGTACTGGCAGAGGACGTACTTCTGGGCAGCTGCGCGAAGGAAAGAGGGTATTGGTTAGCTCTCTAGTACGGTGGAAAAGTGCAGTGCAGACAAAACTTACTGATAACACCGCGTATGCGGGAAGCGATCAGATCCACGAGAGTGTTCTTGGTGTTCCTGGACTTGACCAGAACGGAGGTGGTCTCGACGACGGTGTCGATGGCCTTCAGACCAGCGGCCTTCATGGTCTCACCGGACTCTATAAATCGAAAGGCGCAACACGGTCAGCGCGCTGAACGATGCGCAGAGATTAGTTGGGAATAATGTTTTGCACGCACCAACGAGATCGACGATGCCATCAGCCACGCCCAGAGCGCAGGCAGCCTCAACACTACCACCAACGTACTTCACCTTGGTGCTGAGCTCGCGCACCTCGGCGGTGTCCTTGCCCTCAAGGTTGGCGAAGAAAGCCTCGGTGAGAGCAGTGAAGCTCGTCACGATGTTCCGGCCAATCAGCTGCTTCGCCTCAGTGATATCGCCCTTCTCCGGGACCTGGACCTGCAGCTTGCAGCCGCCGAATCCGAGGTCCATGACCTCCTCCACGCCGGAGACTTCGCCGCGGGGCAGCTGCGCATCGTGCTCGGCGACCTGGTCGCGGCCGGTGATACCGAGGTCGACGCGGCCTTCACCCACGAAGGTCGGGATATCTGCGGCGGGGAGGAAGATGAGCGCGATGGGCAGGTTCTTGACCAGAGCGATGTCGAGGCGGGTCTCGCGGCGGAATTGGATGTCGCAGCCCGCGAGGAGGTCCAGGGTGGCTTGTTGAAGACGGCCCTCTGTTTAAGGCAAGCAATTTGTATTAGTCCGCGTGCTTTTGGGGTTCTGGGGCCAGTTGGTGGTGGGTTTGGGTGGAGCTGGGAGCTTCTTGCGGTCAGGGAGAATGACTCATGGCGGGAACTTGCTTTTGGGGACGGCGAAGAGCAGTCTTCCTTCGAGGCTGAAAGCGAGGTGTGTGTTAGTATGGAGGAGTTAATCATCGAAAGGATGGAGGGTGGTGTGGTCTGAAGTTGAAGTTGTTGGGAGAGCAATTGACTCACTGGTTGACGAGATCCATGTTGACGATCACCGGCGCGCGGGGTAAATGGACGGGGAGGGAAGTTGGAGTTGGAGAGAACGGAGGCTGGCGCAAGAGGGACAATTAAAAGGTCGAGGGATAAGTGGAAACCCAAATAGATTGTAACTGTCCCGAGAGAAGGCAATACCACGCACGGAGGAGTTGGAGAGAAGGGTAGAGGTAGAAAGAGGGGAAGAAGAAGTCGGACCCGCCGGTTGAGATGCGCAGAAAAGACAGAGTCTGAAATGCCGCCGGACTCGGAGGGGCCCGACATGCCTGAGGCAGTGACCTCGTCGATGCCCGGTAAGCTAGGCCGCAAGAAAAATATCCACGCCCGATCTCTCAGGCTGCCATGTCACGCCTGCTGCCTGACGGCTCAGGCAGCATTAGCCCTGAGCCCTCGCCTTTTCCCCAAAACAGAAAGCCCGCCCACACAAGCCGCAAATCCCTCGATTTTCCCCGAACGGCTTCAACTTCTGCCAACCCCCCCAAACGCCATCTTCCTCCATCCCGTCAGTCCTTCGCTGTCGTCAAGCCCAACCTCAAGATGGATTCCGCCAAGCAGCCCGCTAAGCTCGTCAAGGTCACTCGTGTCCTCGGCCGTACCGGTACGTCTTGAATTTCCTCGATATCGCCAGGATATACAAATCACAAAATTTCTCCGCGCGTGGTTCCCGTCTTGCTGACAGCTATACTCTCCCCAGGATCCCGTGGTGGTGTCACCCAGGTCCGCGTCGAGTTCATGGACGACACCTCCCGCAGCATCATCCGTAACGTCAAGGGCCCAGGTATGCGATTTTCCGTTTGCCGTTGAAGTCACTCCAATTTCCATCCACATCTACATCTGCTCCGTCTGTGCTTGGTCCGAACACGTCCCCCCGGAAAGAGATATCCCACGAGAGAGAAAGAGCCTGGAAATGGACCCGGAAGGAACCCGAACAGGAGCGGGGAGGAAACATCCGGAAATCTCGACCAGGAATCAGGAAACAGGGCCGGAATGGTTTCGCGGGGATATTCTCAGAACGGGTGGAACTTCGGCCAGCCAGACGAAAAAAAAAAAAAAAAAAAAACACGCACACCTACACACCATCACCATGCAGTGTCGCGGATACAGAGAAAGAAAACAAAAAAGGCTAACCCATTTTTCTTCCGCAATTCTACAGTCCGTGTCGACGACATCCTCTGCCTGCTCGAGTCCGAACGCGAGGCCCGCCGTCTTCGCTAAATTCGTTTTCCCTCCGAGTTTTCTTACCCTTTTCCCTCACGAGGCTATGTACCCTTGCTTGCGTTGGAAATGATTCTGGGAGGTCGGGAAGGCGAAAATAAAAAAATCTTCATCTCATGGGCTGATGCGGCATCCGGGTTGTGATTCTCTTCGCACTTGAATTGTTTCTTTTCTATCATTTCTGTCTTGTCTGTGTCCAACATACCGGGGTTTTAGAGAGAAACGAAGAGATATCAAACCTGACAATAAAAAACGAAGGAAAAAAATTTGAAATCCCACGGGCGCGAGATGATCCTTTTTTTTTTCATTTCATCTTCTGTCTAGCTTTCCTTGTTTTCTCCCTCGCATCGCTTTCGAATCGGACGATGAGATTTGGTGATTTCGTCACTGCTACGGGGTTTTGCGGTTCGACCTTGCGCAGTTTTGTGATTCCCGGGTTTCTGGTCTCATGAGTACTAGCAAGCTTCCGACACCTCGTGGATTATGTCGTGGAATGAATAGAGGCGGATAAGGGAGATGCAAATGATATCCAATGACGGAAATTAACGACAATATTGATCCCTATATGCACGGTTGTTTGCCCGGTTGAAAATCCCTGCTGGTTCGCCTCCAGGTGCTCAGCGGGAGCGTTGCTGCTTGATAAGAGGACGATCACTTCGTAGAACTAGGTCGTCCTTAGCCTTTCTACGTGTAGAGTGGTAGTCGCATTGCTTGATGCGTAGACCCGCGTCCTAAGGCGTCCCGTGATAATCTACAGAGTATCTATGTACAGTTGCCCCCAAGCCTATAACCATGCTCCAACTTGATGACAATATGCCGGCTTCAAATAATAACCATAGCATGAGCCCGAAAACGGCGACCGGATATCAAACGGCAACATCACAGCTGCTCCGCGCTGCTAATCAGTCGCTCGATCATGCCTTCATCGCTGGATCCGCCCATGACGTCTCCAACCGCCGTCACAAGTCCAGCAAGTTTCCGGCGGCGGATTTTCTCTTCGAGCTCTTTGCTCTTTTGTTTGGCCTGCTCCAGCAGCGGCCCTGGTAGATTGGCCAATCGTGCAACATTCAGTCCGTAACTTCGGTGCGCCACGCCCTCGCTGACTTCATACAGGAATGTGATTTCTTCGTCCTGCCCTGTCCCGGACTCAGTGAAGCTCATATGCACGTTCTGTAGCTCGTGGTCGGCAAACGAATGCACCATGGAGGAGAGGTGCTGATAGTGTGTGATGAAGAGCGTCAGGCTCCCGATCGATCGTACCATGTAGTCAAGGACGGCTTGGGCAATGGCAACACCATCGTGCGTGGACGTGCCTCGACCTAGTTCGTCCAGGATGACAAGTGAACGAGGTGTCGCCTGCTTGAGTATGTCCGCAGTCTCGGACAGCTCGACCATGAAGGTAGATTCACCCGCCAGCATGTTGTCAAAAGCACCCATGCGAGTGAACACGGCGTCGAGCATACCAAGTTTTGCCGCACGCGCAGGGACATATGAGCCAATTTGCCCCATGATGGCAATAAGTGCCACTTGCCGTACATAACTGGACTTGCCGCCCATATTGGGACCCGTGACCAGCAGGGCGCGGGTCTTGTCGCCGTCCAAGTCGATGTCATTCGGAACGAAGCTATCCAACAGGAGTTGCTCGACCATAGGATGACGGCCTTGCTCAACGTGGATGCACCTATCCTCCGTATATTCGGGTTTGACATAGCCGGGTTGACTGGCTATGGTAGCAAGAGAAATCAGGCAATCAAGCGTGGCCAACGCCTGTACACAATCCCGGAAGGGCTGGTACCGGGTTGCTATCTCGGCCAGGAGACCCATGAAAGCCTTGTCGCAGGCCGCGGCCAAGGCCTCTTTGTGTTGATCGCGTTGTCGTATTAGCTGAATAACTTCAGGCGTGTGGAATCGCGACACCTTCTTTGTTCCGCTGACTTTCACCCATGATGCAGGTACCCTTTTGATGGAAGCCGAGCTGTTCTCAACCTCGATCAGATAGTCGACACCCGAAACGGATTTGTATTCGACAGTCTTTCTTCCAAGCTTTTCACCGGCAACAGAGCGATGTTCTCGTAGATCGTGTTCAACGCTGGCAATCCCAAGCTTTTGGTCGCTGATATCTTCCGTCTCTTCACTTTCATGGAAGAAGGCATACTTATCATCGCTTTTCGCAGCATGCATATTGATTTTGTCCAGGAAAGAAACAACTTCCTCCAAGATCGTGGGGAGGGAAGTGATCGCTTCATTAATGGCAGTGGACGTAAAACCGGTATCCGCAGGCGATTTAACATCAGCAAATTCCTGCGCGATCATTTGCATGGTCTGGAGTACAGTGAGGAGCTCCGGTCGAGTACACTAGTTGTCTCATTAGTCTCACAGGCCTGGATGGTTCAAAGCGAACTATGAGTTGACAAACCTTGCCGTAGTAGATCCGGATCAGGCTCTTTTCCAAGTCACTCCTGACCTTACCAAGCAATGCTTTAAGCCGCTCGACCATGCCCGTTCTTTCCGGGTTCTTGAGTTCTTCAACAGCATTCACCCTCTCTTCGAGCCTCGACTTATCTAGCAAAGGACGTCCAACCCATTTCCTAAGCATTCTCTGCCCAAAGCGCGTTTGCGTTCGATCGAGCGTCCAAAAAAGACTGCCTTTCGTGGTATGATCGGTTTGATTTTGGTAAATTTCAAGGCTCATAAGGGTGTTTCCGTTGAGAAGCATGTGCGAGCGGGAGGAGAAGTGTTGGAAGTACTTGGTCAGCTTGAAAACATATTCCAACCCGTACTCTTTCATGTGCTCGATCATAGCGGAGAGACAGACGGTCACTTGCTCCGGTAGGTTGAGCACCTTTTGAAGCAGACTGCTCGCTTGCGCGTCATCCGCAGCGCTGGCTGTTTTCATGTTCCCTGCGTAGAAACTTGAAACATGGCTATGTGACTCAGCTGCAGCGGTTTTCGACTTGGTGACTCTTTCCACACGCGTCTTGTCACCGAACACGTTCAACTTGCTACCGGAGAGATGTTGAACAAGCTTCTCCGTAGCCTTGGACAGCTCACCGACAATGAGAAGCTCACAGGGAGCAATATGGAGCAGTCTTGTCTCGATTTCGCTTCTCATAAACCCATCTTCAAAATCATCATAGACTATGTCTCCTGTCGCCGGCTGCACCGCGACAATGCCGATATGGACCTTTTCGTCATTGACCCAGCCTTTCGCATTCGACTCGGTAATGCAAAGCAGGTAGCCCGTTGCCGGAGACGCGCCCCCTGACGCCGCAGACATAGGTCCTTCCAGGCCCTCTGCATCATCGATGTAGGTTCCTTTTGTATATAGGTTTGTGAGCTTGCGCACAAAAGGAGCATTTCGATTATCTCCCGCGGCCTTGAGGGCAGCCGTCTCTATCTGCCTTACCACGCCGACCTTGTGACCCGCGGCAACTAGGCGCTTCACGTGAACGTGTAGCCTGTGGACTGGTATGCTGGCGGAGGCGAAACGATCGAGGTGTGCTTCGGAGGGATCTGCGACACAAAAACCTACGTTAGGCACCATCCTTAAAGAGACGTGGGGGAGAAAGGGCGAACTAGTAAAGCCATGTACTTACGTTCATCGAACCTAAACTTCCCGGGAATGCAGACTATGGACAACTCTTTCGCAGCGATCCTCGCATCTTCGCCAAAGAATCGGAACTTGTAGCCAACCTCGACGACGAGTACGGTATCCGCATGCTTGCGCTTTATGTCGATTACTTGTTTTTCCATAGGAGTGAGCTTGCTTGCGCCTTTCTTTGCGCTGGCCTTGCCCTTGGTGGGAGGGGCTGGTGGCTCCTCGTCCTCTTCTGCCTCCGCATCCTCTGCAGCGGTGGCTTCGTGGACGGCATTTCTACCGATGCCAATCAAGCAATCTGCACCGCCCAGCTTCCGGACGAACTTTTGGTGTAGCTCGTCTCTCTCCTTCCGTCTTTGTTTCGCCTCATGGTCTTCCGTCTCCTGTTTCTTGTCTGTGCTGGGGTTCACAGCAGGCGAGCTGGCAAATTTGAATAGCTCGCTCCGATTACTACTATCCGGTAGTGTGGTTTGCTCAGGAGTCGGAATAGATGTTGGCTTCGGGCTTTGGTCTTTATCTTCGGAGTGCCGCCCATTGATTTTCGCTCTTTTAGGAGCCGGTGCCACGATATCTTCGTCGTCCTCATCGGTCAAGTGAGACTCATGCTCTGGCGACTTGTCGTGATTTTCCACTTTTTCTTTTGCTGCCGCTGCTGCTTCCGCGCTCTTCTCTTTGCCACCGCCATTTGCCGATTCTCGTTGTACTGGTTGTGGCTTTTTCGTGAAGAAGCTAGCAATAGTTGGTTGTTTCCGCTTGAGACCCGGGGAAGAGGAAGATGGCTGGGATGATGGTAGAGGCATTTTCCCCGTCTTCTGGCAAGCGTTGCTGGTTTCCGCGATAGATGGTGTCACTAGTCACATTTAGTGGGACAAGCTCGCTGTATAATCAATGGAACCGAAGTGGTGGCAATAATAGCTTGAGCATCTGTTGACTGCAACCCGAGTGACTGAAACAGGCCTAAGCACCCACGATACAGGAGCCTGGCAAGCTTCCGATTCGCATCCAGAGCAAACCAGGTATGACGGCTTAGCGTCAGAGGCGTGGTCCGCGGCAGGGACCTTCGACGCGTGGGGACGCGCTAGTTAGTTACCGTGTAGAGATTAGATGACATAATCTATGTGCGCCTCAGGCACACTTGACCTCCTTGCCTACTACCGCTTTGCATGAAGTCTCTACCTCCTGTCTTCTGCTTTTAGGTAAGTATAACATGTATCTCATTTCGTGGAGTGTAATACAATATTAGTTTACAGTTGCCAGGGGATTCTTCTAACAGTCACAGTGCAGGGGCTGCCATCGAGGACTACTAACCCCAAGCCAAGTATCCATACCCCATCACACTAGTGTTTGTCTGTATATAAAGTGAGTGCAGAAGCAGACTATAAAACAGAACTAGTACACGCTGACCACGGCCGCTCAACAAATTGATGTGTTTCAGGGCCGGAGGGGAAATATGAGAAGATGAATTAGCACGGCAAAGGAACTTGAATAAGAGCATGTTGGGTAATCGCAAGAAGGCAAGACCCTAATACGAGCTCCCATCTAGGTAGAGCCGCTCAAACTCACATTCATCGACATCCGAGATTGTTGCCCCGGGAGAGTCTGGCTGTTCTCCATTCTGAGGCTGGGGTTTGTGGTTGGCCTTCGCTGTGTACATTGGATTGTCTTCAGCGGGCAACCTGGGAAGTGAAACGGTCAAAGGGTTGAATGAGTACCCCATGGGACTCTCTTGGCTAGCGAACGGACTGAAGCCAGCGGGCTGCAAGTCTCCAAAAAAGCACTGGGGTGGATAGCCCATATCGCTCACCGAACGCCTTTTGATCGAAGGAGAATGCCAGTCAACAAAAAGATCAATCTGGCTACGAACATCAACCAGTGGTTCAATGTTCTCTTTGTCCATGGACATGCCATAGTTTCTCTCAGTCAAGGCCAGAGCATGATTGTTGGAGGATAGTGGGTAAGTATCACCATGGGCATTGAATCCTTGAAGCAGAAAGATGGGATGAGAGGAAGCCGACGTCGCAGAATGCGATCCATCACAATGATGATTCGTGGAGCTTGCTTTGTACTGATCCGGTGCATCCCGAAAGATGGCAAACCCATTGTGAGGCCTTGGCTGATTGCCTTTGAATGATAATGCAAACTCATCCGTGTCGTCTCGACTGACGTGGCAAAGTGGCCGTTGAGAAGCCAAGGGCCCCTGTATGTCTCTTCCAGCCATGTCTTCATCCACGCTGTTTCCATTCCGCTTGGTAGATTTTCGACTCCTCTTTCTGTCTTGTCCACGATGGACATTGCCATCGACTTGCGCAAGAGCCCGCTTGGGACGACTGGATTTTCGTTTGGGAATTGGTGTCTCTCCTTTCAGAGGGCTGCTATCTTCAACATTACCCGATATCACACGCTGCTTGCGTAAGATACCAGTAGGCGAAAAAACGAGCTCTGTAGGCTCGACACGCAAAGACGTCTTCTCCATCATCTTCAAGATGCTCTCATCCTTCTTTTGGTTACGTCGACGCCTCATTTGTTCCGTGGCAGAGTCAAAGATATCCATTCCGGGCCACAGCACGCCCTTCAATCGAGCTATCTCATCTGCCCTCTCCTTGTCCATCTCACTGTTGGTTGGGAAGCCAACACTGTCATTGTCATTGTCCTCAGTAAAGATATCATAGCCGTATTGGGCCGGGTGCTGGGGAAGAATGTCCGCTTTGCTCCCTGACCAGTGCAATGTGGACTGGACTGCGATCTCCTCGTCGGAGTCTGGGCCAGTTTCCTGTTTCCAAGAACTGGAGCCAGATATCATAAGCTTCCTTGTAGGGGTTCTGGAAGCCAGCGAAGGATCTATCCCAAGACATGCCTGTGAAGTGTGGGTAGACGAAGTAGCAGGATCATAACTTGTGGGAAGAGGTAGGCTTTCATTTTTAGGCTCGGGACCGATGATATAGGGATTGGAGAGACGCGGATCCAGATAGTCAGGGAGGGGATTCGGTGGTGAAATGTAGGCAGCGGGCACTGGCGGGGTAGCTTCATGTTCAAGCTCCCTCTTTGTGTTGACCTTCTCGTGAGCTCTCCTCTTGCGAGCCTCCTTGGAGGACATTCGATCAGAAAGCAATCTTGCTAGATTATTGACCTTGTACCATCTATCATACTCACGCAGCAGAGCGATTGCCTGCTGTTCTTGATGGCTGCGTACTTGAAGTTTGAAATAGTGCGATAGATGTGCTTTCGACGAGATGTGGGTCAGCAAGTGAGACACATCGCTGAAGGTGGGCTGCTTGGGGCAGATGTTGCACAGAAGTGCAGCTGCATTCATCTTGGGGCTGAGATCGAACAGAAATCAGGTTCGGACTCTGGAAATGATATTGAAGGAAGTAACAAAGAAGAACTCTGGTGACTGACGGGGGTGGCAGGCCGGCCTTGGAAGGAAAGGGTGGAAGCTGGAGAGTCCAAGAGGTAACAAGTGCTGTTTTGCCTGAGGACCTGCCCTGCGGGCTTCGGCTGCTCAAGTTTGTTGGTCATGACTGGAGAAGGAGCGACTCATTCAATGTGACTTCTGAAATGGCAGGAGCAGGCCTGGGTTATCAAACACAAACATTACGATATCGCAGGACTTGCGGCGATACTAGCTGTCCTATCGAGACACAACGTCTATGTCGTTATTCTAAGCGCTCTGCCGAGCTTCTGCTCTAAACGGTGAGAACTTAGCAGAATAAAGAGAGTGTTATTACCATATGTATAGTACTGGCCAACTGCCCTGCATGGTACCTATGTTTTAATAGTATTCACGCATTGCATATATAACTCAGGGATACACCTGTAAATATACAGAGAGATAGTATCACAAATAGCCTAGGAGGTAATACATCCAGCTTTGTAGATTGCAGCTCAAGCATTCTACTACTCATCCATGGAGATAATTTGTTATGTGTTTGAAATTGACCACATCTATAGATATGGACGGTCATTGACAGGTGCAAATATGTAAGGAACAGCAGTCAACGTGGGTAGCCTAACAAAACCAAATACTGTAGTCTCCAGCCATGGCGGCTCCATTGATATTTGCACCATGTTTAGCTAGAAGCAAATCCCATTAACTGTCATGCTGAAAGACGGTCAACTCAAGGATTTATCAATCGGGAATGTGTCCAAGTTCCGTAGAAGCTCACCAGACACCGGATGGACTTGATGTTTCTTCTGTCGGTAATCTTAACTATTACTTTGTAAGATATATACATTTTAGAAGGCGGGTTGCCATATGAATACCTGAGAGTAAACTAGTGAGGTGGTATGACTAGAGATACAACCAAGCATTATGGATTCATGTCATATGATATCTTCGAAACCAATGGTTCTCTCAAGACTACTGCACTAAATCTAGAAGTTTACAGATCATGTGCCACTGTGTCTTAACGGCCACTTAACAAGCCATTGTGGGGGGGTATGAAGCGGAAATAAGTCACAGTGCCAATCACTCTTCTCCCGCCTTGTATCCCATAATCCACGGAGGAAAGAAAAATGGGTTATTAGATTGCAGGAGGTGATGTCTACAAAGACAGAGCACGATAAGAGATGCGAAGATCAAACAACTACTACGATAGACATTTCATTGTTATCGTTTTTGGTAAACAGCTGGGAGAAGTGTCAGATCTGGACAAGGCTGTATTTGGTGTTGTGACAACTTACTAGGCAGGGTCTATTTCTTTGACACCGTCGAACTTCAGCAGGCTTAAGCCGGCAATGGCGAAATGGGTATGAAACACATCAACCATGCTGCCTGGGCGGTCTCCGATACCTCCAGCCTCGGAATCCTGGATCGAGTCAACACAACGTCACCATCGCCGCAAGAAAGGGGTCAGCATACCTGACAGCGCAGAATGAAAGTAGCCAGCTTGCCACCATCGATCCAGTGGAGTCTGTCAATCATGGCCAAGCTGGCCCCCACCCACCAGCTATAGCAGGCGTCTGGTAGCTTCTCAGGGCGCCCATTTAGGCCTCCATTATCAACCTGTCTTTCGCTGAGCCAGCCCCCCAAGCGATCCCTGTTCACCAGGTCTAGTCGCCCGGCAATCGTCAGGGCTCCGACACAGGTAAAAACCTGGCCAGCATGTGATTCAGCTCCGGGTTGTATTCCATAGCCCCCATCGAGATTCTCGCAGCTCTGGATATAGGAAACAGCTTTGGAGACATCGACTGTATCGAGGAGCCCCAGAAGGGATAGTGCATTGAAGGCGCCGTACAGAAAGCGAGTATCCCTCTCGCCCCATTCGTCGCCCATAAAGGCGCCCGATTCCTTATCCTGCAACTCGGCGATGAAAGTGCCTACCTTCTCCTTGCCGCCTAGACCGCGCTTCTCTAGCTCATCCACCGCGTCTAGCATCACGAGGATTTGCACGGCTGACACGGTATACAACATGTGCGCGTCATGGCCTGGAGCAGCTCCAAAGCCACCGTTCTCCCTTTGGCATGAGAGCACAAAGTTGATGGTCTCCTCACGAGGAAGGGTTTCTGGACGGCCAAGGAGATGTAGAGCTGTTAAGCCCCAGTACACTCCGTTTAGTCGAAGATGCTCTGTGAGCCAGTACTCCAGCTCATCCCTCCTCTAGCATCACCTGTCAACCACCCTCCCTATCACGGAGAGAAGAATTTATGGTTATAGTAAGAATGACGCACACTATCCAAGTTCTTGATATAATCCACATGTCTTTCGACACTGAGGTTCAAGTTGGATTGAGCCCCAGCAGCATTTGCAGGGCCCGAAGTCAATGACATTCTGAGAGCGAGATGTGTGGTTTGTGGTCGAGCTTTAACTAGCCTAGAGCTTCTGCTTGGGTAAGAGGCAGAACTCTTTGGGTGCCGCTGCTGGGTTTCAGGCAACAATTACTGTGCCCACCAACAGATCGAACTGGGTGAGGCAGAGGAACAAACAGCACGAGCACACGACCACAGTATGAGAAGACCTGTGGCTCTGGGGAGTGGCAAACGCAGGAAGAAGGCAACTACTGCACGTGTCCCCCTCGCTGCCGTGAGGTTAGCTTTGAGGTTAGTAGGAGTGGTGACCGTGGGAAACTTGGGGGAAGTTGGTTGGAATCCGGGAAAAAGCTTGGGCAGGGATGGTGTGTGTGGTCGGCAGCCGGAAGACGAGGGCGGGCTCTGGGTCACGTGAGGCAGCGCCACCCGGTGAGCCGCTGGCCCCGAGGCGGGGCTTTTCTGTTTCAGCCCGGCGTTTATTAGGGCAGGATCGCCGTCGTCCACGGACAGCGGTGTGAAACCCCTGAGCGCCAAATCGCGGTTGCCCCTGAGTCCCTGCTTCGCTCCGAAATGTTCGGTGGCTGGCCCTTGTGTCAATCCCGCGGTCAACGGTAATTGGTGGCATGGGCTTGGAGCTTGATATCCAGGCACCGGGCATGTTCTGAACTTCTGATACTCTATACTCTGGAGCAGGAGGAACAGGTCCTGCGGTCGGACTGCAGCTGGATTAGCCCGGAATATCGAAAGGAATGTGGATTCTTCTTCTATAGCACTACTACTATCTAGGTACTACCTACTACTACCCAGCTAGTGCTAGGCACAATTGCGTAGTGCCGGGCTATTGACTCTGTATGGAGTAGAGTCATATCTCCCACGTGTACGAAGTACTCCGGTCTTTTCATCGGCAGTAACTAGGCTCCAGGAAAACTGTTCTAACCGACCAACATCCACATAAGCAACTGTCTAGTATTGCGCACTACTATGGGGATACTATCTACTCCGTACGGAGGATGGAGGACAAAGCGCTTGTTGTTTATTCCTATGGGGTAGACTATCTACGGTGTCTAACTAAGAAGTTTTTCCCCCTTCTCCACCTCCATGCCCAAGCGCCGGAGAGATGATAATAAGAAATGAATTATAGGTCATCATACTTTTATTACTACTTACTACCAATGGAGCACCGGCGACTGCGCGGTTATTGGATCTATTGATAGCCCACAGAACACTTCTCTTGGTCTGTCAAGCTGCAGCATTGTTTTCTGGCTATAATTAGTCATGTGGAATGTATCATGCCTAGCAATTTGTAACAATAATAGCAGTAGCATTAGTAGACAGTAGTAGACAGTAGATAGATACCCTGTGCTCCGTGCCATAAACGTCAGTAATGAAGCGGGGCAATAAATCGATTTGTTATTATTCAACCTGGGTACGGTGTAGATATTACTCTTTTTTTAAACATCCCCACTGACTGTATCAAAATTGTCTTGACTGAACCATGGTTACCCGCATGTCGAGCTTCAAGAATCAGACAACCTTGCGAGGGATCATTACCTAAGCGAGGTTTCAACACCAAGGCGATAGATAGATGGATAGTGGTTCATTCCACGGGCTTCCATGCCGGTTCTGTTCCCGTCACTGGGCTGAGATGGAGCACCATCCCGGGCGAAGTTTGCTTACATTAATAATGATTGATGATGATGATGACCATCGGCGACGCGTGCTAGTAGTGCTAAAAGTAGGCAGGCCGGACTACTGCGTACTAAACGGCCAGATAAGGTGCCACTTACTGCTATGATGGGCCTCCGCGTCAGGTACTCGTGTCGCCCGAGGGCATCTGATTTGACCCTGCCACTCAACCCCCGTCCAGCGGCCTTTGGTTGGCCAATCCATGGTCGCCATCGTTGTCTCCTAGCCCGGGCCTGCATCATCCCGCCCAAGGCACCAACTGCCAGACCCGATCTTTTTGGGCCAGTCGCTGCCGGCCCTTGCACTGTTTGGATGGGTCCTCCCGATCTTTCGGTGTATATCCCAGTGGATTGTACTCCGGGCACGCAGGAGTACCTTAGCTGCCCATGGCAGCCCGGGGTTCCCATGCATCTTCACCAGGGGTTGACAAACAGTAGCGCAGTTGGGAGAGTTGGGACTCGGGAAGGGAGATGGATAGGGGGAAATCAAGAAATGGATGCATTATGGAGGCAAGAGATGTGCATGGTCGGACTCATCTGGACCTTCTCCCCCGGAGGTGGGCGAGGAGAGAGGAGAATTGGATTTTCTGGCCGGACAGGACGGGCAGGACAGGACAGCCTCTCCATTAATTTTCCCCGTGTATTTTTTTTTTTTTTTGCCTTTTCCGACCCCCCTCTCCCCCTCCCCTCCCAGCTGTAAGGTACTTAGGTGTAATTCTGTAACTGCTGCAGATATGAAGACGTAACTTGGATCAACGTCATCCGCCTGGTACGTACCAGCCACGAGTTCTCCTCCCTTTTTAAACACGCCCCCTCAATTCTGGTCGCGGGTGGCTCATCATTGTTATTGTTGTCCCTCCTCTTCCGGTGTCTTGCTCCTCAAAACAATACCACCTTGGGGGTACAGACAGCCTCTTCATTCTCCGAACCAGGAAGTTCAAGCAATGTTCACCCCCATCCTTACCTGTTAATTACAGGCGACCATCCACTATCCACCATCCTTTTAACTTAACTACATTTCCCCCAAGGAAGGGCCTCCCATCGATCCAGCTGGCTGTCTGTGCACCCTCCCGATAGGCTTCCCATAAATCCATAGGTGCTCTGAAGCCACCCAGTAACTATTTCGGAGCCTTGCAACGCCATCTCCACTGCCGTCCCCCCCCCTTAAAAAGACGGAGCCTTCTTAGCCTGACACACAGCCGCGCTTGCATAACGCTTTCAAGGAATGTGTCGTCGCTGCGACATTCGAGTCTGAGCTCTTCCAGTTCCAGCACCGTGTGGGATCGCTCTCTCTCCCTCTCTTTCTCTCGTGTTTCTTTGATCGCTACTACCTCTCCTTTGGGAAATTTCAATCGGGCGAAATTCCTTTGTCGCTCCCCTTCTGTTCCTTTTACTTTTTTTGAACTTCATTATTGCTTTTTGGGCCACGGCCACCCAACAAAATCGCCGACGTCTACTTCCTGGTCTCCTTGGTACGCCGACCGCCCTCTTCACCACCGCTCAGGCACACAAAACGAGCATCTTAGGCGAGCGCCTATTTTCCCAGTTGCCACTTTCAATCGTCATCAGGCGCAGCAGTGTGGACTACTCCTTATTTCTGGTCGACCTGATCCGCTGTGGGGGAAAGAGGAACAACTGGAGGGGTCGTCAACATCTAACATGAGGGGCGGCGCAGTCTGGTATGTGTGATGACAATTTTTTGATTCACTTTCCTGTCTAGTCCTCCCCCAGCGAATGCTTTCTTTTTCTCTTTCGATTTGACAGTCCATTCACTGGGATCTGCTGTCTATTCTGTCTATGCTGAGGCCAAGCTTCAGCCCATGTATTCCCTTGGCTAGCAGCTCTATTCACAACCCCCCCCATCCAAGACCCCTGCTTGTGTTGGCAACTCTTCCATGCACTTTATCTCTACTGTCATCGTTCTCCTGTTGAAGCGCCTTGACTTTCCTCCTCACTAACCGCCATGCGACTCTACACTAGATTCAATCGCTCTTCTGACATCCTCCCAGAATAGTAACGATTCGCCTTAAGTGTGCCCAAGAACCTCGACATCTACAGAAAGATTGGCGAAGGCTGGCCCCGTTCCAATCATCTCCTCGTTATCGCCAACGATTCTCATACCTGGTGCTTGGTTGTCTCTGTGAAGGGGGATTGTCGGGATATTTATGCCCCCAAAATTCAGACGGACGCGACCCTCTACCTGAAAAGGAGTAAGTTCTAGAACCGGGAACCTGCCGTCAGCCGAATAATGTCCAAATATAGTATCACACATGGGCTGGGTTGCTAACCTGATCCTCTGCCACTAGGACCTTCCCCTCGACCAACGCTTGGTGCTCTAGCCGACCATTCACATACCATTCCTTTCCCTAAACCCAGCGCGAGTCACCAGGCCCGATCTTTCAGGGTCATCCTCCGACCCACGATTGACACATAAGATGCCGTCTAGACAGTCCACTGTTCCGAATTTAGACCTAAGCACTTCCACCCTGCAGGCGGATGCGAAGATCTCGTCCCCACTGACTCCCGGCGCCCAAAGCTCCGAGGGGCCAAGTCCCCTGACACCCCGTTCACCCAAGTCATCATCCAGTTCGCCATTCTTCAAAGGAGCCACGATAAGACCCGTCACACAGGATTCGAATAGCAAGTCGAATAGCCCTACCTTTCCTGGCTCTCCCACTATTTCTTCTGCTGAACCAGCCACTCCGGGTCTTACGGCTATTCCTCAGTACCCTCCCTCCCCGAAAGATACCCCTAAGCACACTCGTGATCAATCGCGCTCTTTCTTCGCGAACCTCAAAGCGCCAAAATCCTCGCACAGAGCTCAACGGTCTGACAGCTCGGGAAATTCTGGCGATAAACCCAAGAGCCGTGGCAGTTCCAGGGATCGCAAAACACAAATCTCAACAAAGCTATACGAATCAACTCCTGATCTTCCGGGTGCTCTTGAGCGTGCCGCCCAAGAGGAGAGCCGTAAGTCCTGCTGTTCCGTCCATCGTTTGAAGCAATAGTCTGACAGGCCTATCCACAGGCGGTGACCGTGCTGAGGAGAAGTGCCCCCCACCGTCAGAAGTTAGGAAGGTAGGGACTGAAACAGAGGCCTTCAATCCGGCCAAGAAGAACAAGCCGCGTTTCGCCAATCTCCTGTCTCGCTCTCGCTCAATCCGGCTGGACGAGTCTTCTATGACCAGGATAGCAAACCGGCGCCCGTCCACTAGCCTTATGAGGCTGGAAGAAAACACCAGGCGGGAGGCGCACGAGCCCCCTAAGTCCTCTCGCCAAGACCGCGGCATCAGGACTGCTGGGAATCCGACAGCTCGCGGTTATACGGAGCGTCCTTCAGATTTCCACAACAACCCTCTGCGTAAGGACAAAAATTATGGTGGATCAATGGTTCCGTCTGCATCGCTAAGCCAGGTCTCGGGTGCCTCAGCTGCGCTGTTCAATAACATCAAACAGTCTTCGAGTGGCGCTGCGGATCGCATCGGTAAAGCTGGGAAAGGTTTCTTCGGCAAAATCACCCGGAGTGGCAGCACAAATGAGCGGGAGCTTATAAATGACGACAACTATATCTGCTCAGTCATCAATCTGCCGCTCATACAGCAGGCACGACGAACTCGCATAGCGAAACGGCTTGAAGACTGCAGGGACAAAACTGAATTTTGGATGCCCGCTTTGCCCTATCGCTGCGTCGAGTAAGAGACACCGCCAACACACATACTGGTTGCTAACGTTATTAGTTACCTGAACTTCAAAGGCTGCGAAGAGGAAGGGTTATACCGTGTCCCAGGTAGTGGGAAAGAAGTGAAGCATTGGCAAAGACGTTTTGACACGGGTATGAGTCTCCCTTCTAGAGGCGCCTCCTAAGCTTCGTAACTAATATTGTGTCAGAACTCGACATCAACCTTTTTGACGAGCCGGACCTTTACGATATCAATACCATTGGATCCATGTTCAAAGCTTGGCTTCGCGAATTGCCCGACGAACTCTTCCCCAAAGAGACTCAAGCTATGATAGCAGAAAAATGTGAGGGTGCAACTACCGCACCGCAGCTGCTGAAAGACGAACTCTCCAAACTTCCACCTTACAACTACTACCTTCTCTTCGCCATTACTTGCCATCTAAACCTCCTCCATTCCTACGTTGACCAGAACAAGATGGACTACCGCAACCTTTGCATTTGCTTTCAGCCTTGTATGAAGATCGATGCGTTCTGCTTCCATTTCCTTGTTTGTGACTGGAAAAACTGCTGGCAAGGCTGCTGGACGGAGAAGGAGTATCTTCAGGTTGAGAAGGAAATGGACCAGAAAGAAAAAGCGGCCCCAGCGAAGGATGATGCGGGCCATGGTGGCCAGCAGCATAACCAGCAGCATAGCCAGCAACATAACCAACAACCTAGCCAGCAACCCAACCAACAGTGTGTCCAGCAACACGGTCAATCGCATAGCCAGCCGCATAGCCATCCGTATGCCCAGCAGTATGGCCAGCAACTCTCACATAGCGACGAGAGAGCCGTGTCGTCCGGTAGCGAAGCTGCGACTGAAGAGGAGCCTCCGCGCCCGGCATCGCCGAAAACCCGCAAGCACAAGCCGAAGAACATCGAAATATCGCATACGAGGAGCGTCTCACAACTTCCTGAACTCGGCCCCCCGCTTTCTCCCATCCAAATCTGACAAACGCTTACTCTCGATCCTCGGGTGACAATATTCTAATGGGCTGAACCGCGTGCTTGCCCGACTAGGCTGGCCTACATATCACCCTTCCTTCTCCATGCTTCAGCTTTGGGGCGTTCTACGTTGTGTCATGCAGAGTCTCGGACTGGTTCCGCAGGTCGAGCATGATGACTGGGCGTTCTCCTTTTGATTGTGATTCGAACCACGCGCCATTCCCCGGTACCACTTTCTGGACCATACATGATTCTTCAGCTTTCTTTATGCCTCCATCGTTTCCTGGTTTGCGACGACTTTCTTTTTAGCTATATTGGGCCTTTCTCAGACTGCATGCCTGGCGCCTTCGGAGTCGGTAGACCTTGGGCTAGATGATGCTCCCTCTTTGATGTACAAATTTTCTTCTTCCTCTCTGCCGTCTCCTTCCCTTCCTGTGCTTTCTCAATCTCAATCTTCATCTATCGCAGTTTTGGCGACCCCACAGCCTTTTCGAAATCATCACATGCATGTTTCCTACCTTGTTTTCCGACAGATTCGTTATCTCTTGATTCCCCCACCGGAGCTGTGTTTCGGCGCGTTTCTGACCGAATTTGGCAACCTATGCTTCTCTTTTCTCCTTTGCTTTGTACTATCCCAAAATTTCTGGAGTACCCTGGTACATAGCTGTAAGATAGATCAACGAACGACCATGCATTAAATTGAAACATTTGACCCTGAGAAGACTAGGCGATCTATTGGTGCTTCATATACACAAAGACGTATCTACAGGACAAAGTGGGCAAGGCGCACATGTCAGGCCGAGCCTCAGCCATGCGTTGCGGTCCCCGGAAAGAAAAACATGGCGTAAAATATGATAAAATACTGCTTTTCGAGCCCGAGAGACAATAGTGCAAACGGGCAACGTTGACATCCAAGACCAGCGACTCCGAACCAAACGCCTTGATAAGCCCCAGTGAAAAGAACGAAAACGAGGCAAGACTCAATCATGTTACAGCCTCGGCTTGTCAAATCGTCATCGGACACACGCGTGCCGGCACCCCCTTTAACCACCACCGGACTTCCTCGACTTGCGCTCATTGGACCGCATCTTTCTCTCGTTGCGGCGTATCCGATCCTTGCGTTCGGACCGTGATATTCCACGGATCGAGCTGCCCTTGGCGGCCGCATCCTCTTCCTTCTTCCAGTCCTTCTCGTTCACTTCCACCAGCCACTCATCGTCCGACTTGTTCTTGCCCTTGTAGCCCCAGCGAGGCACCCACTCGCCCTTCGCCTCATCGTACACCAGCTTCTGGCGGCGTTCCTTGTCGGCCAGAGCAGCACCCGGCTTAGAGCTGTATTTGCCGATACCCTTCTTGCGGGCGAACAGCTCCCACTTGGTCGGCGGCTTGGGCGTGGGCAGGGGCTTGTGTCGCGGGAGCACGGTGGTCGGGGGCGGAAGAGTGAGGAGCACACCCTGTTGGGACGAGCTGATCGGGCAGGTGGTCAGGAGCTGGTTGAGGAGAGACTGGGTGCCATCCCGGGCAGTGGCCTTGAGAGAGGCGTCCAACGGTTCCGAGCGGGAGATCTCGAGCGGGTTGGGATCGTTCGCAAGCAAATGACCGAGATCGAATGTGTAGGGCGTGGGCTTGGAGACGGTCACGGGCCTAGTCGATCACCAAAAACAAAAAAAAAAAAAATCAGTATGTGTGATCAAGTCGGAGAATATATATATCGAACATATATAGATTTGACTTACAAACGCTCCGGCTTGGATTTGGAGGCCTCAGAGGCAGTCGCCATTGTCGCTTTCGTCGCACCGACACAGAAGGGCTGAAGGGATTCGGAGAAAGATCACCACGACACTGGCGAGGCAAAAAAAAGAGGGTGATGAAGGACCAGACGTACAAGAGACGACGAGTGCCAGCTTGACCGATCAGGTAAAGAAAAAAAAAGTTCGGGCGATAAATTCGAGCCGCTGCTTTTAGACCAGCCTCACCGCCTGCCTTTTCGACGGCGAGCACGCTAGGCCCAACGGGGCAAGGAGAGGAATCACCAAAATGTGCTCCGAATTTCCATCCATTCAATCCCATGTCATTTGGGCCAACGACCGATCTCTCAAGTCTCCGCGCAACCTCCGCTCCACCAACCTCCCTCCTCCCACCTCCTCCGCCCCCCCCCCTCCCCATTGCCCGTTAGAACACTGGCCACAGCGCCAGTGGGCTACAGAACAATGGTTTCCTCCTTCTGTTGGGGCTGCCTCACGCGGCTTCCCTCTGCGCCTCGCGCCCTTCTCCCGCCGACATTAACAGCACAGCGAGTCGCGGCCTTCCACACGTCAACCGCACTTTTGGCTGCCAAGAAGGGTGCCTCTGCCCCGAAGTACCGACAGGGTACATCTATGACGATGAAGAAGAAGAAGAGACCAGCCGAGAGGACGCGTCCGCCGGCTGTCGGAGAACGCAAGGCCCTCCGCAAACGCATCGTCCTCAGCAACCCCAATGCCCTTGAGATTCCGGACATGAAGGAGGTCTCCAACGAGACCATGGTCGACAGTCGTCTTCGTGGATCGGTCCTTGGACTTCCCGTGCCCATGCTCGATCAATTGCGGGCCGTCCAGGCCTTCCAGCCCAAGCAAGGCTGGTCGATATTTCGCCGGCCCGGAACCGTGGTGAGACGGGAGACTCTCGAGATCGCAAGGCTCATTGACGGCATTTCCGGTGAGGGTGAGGAGAAGGGAAAGGTGGTGAAGAAGATCGTCTCCGGTGCCAGGGCTACCGGAAAGACCGTCCATTTGCTGCAGGCTATGTCCATGGCCTTTACCAAGGAATGGGTTGTGATCACGGTCCCCGACTGTAAGTTTCTTTATTCCTAAGCGCACGCATGAATCTGGACCGGAATAACTGACAACTCCCAATTAGCCCAAGAACTGGTCACTGCTACTACCGCCTATGCGCCGCTCTCCGACGAGAACCCGAACGTATATGTCCAGCCCGAAGCGACCGCTGCTCTCCTCTCCCGCACCGTTACGGCCAACCCGGTCCTGTCGAAATTGAAGGTCTCTCGCGAACACACCGGTCTCAAGGCGCCCGTGCCGGCCGGTACGACGCTGGAGGACCTGGCTAAGATGGGTATCAAGGATCCTGCTGTTTCCTGGAACGCCTTCCAGGCTCTGTGGGCTGAGCTCGGCGCCAAATCTGCGGCTCCTGGTTTCGAGAAGGGCTTTCAGCCTCGCCCTCCTATGCTCGTCACCGTGGATGGCATTGCTCACTGGATGAAGGAGTCCAAGTACAACAACGTCGATGTCCAGCCCATCCACGCTCACGACCTTCTGTTCGTCCGTCACTTCCTCTCTCTGCTGAAGCCCGGTACCGGCCAATCTTCTCTGCCTAACGGCGGTATGCTGCTGTATGCCACCTCCGCCTCCAACAGCCCCACCATTCCCACCCTCGACGTCGCTCTTAAGCAGGTGGCCGCTCGCCAGGCCGGTGTGAGGCCATCTGCCCCGGAGTTCCCTCACCCCGATCTGTACGCCAAGACAGACCAGCGCGTCCTCGACGCATTCGATTCCTACGGTCTCCCCGCGCCCAAGGAAGGCACACTTGAGCTGCAGACTCTAGCCGGTCTGACCCGCGAAGAAGCCCGCGGTTACCTGGAATACTTCGCTCACAGCGGCCTTCTTCGCGAGAACCTCACGGATGAGTGGATCGGTGAGAAGTGGAGTTTGGCTGGAGGCGGCGTGATCGGTGAGCTCGAAAGGATCGGAAGACGCCTGAGAGTGAACACTGCTTAGACAGACATCATAGGGGGTTTTTCATCCCTTTTTATGCTCTCGGGTCTTTTTTGCTTGAGAGCAATGTAGACATTATGTTAGCCTTACCTTACCATCACCCTCATCTTTTTTTTTTCCTTTTCTTTCTCCTTTACTTTTTTTTGCCCCCCCCCCCCGTCCTGCTGTGCCATTGGATGGATATTCGAGAATAGCAGCTGTATTCTATTTACTCTTGGGCTTGCGCGCGTGTGTGTCTGTCTGTATGCATATAATGGAATTTTGAAAATATACTCTGCATATACCTTAGGCTGACTCTCTCTCCCTCTCTCTCTCTCTCTCTCTCACCTTACTACTCAAGCTGATGCAATACCTAGTAGCTATCTAGAAACTGGTTTACATTTGGTAGTAAGTACGTCAGAAGAACAGAACAAGAAGAGAAGAAGAAGAAAAGCGTTAAATAAATCAATACATACATACATACATACATACACAATAGGTAGGTAGGTACCAGCAAAGCATGTCTATCAGTATAGAAAAAGGAAAGAATCCTAAGTAGTTAGGTAGTCGACGACAACAGGCGAGGCAAACAAAGCAGTAAGTATCAAGCAAAGCAAATACCGATCGATAACAAACAGTCAAGCCCGACAACAATCGAAGTTAATCTGCCAGTCAGTCAGTCTGTAACCGCCCAGGTTACAGATATAGATAGATAGATAGATAGATAGATAGATAGATAGATAGATTCTATCCCGGTCACTGTGTGAAACAACGCCGCTGGCCCGTCAACGTTGACGTAGGCAAATGGTCATTCCCCGGGCAACAGCACTTCTGTCCGATCTCGCGCGTCAGCATTTCCCTATTCACTTTTGCATCCATTGGGTGGAAGTAGTGGATGAATATCTCCTCGTCTTGCTGAATGGCGCGGCTTGCCCACACGAGCATGCGGTTGGGGACGGTGGGGTCGTAGCCATAGAAGGCGTTGTAATGTGTGTAGCCGCATGCGTGGTTGAAGAGGCTGAAGCCTGGGAAGAGATATAGGTTGTGGAATGAGGGCTCGAGTTTTTCCCACTGGGCTCTGGTCATTCCGGGTTGGTTGGCGGCGGGAGGGATGTCTTTCTTGGTGATGATTTTATGTTTCTTGCGGCGGATATGGTCCCAGGGTGTGGCGTTTACGGTTAGCTTTCGCATGATGAGCTGGATTACCCAGGTGTCGAAAGTGAGGTCGCTGAATATGTCGACACCCAGCTGCATGAGGATGTCGAAGGGGACTTGGATGTTGGCGCAGAAGGTGAAGGGGAAGGATTGGTTCTCCCAGTTCTGGGTGCTTTCTAAGACGAGGAGTTCGTCGACCTCGTGCGCCATGAGGTGGGGGTCGGTTTGGCGTCTATGGAGCGTGATGTCGAATACTTCTCGGAGAAGCAGGCTCAGGATGGTTGTGTGTTGTTCGTTCGTGTGTGAGTAATATGTTGTTTCGTAACCTGCTGGTCCAGTTGTTACCTCATTGAGTCGCATGGCATCGTGCAACCAGTCCCAATCCTTTCCACACGCTCGGAAGTGATACCTCTCCCGGGCGTTCTCGGCGCATGTTGGCCCGTTGGGGTCTGCTTCGGGACAGAATGCGAGGCAGCTGGGCGCAGTGATACACTTGCAGACTTCTCGACGAGTCCCATGTCCTTGGGAGTACCGCACTGCATCCGCATGAGGGATGTCGGCTTTGCAGTTGTCACATCTCAATGAAATAGGGCCCGTTGTTGCGATCGTCTCTCGGTGAAATGGGGTCTTGGGGCTCAGGTGACCTCTGACCGAAGGTATTTCAACAAAGATGATTTCTCCTGCTGCAATAGGGGTGGTTGCAAACATGCCCAGCTGGTCGCCGTTAGGCATGGTGGTGACGCCAACCCTGCATCTTTTCCAAGGGAGACTATCATTTTCAGTGACAAGGTTTCTTGTTGCCGTATCCGTGAAGGCGTTGGTCGACCGGTCTTTATCATTTGCGTCATACGGATACTTCCTGCCTCCCGGAGCGCTACCGGATCGCTTTTCATAGAAAAAAACATTGGGATTTTCTGCGCTCAAGGCGGGATTGCGTGTGAGAACGCCATGCTTCATGACCCTCCAACGCTCTTTAAAGGGAGTTGTGTCGCGGTCTGGCATGACTATCCTCTGCAAAAGCTCCTTTTCTTTCACCTTATAGTCATCCCAACTTTGGAGCGCTGCGAGGCCGAGACTGATGATGTTCTGGATTGCCTTCCGCATTGTAGGGACGAAATAATTTATCCCATTAGGCATGCGCATGTAGTCAAGCTCATGGAAGGTATGAGGGTCAATCATGTGGCCCCCAGCTATGATATGCTGCTCTATGGCTTGCCAGATCCGAGTGTAAAGCCCAGGTTGACGGTTTCGGAGTAGCGGGTTAACCAGCACCTCACAAAGGAGGTGTGCTCGATAGGCATCTCCAACCGCAAGGTCAAAGAATGCTAGCTGATAGTGGCAATAGGCGCGGCTCAGCCAATAGGTCGGGTTATATGGACTCAGGAGGATGGCGCAAGTGTACATGTCAAGAGGGCCAATCCCACCATCGTTCGTGATTGTGATGGTGTAGCGGCTCACTTCATCCCTTTGAATGCCCCAATCCGAGAGGCGACTTCGGGGTAGAACCTGGTATTTCTGATATACGCTTCTCTTGTAATCACGTAGGCGTTGGCGTAAGTCTTTAATTTTGCCCTCGGTTGGGAGATTCCGCCTGTGGAGCATCATTTTCAGGTCAATAACCTTTAGGCCATCAATTTCCCTTCCTTCCACCAAATCTGGATCCTCCATTGAATCTCCCATATCAAAGCCTTGGTTGTTGAAAATGTCGTCGAAAGACCAGTGTGCTTGATCCAGCCCATCATTGTTCCACTTCTCTTGCCACTTGCTGGGTATGAGGGGCAGCAAATGATCCTCCATCAAATGGTCGTAGACATTTCTGGCTAGTCCATGCAGTTGATGCATATCTCCCATTATCGGACGGAGGAAACGTTCCCTTTTATCCATTGTTTGGCCAAGCAGCGTGTCTGGGAGGCTCCAGAAACGGTATGCGACCTTTGCATCAGGTGGACTTATATGCGGTCGCCATTCTATCTCATCATACAAGTCGGGTCTTCGAGCGAAGGGTGGGGGTTTGATCGTTTGATGAGGGGGTAATTGGTTTACGGCCGTCATTGTTAATAAGGTCCAGGAACTTGGGAAAGAGGTGGACCCTGGTGATCAAAATGATGACTTCGGCGTGATCAGATGGTTCAAAGATAGTCAACTGGTTCTTAGCAACTTGTGAGTGAACGATACGATTTGCACGGCCAGGGGATTGAGAACACATTCTGCTGATTATTATATGGCATCCGATCCTTTTTTGAAAACCGTGCCGTTTGCCTGTGTCCGAAGGGCGTCGGCCACAAAGAAACAGCAGGACAAAGAGTCCACCTAGGGAGCTGCGATACCGTCATCATCGAGATTGGTCAATCGAACCCTGGAGACGGACGGCTATTGAAAGGGAGAATTCCATGGACAAGTGTTGCAGACAAAGACGGCAGGGGACCGAGGGATGTGACTGCTTTGTCTTCCCTTGGGACTTGGTTATCCTATCAAAGAGCTGCCATGACTGAGACAGAAGAGACAACACAAAGCTGGAAGTAACTGCGGGGAAGAGGAAGCCAGAGTAAGCAAGTCGGTTTCTATTTTTTTTTTTCATTGAAGAAATACGAAGTTAAACCATATGTTTAGGTCCTAGGCTCTAAACTACCGGATTTCCGGGGCCTTGGGGTCGCATAATGGAGGCAGAGTGTAGGGCTCTTGTAAGTTCTCAGTGAACCTCTCTCATCCTGATTCCTCGCGAGTTGGTCCGAAACGATAGGGTCGCCCACCCCAACCACTAAGTATGATCGCATTTCTGTCTGGGTGAAGACCAAGGTAGCATGGAGGACAATGGGGTGTCCCTTGCTGTTATCCAAGCGACGGCCTGTCCTGTCTTTTCGTATACGAAGCCTGTCCATATGATAAATCAAGGAGGTATGGCAGTGTAGAATGTAATGCCTCGATGGTGGGGAAGTCGGGAATAGCGTCTTCAGGGCGGAGTCGAACCGAAAGGACAAGAATCTTAGCCTAAGACTAAGAGGTGATAAAGACGGTGATAAATTTAGCGACTCGGCACAGCCTCCGGCGCTTGGACTCGGCTGGGGCCGAACCTCACCGGACCCAACATCCCATTTCCATGTCAAGGACTCAAGAGAGAGAGAGAGAGAGAGAGAGAGTCAGTTGTACTGGTCGGAGTAGAAGGGCGGGATTGAGTCAGTGTCAGTGTCAGTGTCAGTGACCCCCTTCAAGTCAGCCGATCAGCCTCGTGGCCCCCGTCAACTTTCAAGTCAGTCAGTCATCGGCCATCCCCATAAATCCGGCCTTTCCTCGCCTCCGTGTTTGGCTCCGACAACCCATCAATCAATCAACAATTAATCTAGTATCAACATGCCGGGTCCTCCACAGCCTGAGTGGCGTCGAACGACCACTACACACCCTCAGCATCCCCCGCAGCCATCATGGCAGGCATCCTCCCCGCCGCCGCCCCCTCGTCCTCCTCGCCCGCCGTCGGCGCCCCTATACGATCCCAATCTTTACGGCCAGATTTCGACCCCTCCACCGGCTGCTAATGTGAGCGCAAATGTCTCTCCGTCGCCTGGCTTGGCGGCGGCCGACACCACCGCCTGGGGAGTCAAGTATAATAGGCACCAACTTCTTGCGCAGACCCCTCCACCACCACCACTGCCGGTGAGCGTTGAGGCGATCCATGAGCCACTCGGCCAATTTCGACTGACGAAGTCTTCTAGCCTCGACCATCAAGTACGACCCACTCCCCACAGGCGCAGTCTCCAATTGTGAGTCCGTTGGATCCCAGCTTTGCGACCCAGCCTGCGCCAGATGCCTCCTACCAGCAGTGGCCACAAAACGCTCTCTATGCACCCCAGCAGCCGGTCACCTATTTACCGCCACAGGCCCCACCACCTCTACCTGTCCCTTCTGGCTATCAGGACGCGAGTCTACAGCAGAGCAGCTCATGGCAGCAGTCGCCTCCCCCCTACTCAAGCGTTCCTCTCACCCAATATCATGGCGCCCCGGCTCAGCAGGCGGCAACTCTTAGCAACCCAAACGTCGCAGGGTACCCAACACCAAGTTCGGGAATTCCTCAAGCCCCGAGCCCCCAACAGGCCATCCCTGTACCCTACCAAGAGCAGCAGCGATTACCGCACCCTCCACAGGTCTCCGTGGCACCAGCTGCAGGTTCAGAGGATGGATCCTTCCCAACCGTTGCGCCTCCCGTGCCTCCCAAGACCAATCCCAGCTTTGCTCCGACGAATGCTTCCGCCCTAGGATTTGGCGGTCCCTCCGACTGGGAATACCTATCCTCTAGTCCAGGAATTATCGATGATATGGAGGCTTTCGGTGCCAAACGCCAAGATTCCCCGCCCCTAAATCCATCCGCTGGTATTTCTCCAGACCACCCGGTAACTGCAGTTGGACCTACCGCGAGTGGACCATGTATCAGTCCTGTGTCACCTCCAACGGAGACCCCTGTGATACAAACCGCCCACGCAGATGAACAAATTCAGCGTGGAGGCCCCATTAGTAGTCCAAGCACAGCGCTGAATGACCGGAACCCACCTCCCCCAATCAAAGTGCAGAGTGAATCCGCTCATAGTCCCGTCTCTATTGACGAGAGTTCCGAGAGCATTGACGGCATAATTGATGCTTGGAATCGGCCAATCCCTGCGGATTCTGAAGCTGGGCAAGCTTATCAAGGCTCAACACCCCACCCCGAGGTACCCTCTCCGTCGCAGAAGCTTAGCCCCATTGATATCCCCAAGCAAGAGTCCACATTACCAAGGAAGCAGGTGCAGTCCAAGCCAAGGTCTGCAGGGCCAGATAGCGCAACCAGTGAAGCTACTACCGAGAAACGGGCAATTCTTCCAGCGTTTGTACCACTCGATCCGTATGATGATCTGGATCCGTGGTCCAAATCCTCGCTGGAACGCTATGTTGCCATGCTACGAAAAGAGGCAGTGGCAGATTCCGATAAGGAACGATTCGGGATATTCACAGCGTTTATGGCCAAGGAGACAAAACTTCGCGAGATCCTGTATAGCGTTGAGTCTAGCCCGACACCTGTGGACGAAGCTATCCAAGATGTGCAACCAACGCCCTCTCCGCAGGAATCAACTTATAGTTCTGATATAAACGCTCCTCCGGTTGAATCAGGGCTGATACCGGTTGAATCCGAGGATGACTATTTTGCATCTACGAGCATACATGATGGCCCCGAGGACGGAAGTTATAGTCCTGGGGGTCGCCCAGTTCTTCCCAGGTTACACACTCCTGGTGCAGTGGATATAAAAAGGTCGGCGTCACATAAAATGGGCCATAGACATGACACGGGACACGCCGCTGCCTCGTCATCACGCTCGAGCTCGGTGCCACCCTCTATGATGAACGACGTGGAACGTCAACCCGATCTACCCCCTTTGACCACCAATCCTCCGCAGCCAATCTATATACCGTTTCGCTATGCAGAAGGTCCTCAGCGAGGCTCTGATGAGCTTGTGTTCGACCGCCCTGCATACCAAGCCTACTCAGACCTGCGACAGGCATCTGCCGAAAGTGGGCGGGTGATGTCAAACGCCCCCACTTCGACATCTCACAATCTATCGACTTCCGTAATGAATTTGAATCATAACAAGCCTGACGAAACGTTTATCGGTCTTATCCGGGAGAAAAGCGTTGCCTACCGGAAAAAGGCGCCCCGGAGAACATCCTCTCCACCCCCACTACCGGCTTCTCTCAGACAAGGCAAACCAACTGGCCCAGTTGAAGATCTGCGTGCAATGGTTTCATCACCAGCCGCCAGGCATTCGGAAAGCCAGTGGCATGTGACCACTAGAAAGGAGCTTGAGATTTTTACCGGCGATTTCACTTACATCCGGGAAGCGGGAAAGTCCTGGGAACTTTCAAGCAAATCTCGCAAAGAGGAATTGGACAAGGAGCGAGTCCGACGCCAGGAGAAGTCAGAGAATCGCGTTGATACCCTTTTCAATGGAAAGGAGATTGGCTATGCCGATATTAATGTCCTGGAGGAAGAGTTTCGCCAGAAGGAGGCTCGCGCCCAGTTAGAGGAAGAAAGGCAAGAACTGGATAACTTCATCGCAAATGTTTTCGAACCCTTGGATCGGCGCTTGAAAGAAGAAGTCTCCACGCTCCAGACACATTATGAATCTGCTCTTACTCAACTTGACCACGACAACAGCAAGATCAAGAGTGCCACCACGGACAAGTACAACTTGTCGGACACGATGAAGTTAGTGAATGAGATATATCGCAAGCTCGAGATGCGTTATCAGAAGCGCCTCGAAATTGCCCTGGATCGCGAGCGTCGGCGGAAGAAGGCCGAAAGACGACCCCTTGTGTTCATGGGCGACTCTCTAGCCCTTAAACAAGTGGACAAAGACTTTGATCAGATGGAGCGACGAAACATCCTTGAAGCAGCCAGGGAACGGGATGAGAGAGCCAATAGACTGATGGACTCATTCGACGATGCCATTATGCATGGTCTCGGAGAGAACCAGAGTCTTCTTGACGAAGTTGCCGCAAAGGTAGCGAAGATCGATGCAGCCAACAGCTCATCCGCGTTGCCAGATTCCGAAGCCGAACCGCTGCTGAAGTCGGTTTACAATCTGGTCGAATCTCTGCGCCGAGACTCCGAGTCCATCCTGCATAGTTTCGGTGTCGCCGATTCGGTCCTCAACGACGCTGATTACAGCGTTTCTGTTGCCGAGGCACGCTACTCAGAGGCCGACCCTGATGTTTTCCGCCGGCTCGATGACGAGAAGAAGAAGGAAGACGACAAGATCCAAACCGACCTGAAGTCGAAGCTAGATAGCGTCAGAAATGGGCCAGCCAAGATCACCGCTAGCATAAATGGAATCCTCGAATCCCTTGGGAAATCCCCGATCGCCATCACAGAGGAGCCGGATTCGACAACAGAAACGCCCAGCCGTCTACCTGTCGACGTACTCTCACCAACCACCCAACCTCCCGCTGCCAGCTCTCCGTCACGGAAGCCCGGGGAGGACCCAGAGCACCACCAGCGGCTTCGCAAAGCATTGGACGATGCAAAAAAGAGAAATGCCGCGAGGAAGAACGCTTAAGCGAGAAGTTTGGGGTTTGTAATTGTTGACTGGCATGGATTGACCCGCCAGGTTGTATGTCTTGTCTCGTTTTTGCTATATAGTTAGACTCATCACGACGTGACGAATCCCTCCAATGATGCTTTCACTGTCTGTATTTTCTATTCTTTTCTTGTGGCTTTCTGAAAGAAGAGTGGCTTTTCCAGGTATCATTGTAGGCTACCTTCACAACAGAGTAAGTGCTAGCTAGTCACATCACGGGTCTCCTCCAACCACCAACCACAACCACATTTACTGAAGAGAGCCCATTTCCCTGGTCTCTTACCAATCTCCATAAAACATTACTTGAAACACACGAATCCAGAGCCTTCTGTCTCGCCGCTATCGTCCTTCCACTCATCTCATCTCCAACGGCATTTAGTGTGACAGCGCGGAAACAAAGGAATCTGCACATACACTCTGGACAAATCAATTCCCATGGAACCGGGGTTCTTTCCCTCCAGCCCAGGATCCAGTTTAATGAGCCAAGGAACGTGCCCTTGAAAGGCGCGAAGCCTGCATGGTGGGTGCATAGTACTGCATTGTGCATGCACGGCCGTTACTACTAGTACTTACGTGATCACATGAGCCGCATGTTGATAAGAAATAGCCTACCTAGGAAGAATAATCCTGACCTGGTGCCTATGGCAGCAGCATTCCATTAACCATGGTAGTTATTGTGTGCCAGGCTGATGGCGCTGGCAGTGGCACTGACAGCGTGGCACAGGAGGATGAGGATGGGATGCTGCTGCGCCGCAGACCACGGCATCAGCATCGAGAAGATGCCTGTGGCAGCCAGTCCAGCGGCACAGGAGGCTTACGGTGCGCCAAGTGTCGCAGATTCGTGCAAAATGGAGCCGATTCAGACTGAAAGGGGCCCGCGATAGGCCGTCCCGAGGGTGTGGATGAGGAGGGGGCGCCTAGTACTAGTAGTACCTCTCAGTCTCTCTCCCCTTCCCGCAAAACTCTCCCTATAAGCGAATCGCAGCTGCCCGTCACCCACCATGGAGCCCCGTGGTAATATATTGCGTCTGGTGGCTGGTGCCGTTCCACAGGACTTGGATGGAACCATAAGTCATGTCCCAATGGCGTCGAGCCCAGCTTGCGGCGCATCGTGATTGTCCTGTCTCGGGTTGGTGCAGAGCAGGAGCAGAGCCTGCGGCTGCGGCAGTGGCAGCTTGGACGGGTGATGGTTGTTTATCTTTGGTCCCCGAGTCAGTCAGTCAGTCAGTTCCCTTGAGACGACGTGATCGCGAGGCTGAGGAAGGTCGATCCCCGTCTGTCATCAGTTGGCGTAGAAACCCCAATCCTACGATGTGTTTCCATGATACTGGTAACCAATGGTTTTGGCTCCCTTCTCCCAGGAGGGGGGGTTCTTGGTTGGACTTTGTTCATGGCTCATGCAAACCAGGGGCAACGGGGCGTTCCCCAGGTGTGGCTGCGTGAAAAAAAAAAAAAGAAAATAAAAGAAAAGAAAAGAAAAAAAAAAAAAAATAAGGTACTTCAACCTCGTCTTCTGTCGCGAATGGTTCCCCGCCTACCAGTAGATTCTGCGCCGCAGACTCGGATCCTGTCATCATGGCGCAGGTTGCCCAGCATCTGTGCTTCAATATGATGCGTCACGGCTGGTCCGATGTGCCAGCTTTTGAAGCACACTATGATTCGTGCAGAGTGTCTGCTCTGGAGATGGGTCTGGTCCTTCGGTCCTGGCCCCGGAGCCACGCCGATTCTTCCCCTCGGTATCAACCAAGTCAGGCTGTGCTGCTGTGTTGCTGTGTTGCTATGTTGTTGCCTCTGCATCATCCTTTGCCAAGTGTGTGCCCTAGTGGAGAGATGCCACTGCAAACAGGGGCGTCACCACCTAAGGTTCTTGCGGCGCGTGTAGGCGCGAGTACATCCGGTTGAAGGTTCTGATGGCGTTGCTCGCATCGATCAATCATGGTGAAGCCTTCGATTTCCGTTGTAGTCTGTGGCAGCAAGGCGCCTCCGACAGGTTGGGCTCATTTCGTGGGTATGAAGTACCCGCTTCCACCCTTGGTTCGCACCAAACTCTATATAAATCGGCCTCGCCGTTTAAGCCAGCAAGCAAATACAAACACAACCAGGGAAACATAAATCTAGCAACTTTATATCATCCACCCATGGCCGCCCCAACTAGACAGTTCCACGGCCTCTCGATCACCCGGGATATGCCAACGACGCGCTCCCAGGCGGAGCCGCACTCGGACGACAGCGATAGCAGCGAGCGCCTCGAAAGCGACAGCGAAGACAGCGAAGACAGCGATGACAGCGATGACAGCGATGACAGCGATGCCGAGGAGGGCGACTCGGCCGCGTCGTCGACCATCCGAGGCAAGTCCGGGATCACTTACGAGCTCGCCAACCTTGATTCCGACTCCGAGGCCAGGGCTCTTGTTGGGTTGACCAGCCAGTTCAACGTGGTCAGCTGCTGTGCGACACGCGCAGGGTTTGTCTTCCAATTCACCGAGCAGCCTCGTGTCCATCTTAGCTCGGAGGGGTATACGTGCACCTGCTCGACCTTTTCAGGTCGACCCGACGTGGCCTGTCAGCACATTTTCGTATGTCTCCACCCCTATCTGAATTTTCCCCTTTTCTCTCCTCTGGTGTACTGACGCCCCGTCAAAGTGGCTCCTCGATCAGCTGCATGGCTGCCTCATCCCTCAACCTCCTGCCTCCGACGTACCTCTGTCGAGCGATGGACGTCTACCGAGATTTGGGCGCATGGAACAACTCCTGGCCGGCAAGCTGGAGACTATCGCGGACCAGCTGAGCTGGCAGTATGTCCGTTCCGAGGCCGAGGGTGGAATGGGCCGCCAGGAGATGGTGAGGGACATCCTGTCTGCCTTCAGCACGGTGGTCCTCCCCGAGGACTTCCGGCTGGACCTCGTCGACGACGCCGGGCAGTCGCGCACCCCCGAGCAGTGCGTCGTACAGGGCGACTTCGAGGCCACCATGTTCCGGCTCGCCGTGCACGACGACGCGGTCTACTCCAGCCTGTGCAAGGCCATGCCCGTCGGCGCCTGCGCCGCGATCTACTTCGACAAAGTGCACCAGAGGCTGCGGAAGCTGCTCGTCGACTTCGACCGGTACTGTCTGACGGGCCAGGCACCGACTGGGACAGCGGACATGGACGTGGACAAAGTGATCGGGGAAATCCAAACCAGCGTCGATCGCATTGGGAAGAACATCCTCGCCCGCGCCCCCCACGGGATGGAAGGCGCCGCGAAAACCCTGATCACGCTGCTGGAGGACATCTGCGGCCGCAACAAGGACGCGCTAGACGGGAACCGATGGGGAAGAACCTCATTCCGCGGCGAGGACGAGGACCAGCGCAACCTCTTCCACCAGCTGGTCGGACGAGCCGACGAGACGAGCAAATTCTTCATCCTCGACGTCCTGCAGCACATGCCGCCCTCGGACCTTCACCAGTTCCAGGGCAGGTTGAGGGCCATCCTGCGCAAGATCGAAGTCGACCGTGCCCCCAAGGCTTACATCCTCCAGCTGAGTACACTGATCCGTGCCGCGGAATCTTCCACGGCCAATGCGGGCCAGAAACGACCGGCTTCTGCTACGACTTCTCGGGGCGATAGCAAGCGGACTCGCTGAGGCTTCATAATCGCGTCATCGCGTCCGTGACGTGATAACTTGTGCATTCTACCGCTGATACTTCCTCGATCTATCTATCTGTCTATCTATCTACATCCTATTGTGTATTGTTTTTTTTTTTTGGCATTGGGCGGTTTTTTTTCCTCAATACCCCATACACCAGTGTTTTGAATTGAATTGCTTGCTCAGTGGACCCTTGATCCGAACCCTTGATTTGATTGATCGATAGCTAGCTTGATAGATAGATGGTTCCATGATTCTTTCCCCCCAGCTGGCCTGGTACACTCCTAACAATGACGTGACACTCTTCCTCCTTTTTTTTTTTTTTTTTTCCCTTTCTCCTTCGTATCTCCTCGGAAAAGAAAAACCACTACCACCACTACCACCACCACCTCTCGCCACAGTTGATTAGTCAGTTATACACATTTACATACATACCCCGAGGTTGAGGTTACACAAGAAACGGGAGACAACGCCATGGGCCCATGGTAGATAGATAGTACTAGTAGATAGTCCGGATCCGAGGAATGTCATCTGCGATGCGATGATCCGCCAACCTTATTACTACAGTAATAGTAATAACTAGTGATACTTTACTACTGGCAGCCGCACCCCCGTATACCCCGTAGCCGCAGACCCAGTCCCAATACCCGTGGTTGGTCATGCTCGGTCAGATTCTACCTCGCACTTCCATCCGGATCCAGATTCTCGTCTGTCTGGCACCGACCAGCCCCGAACGAGGCTGAGTCGAATAACCGTCGCTGGTTCACGTCGTATAATGAATGACGTCCGTTCATCTGCTTGCTGCGGTACTCCGGTCCTGGTTCCACTCTCCTCTCCCACTCCCACTTCCACTCCCACCTCCGCTTCTGCCTCCGCTTCTGCCTCCGCACCAGCGGGCGCCGGAAAGTGGGAACTTGTTGTAACCTTGATTCGGTCCGAGGCCAATCAAGGTACTTTTGTGTCTGTATCTAATGGGTCGATCTCACCAACCTAACCACTGGATAGTGCGGAGTACTCCGTACATACTGACGATACTCCATGGGGGTAGGTAGGTAGGTAAGGTACCTGGTCCTGAGGACGAGATCTGGGACTGGGGCGTGAATAACGTCATTTCCCTCCTTCCTCCATCCTCGGCTCATTCATACGGTCGGTCTGAGTCTCGGAGATCTCCTACAGAACCAATTCTCTAGTCTCTTTCCTTTTCTTTTCTTTTCTTTCCCTTTTTTTCCCCTTTTTTTTTCAGTTTCTCGCCACGGCTTAGTCAACAGTAAGAATGCCTAACTACAATAGTTGGTAAGATGAGGTAGTATCTAATCTAGAAAAAATGCTTTGTAAAAGTATCTAGATAGAGTACAAAGTATAAGGTAAGTAAACCGTTGGAGATCGCCACTAATCCTATCTCGGTAGCCGATGACGCTGATCGGGCGTATTGTGGAGCTTTGCAATTGCTGTAGCTTGTAGTGGCAAATATTGCTGTAAAAATTCATCAATTGGCCGGCTGGCCCAATGGTAAGGCGCTTGACTACGGATCAAGAGATTGCAGGTTCGAATCCTGCGTCGGTCATTTCTTTTTTTTTGCCTTTTTTGTTGCATTGATTGGGCTGGGCTGGGTGGGATAGACAGAAGAGAGTCAGTCATTCTGTATTTTGGGTGATGGGTGGTTGTGTGTCAGCATTTTTTTGTCGCCCGCTCGGCTAGGTATAGTGTTGTTATCTTGGATTATGCATATTTACTGAGTCTTGAGAGGAGTTATCCCAGTTGAATTGGGCGACTAATACGCATAACTACACATCACTCCCATTCCGCAACAATATATACCATACCATACCATCACAAACCCAGCACAACGCAACACCAACTCCAAATCCAAAACTAAGACAAATCCAAAACCACCCTCCCCTGCAATTTACCACAATGAATCTCCTCAAACACCCCCGTCAACCCCTCCATCCTCTCCGTCCGGAAATGCGCCTTGATAATCCCTCGGGCCGCAAAGTCCAGCGTCTCGATCGCCTCCCTGCGACTTCCCACCGCCGACCCCGTGATGGTGATATGATTCGCGATCAAGCTCGTCGGCATCGCCGTCGCAATAGCACGGGGCTCGTTCTCCGGCAATCCCACACAAACCAGCGTGCCATTGAAGCGTAGGAGTAGCAAAGCCTGGGCGTAGGCGGCATTCGACGCCGTGCACACGATGACGGCGTGTGCGCCTAGCCCGCTAGTCAGAGACTTGATATGCGCCGCCATAGCTTCGCCCTTATCGTCCGCCGGGAACTGCGTGATATCAACGAAGTGTTCGGCCCCCGAGGCTTTGACCAGCCCTTCTTTGCTCCCGTGGTCGATCCCGATCACTCGGAACCCCATGCCCTTGCTGGCCAGCTGGACCGCCAGGTGCCCGAGTCCGCCGCCGGCGCCGGAGATGATGACCCATTGGCCCGGGCGCGCGTTGCTGCGCTTCAGGGCGGAGTAGACGGTGACCCCCGCGCAGAGCATCGGGGCCGCTTCGTCTGAGGCTAGGTTGTCGGGGATCGGGGTTACGTAGTTGGCGGGGCCGATGGCGTATTGTTGGAATGTGCCCGGCGTGTAGTAGCCGGAGATTTTCTGCGTGAAGCAGAGGCCTTCCGCGCCGGCTTGACAAGGTTCTATGTAGCGGGGAGTTTGGGTTAGTGGACTGTTTACTGTGTTTTTGCAGGGGGTGGGATAGGGTAGGTAGGGGAGAGTAGGTATGGATGGACACTGTCGGAAAACGGAGGATGCCCCCCTAGACAGCAGTTGTCTGGATAACCTTCGCTGGGGACGTCCTGTTTTCTGTTTAATAGACTAGATACTTACCGCAGTTCCCGCACGCGCTGGATACCCATTTGATTCCGACCCTGTCGCCAACTTTCACCCCGGATGTCTCTGTTCCAGGACCCAGTTTCACGACTTTGCCAACGCCCTCGTGTCCGCCTACTTGTCCTGGCTGGACGGGAGCGGGGAGCCCTTTCCACTGCGTATGTCAACCCCAGTCCGGATGAGAAGCATGCGAATTGCCTGCCCAGCACTCACTGTGTCTGTCATTATTCCATAGTCGGAGTGGCATACGCCCGAGTGGGTTCTGCAAGCACCAGTTAATTGGGAAGCATTGAGCTGGCTGGGACTGGGCTGTCTCATGGGTTCTTGAAGACGACAGAATAGCCGAACAATGATCACTCACAGATTGATCAGAACTTCACCCGGACCAGGCTCTGGGACATCCACCTCCACGACTTTCGTGGAAACAGTCCCCGGCCGGTCATAGATGGCAGCCTTCTGTTTGGCCGGGATCTGAGGCACAGGTGCACCCTCGGACGAAGCCATTATCTATCTCACTTGAGTGGTATAGCTCGAAGATAATAGAGATGGAAAAGGTGGATTGTGGAAGAAGCAGAGAACGCATTCAGGAGATGGCAGACTCAGGGACCCTTTCTTTTCACGGGGATCCATCCCCTGTTGATATGTCGAACAAGTCAGACAAAGCGAGCATCGATCGACCCCGACTAGTTCTCACAATCGGCGCATTATTGAATTGGATGGATGGATGACGGTGTAACTCGTATCGCCTGTGAAACCCCGCAGAACCAACCCGACCCCTCTTTCGACGGTTCAGGTGTTGCGAAGCCTGGAAAGATAGTCCCACATCCACATCAAGTTTCGAGCAATACCCACTTCTGAAGCCCAATCCGATTGGTGAGGGGGAATCCGCGGTCCATAACCCAAATATTGTGACACGTGCGGAGATGACCCATCGCAAGGAGCAGCACCATCTCAGGGGGGATCTCAAGGAAGCCCAGTGTGCCTCATCCCAGAGATATACGAACCGCCAAAAGACCTGATCCGAGGCTAGAAGGTCTCGGTCTGCATGCAGCAGTCTAACCGTCCTGGTAGGCACTACGATCGGGGCTGGCTTCGGACCAATGCCTCCCCGACCCTCCCCCACACTTGGGGTATCGCATGATGTGATGACCGAATGACCGATCAACTTCCCCTCTCTGAGCTCGCGTCGCTACAAACTCTTCTCTTGCCCTTCATTCGGTGTCCGATCTTCGATCATCTTCTGCCTCAATTCCGTCGAGTCTTCACCACCACCACCACCACAATGCCCATTCCAATCGTAGACTCCCACATCCACCTCTTCCCCGAATCGCATCTTCCCACTCTAGCCTGGCACAACCCCTCCGGCCCTCTCAGCTCCCAACACTCCATCGACGAATACCGCCTCGCAACCTCCTCCGTCCCCACCTCCCAATCCCCAGGCCCAGAATCAGACATCCCGCACGCGCAACCGCAACCACAGCCGCAATCGCTCTACCTCCGTGGCTTCATCTTCCTCGAAACCGACCGGATCTCCTCGATCGAAGAAGAATCCGAGTCCGGGTGGACCAACGCCCTCGACGAAGTCTCCCTCCTCACCCGCATCATCTCCAACAACCCCGTCCCAGGCGAAGGCCACACCAATGTCGACGGCCAGCTCTGTCTCGCCATGGTACCTTGGGCGCCTGTCCCGGGGGGACCTGCTCTACTGGAGAGATTCCTTGCCCTGGTGAAAGAACGCACCCTCACGGACGCGACATTCAAGAAAGTCCGCGGATTCCGGTACCTGGTCCAGGATAAGCAGCGGGGTGTGATGCTACAGTCCGGTTTCGTGGACGGGTTGAAGTGGCTGGGCCAGCGGAATCTTGTCTTCGATCTTGGGGTCGATGCCCGTCAGGGCGGGCTTTGGCAGCTTAGGGAGGCAGCGGAGATGATGAGGATGGTTTATCGGGGCGTGGAGGGGAGGAAGGGGGAGAGGGTGGTTATTGTTATTAGTACGTTATGTTCTGCAGCTGATCCTTTTCGGTTTTTGGTGGGGATGCTGGTGCTGGTGCTGGTGCTGGTGATGGCTGCTAATGGAATCTTCTCTCAGATCACCTGTGTAAACCGAATCTCCGTCTACCCTTCTCGTCGCCGGACTCGATTGCTACGCATCCTGATTTCCTGGAGTGGAGTTCCCTGGTCACTGCCATGGCGCAGCATCCTACGACGTACATGAAGCTTTCGGGTGCGTTTTCCGAGTTTCCTCCGCTGACGGCGGAGGATGGACCGGATGTTGCGTCCCTGGTGGAGCAGCTCCGGTTGTGGACCGATGTGGTCTTCGATGCGTTTGGGCCTGAGAGGGTCATGTTTGGCTCGGACTGGCCGGTGTGCAATGTGGGAGGTGGGGGGAATGCGGTCGCCTGGGGGCGTTGGAGGAGTATTGTTGAGGGGATCTTGGAGAAGAGGGGGTTGACTCGAGAGCAGAAGGAGGGTGTTTGGGGCGGTGTTGCAGTGAAGGCATATGGGATTGAGCTGTAATGATCCTTGTTGGGGAGTATATATACACCTTTCTCTGAGTTGTATGTTCGAATCATAATATGCAGGACATCGGTCACGTTCTATCTCACTCTCACTCTCACTGGAGATTAACAAAAAGCCCCCCATCGACCAGGATCTGTGCGCCAGTCTACCACCAAACACCCGTTAGCCATAATCTCTCATCCACATCCACACCCACAAACCCAGCCAGCCAGCCAGACAAGAAAGAAAGAGGGCAAAACTCACCACATACCCACTCAACTCCTCACAAGCCAAAAACACCGCCGGCCCCGCCAAATCCGGCGGCTGACCCAGTCTCCCCAACGGGATCCTCCCCTCCATATACGTCCTCTTGACCGGATCGCTCATATCCTCATCATTCAGCTGCGTGCGAATCGTCCCCGGCAGAAGCGCATTACACCGGATCCCGTATTTCCCTAACGCCACCGCACACGACTGCATCAGACTGAGCACCCCCGCCTTGGTCGGCGTGTAGTGCGTCTGCTGGCCGCCGCCTACGAGCGCGGAGATCGAGCTGATTCCGATGATTGAGCCGCCGGGCGGAGATTGCGCCAGTGCCATTTGGCGGGCCGCGGCTTGTGTGGCCCAGAAGGCGCCGGTGAGGTTGGTGGATATTGTGTGTCCGAGGAGGGGGGGGTCGACTCTGCAGTAGACATGTTGATGTGAGTATGGTTTTAAGTGTAATGGCCAGGACATAACATCACATCACATAACATCACATATATTATATGTATGTTTGTGTATGTATATGTGAGAGACGGAGAGGGGGAGAAGAAAAAAAAAGGCGCCACCCACTCCAGAAACTCCTCAAACCTACACACCCCGGCGTTACTCACAAACACATCCAGCCTCCCAAACGCGTCCACTGCCTTGGCGACGAACTCCCGCCCCGTCTCCGGCTGGGAAATGTCCCCCGGAACAAGGAGGAATCGGCTCTCGGCGCTCTCTTCGCCCCCTGTTGTTGTTATCTCTAGCATGTCTTTCTGCATCACTTCGACGAGGGGCTCGTCTTTCGGTCCGCCCAGGTGGTTGACGGCGACTTTGGCGCCGTGGCGGAGGTATTCGAGGGCGATGGCCTAAGTAGTGGATGGATGGATGGATGGATAGGTTAGGTGTTGGGTTTGGGGACTTGGGGACTTGGGGGTTTGTTTGAGGGGTTCGCGTACCCTGCCAATGCCGGTTAATCCGCCTGTGATGGCGGCGACTTTGCCGGTTAGGAGTTGGGGGAGGGGCATTGTGGGGGCTGGTGGTTGGTTCTCTGGAGGTTGGCTATGGAGGGTGTATTTGTGTAGAGCTGGATGGCGCTCGGTTTAGATAAATAATAAAGATGTTTTCTCTACTGTGTACTGTGTACTTTGTACTGGAATTCCCCGCCGGAGCGATAAGATGGCCGGTGGAGTCCCCTCGGGCTTCTCGTGGTATTGTTGCCCCGAACCCCCCCACATCGGCGGATTTACCCCCACATTTGAGGGGAATATTTACTGTTTACTGTTTAGCCGGTTGGGCTAGGGCTTACAGTACACGGTAGTATTGTTTGACAGAACCGAAACCTAAGATATTGCCATTGTGTATGCTTTAAACTAAAAATTCTCAATACCCCCCCCCAACTATGTTTCTGAAATTCAAGCTGTACCGTTCGTTTCTGGCTCAGTCGGAGCTACTAGGGCCCTTTGAGGGGCCGGCGTGAGGATGGAAGCCGCGGAAATAAGGGGAGCAGCAGGATTGAGCTCAAGACCGAACCCCGGCTTGTCTAGGATCGAGATGTCGAGGTATCCCTGGGTAGGAATGGGTTCGTTGAGGAACAGGTTTCCAAAGACAGGCTCGACGGTGCTTCCGTCCGGAGAGTTGGCCAGATACTCCTGGAATGGGGTGTTGGGCTGCGAGACCACGAAGTGGTACGAGTAGGGTCCGGACGCGTGGGGGACAACGGGGAGATCGTAGGCGCTGGCATGCGCCGAGATCTTAAGCAGCTCTGTCAAGCCACCCACCCACATTACATCAGGCTGGATGATGTCCAGATTGCGGCCCTCGATGAGTTTCCGGAATCCATAGCGCGAGTACTCGTGCTCGCCGGTGGTGAACTTCACCGTGGGATGGGCTCGCTTCAGAAGGGCTTGGCCGTCGAAGTCGTCGGGGGTCAGACACTCCTCCCACCAGTCGATGTTGATGCCCTCCGCTTCACAGCGCTTCACGAGCTCGATCGTGTATGGCACGTTCAGGGACATGTAGCAGTCGACGCGCAGCGGGAAGTCTGGGCCGATGGATGCTCGCTGCTTGCGGAGGTACTGGACGTTCTTCAGTAGCCCTTCTGTTCCCTCGTCCGGTCCGTGAGGGAGAGCCACCTTGGCTCCGGAGAAGCCCATTGCCTTGGCCGCGGCGGGTTGCGGACCGGTGCAGTAAAAGTCCAGCCGTGAGCGGGTGGCGCCGCCAATGAGTTTGTAGACAGGTTCCTTGCGGATCTTGCCCAGCAGATCCCACAGAGCCAAGTCGATCACTGAGATGACGGCAACGGGCAGACCCTTTCTACCGTAGAACATGGAGCCCCGGTACATCTTTTCAAACAGCTCGTTGACGTCTCGTGGGTCTAAGAGATAGGATATGATCAGTTTGTATGTCCTTTCGATGAACCTGGGGGTGGTTCACCTGCGCCGAGCAGGAAACGCTCAAAGTGTTGCTGGACCAGCCAGCAAGCCGGAGGTCCCCCGAAGCCCGTGGCAAACCCCTTGGTTCCATCCGTGGCCTCAATTTCGACAAAGAAGGAGCCCAAGACGTTGATACCCCACGATGTGCGAGAGCCGCGGTATTGTGCCCACCGAGTCATCGGGGTCGAGATGTTGCTGTCAACCAGCCAGTGGCCTCCTTTGACCTGGACGCCAGTCGTTTAGCATGCTGAACCAAACCAGCCAATGTATTTTGTCGAGGAATTGGGTCAGCTTACATTGTGGTAATCACCTCCCGATCCCACTCCATCGATGACGAAAGTGCGGATCTCTTTGATGCGGGGAAACGCTGTAGCGGAGCTCATGTTGGCGAGAGCAGAGAAACAGAGGAAGCGTGGGATGCTAGAAAAGAAGAGAACAAAAGCGAATTAAGAGTCAGCTTGCCCGAGGGCCTTGGCCATATTTGAGAGCACGAGATCGGCTTTGAGAGCTGCGACGAGGGGCTGTCGGAGGGGAGTGGCTCGGGGCAATGCTCCCCGAGGGTGTTCTGCAGGCCTCATGGATGAGCGGAGGAATGCGATGCCTGGCTGGAAGAACGGAATACAAGCCTGGGCACTCCTGCTAGTAGTCGAAGGAGTTAGTCTGGTTCGCCTGTTTCCCCGGACTTCAGCCGCCGTCTTTGTTTGGGGAGGAAATTGCCGGCGGGATTTGGGATTGCCGACTTTTGCGGGGTGATCGTTGATCGTTCTCCTCTCTCTCTCTCTCTCTCTCTCTCCTTCCTGCTTCTCCCCATCCCTCATTCTCCGCATCTTTTCTCTCCCTCTCTTCGGTTCAATTCCCCCGACTTATCCGCCTGGACCATGACCCTTTGCTAGTGATCCAACGGTAGCCATACCCCCGACTCGCTAAGGACCATGTCGAACACCGCAGCAGCTGCCACTGCTCAGCGGATTTCATCCCGACTGCCTGACGATCCGGAACAAGATCACAGCGGGGAGGAATCCTGGTCCGCCGTCGACATCGATACCGAGCAGGTTGCGCAGAACGGTGCCGGCGTCTCGAGGGCCTTGAAACGCAAACGCCCTCTTACAGTGTCGTATGTAGCTCAACAGCACAGAGAGCCCTTCTGACCCTTCCTCCTCTTAGCTAGCTGTGCACGGTGTGGGACTATGCGAAAGATACTAACGGATTAAGGTGTGAGCTATGTAAGCTGAGAAAGGTTAAATGCGGTAGATATACCCCCCTTCCCCCCCCCCCCTTTCGCTTGCAATCCCTGCTCTAGACATACGTCAGCTAACGAGGCTAGATCGCGTTCAACCGAGCTGTGGATGGTGCGCTCGCAATGGTCAGCTGTGCGAGTACAAAGAGCGAAAAAAGCCCGGCCTCCGCGCAGGCTATGGAAAGGAACTGGAGCAAAGGCTAGGTAGGTCAAGAGAGTACAGTGTATTGTGAGACTGTTGCCAACGACGTGAGCAGATCGCCTGGAACAAGTCATCCAAACACAGGCCCGCCTGATTGAAACACATATCATCCAGGGCCAGTCTCGCATGCCCCATGAAATAGCCCAGCAAGGGCCCTTCTCATATAGCTCTCCATCCGAGACAGCACAGGGCCCCAGCCCCCAAAATGCCTTCTATTTCCATGAACCATCGTCTATGGTCCCTCCACCACGCCAGTCGGAGGCATCCATAACCAGTCCGTCGGACATGTCCGTCAAGAATGCAATCCGTAACCAACTTTCGAATAGCATCTCTGCTCCGGCTCCTTTGATGCAAACCCCAGGCAATCCGCCACACAACGATTATACAGGAAATGAATCGTCACTGAAAGTCCCAGTCAATCTGTTTGCCAACCAGGAACAGTCGCTTGCAGACCCAGAGCTTGATCTACCGCCGTATGATCTATTATATGCGCTGGTAGACCTCTATTTCGAGCATATCAACACATGGTGTCCTGTTCTTCATCGTCGGACGACTCTCGATACTTTTTTCGGTCCATCCCCGCTGGAGGAGGCAGACAGGGCGGTGCTGTACGCCATAGTTGCTACCACCCTTCGCTTTTCAAACGATAGCAGGCTCAATGAGCAAAGCCGCAAACGGTACCACGATTCTTCAAAGCAAAAGGTCCTGCTCTACGGACTTGAAAACTCATCGGTCAAGGCCCTCCAGGCTCTGGTCATACTCGCCCTGGACCTCGTGGGCTCTTCCAACGGCCCTCCAGGGTGGAAACTGCTTGCACTCATCACACGGTCAGTGGTCCAGCTGGGACTCGCTGTAGAGTCTAAGTCTTCCCTCATTGCCCCGAGCTACCCCTCCATCTACACTCTCCGTGCCGTTACTCTCCCGGAACCCGACTCCTGGATCGAGGACGAGGGCAGACGGAGGCTCTTCTGGATGGTATATCTTCTAGATCGATACTCCACCATTGCAACTGCTTTCGATTTCGCTCTAGACGACAAAGACATCGACCGGAAGCTTCCCTGCAGGGATGAATATTTCCTCAAAAACGAGCCGGTCGAAACCAGGTGGTTCCAACGCTCCAGTGAACGCGCTGACTACGTGAGCCGGGCCGAAAACGTCGGAACCTTTGGGCTCTACATCGAGATCCTGGGCATATTTTCGCGGATCCATTCGTTCCTAAAGCGACCCGTCGACATAGGAGCGCTTTCGGACGTCGAGGAATGGCAGGCAACCTACCGCAGGCTCGACAATGAACTGACATCCTGGGAATTCGGCCTTCCAGCCGAATATGCCTACGAGAATTCCTCTCGATTGTTTAATGGATCAAAACACACCAAAGGGATCCATTGCGACTGGGTCCAGCTCCACGCCACCTACCAAACGTACGTTCACCCCCCTACCTTCCCCCCCCCCCAAGTAACGTGAATCTCACTCTCCTCCAGTGCAGTCATCCGCCTCCACTCATCAGCAGCCTACCCCACCACGCGCTCCCCAATCTTCACCCCCTCCTACAGCGCCAGCCAACGCTGCCTCCTCGCCGTTGACAACATCCTCTCCGTGACCCGCTTCGTCACAGACAACAACATCCTCGACAAACTCGGCCCCCCCTTCGCCTTCACCCTCTGGGTCTCCGCCCGTCTACTCCTCGTCCACGGCTCCACAATCGCCCACACCGTCAGCCCCGATATCATCTTCTTCGTCGACACCCTCGCCCAGATGGGCAAGCACTGGAAAGTCGCCGACCGCTACAGCTCCATCCTGCAGCGCGTCCTCGACGAATACGGCGAATACCAACAATCCGGCGCCGAGGACCCCGAACGCACCACCCCCTCCACTGTCAAAATCCTTGCTGATATGCGTCGATGCGCGTTCGACCTCGACTTTCTCATCTCCAGACAACCCCGTTCTTCCCCTTCTGTATCTGGTAGCCAACCCCCCGCGCCAGCTACATCATCATCATCATCATCATCATCAACAATGACAGCTGCTGCGGCAGCCGCAATGGTCAGGAACCCCGCTCCCAACGAACTCGAATACCTCGATGTTTTCGGCTTCTTTAACGTCCCGCGTGTCCCTGCAACACGTGCATCCGATATCCTTAACCTGGATATTGCTGACACGGTTAATAACTCCATGTTGACCGGCTCTGCCGCCATCACTACCACTGCCACTTCCACTACTACCACCACCGCCGCCGCCTCCGTGGTCGATGGCTCGCAGTCAAATACCAACGAATTCAACATCACGAATTACTTGATTCCTACCCCCGAGACAGATTGGCTATTTCGTCCTGCGGGGTGAGTCGTTGACGCTGCAGGCAGTTATCTTCATCTTTGCCTGGGATAGACACCTACACTTCCCTCATCTTCGATGGTGTCTGTTATATGTATATGGGGTTGCTCAGACCGAGTGTCCTTGCTCAGATGGACGGCAACAGCCATGACATATATAACTGCGCTCAGAGCGAGTAGCGAGGATATCCTTTAAAGGCTGCAAGTACACTTGAAACTGGAAACTGGAACCTATTAAACCAGGCACCGGATATCCAGGTTGTATACATACTATACTTACAACCCAAGCCCTCCGATAACCCCCCTCATCGCTCAACTCGTCCGTACTCTTGTTTCTGCTTTTCCCAATGTATTGGATGATGCCAAATGTGAGAAGCACGGGAGTAAGACAAGATACGATACGATATCCTTTGTCCTACCTAACTACGTCCCGGGACTATCGAGCCCATCGTCAAATCTACTCGAATTGGACTACACTACATTCTGTAGACTTGCCGCGACGGGCGCTTACACTAGCTGTCCAGCTGCTGCTGATCTGCAAATTCGGTGGACTCCATTTCAGTTCATTTCAGTTCAGTTCATGCATGGCTGCTGCTCTATTTCTATCTAGGGCCCGAACCGACCTTACCAACACCAGCAGAGCAGAACAGTGGTGTCTTCGTTCCCGTCGCGAATTCCATCCCGATAAATGCATCCTGCTCGTCTGGCATGAACTCTGCTAGAGTGGCTGCTATCGAGCGATCGGTGATAAGTGATCAAGTACAAGTACATACGAGGGGAGCGAGTTCGCTCGAACTAAACTACACGATGTCGTTTTAAATATAGGATATGATATCCGAATAATGCATACCCGAACAGAACATCGGTAGTCACTAGTCAGTACCATAGCCAGTCAGTCCTATTATTTTATTCTAAGACCTCGCTCGCTAGCTCGAAACACAAACAATGTAATAAGTTACATTCCGCCAGGTCATTCATTCTGTTATCCTTACATGCAATGGAGAAAGGAAGAGGAGAAGAGAAGAAGAGAAACGAAGGCGTAAGGGGGAAAGGGGGAAAAAACAGAAATGAGAAGAGAAGAGAAGAGAAGAAAGAAAGAAAAAAGACAATAATCCAACACCAACACCAACACACTCCACTCATACATCATGTATTCACTCACAAAGCCGTAGTCTCAGAAAAACAGAAAAAGGAAACGAAAACAATCCAACACCAACACACTCCACTCATACATCATGTATTCACTCACAAAGCTGTAGTCTCAGAAAAACAAAAAAAGGAAACGAAAACAATCCAACACCAACACACTCCACTCATACATCATGTATTCACACAGCTGTCCTCAGAAAAAAACAGAAAAAAGAGAAGGCCAAATTCCAGTAAGGCAACTTCCGCTCACTAAATGTTTGTAGGACCCAGCCCAGAAAGCCTTGAGGGTAAGTAATCAAGATGGAAAAAGGAAGACAGATGGATGCTGGACTTGAGGCGTCTTGTCCGATCGTTTTATGGAGAATCAACCAACAACAGGCCTGTCTACCCAAGCATCGTATGTAAGTGTATTTCGGAGAAAGGGGGAGGGAAGGGTGGTTTTGTAAAATCAAACCAAGGCAAGATACGCAAGGATCAGGGTTGGTTAAGTGGTTGTCGTAGCTTTGGCGAGGAATCAAGGACTAGAGTGATGTCTAAGCCCTACTAGGATTCGAGTCGGAGTCGGACGGTTCAATTCGGACGAGGACCTCTTCGAGGAACCCTTCCAAAAAGGATGACACCTGAGCGCCCATCCCCACAGGTGCTTCATTATCCCATCGCTCAAGCCGTGAGAACATTTCGGACATCTCACCCACCAGGTCTTCCATCATCCCATGGACATACTCCTGGCGTGACTTGTCATAGATATCCTCGCTTCCAGGGTTGCGCGAAGAGAGCTCCAGACGCCTCGCCCGGCGACGGATGGCTGCTTTAAGTGCAGGTAATATCACGCTATTAAGCGCCGTAATTTCCTGCTGCGAGCCAGACGCTCTTTCGTCAAGGGTTCCGTCGGTCGTGTTGTTGACCTGTGAGTAACCAGAGTGAATGGCCATGGGCTGAGGATTATACAGCGGTGCTTGCTGGGGTCGTGATGCCGGAGGCGGTGGTGGCATGTGCTTAGGTGTGGGAGGGAGCCGAGATTGTGGCTGTTGCTGTGAATGCAAATACAGCTGACGCTGTGGATATGGCTCCATTACCGGCCTGACATTCTGATCCGCGAGGCTGTGTGCCGGCTGAGCCGGGAAGCGCCCCTGATATGATGGACCTTCGGGGAACTGTGGTTGTCGGGCTTTCTGATATCCTTGTACGGCTGGGGCGGCACTTCGATGAGCATTTCGGTCTTTGGAAGCGGTGGAAGGAGCGCTCGGGGATCGATCAAGCTCGAGAAAACTCAGGTCCTCAGCCAAGGCGTGCTGCAGAACTCGGTCATATTCGTTAAGGGGGCTTCCCTTCGGTTGGCGTGTGACTGGCCGCTGAAGATGCGAAGGGGTCTGGGGTTGTGGCAGTCCTGGTGGCTGCTTGGTGGGAGAAGGCGGCAATGGGATTTTAGTGGGTGACAGTGGGTTGGGCGCCGCACTGCTTATATTCTTGGTCTGCAGGGGTACCGAGGGGGCATTGGCCTTCGGTCGTAGCATCTCTTTGCGATGATCGTCTCTCACACCCCACTCGGCATGTTCGTGAGCCCGGGCGTTCATATCTGCCTCTTTCATCGGCTTTAAAGCAGGCGCGCGCCCCGCAGGTCGCACAGTGCCGAAATCCCAGAGATCATCCTCATCTTCGGGGGAGGGGGTTTCGGGTAGGGGCTCCTGAGCGATGTCTTCCTCTTCCTCATTGCCTCCGTTCCCGTGGATTGCATTCCAGCGCTCATAGCGCTCGATCAGCTCTGTCAGATAGGTCGTCTTCTTTGCCCTTTTGACGAACGGGTGCTCGAGCAGTTCTCTAGCCGAAGGCCTCTCCCTCGGATCACGTCTCAAACAAAGCTCGACAAAGTTCTTAAAGGCCTTGCTGTAATCGCCTTGCAGGACCGGAGGAGGGTTCTTGGGGATTAGGAACAACACCTTCATGGGGTGGATGTCCGAGTAAGGAGGTTCTCCGTTGGCCAACTCAATCGCAGTGATTCCAAGAGACCAGATATCGGCTTTATAATCATATCCAGACTGCTTGATCACTTCTGGTGCCATCCAAAAGGGAGTACCCACGAAAGTGTTCTTCTTGGTCATTGTGGCCGATAATTGACTGGAGACTCCAAAATCTGCCAACTTCACCTGACCACCCGAGGTAAGGAGGATGTTTGCAGCTATTAAGATGTTAGTACACCGTCGGAGAAGCGGATTTGAAGCTCATGGGAGTTGGGTGGGGTCACCTTTGACGTCTCGATGCAACTTCTTATCGCTGTGCAGATAGTCTAATCCCCGAAGTAGCTCTTTGATGATGATCATGATATACTCTTCAGGAATCGTCCCCGGGCGCATCAAGTCGGAACAGCTGCCACCGGAGCAGAACTCCATGATGATCCACAGACTAGATCCTTTCAAGAATGATCCATGGTATCGAGTCACGTAAGGAGAGTTCAGCTCAGACAAGATGGCAATCTCCTGGATGATATCTTCGACTTCGTCTTCGGCATTTTCGACGTCGATGATCTTGATCGCAACAGATGCGCCGGTGCGCTTATCAACGCTAAGGTAACAGTACAGTGTGAGTGCCTATCGCAAGATAGAACCAAGAGATGGAGTTGCTGTGACATACCCTTTGTAGACCCGTCCGAAGCTCCCGCCACCTGTAATCCCATCGTCAGGTTCAGGGCTTCAATTTTGCAACGCAGCAAATCCCACTTGTCTGGAAATACATACCGATACAGTTCTGTTTCATATAAATGGTCTCTGGATCCACTAGGCCTTCCATCTTGAGTGTGCTTGAGGCCGGCTCAACAGGTATCAATTATTAAAACGCTCACGTGTGGCTGCAATGCTGGAGGAGCGGAAATCAGCATTAGCATCTGCAAGAATGAGTGTAATAATTGCTGCAGAGTGGGAAGAGTGCATGCGGGGGAAAGCAGAGGAAATAAATATTGAGGCTTTGATCGATCAACAACAGCTCCCGAGCGGAGTTGGAAGGACAATCCAGACAAGGGCGACAACATACCTACCTGTCTATGGCCTAGACGAGGCGGCTAGGAGATGTAGGGTTTGGTTTGATCAGGAGGCAGGCGAAAGAAGGAGACATTGAAAGGCGGCGGCGGCGCAGACAGAGTTCGATCAATGATTGCGCTTGAAGGAGGGTGCTATTTAGAATACTATTGTTTTGGTGAGACGGCGGCCGACGGCTGCGGCGCTGACAGTCGGTGATTCTGTGTCTCGGACCAACCGGGGCAAGACTTGCGAACACTCAGAGGAGAGGGGACGAGGGGGAAGAAGGGGGAAAATCAAGGGAAAGAGGAAGGGCAGGGCAGGGCTGGCAGGGCTGGCACACCTTGCGTGAGGGATTGCAAGGGACCAGGCAAGCTTTCCAGATGGATGATGACTTGATTCCCTTGCGTGGGATGGAACAACAACAAGTGAACCAGCGGAACCGGACAGGAACCGCCCGGTGATTGGGGCAACGCGGGGTTGCCTTCTGCCAGGCGGTCGGCCCGGGCCCCCCCACCACTCAGCTGGCCCCTTCCGGGAGGCGGTGAAGGGCCGTGCCTTGCCTGCATGGTCAGGCACGTCAGGCCTTCAGGCATCACCACCTGTCAACCACCTGGAAGCCTAAGGCTGGCAACCTACACTGCCCACTGCCCCGCTTGTTGGTTCATCACAACCCATTAGATCGTAAGATAGAAGGGAGCTCATTATTATTATTAGAAGCATGAAGGAATGCTACCCGATACAGGGAGGGAGAGACACAGTGAGAGAGTCTGCCAGACCCCCAACCCATGCTTTACTCCCGGGCAATAAGCGAGGAAGATATCTATCACCAGAAAGTAAAACCCATCATCCCATGGGCAACGGGCCCCAGTCCCAATCGCCCCCCCCCCCCTTAACTCCCGCCATCAAGTGCAATCCGACCCCGATTTATTCCTCGTGATATCCTATCATAACGGTGCCGTTCTTCAACCCCGCAGCTTCGATGGTCGAGTCCAAGGTGTCAATCAGATTGCGGCCCATGGAATTGAGGTCAAACTCCACCCCCGCCTTGTCGGCCAACGGGGGCTCCGCCTTCAGCCATTCGTAGATCCGCTGCACAGGGTCCGTCAGAGCAAACCGCCGAATCACCCGACCCGATGGGTGTCGGAGCTGGATGCGGGTGGTGGTGGCTGGGTCCGCCGGTGGCTCCGTGTGGGGTCGGTTGTCCGGGATGGAGGCAAACGCGCTCTGCACGCTTGGCTCGGCCTCATCCATCTCGAAATCCTCGTCAACAGCCTTACCCTTCCCCTTCACATCCTCCGTGCTGCGCGTGAGATCGTCGGGATCCTCCATCTTCGGGGCCTGTGTCGCCTCGTCCCCAAGGCTGTTCCTCAACGCCATCTCCATCATTTCCTCCTCGGTCATTGCATCGATGTTCTTCTCCTTCTTCTCGGGTTTCCGCTTAGCCACGGGGTTGCGCACATTATGCTTCAGGCTGTAACGGTCGAGGAACTCGTGGAGTTGCATCAGGAAGTCCGAGGCCTTCACCACGGGGGGGCCCGACCACACCTTCATCTGCTCTCCAGTCCGCGGATCAACAATGGCGATGTGAGGGTAGTTCTCCGAAACATCGCTTCCCTGGAAATAGTACTGCAAATACGGCCCGGCGCGTGGGTCGTCTTTGGAGAACTGCAAAAATATGAAATGTTCTTTGACGGTGTCTTTCACGCTGGGGTCTTTCCAGAGATCCCTGTTGAGAACCTGGCAGTCGAAGACAGAAGGATCCTGGATATTGACCAGCAGCCACCTTTCATTGCCACGGCCTTCCTCTCGGGCCATGTCCCATGAAAGCCTAGACATGATGTCGAATGGGGGACGATACATCTCAGCCAGCATATTGGACTTGTTGGAGGCGTCCGATGCTCCTCCAGTCGCAGCCGACAGTCTCTCGCGCTGTGAGCTTTCGTCCTCACCAGTCCATATCGATGCCGTGTCTCGCTGGTTGAAAATGCCGGGCCGGTCTGAAATCAAACAGGGTCAGTGACCAACGGACAAGAAAGGAAACAAGAAAGATGGATATACTGACTCTGTCGCTGTTGACGGGCGCGCAGTTGTCCCAAGATGCTGGCATGCATATCGCCATCATCAAAGTCTGCTTCAGGCCCCACCAAGGTTTCCGTCGTCCGAGCCATCGGCGCACGCACGTCATCTTCATCATTGCCACCTCCTCTATACATCTCTTCCTGGAGGCGACGAGCCATCGCCGCGTCATCTTCGAAGGTAGCGCTGCCGTGCGATTGTTGGTTGCGGGGGGCAGAGCGTGTTTCGTCTATTGTGAGGTCATCGTCCGAGTCCACATGGACAGTCCCCGACTCATCTTCGTACCCGACGGCATGAGGGGCTCTGGGAGGGTTCGAGGTCGACGCTGAAGTATCCTCAGTCAAGGCAGCACCGCCGTTTTCGAAGAAAAGTTGCACGGCCTGCTCGATGTTGAAATCGGCCAGCTGCAGATATTGGGTAGCGAGCTCGGGCTTAGAGCCGGTGATCTCAGTGAACTGTGCCACCACATCGCCGTCCATGGCGGGCCCGACGCACTGAGAAGGGTCTGGATATGGAGCGATAGACGAAGGACGAAGGAAAGGCAGGTCACTGTGACAGAAAACAGTGTGTTGATTCAACTGAGAAGTCGGGGCCAGATGATGCAAACAGCTGCAAACTGCAATGAGGGCGCTAAGGCGGTGATCAATGAGGACCTCGGATCAGGCCGAGTGAGTTGAAGGATAGGTGATCGAATATGTACGGCAGTATTCTGGGCGGGGGAGAGGCCTTCTGGGTGACTCTGGGCCGGGAGCTCCAGGGGAGTGCAAAGTGATGGGGCACAAACAGTAAGGATCGGAGGAGTAGGAGGAGTAGGAGGAGTAGAAGGAGTGGTAAGTATCTCCTGCAGTTCTCCGTTTAGGTAGAATTGGTGACGCACTTTCCCATGAGCCGCGGATAATCGGGCACTCCGAGGCCGTGGCTTACCTAAGGGAGCTCCCCGCTCTGGTCACGTGAATGACCGCCCGTCGGTCACATGATGGCTGGGCCGGGCGACGCGTGACGCGAGCTGACTGGTCCTGGCGAAGACGCGTCCACCGGGCGTCGCGGCCGGCGAGAACTTCGAGGCCAATTATGCCTCCTTGGGAAGACAGCCCTCTCCGCATCTCTCCTCCTGCCCCCGACATCCGCACTTTCCCTCTACCTTGCTATCCATACTCGACCTGCAAGCCCTTCCCCTACGGTTGCTCCTGCTACAATTGAGGTCGAATATCCCCAGCATGGCTGCTTCGGTCCTAGGCAAGCGCCAACGCGCTCCTATCGAGGCGGAAGGTACGAATATTAGACCCTAACTTGCTTCTCCTTCCTCGTCCTTCCCTTCGAGTCATTGCCGTTTCGCTGACGTCGGATTGGTGCACCAGTTCCAGCATTGCCCGTGCGTAGGGCCAGCAGGCGCCGCACGCAACCGCCTCGCATCCTTCTCGAAGAAAACGAACCAGCAGTACCACAAACGCGCCAACTTCGATCAAGGACAAGAAATGGTGGTGCTATTCAAGAGGAGAACGAACCCGAGCCTAAGGATCTCGCCATCGAAAATGAGAAGCCAAAGCATGCCATTCAAGTTAGCAAGGCGATCTCACCTGTCAAACACAGGTACACGTCGGAATCGGTCAATGGTAGGTACCATACGCGACTATTTCTCGGGTGTGTCTAACGTGTCTAGATGAAAACTCGACGCCGGTTGAGTTCAAAACCCCTTCCAAGTCAAGATTCCGCGATGCACTCGATTCACCACCTATCACACCGAAACACCGGGTCCAAGTCGGTGGGAAAGCGTTGACTCCCCGCACACCGCGACATGCCGCGACACCAGCGACAACCACCCAAACAATCTACTCGCAAGCCAGACAGCTATTTGCGCGAGGTGCAGCATCAGGTCGGATAGTGGGCCGAGACACGGAACGGGAGAAGTTGGTATCATTTATGCAGGAGGGCATGGATTCACGTAAAGGTGGCTGTCTGTATGTCAGCGGCCCCCCGGGCACCGGAAAAAGCGCAATGGTTCAGCAGGTGTGCCAGGAAACGGACCTGACGTCTCTGAGCATTGCACACCTCAATTGCGCCAGTATGCGAAGCGCTCGTGATGTCTACAGCAAGCTTATTGAGGACCTTTGTGACGACAGTGAGGTATTCAAGAAGAGCGAGGCGGATAGATTGAAGGCGATGTTCACATCCGGCGAGGATGACGATATGTTTCTGGTTACTTTGGATGAGATTGATCACCTTCTCACGGCGGATTCCGGCATCCTTCAGTCCCTATTCGAGTGGTCGCTCCAGGGAAAATCGAGGCTTTTGCTTATCGGAATCGCCAATGCCCTGGATTTGACTGATCGGGCATTGCCGCAACTTAAGGCTAAGAACCTGAAACCTCGCCTACTCCCATTTATGCCTTACAATGCAGGCCAGATTGCCGGTGTCATAACCAATCGGCTTCGCTCTTTACTCCCTGATGGCCACACTGGGGACCCGAATTTCGTTCCTTTCGTCCAACCAGCAGCCATCCAGTTGTGTTCGAAGAAGGTGGCATCGCAAACCGGCGATCTACGGAAGGCGTTCGAACTGGTCAAACGTGCCATCGATATTATCGAACAGGAAACACTCCAAAAGCTGGAAAAGCAAAACGCCAACCCCAGCAGTCCTTCCAAGACCATCCTTGTTGAGAACAACAATCTTTCATCGGCCAAATCTTTCATATCTAAGCAAAACCCTACATCGACTTACACCATTCTTACGGCGCCGCGAGCCAGCATCGCGCACGTCGCACGCATTACTTCCGCGGCTTTTGGACAAGGCACAGTGCAGCGACTGCGAGGTCTCAATCTCCAGCAGAAGGCAGCAATTTGTGCATTGATTGCCCTTGATCGGAAACGGCGGGAAGGTGAAATCCCGGGTACTCCATCCAAGACCAAGTATCTCGCGCCGACGATCAAGCAAGTCTATGACACATATTGTACTTTGTGTCGCCAGGACAATATCCTACATCCCCTCACATCAACTGAGTTCAAAGACGTCATCAGCAACCTGGAGACAATGGGGCTCGTTGGCGAATACGTGGGCCGAGGCCGGGGTGGCACCGTCGCTGGCGGCTCGGATTTAAGACGCAGTCCTTCGAAATCCCATGGCCCATTGACGCCCAGCAGAGCCTTGGACGAGCAAAGCCTGGTCTGCTACGTCTCTCAAAGAGAGATCGAGACCCAGATCGCCGGACCGGGCGAGGGAATTCTCAGGAGACTGATCACGGGCCAAGGGCTGTGAAACTGTTTTTGATGAATATGATTGCCCCTGTAAAGGCTACGACAAGCAGTCAGTTATATACCACTCACTCGTTTGGTGTTGGATACACATACACACAAACATGCATTTTCTTTAGCGATACGATACTACCACAGCATTGGCATACAGCGTTACATGCCTACATACTACATACATAGCCAAGCACCCCCAAGACAGACATGAATAATAATGATATGATAAACACCCTATTTACAAAACCATTTTCCATCGGGAGAGACAGATGAATCGTAGATAAGAATAATCTACATCCACAATCACGGGAGTCATGTTAATTCTTGATGCTATACAGTAAATAGAATCCGCAAAGGTCGCTGGTAGAGAAATGGAACCAATGAGTGGTAGAAACAGATAGGGAGGCAGGTATGTAGCGTAGTGTAAGTGATGTAGGTGGGTGTAAGTGTAAAGCGAGCGAGGTATAGGGACAGGGACAGGGACAGGGACAGGGACATATAAGACAGCTATGCATACAATGGGATTGGGGGTACGGGATTTGGAAGTCGGGGGAAACAAACAAATAAACAAACACAGGTAAAGAGACAGAGACAGAGACAGAGACAGAGATAGAGATAGAGATAAGAGATAGATAGATAGATCAATAGATGATGATAGTAGTAAAGAACAAGCGTACAGAAATAAATGATAAATGTTGGGTATGTGAAGAAGATAGGTAGGTAGTGCATATATCTGAAGAAGACAGAAGACAGAAGACAAAAGACAAAAAAGGAAAGAAAAGAAAACAGCAACAGTAACAACGGCCGGCACCATCTCAACTGACAAGACCTGCCTGCTCCAGTTTGAGAGATGCTGGCGTTCATTCACAGTCACACACCACACGCACTGTGCACGTGTCCACGTCACGTCACGGTATCAATTGCTCTCACTCCGTCGTCGATTCGATATACAATAAAAGCATGCATAGGTTAGGTTAGGTTCGTTGGTTCGGTTCCTCCTTCCTGTTCTTCCTGACTCTTGTTCATTCCCCGAGTACCGACCAGCCACAAGCAGACCACAACCACACCACCAGTGTAATCGCCTCCAAGGGTTATTTACTGACTGGTGAGGGAGTGTAGTCTATTCTGCTGGTCGGGTTGCCAAGATATGTGAAATTCTTATTTTTTTTTCGTATCCTTCTTCTTTCTTTTGGGTGACGTTAGGTCATGGTCAATTCATAGACACATCTAGTCATCGTCCATTGGCTTATCTTCCAATGTGACGCCTTTCGGCGGCTCGGTACTCTCCACCAGACTGCTTCGCTTGCTGTCCAGTCCGCTGTCCGTGCTTGCAACGACCGGGAAGCTGCCCCGGTTGCCGAGGCCAGGCTTGCGGCTGTAAACGACGCTGGACCGGGAGATCGAAGACCGCTTCTCCAGGTCTTGAGCAGGGGGGGTCGGGGTCGGGGTCACGGACTCGTCCGATTCAGCGACAGGAGGGGGGCTGGAGCTTCCGGATGAGGGGCTGGCGCTGGCAGTGGCTGAGACGGGCGATTCGCTTGAAACGCCGTTGGTGATAGCCTCAGGGCCGTTGATGTTCACGCTCGTCATTTGTTCGGATGCTGTGGGCGACTCGATGCTGAGGGGAACATCCAAGCTGCTCCGGGTGATGGCCCTTCTTTCAGTAGGGCTTGTCACATTGATGGGGAACCGTTTGGTCTCCGAAGCGCCACTGGAACGGTCCCGACGATGCTTCCGGGGAGGAGCCGGGCTGTTGGCACGGCTACGGTCTAGAATGGCTCGATTCCGGGCCTCCATGGCCGCCCGACGGTTGCTCTCGTCGGTGCTGATGGCGCGAGGGCGATTGGTGGTTCCACTGACTCCCAAAACACTTGATTGACGCTTCAGTTCGCCAAAAATGGCGTCCTTGTGAGCGAACAGATCACGGATGAGGCGGTAGCTGTGGCGCTCATTCATTGTCAGGCTGCTTTCAAAGCGGGGCCGGAGGACGCAAGGGGATAGTGCCTGAGCAAGGGACGAGACATAGGCTTCATCGGCAGAAGTAAGGTCAATCAGGCGTGTGAAATGGGTCATAATAGCGTCAAGCGTGGCGATGTTGTTGAGACGAAGTTGTCCCAGTGTGCTTTGCAGGACCTTGATGCGTCCTTCTTCCGTGGTCTCATGAGCAGTGGTGGAATAGATGGTCTTGACAATTTCGTAAACCTGGGAAGAAACAAGAGAGTCTAGCATCCTGTTAGCGTTGTATCCAACTCAATGTCAGGGTTGCGCACGAACCTGGCAACTCAAGAAGATATAATTTCAGGACGCTTGCGATGATGGGCATTTCGTATTTCTCTAGTACTTCGCCGTAATCCACCTTACTGTTGTTCAGCACGGAGCGGAGATGGTGACTGGCCGCCAAAGGCACATCGTACAGCCAGATCGTACGGCGCGCCTCATCTCCTTCAAGTTCGGGGTAGCCTATAGCAGAATGTCAGCTTCGAGTTGAGTCTAGAAGATCGTATGCGCTTACGGTTGTCGAGGTAAGTCAGAAGAGTCGTCACAATGACAGGAACTCGCTTGCGGTCGGCTCTTGCCCGAGCCTCGAGGTCAACGCCAAAGTTTTGATCTAATTCCGTGTCAGTCATGATAGGCACCTGGCGACATTTTGAAAATGAGGTCGTACCTTCCACGGAACCATAGTAATTCTCATAGGCCTGTACACGAGGCACAAATCCGCCAGTCCGGTAGTTTTCGAGGAGATATCTGAGATCCCCTAGAGGCTGAATAGTCTCCTGGTACAGCATCATGTGGTCCACCGTGCTTTGCAGATTCGGGATGACGTTGCTGATCGCGCCAGAGAAATCCAGGATCACGGCCTTGATGGCCTTGAGGCGATCGAGCTCACACTGCTCCATGAAGCGCAAGTTCTCAACAACCTCCTCCTCAAGCTTGCACCGGATCATGTCGAGCTTGCGCACCGCAGCCTTGTACCGTTCATCGGCTTCGTGAGCTTCCCGGCGCAACTTCTCCGCGGGCGTCTCGTTCGGGTACGGATTGTTAAGAGGGTTCCAGCCAGCCAACATCTCAGAGACGGAAGATAGCGGGGAATCGTTGCCGTCCTCGTTCGATGCCATTGAGGTGACGCGCATAAGCGGCTTCTTCTTCTCCGCAACGCCCGTGATTTGGAACACCTTGGGGCGCCACTGGTAACGCATCTTGGAACTGTTGGCGAACGTGCTGCCCATATTGCCCACCAAGCGAAGGAAGCCGGTATCGACAAGATCCTGGCCGATCTTCTCCGAATAGCCGATGCTATTGGCGTTCATGTGTTTCTGAGTGTAGTCCACGATATCTGCACCGGTCGAGGTGTTCTGGTAGGTGCCAATAATGGGCACCTTCACATCACCGACCTTGATGGTTTCCAGCATATTTATCAGCAGCTTCTTCAGGTCTTCCGGGGGATAGATCCGATCGCCGATTTCGACTGGTTCCTCCTCTTCCTCCTCCTCTTCTGGCAGAACAATCTTGGGGGTTGGCTTGAGCTTCGGGCTGGTCTCGGGGAGCTGAAAAGCGAGCTTGTTTTCCTCCTCCAGATCCTCAACCACACGGCACTTGTTGAAATAATGGCTTCGTAGCTTCTTGACCAGTTCCACCTGCTTAGTGTGTTCTTTGATGCGGGACTGGAGATCATCGTGGGAGTTCTGAATGCGAACTTCGTGCTGGTCGCACCAACGACGGAACGGCGTAACGACTAGCTCCCGGATGTTCGAGGCGATCTTCTGGTGGTTCTTGGACGCCTCGATCATCTCCGTGCGGACACCTTCATAAGCCTACACAACAAACCCCAACAGATCAGCAAAGCCGCAGCCAACATCGACAGGAATCACAGTCACCCACCTTTCTCACGCTCGCTCCATCATCCTTCCCAAACCCATTTGCGGTCACCCGATCAACGGCTGGCGCAATGTCCCCAAGTTTCAGACCATACTGATCTTCTGCATCCGCGCGCAACGAGGCAATTGTGATGATCTGCTTATTCTCGACAGCGCCCTGCTGAAGTTTCCCGTACAGCACCCCCAGACCCGCAGCGTAATCTGGGGTCCAAAACGAATCCGCGAACCCGGGCATTTTGACGGGCACACGGGCGTCACAATGGCGAAATAAGGGGAAGTCGGGTCCAGTATCCAACAATGCGCAAGCGACCCGAGCGAAATAGGACCCAGAGGAAACGACCGGCGTTCGTTACCGACTTTAGACCACCAACGGAATGTTCAGGTGTCCAGATGGTCCAGGAAGGCTGCGTCGAAGGAGTGTAAAATACCTCGAGAGCCGAAGAGTGGCCAGGTTTCGTTCCGAAGCGCTTGTTTCACGCGAGCTCTGGCGGATCCTATAGTGGCACACAGCGGCTGCGAGGAGACATTCGCCCGGTGACGGGTATGCGAGGGCGGCTACAGGAGATCGGGGGAGGGGGAAGTGAAGCGGGAGAGCAAGGGAAGAGGTGTGGATGAAAAATAGACAAGAACGGCAATGAAAAAAAAAGGGAAGAATGGGGGGGGGAGGGTGAAATATGTTCAAATCGAAACGGGAGTTGTTGGAGAGAGAGAGGGAGGGAGGGAGGGAGAGGAAGAGAGATGCCAACAGGGGAGAATGGATCTTGGGTTCAGTTCAGTTGGCCGAGATCTGAGGAAAAGCAGCGACAGCAACTCTTTGGGCTCCGTCATGTGTAATTTACGGACCCGAAACTGGACCGTTGCCGCTCAGCCTCACGTGTGTGGTTGCCGGGTGGCTATTTTTGGGGGAGGGATCCGTGAAATATTACGGCGCCCCGTACGGATTGTCTTAGATTGATTTCCCAACCACACCTCAATATTAACATCAACGTATTAAATGTCTCTTAGGGCTGGGGGGAGGGTTGGAATGACCCATCGGAGGCCAGGCCCCTAATATAGAAACCTGCCCTTTCCACTCCCCCCCCCATTCAGATCATTTCCCAAGGGAGACAGAATACGGATACGACATCTGCCGCCAGTGAAAATGCGCTACGACTGACGGTGCGGTGGACTGCTGCAGTCCGGATGGAGTGTTGGTGGTATTTGTTAGGTAGATGGATATAGATAGTATGTATCTATAGTAACAGTAGGCCGGAAAGGTAAAAGAGTAAGAGAGCAGCACGCTGGAGGTGAAACTCGGCACTTCGCGACAGCGAATGACCAACAAACAACAAACAGTCCCCGATCATCCGTCTCCAGGTGCAAACACGCCAAGACCGGAGAACGGCTGCGGATCCATTGCTTGTCCAGGGGAAAGAAACATCGAAATTGCAGAGATCCTGCATTGATATTATTGACGAGATCGATCACTACAGGTGGGGTCCTTCTTTACTTCTCCTTATGGTCATCACAACGAGCATTCAATTAGTCAATATTCGCCATCCGATGCTGCGCATCAGCGCTAACACAACATGCAGGTTTATGGACATTCATAGATCACTGAACAGGGAGACATGATCATAATCATACATAATTTCAAGAAAAAGAAAGAGAAAAAGGTATCATCTTATCCATGGAACTCCAAGACCCAGAAATAGCCGGACCGAGGCCTAGCAGAAGAAGTTCCATACCTTCTTCCACACCGGCCAAGCCGCCTGCTCGGCCCGCTCCTGCTCGATCAGGTCCTGAATGTCCAGGTCGCGGCGACCCGTCTGGAGATCCATGTCCTTAGCCCGGACAAAGGGAGTCTTGTACCAAAACTTGTAAGGGATGTAGAAGAGAATCACAACGGGCGCCGCAAGGTAGTCCTCGAAGAAGTTCGAAACCAGCCCCGAAGCCGACATGCTGGCGTACCCTTCGGGCGCAAACGCAACCCAGAACTGGGCGACCAAAACCAGGCAGTTGAAGATGAAGCCAACCCACGACCCAATGACACCAGGCTGGGATCTGAAAGCCAATTCGTCCAGGCTGTGTCCTTGTAGCTTCCAGGCCCGGCGGAAGCGGATGTGGCACAGGCAAATCGACCCCCAGGTGAAGATGGACGAGAGACCGGAGATGGCCATCATCCAGTCGAGCGCGGTGGCTTCCTTGGAAGACGCGGCGATGAACGCGATCAAGCCAAACACGGAGGATAGAAGTAGAGCCCAGAGAGGACGACCCTTGCGGTCGATATAGGCGAGGAACTGAGGAGCCTGGTTTTGCGCGGCAAGAGCAGCCAGAGTTCTAGAACAACCGTAAACAGATGCGTTACCCACGGAAAGCACAGCAATCATGATCACGACGTTCATGACAGAGGGAAGCCCCGAAATGCCTGCGTTGACGATGGCGATGACGAATGGGGACGCTTTGGCATCAGCGCTGGATGTCCCGTCCAGAAGCCGGGGGTCGTTGTAGGGGACGAGAAGGCCGACCAAGGTGAGAGAGACGATGTAGAAGAGGGTGATACGCCAAAACACCTGCTTGATGGCGGTGGGCAGGGACTTTCTGGGGTTGGCAGTCTCCGCGGCGGCAAGACCGACCAGTTCCGTACCGGCAAATGCGAAAGCAGCATTCACGAAGACACTGCAAAGACCCTTGAATCCATCGTTGAAGGCACCGGGGTTTTGCCAGTACTTTCCTCCAATGTATCCACCATGAGGGCCACCACCACAGTTCAGAATGATACCCAGAATGCTGGTTCCAGTTAGTCAAGTGGTTGTATATGAGGGAGGTCGACCTAATCCACTTACATAAAGCCAACCACGGCAGTGACCTTCACAATGGAGAAGACAAACTCCGCTTCACCATAGCCCTTGACACCGAACAAGTTGATTGACACGATCAACACCCAGAAGATGGCGACCCAAGCGGCATTGGAGATACCCGAGTTCCAGTAGCCCACGGTCAACGAGGCGGCGACAATTTCCGTGGGCAGGGTGACAAGCCACTGAAGAGCATAGTTCCAACCCATAGCGAAGCCCCATGCAGGATCAATGAACCGAGTCGAGTAGTGCGAGAAGGAACCTGCCACGGGGAAAAGGACGGCCATTTCACCCAGCGCGTGCACGGTGCAGTAAAGCATGCATCCGATCAAAGCATAGGCGATAAGGACGGACGCGGGACCTCCTTCGGCAAGAACACTTCCAGAACCAACGAAGAGACCAGTACCTAGAAGCAGAAGCAGGAGCGGTCAGCACTTACAACCCAATGCACGGCAGTGGTAGAGGGGTGACGCGGGCTCCGTACCGATCGAACCACCAATAGCGATCATCTGGAGGTGACGGCCTTTCAGCTTGCGTTGCAGCGGGGCAGCAGCCGTGTTCTGGGCAGCATTTTCCATATCAAAGTTGTCTCCATCAGCTCCATGCTCGGCATGCGCTGTGATTTGTGCATTGGGATCTCTCTTAAAGCTGTCCAGGATCCGCTGTCCAAGGCTTCCTTTGGTGGCCTCCGAATAACCGTACGCCGGAGGAGCGTCGCCGGACGAAGAGGGCGCCGACTTGGCCTCCGACTTGGGCTCAATGTAATCTTTCTCCATGGTGGAGGCTCTCAGCTATGAATGGGGGTGAGACCCGGGGTTGGTGTCCTTTGGCACAGAAGATCGACCGATGGCGCGAGAGGAATAAGGTGGGAAAAGGGTAGGGATGTTGGCCAAAGGAGAGGGAGAGGCGCGGGGGAGGGGGAGGAGGGAAGGGAAGGGAAAAGGAAGAAAAGGTAATCAGTGCCAGTGAAATGAACCTGGACCAAAGTCTGTGAGACCAAGTGAATGCACCCGGAGGGGGGAGGATGGGAGTCACTTTTTATTTATTACTTTGGTTTTGGTGGAGGACCAGGCTCAAGAAAAAAAAAAGAAAAGAAAAGAAAAAGAAATTGCCTTTTGGGGACAATGCTAGTACAATGCTAGTCCATCGACCAGGATGCCAGGATACCAGGATACCAAGACAGGATTTAAATAAGGGCCGGAGATATAGGTCAGGTCAGAGTCGCCCATGTTCAGGCCAGCAGGAATCCCGGCCCCATATCCACGAGAAATGCCAAGCAGCAAGCAGAGAGCCACTGAACAAGCTCACTCGGCCTAATGCGGGCCATGTATATTGTCGAGTCGCCATCATCCATCGATGACCCATGTGGCCAAGCCAAAGGGGCAGGAGGAGGCTAGTGGAGTGAACTGAACGCCCACGAGAAGTACGAAGTACTAAGACGGCCAGATACTACTACGGATGCGCTCTGGCGTAACTATGGGGAAAAGCTAAAGCGTGCAGCCAAGGGGAGGGCCAATCGGCGGGGGCGATGCCGGCCCCGGGCCCAGCAGATCTCTGATTGCTCCGTACCACTGTTTGATTACCCAGCCAACGTGATTGGTCGCTATCGGAAGTATTATTAACCATTACTTGTCGCTTGACCGTTATCACTGATAAGTCTGCAGGTGCTGCAATCAGCCTTTAGTGTACTCCGTACATATGATACTCCCTACTCTTAGTAGGATGTGCTACAGACCGGGGTGGATGTGGGTGTGGGTGTGGGTGGCCGACAGGCAGTGTACGGAACCTTGGCCTCGGAGACCCGCTTTGAGACGGGTGCGACAACGACGAGGACGGAGTCGGAGTCAGGGAGGTACCACTCCGGACGACGCAGTTGGCATTCTATCTAGATCACAGTACCTAGTCTACCTCCCATAATTGTTCGATTAAAAAATTGAGAGGAGAAAAAAAAAAAAAAACCTTGTCTGTAAGTAGCAAAGCAGAAGTGGAAATTGGCTGTCATCAAGAACAGCGAACAGCTGACCCTCTCTCAGAACCGTCGGGGGTGAAGTATAGTACATCACCTCATCATCACCGACGGAAAAGAGTAGGTAGTATTCACCCTCATCCCCCCTCCCTCCCATTAAGGTTTCAACGCCACTGGTTTGGTTTAAGCCCGAGCCAGTCTGCCTGGGACAGTTGTATAGGTAATCGTGTGATCCCCGATTCGGTCCCAGACAACTAGCACTCCACCTAGTGCGGCATGTACGGTTCATGCCATCCCACCGCCCCCGATTTAAATGATGAAATAATGCATGTCCAGTAGGACCGCCACCTGCTATCTATCTATCTATCTACGGAGTACTAGATAGATATCTAGCCTTCAAGGACGCCCATGGGCAGGGTCCGTTAGGCTTACTTGGTTTTGGGCCCACCGAAGTTCGAACCGCCGTTATCTCTGGCTGCGTGCCTACCTTATCTCTCCAGCCGGCCAGCCCTCCCCAGCTAACCGCTCGCTATCAGTTTATCAAACAGGTGCATAATGCTTCGTAGTCATCCTTTTTCTTCTTATATTTCGCTCTGATTACCCGGAGTATACTTCGTCTCATGTTAACATCATCGAACACCTCCTGCCAGCCAGGTACCCGTCCCCCGTCATCGGTCCTCCAATATGATGTATCACCCCTTCCCTCCACCTACCAAACAAACCAACTATCTAGATACCACAGTTTCCACTGCGACTTAAGTTAGGGGGGGGGGGAGGGGGAGTGGGCACTTGTCTAGAATAATAGCGCAGCCCACTCCCAGAGGTCTCCATCCAGGATTATTGGTCTCCGCACCTCGAATTTACGCGGTCCGCCTCTGCGGCCAATCACGCGGCCGTGACAGGGATTGTTGATAAGACATCTACGGCCTACTGCTCGGATTCCCCGGTCAGCTTGGAGCTGAGGGCTCCTAACCTGCCTACTATCATCTCTGCATCCACTACTCCACGCGCATCCCTGTTCCCCATTCACAGAACATGGGATTGCTGGCTCTTATACAACCGCTCCTCTGCCTTCGCTGTACACCGTCGGAGATCCCTGCTCTGATAAGAGCCCAGGCAGAGCAACTCTGAGCAAGGCACGGTACTATTCTCTCCCTATCATGTCTGTGAGAAGTAAGTATGGATGATGATCGGGGCACCTACTTGCCACCTCTGGCGTCTTTCTCATTTGTCCTATTCGCCCGTTCCTTGAGGATCCTGCCACCGGCCACCGGACAATTAATTGTATTGACCCTTGCCTGCTAGTATCCCGATCATGGCTGAAGCCTGGAACCCAGCCGTTTCGCTTCGGTCCTCTCTGGTCTGGCCCTTAAGCTTTTGGCGAACATCCACCCGTTCGTTCCTGTAAGCTGTAACACTACCACGGTTTCTTCCCGATGGAGACCAATGCATGGAAGCCCGGGAGAACCTCCTTCCCATCGTCTGACGATGTTCTGCATCAGGTGCTTTTTCTCGCCTCGACATCATAGGTGGCAACATCGGTTACTTCCGCCTCTTATAGGCGAGGCGTTGCCAAGTCTTCATCGACCAAGGGGAGCTTGCTCGTCAGAAAGGTCCCAAAGGAATGGAAGGGGCTTGGAGGCGACACCCTACATGGGGCGCAAGCATGCTGGCTATGATTATTTGCCTCCAAATGGTGCCACTATCTAGGGCTCGCCCACGTCTGACCTTCATATGACATGACTGACACTTCCATCCGTAAAGACCGCACTCCGTAGCTGCCGGTAGTTGCCCAATGGGTTGAGCTCTGATCAAGCCCCGTTCGGCCATGTGGCCATGTACCTACCTATGTCTCTGGAGTCCGGTGCTGCTTTGCTTCGCTAACCATGCAACTATCTACTAGTAGTAGTGCTTGAGAGATGCATCCAGTAGCCCGACGCATGGGCGGTTTGGCTATTTCCTCCTGCAGCCTTGCCATGGATTGGATTACCGCTGCAAACCGCCATGACCAGGTCAACTGGATGGGCTCCACAGCCACTCGCAGAGATACACACCCAACATCACTAGCGAAGTATCTCTCTAATCCTATCTGCAAAGCTAGAGAAAACTCGGAGTATTCCGTAGAGAAGCTCAATAATTGTCAACAATACTCATCAGGATCCAACGGACCCCATTTAGATAATGCAAGAGACTGGACTGCATCCCTGTAGCTCCTAGTGCTGACAACAGCAAGTAAGTAGCATGATCCCACCGACAGCCAACAAGCTCCCGAGCCCGACTCCAGAAGAAGAGAAGAAGAAGAAGAAGAAATTGCATGTGCGGTCCCAACGCTTTGGCTTTCTGAATTCGGACAGAACAACCACCGGCCCGGTGTGTGGGCGCTGGAAGGACTAAAGGATGAACGCCCGGGCAATCCCTAGCGCTTCCTCCGCCAGGCCACACTAGGTACCGCCGGTAGAGTCACATCGCGACCGGTCGCCGAAGCATGTGGTTGGGGTCGGTCATTAATACTATCTATACCGTCGAGTCATCCCTGAACCAGGAGGGTACCGTGTTTTCCCAATGAGAGGCTAAGCATGTGCTATGGTCCCTTCTAGACCAGGTATACCATAGCAGTCGGATGGCGGGATCATGACACCTTACTTATGTACATATTTGTCTACGTAGGCACATCGATGTATCTTCCGTGCTCCGTCCGTACTTGGGTGCGTACTTGATTCTGTCCCCGAGTGGCTCCTGCAGTGGGCCAATAACTCCTTCCTTGATTACTCCGTCCGGCATGGAAAGTTTCGATCGCCCATTATATCTAGGTAGCCTCCGCCTGAGAGACTGGCTGACCACCATATCATGCTGACGCCTGAATGCCTGGAGAAGGATTCTTGCAACAACATTGCTTAATAGCACAGATCAGCAGAAAGAAACAGCATAATTCGAGCCAGCGACCATGCACCCACCTTATCTAGGTCCTGGTGTGTCTTTGATCATGGAATGGAAGCTGTGTACTCCGCGGATACATTGTCCAGGGTACTCCGTACGGCGTAAATAGTAAATAAACAATGCTGCCTACCGAACAGACGGGCCAGAAAATCCCGCAGTAAAGTAATATAACCGATACTCCGCTCCCTCACTCCCTGCTCAGGTATCTATCTGTACTAGAGCCTAGTACCTAGTAGTAATAGCATAGTAGCATCTCTGCCACCCATCCATGCATCCATCCACCCGTCTATCCATCCCATGTATCTATCAACCATGAGAACCAAGAATAAGAAGAAGAATAATAATAATAATAACATTTATCCCCCGTCCAAGGAAGTCCAAAGAAAGTTCACCAAATTTAAAGTTGCCCCCCATTGCGGGCAGCCAGTTGAGTCGCCGACTTGCCCACTTCCACTCTAAAATTGCGGGGATGCCGCCCATTCTGTTATGTAACAGATTCCACTTCATGCCCGCTCCCGGCTTTGGGTCGTCTGGGGTAGCTGGCATGGCATGGCATGGCATACTAGTAACAGTAGTCATAAGTCACTCGGTGTTCGAACGATCGTCGCGGCGCGTGTCTTCCTTCCCCTCTCTCCCGTACGAAGACGCACTTCTTGGGACTTCTTGGGACCGAATCAAGATGGCTTAGTGGGTTTGGGGGCTTGAATCATGGGTGGATGGATGGATGGATGGATGGATGGTTTTTTTTTTTTTTGGTGGGGGTTGGTTTTCTGCTATACTCTGATGTGGGGTAATGTGCATGGCACATATATTGGTCGATTAAAGCTTGAGATGGTTCTCTTCGCTACCCTTTTGGGAGAGAACAGGTCAGGTCAAGTCAGGTTGTGAAGCTATCCAAGCATCTGGGCGCGACGGTGGTGGTTGTGTAGTATTGCTGCCACCATCAAATTTACTTCCTGCGAAATCGGGCCAATGCGACCTTCATGCAGAGGGCCCTTGGAACATTATCATGACTAGTATCCGGGTTGTTTCCGCGTAGGCTGATTGGTGTTCCAGGATGAACACTTCCGTTGTTCTTGCGCTTGCTCTACAGTCATGGCCACTAGGGCTTCGGATGTGTCGTCTTCGGTTTGAGGAGAGGGGTTTTTTTTTGCGTTGATGTTTGACAATGAGAAGGGCTCTCTACCGTCATCCCTTTCATTGCGGGTATTCTTTGATCTGCAGATATTCTGCATAGCATCGATCGATGGTCGGATCTCACCTCTCTTCCCCCTCGGATGGACCAAATCTGGGACTGTCCGCAGATCAAAAGTCTGGGCTACGGTAACAGTTAACCAGACACAACTGAGCTCTACCGATGGTGCTCTTTTCCACATTGACGAGACCATTTCGGCTAATTAGGGAAGTGCAACACCAGGGCGCATGTTGATGACGCCCCAGTAAGAATCAAACACAACCAGAGAAATGGGGATGGAACAAGTAGGAAACAAGACCCGCCTATTACAAAGAATGTCTATGCGGTATCATCAATGTTCATTCGAGAAAAAAAAAATCATTTTGACATGGCTAGGAAGAATCGTGGAGATCATGAACTAAGAGCTACCGACTGGCCCCTCACCACCAGGAATCAACTGACGATAGTGTTAGCTCGGGGATCACAGAACGAAGGACAGGGGAACTTCGTACCATGCAGACATTGTTTCCATTCAGCAATATCTTGGGGAGCTTGACCTGTGAGCCGGTGTAATCGCTGGTCTCGGGTTTAGTCACACATTTTTACCCACGAGAGGGAAAGCAGAAACACAGATGTCCAGATGCCGGACAGCGGGGGCAAGATGGATTACTTACAACTCGGTCACGTCTTCCAACACCATGTCTGGGGGTAGATCGATCAGTGTCTGGTTCCTTGACGCGGAAGTCGAGATAGGTCCACTTACTGACGTAGTCATCGAATCCGAGCAACGTTCCGGAGAATTCTGGTCACTGTGAGCTTGCCGTCCAGCCCTATATGGGGGGGAGGGCTCAACAAACCTTTGTCGTTCTTCATGATAACCCATATTCTGGACCCGACACACTTGTCGATCAACTCTGCCGCGGGATATTAGCAAGAGAGCGCCGTGTATACGGGATGGATGGAGTTGATGGTTACCTAGCGGAAGAAGTTGGGAGGCCATGGCGTGGTGAGTATACGGCTACTTCCTCTTCATTAGATGCCCGGCGAGCTAACAGCCTCTGTCCGCGGACGACTTACTGCAGTTCCCGGAGTTGAAAAGAAGCCCCGCCTAGAATGACATGGAAAATGAAGGCGGCGGACGGACGGTCGACGATTCCGATTGAATCCCGGCAATCTTGGCGCGCCCCCCCGGCCGCGTGTTTATCCGGCCCGGCCATCGCCCCCCAATCACATCTACTGCAGCGCTCCGCTTCGCCAACTCCCGTGATTCTTCAGGGCTTCCATTCATCGCCTTGTTGTCGTCTGGGCCGGCTCGCGACGACGGTTATTTCGAATCCGCCATGCGGAACTGAGCACTCGGTAGACGACCACCAGCATGCTTAGTTGGAACCACGTGGACTTGCCGAAGCTTTCAAAAAACGGGCCGTGAACACCCGCCCTGTGTCGGTGAGACTAAAGCCCGGCGGCAATGGCTCTCCAGGATCTAGCAATGACGAGGAGGTCGGTTCCCCCCCCCCAATACCACACAACACAGACTTTTACTGATGCTCCCCCTCAGACTGGTCGATAAATACATCCACATGTGTTCTTTGCAAAGCTTAGCGGCCAATTGCTCCAAGTCGCTATGCGGGCCGTGCGCCTGGAACTATCAGATAGCCCCTAGTTTCTTCACGAATAGAAGCCATCCAATTTTGAATGACCAAACCATGCTTCCAGGCCCGTCCAAACCCTCAGCTCTGGCGCGAGTGCCGTCTGGGTTAGATTTCTGTATCCCTCGGAAGCATGACCGCCCCTTGGAGTCTAGAATGCGCCAGTCCCGGACTCCGAAGTCGGAGAAGGCTTACCAGAGGAACTGCCATGCGGCTGAACGCAACGCTTTCCCTCCCAGGAGCTGGAGAAAGACCCGCAGAGCTGGAGGACCAAGAAGATTCTATAGCTCGAATACAGACTCCCGGTTGATCAACGACGATGCCTTCGGGAAAGCCCAAGAACCCGAACCCTCCGTTCTTCTAGCGAACGCTCAAACACTTCCAACATCAGATGGTCAAGTTGCCCATCATGATCCCGAGCCCGTCTCAGCACAAGAGCCGAACCCAACGCAACCCCCATCCGCAGACCCCCCGACGCCCAAATTTTGGAGCCACCAGATGTTCAAAAGCCCCGAAGGCAAGAAGATCATCGTGCACTACTGCAGCTCGCTCAAAAGCAGCGAGGATGTCGCGCAGTACTTTCTAAACGACAAACACATCGGATTCGACATGGAATGGAAAGCCCAAGCCTCCGCCTGGGACAGCATCCAGAGCAATGTGTCCCTCATCCAGATCGCAAACAGAGAACGTATTGCCCTCTTCCACATCGCTCTGTTCAAACCCGCCAAAAAGCTCGCCGATCTGGTCCCCCCCACGCTGAAGCGGATCATCGAATCCGCCGACATCACCAAGCTGGGTGTGTCCATCAAAGCGGACTGTACCCGGCTCCGCAAGTTCCTTAAGATCGATGCCCGTGGCATCTTCGAGCTCAGCCATCTTCATAAATTGGTTAAATATTGCCAGTCAAATCCTAAACTTATCAACAAACGCGCGGTGAATCTCAGCGAGCAGGTCGAAGAGCACTTGGGGTTACCTCTGGAGAAAGATGGAGACGTCCGTTGCAGTAACTGGGCGGTGGCTTTGAATTATCGCCAGGTACAATGTAAGTACTGAACTGAGTGAGTCTGGTTACTTGGGTGTGAGAGTAGCTAACAGATTTGGCACAGATGCTGCGTCCGATCCGTTCGCATGTATGTGCTTGTTTGATACCATGGATGCGAAACGCAGAGCCCTTGACCCCATGCCGCCGTTACCGGCTCATGCCGAGTTGGACTTGCCGATTCGCATAGTGCATGAACCTCCGGTGAATGCAGACCCGATTGACGTCGAGGTCATTAAGCCGTAGATGCCACGGGGTATCAAGAGTCCCGTGTTTAGGAAAACACACAGAAATGCTTTTTTGCTCGGGTGCATTGGATTGCGAGGAATGGAAGCATATATACATACCACTCTTGTGGAGATCTGTTCGTTCTGGCGTCATGAGTGTTTGGGCATTATATAGGTAAAGCGTTCGCATATCTCGACTACCTTTTTTTTTTCTATCTACCCACAAGAAGCTAGAATTTGTCATGAGGCGCCATGATTTGGATAACTCTGACTTGGATCTATGGAAGATTCAGAAGCAAAATACCCATGCTAGGTTCAAAGTATGTGGCGTTTCATGTGATATTCAAACAACGGGGTCTGTTCAATAGCTGGGACTAATTGATGCAGCCTCCAGGATAGACGGGGTATAATTATAACAATCAGACATGACATGGTCGTATATCAAAATGGAAAATTCAGAACATGATGCTAGTGCCTGCACTGTCATACTGGGGAAGACCTCCAACGCATAAACGCTATCCCCGTAAGGGCAGGACCTTGGACAAGAGCACCTCTTGTCGACAAAGGGGGCACTCGGGCTTCTCGCGTACCCAGTCTCTCACACATGTCCAACAGAAGACATGCCCACAAGTGGTAACGCTCGGGTCCTTGAACAGTTCGAGACAGAGCGTACATTTGCGTTGCTGACCAGCAGGAATCCAGGGGATCGCGTTGGAGTCCTCCGAGAAGTCGTACCGGGCACTGGTGGCCGGAAGGAGAGGGAGTGAGGCGGGGTTCTCGAGAGAAGATATCGGAGAGTCCCCGTGTAGTGAGGCTCCACCAGACTCGGCTCCCGTCTCTTGCTCCTCCTGGTTTAGACTGGCCCCGACCTTCTTGATATGTAGTACCCCCTGCACCGCGATCTGCAATACGAGAAGCACGCCTAGGACCTCATAACCGATTCGTTGCTCATTCTCCTCCAGTTTCTTCGTAAACACGTATCGGAGCCCCCAGAAGCGCTTGGAGAGATGATAGTAGGCTCCGGTGAAGTAAAAGGTGGCAATGCTAAGCGCGTAGACGGGCGACTGCGATGTGATCGAATCCAGGTGCTCCAGGATGTATTTCTGCAAGCGTAATTTCGTAAAAAGAGACGGGGGTTTCGACGACGACTTGCTCTTCGCCTGCTCCAGGGTTCCTTTTGTTTGAGCCGCTCTCAGCTGTTGCCGGGCAATGCTACGCTCTAGTTTCGATCGCAGTCGTTGGCGGAAGGCGGGGAGGATTCGCTGCAGCGTCCAGGGCAGCAGGATGCTGCTGAGGATGTACCCGACTCTCCTCGAGAGGGAAGGGAGCTGCAGTGTATCGTCCTCCAGCTGGACCAGGTCGCAGTATTCTTCGCCCAGGGTCCGGTTCCCGGCCAGCGTGGTCAAGGTAAAGTAGAGAATCTCGGTCAGGTGCTTGATGGCATCGGAGTGGGTATGGGCGTATCGAGCCCCGCGCAGAGAGCGCACGATGGAATGCGCTTGGCCCGTTAAGCTGCCCGTGAGAAAGACGTCCTTCTCGTGGGATCGAATGATATCCGGGGAGGTCGCGAATGGGTAGAAATGGGCGGAGGCACTGACCGACGGGGTCGGGGCGGAGGTGGTGAGGGAGAGGTCTTCGTCGGACATGGTGGGAAGGCTGACAGGAGAGGAGAGGGAGAATAAGGACTGTCCTTCTGTCGGTCTTCTGTCAGCGACTCAGCTTCTCGGGAATGGGGCTATCATGCTCGCCCGGCATGGCTGGTAGAGAGATGCTAAGTAGTAGGGAGGAGTAGATAGATAATAGACGGCAGCCGAGCGGCGGCGCGATGCCTCGGCAATGCAGCACGTGACCGGAGGCGAGACCCTGGTCGCTCACGTGACGTGTTTCACGTGGGGCACATCACGTGGGGCGCAGGGGGTTGTTTCCAAAATTGGAAGGCGGCGCCAAGGGGGGTGGCGCTAGGCCGCAAACGGGGCAAGTGCGCGGAGCGGCCGGGCGGACTTGAAACCAGAAGCGTCCCTGAGCTTCTTCACTCCCACCCCCGTTGTCTGGCTGCTGCTTGCTGGTCATGATCTGAAAAGCCTCTGCGGTCGCCAAACTCACCCGAGTCACTCCCTTGGGCCTCGCATCGCTATCTATCCCCTCCTCATCTCCCGTGCTGGCCCTTTCGTCGAGTCCAACTCATCTGTCGGGTCTCCCTCTCTTGTTCTCCTCTGGCGCTGAATTCCCGGTGCCCGCCTCTTCAATGGAATATGGGTCCTGATCAACATGCTCAATTGGATGCCTTCAGTCTCTTCCTCCCCTTCCCCTATCGCGTGGCGGTAATACTGCTGGCTGGTATGCCTTTTCCCCGCTAATGATCGGCTGGTGTGCTGGAGCCTTCGTCGTTGACTTGTTACCGATAGGTTTCTGGGGCTGGGGTGCCAACCTTCAATACCTCTTCAAAGCGAACATTGTGCGTGGATGCCCCTCATTTTCTCCCTACGGCGCTCCGCTCGCTCGATGCACTCTCTGACTGTCCTCATCTAGGACGTTCCTGCCCTCATCCGATACCCAGCGCGTCAATCGTCCAACCAACGGCCTCACTATGCCTCCACCTACCAGCTGGCCACTATCCTGACCGTCCCCCTCGCCCTCTCGCTCCTGATCTTCTGGCCGGTCACCCATGGCTCCGTACAACGGGTTGAGGCCCTAGACTTCATCCCGCAGTCATACTTCCTCATAGGCCTTCTCATCCTCATCCTGCCCTTCTACCGGATCGCGCGCTCCGGCCGATATCGGTTTTTCATGACCCTGAAGCGTATCGGCCTCGGCGGACTGGCAGAAGTGCAGGATGGCAAGTTCGGGGATATCCTACTGGCAGATGCTCTCACAAGCTATGCCAAGGTCCTGGCGGACCTGGTTCTCACCTTCTGCATGTTCTTCACGACAGATATAACCAGTACGTTCAAACCGGATCGCAAGTGTCGGAACGATTATGTCGTCCCCATCATCATCGCTTTCCCCAGTATAATTCGACTGCGACAATGTTTGATTGAATACCTGCGTGTGCGTCGCGCCAGTCACAAGAAAGAGGGAGCGGGCAACCAGCACCTGGCCAACGCCTTGAAATATGCCACCGCGTTCCCCGTCATCATCCTTACGGCCCTGCTGAAGCATTACAACCCCCTGGATTTCTACGGTTACAGTGAGATGAGTCTCTCGCGGCTTCTGTATGTGTCACACCTGCAATTCTGACCAGAAACCCCCGACCATTGGTTCTAACCGTGTTTTCTGTTCCGGCAGGTTCATCTTTACGTTCATCAACTCCGCATATTCCTTCTACTGGGACGTCACCAAGGATTGGGACCTGACCCTCTTCTCCTCGGCGCGCCAGAGTCATGAGTACCCCTACGGACTGCGCCGCCATCGGTATTTTACCGATCAGCAATACTACATGGCCATTTCCATCGATCTGGCCATTCGCTTCTCCTGGCTCTCGAGATACGTGCTCGGCTTTGTCTGGCTAAGTGACACAGAGTTCGGAATCTTTGTGCTCATGTTCCTCGAGGTCGCACGTCGGTGGATGTGGATTTTTCTCCGCGTCGAGACCGAGTGGAGTAAGTCGTCCAGTGCACAACCACGTTATAGAGCCACGCTAACTTGAGGGTGTCACAGTCAGAAACAGCCGTGGTCCGGCCCCGGACGATATCCTCCTTGGCGAGTTCGGCGGCAAATTGGACGCAGATTAGCCCTGCAGCCTCCCGCGTCTTCTTCTTCTCCTTCTCGAGGCTCTGCCGTTTCTATAGATTGAAATGATTTGTTATCCAAATGTAACCAGCATCCATTGTTATTGTGATTACGTATGTTAGCCTTCTTCTTGGCCGGGCTTGGCTCTTTACATTTTGTACTCACTGCTGCGTCTTTGGCGTCTGTATCATATGGGCAGGAGTGTTTGGGGCTGTGTCGTATACACAGTAGTATAGTATAAACGTTTGCTTTTCTTTCTTGTCTCTGTCTTGTCTCTTTTCGCTTTCTTTTCTTTCTTTCTTTTTGTCTGTCTATTTTTCTTACTTTCTTCCTTTTTCTTTTTTTCTTTTTTATTTGCTCAAGATTCCATCCTTCCCAAAATTTCCTTTCTTGGATAAGCAAAAATGGTTTATTGTGTCTGTCTGTGTCTTTGCATCCGAGGTAGGATATGGACGGTGGACAATGGACACGCACGCTTAATAACGAACGAATACTGAGCACGATTGATAAAAAAAAGCGAAGAACAGATCATTAAATAACCCCATATATAGAGCAGGATACTAACCAATTAATTAATCAATCAATCAATCAATGGATTACTCCCAGTAACAACATTTCTGTACTTAATTATCTTTTCCTTTCTTTTCCTTTCCTTTCCTTCCCGATGTGAGTATTTTAAGGGAATTGATGACATGAAAAAAAAAGCCGCACGGAGGAATGGAAGGAGGAATTTAGAGTAGATAGAGTAAATGGGATTATGGTGTGATTTCTGGATGAGAAGGATTTTGCAGACGCGAAGTGAAGGGGGACAGACAGTATACGTACAGCACGATTGAAGGGGCATGGCATGTAAATGTGAATAGGAAGGAAGATATGACAAGAAATCGAAGGGGTGTAGTGTGACTATGAACACGGAACAGACGACAGAGATATACAAAACAAAACAGCAGAAAGAGTATCGTTTCTCGTAGATGTGAGATGTGATCGATCACATTGGTGACGGTCAGCATCAATGGCTATCCTGGGGCGGATGGCTATCGAAGAGATCTTCTAGGTATGCACTGGGGGTTCTTCCCTGCGGAGGAGAGGAGAGGTTCACGGTGCTGGTAGAGGCTTCGGCGTGGGATCTCCTGGTGCTGCGACGGAGCGTGTCCTGGTCTAGGCCTGGAGACAGACCCGGCGACTCAGGGGGACTAGGGCCCGTTCTAGCTTTGGTATAGCCTTGCGATTGCGGTCCCATGCCCGGTAGGTCGGGGGCCGAGAAACGGTTCTCCTGGGCGCGGGGAGGCGCGGCGTTGCCGGCGTTGTAGTATCCAGCGGGAAGGTAGCTCGATCTTCTTTTGTTGCTGGTGTGCTGCATGCCTGCGGTGGGCGAGAAGAATAGGGCGCTGTTCGTGCTGGGCGTCTTGGATGACCGATGGTGTCTGCTGTGGCTGTGGCTGTGGCGGCGGCGGTGGTGGTGATGGCTGTCGCCCAATTTGTCCAGCGTCACGCCATGTTGTCCCGAGCTTGATCTTCTAGAGCGTGACCTCCTCTTCCTGGAACGAAGCAGGCCTTTGCTCTCCGATGACCGCATCAGGGCCGCTTGGCGGACAGACCGGTTCACAGACCATGCCACGATCCCGCGCCAGGCCAGAATCGCCAGTCCAATTGCTCCGAGCACGGCCCCGACGGCAATAAACACGGTCCCTTCAGGGACCTTCGACTTCTGCATGTACGGGGCATCAGCGGTTGGGGGGACCGTGACGATGGGGATGTCGTTCGTCGAGGATGCAGACGAGCCCGTTGATGTGGACTGGGAATCTGTGGTTGTCGTGGCCGAGGAGTCAGTTGATGATGATGATGCAGCGGAGGTGGTCGTACTGTCGTCTGACGAGGTTGTCGCGGACTCAGTGGTTGAATCGGAAGTGGTGACGACAGTGGTGCTATCGTCTGTCGTCGTCTGAGCGAGCGAGACTTGGGCAACAATGACGAGGATGAACAATAGGAGTAGGGTGAATGAAGGCCGGCGACGGGCCTTGGAGAGGCCCACAGATAAAACCACCATGGCTGGTCTAGATCACACGCTCGCCAGACCCGATCAAGGAATCGGACAAGATGGTTGGGGAACGAGTGGTAATCCGCGCAAGAAACAGAAGCTAGCGTGAGCAGTACAAGGTCATATTCAAGCGAGGCGCAGTGGTATTAGGAAGACGGCATCGGGGTCGAGGGAGTCTGTTTGTAGATGGATCGCATCAATAGCGGGTGTCTCCAGGCGGGACTATCAGTCGGGTCTCCACCCAAACAGCAGGGTCAACAATCGAGGACGAGGAAGACAACAGTGGTCAAACAAAGGCAGACGGCAAAACGAAGGACCAGCACGGGCAGTGGCTGCGTGTTTGACCAGCAGTCCAGCCCAGAAACGAGGGAGATGTGGGGAAGGATGGAAAGTTGCGATCGGGGGGTTCATCCTGTGGTTTCCGGTGGTTGCCCCGTGCCTGCCCGCCCGCCACTGGACCCTGCCGGCCTGAGGCGCCCCAGTCCCTCACGTGATGGCTATTTATGGGTGCTTTGATGGCTATACTTGGTAGTTTCGTGGAATCGTCATCAATACGCTATCAAATCACTAATTGTAGATAGAGACACAGACGCCTATGACACATGGCACGCACTCGTACAGCCTATTCATAATATCGAATAGCATAGCAAGCAAGCAAGCAGGTTATATAGAATTGAGAAAGCGTCTCTAGCGACAAGATCCCAAGAAAAAGCGACACCGCATCACGCATCCCGCATCACTGCTGCTTCTTTTGCACGCTGGCGGCCGGGTCCTTTTCGAATGCCGCATACGGAACCTCCAGGCTGGCTAGAGCCGAGATCCCGATGTAGAGGACGATCAAGAAAAACAGGGTGGCAATGAATCCCATGTAGATGCCTGTGTATGGTTAGTTCGATCTAGCGTTGCGGGATCTCAGGACTCGTCGCACATACCTGGGGTGAGATACTGATATTCCTGGAAAAGCGGCTTGTTCGGCGCAGGGGTTTCCCGGCGGTCGTGGGCGGAGTAGTCGCGCTTAAGATCCATGTGGACGGGGTCCTGGTAGGAGTTGCCCTCCGACTCATAGACGTCGGTAGTCGAGTTCTGGGGCTCACGAGGCGAGGTGACATAGAGGATGGTGTACTTCTTCGGTTCCGGGAGGCGCTCAATGATATCAGAGAGGAGGCCATCTGCGGGACAAATGAGCATAGTTCTAGGGAACCGATAGACGGATGATGCACGAACCGTTGTCCATAAGCTGATGGGCCCGCTCGGATCCCTGAGGGAGAGTAGGGAAGTCAAGGACGATAATACGCGGTTCAGCGCCAAATTCGGGGGAGTAAGATCCAGCTAGACAGTTCCGTCAATCGAGGCTATCCTCACATAGCTATCCTCATTATGGGAGCACCTACTGGCACCATCGATCACGGTCGTTTCGGCACCGCACTGCTTCTCCAGCAGGGCCTGGACTTGCTTCGTTTCCAACAGTCCCACCACTTCGTTCACCACGATCTTGGACCGGATCGCTCTGTCCTTCCCTGTCATCTTTGCGCCGAGACGCGGGGCGGACTTGCGGGCAGCGAAGTCGGTGCTGTGCACGCCAGGCTGAGAGGCGATGACATAGTAGTCGGAGGGGCACCTGCTGAGCCCTGAGGAAAGCTCGTCTAGTAGGGAAGTCGCAGACTTGTGTCGTGCGGGCGTAGTAGGGATCCTGTACGCGCTGGTTAGCTTGCTCATGTACTCCAGTTCCGCGATCCAGCAAGTTCAAGGCACACATACTCGGAGGTCGATGCGAGGAAAAAGGGAGAGGTGTCACGGTACGCGGTCGCCGTGGTCGCCCCCAGGGCGAGTAGCGAAAAGAGTCCCCAACGCATGGTGGTGTGGAATAGATGTAGCTTTGAGACAGGCGGACAGCTGTCTGGAGAACCCCGGGGGAGGAATGGATGATGATGTTAGAGCCAGGCTGGTGGATTGCCCGACGGCTCGGAGGCGGTCGAGCCAGAACCACCCACTGACTGACCGGCTCGGCTTAGCTTGACTCTGTCCCGGCCGTGACGTTCTGGCATGCGGCTTCTGGGAATTTTTTTTTTTTTTTTTTTAATTCTTATTCTTGACCAGAAACCCCCCACCTCCAAAACTCATTTCGCATTTTATCATCACCAGACCTAACCCGCTATTCTTTGTCGATAAGAGAGAAGAATGGGTCCACAAGCAAAAAGGAGAAAGGTGGCCCCGAAGGTCGAAGAAATCAACTTCGACTCTGCCGACCGCCAGCAGTTCCTCACAGGCTTTCGCCGGCGGAAGCAACAAAGAATCAAGCATGCACAGGAGGTGGCTATTGAGAAGGCTCGGGAGATGAAGAGGGAACACCGGAAAAAGGTCTGCTAATGTTGCGATCGCCGCACCGAACGAAGAAAGGCACTTGGACTAACCGGTATGGCGATCTAGATCCGGGAAGAACGAGCTGCGGATTTCCAGCATGCGCTAGAAGAGCACCGCAAACAACTCAAGAGGCTGAAGGAGGAAGATCGCGACAGCGATGATTCCTCGTCCGGGAGCGAGGATGGAGACGAGGATCAGGAGTGGGAAGGATTCGAAGAGCCACCGGCCGTCGATTACGAAGCCGAATACATAGACGAAGATAAATACACCACGGTGACGGTGGAGGAGATGGATCCCTCGAGAGAAGGTCTGCTTCGATACGCAAGCGATGACTCTGATGCGGAGAAAGAGCAACCTGCGCCGGCCCCTGCAGCGGACGACAAGTCGAAACCTCCGGCCACACAGAGCAAAAAGAAGAACGCCGATAATAAGCCCAAGAAGAAGAAGAAGAAATTCCGCTACGAAAGCAAGGACGAACGCAGGCAGACCCGGATGAAAGAACGCATGTCGAATTCCAGGAAGGCAAAGGCTCGACGAGAACAGTGAGAAGGGTGAGAAGGAAGTGAGAACGGCCAGAACACTCAGTCTTGTACAGCGGCGGCACAGCACATACATGAACCATCCATCAGCTCAGAATACAGAAGCCAGAGGGGGCACTCCCATTAAATATGCTCTATGTACCTTCACAACGAAGACTAATATGTTAAAGATAAAAAGGAGAACAAAGTCACAAGGACATGCGGAGAGACCGGTTGATGGGAGGGACAAGGCCAGCTAGATGACAAGACGAAAAGATACTACTAAATCCGTCTCCTGCCGACAGGAAATAATAAATCAAGCTGTGATGTGCAGGGGAGAACGCAAAGGGGAAAGTATGTTTGGAAGAAACGCTGGATCCCACATCGTCCGGAACTCTTTCGCCATCTCGTATTTAGACATTGCTGATGGAGACCTCGAGGTCGTGCAGATCCTTCTGCAACTCGGCGTGTTTCTTCGCCATCTCCTCGTACTTGCTCTCCCACTGGTCACGGGACGCTTCGAGAGCCTGCACCTTCCGTTCGTAGTGACCAGCCTTGACGTCGGTTTGGCGGAGCCTGAAGTACCCAACTAGTCAGCACGTGCTTTGTTGCTTTGGGGGCCTGGAAGGGGGGGGTGGGGTCGGGCATACTTCTCGTTGGTCTCCCGGAGATTCCGGTCGGCCTCCTCAGCCTCCTCTTCCAGCAGCTGCAGACGTCTCTGGAGGGCTTCGTTCTGAGTATCGTGCTGGGCGCTCTGGTTGGCGGCGTCCTTGGCCTCCTTGAGGGCGGCCTCGAGTTTCTCGACCTCACCCTCAAGGAGCTGGTTCCGGTGGGTGAGGGATGTGATCTCCTGCTCCTTGGCCAGGTTCTCCTGCTCCACCGTCTTCACCTTGCCCTTGAGCTCCTCGACCTTCTCCTGAGCATCCTCGGCCTCGAGGCGGAGGGTGTTCATTCTCTGCATCCGACATGCTGGTTAGTAAGAGACTCGCGGGGGTTTATTTTGATTTTCCTTATTGCGGTAGTAATGACGGCGTCGGACGGAGATGCACGACGAAGAGAGGGCAAGGCAGAGGCAAAATGGTGGTTGCATATGCATTTTCAGGCAGCTGGGAAGCTACCCCGCCACCAAGGAAGGGGGAGGGGAGGGGAGGGGAAGGGAAGGGGAACACACCTCCTTGATCTTATCCATGGTGGGCAACGAAAGGCGGTTATTTGCACGAGACGGCAGGTGGTGTGGGAAGGAAGTCGGGGGTTTGACGGGTGATGGACAAAAAGGCTTTCGCTCAGCGATAAACCAGACAGGACAGCGGGATGCGTAGGGAAAGGACAAATGGGTTTCAGGGAGAGGAAAGGAAGTGGAGGAGGAGGCGGCCGCCCGTCAGGTAAGGTTGACTTTCTTGCCTGGCCTGGCGGTCAGCCGCGACTAGTGGTTGGGCCCGACCCCTTTCCGGTATGGTCGGTTGGTAGGGGGTGGCTGACAGCCGGCCTGAACTGTGGCGCCCGCTGCGTCTCCACGGGCAACCGCCACACAAACAGCCTGCGTGCCTGCTGGCTGGGTTCATCTAGATAGCTACATCCCCTCGCCGACTCCCAGTATTACAGTCCCTCCCCCCCCTCCGACTCCGCTGTGAATGCCCCCGTGAGATCTCATCACCGCCACCATGCTGGCTCTCCGCGACCAGGAGAACCTGGTACATACTCACCAGACCGTTGCCGCGTCCAAGCCGTTGAACCAGGGCGCGAGGCACTTACAGCCCAAGACCCCCGGCGCTCGAGCACCCAAGACCCCATTCAAGGTCCCGTTGAACGACGAGAATGACCCCTTGGCCTTTGGAAAGAAGACCGTGAAAGCGGCGGGTAAACAGAAGGAGAGCGTCAACTTGACCGTCAAGGATGCCTTTGTCACGCCGTCGGGTATGCCCACGACGCCATATATCCTGTTGATGGCGAGGAACTAACGTGTTTTCGCAGCGGATCCCCGTCACCGAGCTCCCCTGGGCATGAAAACCACCAACGCCAAAGCCAGAGGTTTGCAAACCCCCGCTCCGCCCGGAGGGACCGTGAAGCCGGAGAAAACCATCAGAAGAGGTTCCACCCAGAGAGTCAAGAAATTCTCGCCCTTTGTGGAACAGAGCCGGCCTGAGGTACAGACCAGACCGGTGAAAGATGACGTTCCCGACATTGAATACATGCCGCCCAAGCCAAAAGGTCAATTCCTCCCTTGGTGTCAGCCTCGGCCTACGTCCCCCGCCGCTAACAACCTGCAGATCTTCCTGACTACCCCGATGACATCACGTACGACACCACCTTCCCCCAGTTCCAGCCGAAGAACCTGGCTCGAGGACTGGAAAGCGTGTACGGCGACAACGAGATAGGACCCGATGGCCTCACCAAGAGAGAGCGCAAGTTCCAGGCCGACTCGGCCGCGTGCGACAAGATGATTGACGAGCTCATTCTGAAGCAAGTGGAGGACATCGGCTTTGAGGAGATGGATGAGGCCGTCCCATGCAGCGAACCGCCTACGGGACATGCGACGAGGCATCGGATGGAAACCCGGCGGATGAGGGCGGCCGCGACTAGCCAGGCGAAAAGCACCAGCGATGTTTCGACGCTTCGCGCCCGTGATGCCGCCGCCGCGCTTTCCGGGACGCAGCGCTCCGCTCCACGGACTCGGTCCGCCGTGCCCAAGCCCCGGGTGACTTCGACCCTGTTCCCGTCCAAGAAGCCGCGACCTCCGACCAACCCGTCGAGCATGCGCCACACGGCCGCCACCGCCAACTCGAGGACGACGGTAGGATACAGCCGGGGCAGAGAGGTGTCATCGAAGCTCCATGGACCGCCGGCTAGTCCGGTGAAGCAGGAGCTGGGGATCCTCTCACCCGAGACGTATCTGCAGCCCTACGGGACTCCACCGCTGGCATCCGCCGTCGAGGAGGCACTACCTACGTTCGGGGAAGACGAGGAAGCGCAGAACTTCCAATTGACCTTGTGATGAGTGATGATGAGTGATGTGTGAAAAGAGCCCACGTGAATGCAAGTTTTACATCCCGGCGTACAATCTGGTTTCCCACGGATCGGGTCCATGGCATGGATAGTTGGGTGGTGTTTGTGATGGCTGGTTTCTTCTTCTTCTTCTTCTTCTTCTTTTTTTTTTTTTTTTGTTGCATCTTTCCTCGAATGCTTGTTTTATCTCCTCATAGCCAGGACGGGAGCACAGGACTTGAATGGGGCGTTGTCTATGTTACATTATCTGTTACGAGAAGGAGTACTATGTTCCGACCGTGATGCTTTCCCGAACCCAGGCGGGGAGAGTTCTGGGGTGGTGGGGGAGCATCCTTTGCGCATTGGATTTAACCGCCGTATGAATAATGGGCAGAAGCCGAATGGACGCGTTTGATATTATTGAGGTGTTTTGTGTTTTTTTTAAGATGGGGAAGTTCTATAAACAGCAGTCGGTTTACCGGCCAAGAATGGGTCGCCCACCCGCGGCGGACCAAGCAGATGGGGCCACGCACCCTCAACCAAACTTCCAGCTGCCTGCGTTTCATCTTTCCACCAGGTTCAGGTCCAGTTCCTGTTCCATGTTCCATCATTCCGTCACTCCTTCTTCCATGGATGGGACTACTGCAACTGCAAGCTGCAACTGTGTACCTACTGCCAGCTGCAGCCTGCATCTCCTCCCCTTGCCGAGTCTGGAGGGAGCCAGAATCCAGTCCAGAACGATCGCTCACCGCTTGTCCCGCTCGACCCAACCAATTATTGCTACGGTTCTGGTTGGCCGCATCCCCGAGCTGGGAGTAAACAAGTACATAACTTATCAACACTAGCCCCCCTGCTCAAACCCGGGAATTGAGCGGATAACTCTTGTAGAGTCCTGGTCTATACCCTATAACTACCCTCTCTCGTAGATACCTCGATGGGGCAGGGAGACAGTGAGAACCGGACGTGACGAGAAACGTGTAGACAGCAGGGTATCTACTTTATCTACTGTGTACGTAGTTGCTGGCGTGAACCCTGGCGGTTGTTGATCAGCTCCGCGAGCCATAGTAGGAAGTACTAAGCAATCCACTCCCGCTCTGGCTCGCTCTCGCTCCCGCCTCCATCAATTAATTCCCTCTTTTCTTCTTCTCCCTCTCCCTCCTTCTCTTCTTCTTCTTCTTCTTCCTCTTCCACCTCCCCTCCCCCCCTCCCCCCTCCCCCCTCCCTCCTCAATTCGTCTTCTCTGTCATGACGAACATCCACCCCGAGTCCCCCGAGGACTTCGAGTTCATCGAAACTCCTCCCGCCGCTTGCACCACTCCCGCGGACGACTGCGGTGTGCGGACTACCTCGGTGAGTCCAATCCAGGGCAGCCTTCGGGGAGAGCTTCCCACAGCCTCTCCCAAGCTCAATTCCATGCCACGGTCAGCATTGAGAACGAATAGAGAAGCTAACAGATGCCCTGATGGTTCCTGATCCCAGTACCCGGCCATTAAGAATGCCCCCGTCCCTGCGGACTCCCAGGGCAGTGACAGCTTCTCCAACACCCTGCTCTTCGCCCTCCTCTTCCTGGTCCCATGGTACCTCGCGCGCCAGGTCGGTGGTGGTTTCTACACCACCATCTTCCTCGCTGTCTTCACCACAATCCCCATCCTGATGGCCTTCTGGTCCGTCGCCTCGTCCATCTCGCCCCGCAAGACTGAAAAGGCCAAGTATGCTGGTCGCCCCGTCGAGTACTACCTGAACTTCCACAGCGAGCACGACCGCACCGCCTACCGCGGAAAGAGCAAGATCCCCATGGAGGTCTTCTACGAGAAGTACTTCAACGGCGAGGTCGACTTCAAGTGTGACGCTCTCGAGGCTCTCGAGTTCCGCCACGACTGGGCCAACTTCCGCTTCACCTGGGGTCTCTACAAGCACTTCCTCTTCGGCTTCATTCCCGAGATGCTGATGCACACCCGTTCCCAGGGTAAGTACCTTGTTTCCTGTTTGCAATTGACCGGAGCGTTCGCTAATCTTTGTGTCCCGCCAGACGAGGAGCAGGTGCGTGACCACTACGACCGCGGTGACGACTTCTACGCTTGGTTCTTGGGCCCCCGTATGATCTACACTTCCGGTATCATCAGCGACCCCAACAAGGACGAGACTCTCGAGGAGCTTCAGGACAACAAGCTGGCTGTGGTCTGCGAAAAGATCGGCGTCAAGCCCGGTGACACGGTTCTCGATCTGGGTTGCGGCTGGGGTACCCTGGCCAAGTACGCTTCGGTTCACTACGGTGCTCAGGTTACTGGTATCACGCTGGGTCGCAACCAGACTGCCTGGGGTAACAAGGGTCTCCGCAACGCTGGTGTCGAAGACTCCCAAAGTCGTATCCTGTGCCTCGACTACCGTGACGCTCCCCGGGTCTCTGGCGGCTACAAGAAGATCACCTGTCTCGAAATGGCCGAGCACGTCGGTGTTCGTCACTTCGGCACCTTCCTCTCTCAGGTTTACGACATGCTGGATGACGACGGTGTCTTCTTCCTGCAGATCGCTGGTCTCCGCAAGTCTTGGCAGTACGAGGATCTCATCTGGGGTCTTTTCATGAACAAGTACATCTTCCCTGGTGCTGACGCGAGCACTCCCCTGGGCTTTGTCGTCGACAAGCTGGAGGGCGCCGGGTTCGAGATCAAGAGCGTTGACACCGTCGGTGTCCACTACTCCGCTACTCTCTGGCGCTGGTACCGGAACTGGATGGGCAACCGCGAGAAGGTCGAGGCCAAGTACGGCAAGAGATGGTTCAGAGTGAGTGCCCTCTTCCCCTTGGAACACGCATCACCCCATTACTAATACACATGTTCCCTCCAGATCTGGGAATACTTCCTTTCCTACTCCACCATCACCTCCCGCCAGGGTGGTGCTACCTGCTGGCAGATTACCCTCGTCAAGAACATCAACTCCACCCACCGTGCCGACGGTATCCACAACCAGTTCGGTCTCGCCGGTGCCCGCCAGGCCGCCATCGACCACGCCGGTCAGGGCGTTGTCCCCAGCGCTTTTGTTCCCACCAAGGCTTAAATATAGCCTCCGGTATCGATGCCACGGGACCTAGCAGGTGTCTGTCCATCTAGACATGAAAGCCCGCTCAATCCTCTGTACCATCAACCACCCAAGGTTATTATTTATCCCAAACCATCGGAATCCAGAAATGGGCCCGAAAAAGAAAAAAAAGAAAAAACAAATGAAAGAAAAGAGCAAGAGAATATGAGATATGACGGACTCACTCCACCAATATCCTCATTCAATCTCTCACAGGTATGATTTGAAACGAAGGAAGTTTGTTTTATTTTCCTTTTCCTTTTTCTTTTTCTTTTTTTTTTTTTAACTTTTCAATGGGAATGGGAATCGGAATCGGAATGAAAAGAACTAGTTATGTACAATGATTCTGATTTTTATATACTTGTTCTCTCTTTGTTTCATGGGAAAAACAGGGAATTTGTAATTCATATCAGATCAGAATTGACGTGTAATAATGAATGAGATAGACAATGTGATGCGGGGTTATGGATTGATTGTTATTTTGAGTTTGATTTTGATTTTGCTCTTTCTTTCTAGTGAGTGAGTGGGTAAGTGAACAGTGGGTAGGTGGTGGGTAGTAGGGGGAAGCCGGTAGAGGCAGGGAAGTCGCCGTAAACAAGTCGACAGGTAGACTAGTGGCCGGGTAGGTGTAGGCAAGTTGACGGGCATCAATCAACTTTGGAATACTGAATTGAATTCTCTATGGAAATAATGGTATATACATGCATGTCCTCGTAACGCCAGCACGTGCTTTCATAAATCGTACAGGTGCCCTTTTCCCAAAATGACCACCGTGAACAAACAATGACTCGGTTCCGCTCTAGTCCACGCGCTTGTAAAGCTTGGCCTTGTTAGCTCCAGAACCGGCGCAGCACGAGGCCACGGCGGCAGCAGCAGGTTCTGGGTGCAGGGTGGATTTGTTGAAGGCCTGGGAGGACTGTGGCACATCCAGCGCAGGGTTGCGAGTGAAGAACCCATCGGGACGGAGCATGACGCTGATACGCTCCATGGGCATCACAGGGAAGTCCTCGACACGAGGGTTGTGGGTAAGTCCGAACGCTGGGAGGAAATATGTTAGCTGTGGTCGTATGCGTCGGGGACAGTAGCATAAAGAAAGACTTACAGTGCCAGAGAACCACATCCTCGTTCTCGGTGTGATCGTTCCTCTTAGCCCAGGTCTCGACACCGACGGCGCGGCTGCTCTGGTTGGTGAACTCGCCAGCCGCGTACAGCTCATCGTCCTGGTACTTGGTCACCCAGATGGGTTTGCTAGCAAACTCAGCCCGGCCGTAGCCAATGGCCTTGTTGCTCTGCAAGAGCATCTGGCTAGGTGCCGCGTGGAGTTTGTAAGCGATGGGCTTGTATGTGATGGGGTTGATGACATCGTCGTTGCGGATCTTGAAGACCCGGTTGCGGCTGATATCCAGGTTGGAGGAGCCGGACCTGTCAACCACGGTTTGCTCCGTGGTGTAGCCCACCAGGTAGGGGTTGTTCTCGTCCTCCGGGAGAGGAACGCTTTCCTCGTAGTAAACTGTGTTTTTGAACCCATCAAGGGCCGGATCGATCCGAAGGGAGAACATGTGTTGATGGAACGGAGCCATGACACCAGGGCCCACGTTGGTACCCCATGAGACAGTCTCGCCATTCTCGTTATCAAAAGGCACGGTCGACAGGATTCCAGTAGCGCGGACTTCAAGTTCGATGTTGCCCGCCTGGTCAAAGATGTAGTTGAAGATATACTCATAGTTGGCAACGGTGCAGATCATCTGAAGAACCAGCTGGCGGTTGCGCACCACAGTAGCTGCGCCAGATCGGTAGTTGGTGTGCTTGTGCTGAATACCATTATCCTGCTCGTGCATGCAAATGATGTTCTTGAGAAGAACCGGGTTTCCCTTGCAATCAGACCGGTAGCCGTCAAAGTACTTGATGTGACCCAGGCAATCGCATCCGAGGGTCAGCTGGTTGGCATTGAGACCAAAACCGACATCACCAACATCAAAAGCCTGCTTGCGATGGTACGGGGCGCGGGGGTCTTCGCAGGTTGTGTTAGCGGGGATCAAGCTAGGTATTTGGGTCTGGCTCACCTCCGTAAGGGACTGTCATCTCAGAGACAGCCAGGCGGTAGAAGACGCTGCGGTGGTCGTATGTGATATTGTAAAGGACCATGCCCTCGCGGTTGTTGAAGCCCACCCTGAACCGCCAATTCTGCCAGTAGACAAAGTTACCATCCACAGAGAAGGAGGGACCCTCCGGTTGCTGGGCAATGTATGGCTTGAGGTCTGTGCGAAGGGGCCCATCCTGCAAGTCATGGGCATACTGAACGGCCTTGACCGGCTTCCAGGGTTGAGTCTCCTCGGTCTGAGCATCCGAGCCACCGGGCAAATAATCCATACGAATCAACTCCAGTGTAAAGGCGTCGAAGACCGGTGAGAACTTGCATGGTAGGGAGTAATGGTTGTTTTCCGGGTGGTCCACTTCCACCATATACATGAAGCATTGGAACATGCGTCTCGTCTCATTCCGGTCATCGGTGCCGTACATCCATGGGTCATTGCAAACGGTCATGCCCGGTGGTAACTTCAGTTTCTCGATTTCCGCCAGGACCGCAGGGTGCTTCATGCAAATGTCTTCGATCACGATCAACTCATCAATATCTACCGGAGGCTATGGGTGGAAGAGTAGTGTCAGATAAAGTATTTCCAGGGATGTTCGATTCGGGGGTTACACACCTGGACGCCTGCGGGCAATGTCTTGACGTAGATGATGGATGTGGCGTCCACGTTGATCACGGCCTTGCAGCAGGCACCGGTATCGAGGCGGTGGAAGTAGGAGTACAGCAGGCGGGCAGGCTTAGGAGGGAGGGGTTTCCGCAACCTCTCCGCCTCGATGTAGGGAATGACATCCTTCTTGATGGGTTCGTGGATATCAATGCGATTGTATCGAAGCTTGACACCGGGGAAGGCAGCCTCCAGGATGCGGGCAGCCAGACGGATCTCGTGGGGTCGGACGGGATCAAAGGGGTGGGCGCTGACCGAGGTGGCCAACGCGGGCCCTTGAGCTGCAAGAGACATTCTGGCAATGGGCAACGGGGGGGGGAACGATAAGAGACGGTTGGTCGCAAACCCGGGGATACTCAGAGCATATCAGGAAGAAGGATGAGAGGAATCAAGATCAGCTTGTGCCGGGGGGGGATGGTCGGAACTTAAGTAGTCCATTGCGATTGTCGGCAGGCGGCGTCCGCGGAGGGTGACAGGCGTGCAGGCGCGTCTCCCAGCATTCAAAAGGGAAGTTGGTTGAGAAAGTCCGGGCGATAAAGTGAGTCTATTCCCGAGATTCCCCACGCCCTGGCTGGACATGCCCGATTGGGAAAGGGCGGGCCCAGACGGGGGTCGGTGGGGGGGCCTGCCATTTCGGGTAAGCAGTGCAAACACTGTAAACACTGATAACGATCCAGTCTGATTGGCCATGGCTGCTGCATCCGATGCATTCATTACTACTAAAGTAAGTACTAACTAACTAACTATTGTTGGTGTGCTCGGGACCCGAGGAACGCGAGTTATCTCTCTATCGGGGCTGATAGCCCGATAGCCCATCTTTTGGTCATTATCATTGTGCACTGCTACTCCTACTGCTCCTACTACTATTACCGCTATTTTCACTATTGCTACTGCTGCTACGGAGTACGCAGAAGGACAATTACCGATACTCTCCGATGTCCGATCCTCCCGATCAGAGCGCGTATCTCCTCCTCTTTTGGGCCTAGCGGGCTTTCCCCGGGGTTTTTGGATGCCAACCGGTCAACAGCAATTGCCCTCCGCCATCTCTTCTCTGGCTAATCCACGCAAGGTATCGGTGTTCTGCGATCCTGGTGAGGCCCAACGGTGAGTCGGATCTTTTCCTTCAGGGAGCATGAACCCGATTGCCGGTGGCCCTTCCCCAGAATCCCCTCCTCTGACATCATGGGCTGCGGGCCCATTCCAGAAATATATACTATCCATCCCACATGGCAGGCACCAATTGGTCCGAACATCAGTCACCATAGTAGACTCTGGCTAGAACTGAACACTCACCCTGGACAACCATTGCTAAAGCGCCCGGTCCCGCTCTAAAGCAATGGCCCAATTCGGCACAACACTCGCCATGCCTCAGATCTACCCTCAGCCTCCAAAGAAGAGATGCAGGAGAGAGGGCGCCAAGTGGACTCGCTCAGGCTGTCTGACCTGCAAACGTCGTCGGAAGAGGTGCGATGAAGCCAAGCCAGGGTATATATCGATGGTCCAAGAGATAGTAATCGGTTGCTGATACGTCGTTGCACTAGCTGTCAGAGCTGTATCCGGCTGGGGTTGCAATGCGAGGGCTACGGCTCCATGTGGGCAGCGCCCCTGAACCCGGCCGCACAAGTCTTCAGTCAAGCCAGATCCCCGAAGCGGCGCAAACTCAGCACATCATCTTGTCCATCGAGTGACTCCCCTCAGTCGATAGCAGAAAAATGGTCTTCTCCGCCGAGCTCACCCCTCTCGAGCAGCCTCTCAACGGCGCCGACAACCCCGTCGGAGTACGACACTGTCGGTGCCTATTCACCCCATATCCATATCGAAGATAGCGAGAATGAGGATAATGCATCCGACAATATGGCCCTCATTCTGGTCACGTCCGTGCCGAGTCGGCCCCTGGGCCATCTTTCACACCGCGAAACGCACTATCTCCAGTATCACACCGAACTGGGCTCCAAGCTGCTGGCGAATCTCGAAAGCGACGATAACCCCTTACGATCACTGATCATACCTCGAGCCCTATCATCCCCCCTCATTTTGAAGGCCTTGTGCGCATTGTCTGCCACACATTTCGCCAATCGCTCTCGAGATAAGCTGGAAGCGCAAACCGCCGCTACGGACTACTACATCCGAACCCTGAGCGGGCTGCAGTCTACCCTCTCCAAATACGCGGCCGTGAACTCTTCCGACGAGGCTATTATAGCAGTAGCTCTCCTTTGCAAGTACGAGATCGTCCGTGGGAGCGTCAAACAATGGACGGTACACTTGAATGCCCTACAGAAACTGATCGTTGCACGCGGAGGACTTGAGTCTTTGAACGAAGACACAAGAGAGTTTCTCTTAGGCTTGTATGGTCAATAAAACGTCTTATATTAGAAGAAATAGCTAAATTGTCTCAGCTACATCTACGCCTACAATGTGGCCCGAATCAGCAACCGCAAGCACCTCAACTCCACCATGCTGGACATGGGGGGTATGAGAATCACCAAGCTGGATATCTACATCGGCTACGCAGAGGATCTCATCAAGATCTGCGCGCGGATAGCAGATCTACCCCACATCCCTCACGACGCCGTTGCCCTGGGGTCAGAAATACACGCCATGTGAGCGCCATTCTTCCAACATAGACCAGAGAAACAGACCCCTTGCAACTGACCAAAGAACAGAGACACATCCCTCCGTACCTGGACCCACTCAAACACCCAATACATAACCCCCAAAGGCATCACCCAGGCAAACCTTTCCCGCCTCCGCATGGTAGCAGATTGCTTCCGCGATGCCGCATACATCTACCTGCATTCCACCCTGGAGAAAATGAGCCAGGCCACCCTGATCCCCCTGCTCTCGTCATGGGCCGCATGCATCTCCCTTCCCAGATCAGATGCGTTGCGCCGGCTTCTGGACAAGGTTAGGATGTGTCCCCTCGACGCACACTGCGAGTACTCGGCCCTTACCTTCCCGCTTTTCATTGCCGGATGCGAGAGCAAGGATGCGGACGATAGAGATCTGCTTATATCGTCCCTGAGTAAACTGGAAGTGAACTTCGGGATAGGTAATGTGCGACGAGCTAAGGAGCTGTTGCGGATCCTGTGGAAGGGAGGGGGCGTGCATTGGCTGGATATGTTGGATCAATTACAATGGGATTTGATCCTTGCGTGAATATTATCAGTGGGGTTTCGGCATGATACACATAGAGTGGAATTGCCTCTTTCGAGCTGATCTGTATAGTCGTGACATCCCAGACCTAATATTACCCGACAAGGCCGGACACAGACAGCATATGGCGGTGAACTCTTTCGTAACCGAAAAAAAAAATTGAATATCATATTATGAATAACCTAAAACTAAATCTCGCTTTCTGGACGGCTCAAACCTGAGGGTATCTTCGTTTCGTTAGAGCGTAACCGCCGAGAAAACATTAAAAGATGCATGCGAGGAAGAACCCAAAGACAGACCCACACGAGTGATATCAATGCAAGCCCGTTCGAATTTCGATAACCATGCCGGACGCCACTTGTACAAGCACAACGGAATCAACTCAGCCCCATATTAACCTCATCGCCTAGCCCCATTTCTCGCTCTGCTCTTTCCGTACCCCCCGTCGCCCGAGTGCCCCAGCGGTCCAACTGGTCCTGTGTCTTGGCCGTCTCCTTCTCGCGGAGACTCCCGTCACGACCACCCAGACTACTGCTGTGGCTGGCACTGCCCGAGTAATTCGACAGCCTTCGGGCGGGCGGGATGGTGATCGGCTTGGAGGCGGGCTTTCCAGAGGGGGTGTGGCTGGGGGTGATGGTGCCGGGTTTCATTCTTCCGAGATCTACGGAGGAGTTATTCGTGGACGCTGGTGGAGCAGAGGAGATGCTGCTGGCTTTGTCGCTTACACTCTTCGTACTCCCAAACCAACGCCGTCTGCGGGTCTTGGATGAGGTGGACGGGGAAAGACTCTCCGCATCGGCCTCGGCCGTTGGAGTGTCCTGAGTGCCGGATGCTTTCTCTTGTTCCAAGGACTGGGATAAGCCGGATTTGGTCTCCGCCGATGTCTTCTCTGCCTTCTCCTCGGCCGGTGTGATCTCAATCAGTTCGGCGTCACGGCACCACTTCCGGCGACGGGTGTAGCGATCCCAACCATCGTGGCCGCGACGACCATCGTTCCACTGTTTCCTGGTAGTTAGTGAAACCTGTAGCTGATAGCACTTCGGGGGTTCCCTCCTACCTTGTTGTCGTAGTAGACCCATCCTCCACCATCCGCCTTGGAGTCTGCTTTCCCCTTGTTTTCATCGGCGCCGTCAATATGCCAGTCACTCCCTTCAACCCAACGCCACTCGGCATTCCCATTTTCCACCCCGGGGAGATCGAAATCGTCCTTGGACGGGACGGCGTTGAGATGTTCATCTGTCCACGCCGTACGCTCGGACGGGAACAGGGAATATGTCCAACCAAGCCCCAGCCAACGACGTTGATTCTCATAGATGACGAAGGTGAACCGGACGCCGGAGGAGTCTCCCCGCCGCCTGGCTGCAATGTTCACGGCATGGCCATGGCTTTGCATCAGGTATGGTTGGGTCTTGTCGACGTCTCCAGAGAATGATAGCCCCGTAATCATAGAGCATATCCAGCGGATGGTCAATGATCGCCAGAGGATAACGCGGAACACCCTCGCCGGTCGGGAGTGATATGTGAGAACGATGGTGCCCAGGATCATGACGACTCGACGAGTTGTGATCAGATACAGGGGCGGGAGAGTCAAAGCGATCCAGATGGGGGTCACAAAGAGGATCCGGAAGAACAGGGTGGTCAGGGCCGGCCGGGTGGTCGCTGAAGTCGCCGTCCGCTGCGTAGACAAGAAGTCGGTGAGTTCGACTAGTGGTTCCAGAAGAATGTTGCATCGAGTGGTGAACGTCCTCAGGGTCTCCACGATCTCGTCTAAAGTTTCATGATGATGCGGGAAGATGTCGGCCGCCGCCCTCTGATGGCCTGGCTTGTCACCCAGAAGAGCCCTTGACGACAACGGAGAGTAGCGTCTCCAGTACATCCCCAAGATGAGCCCGGTCACCACCAGGAGCGGCCCGGCCCACAAGACGATCACATCGAGGTACAGAACCAACGTCCAGAACCCAGCCACAAGGAGGAAGCTTTGCCATCCGTCTTCGGTGGTCCACGTGAGCAGTCCCACGAGTTTGTTCAGCGGCAGGATAAATGGATGCGAGTAGGCCAAGGCCCGCGTGATCTGTGGGGGGGTGGCCACCAGAAGAGGGGATTTGCGGTGCACGATGATGCTGGAACGCTGTCTGGACGTCACGGACGAGCCTGAGATGGTGGTGGGGGAGAAAGCAGCGACCGTGGGAGGCTGAGAGTCAGCCTGGTCCTGCTGAGATGATGACGGGGCCATGGAATCTATCCACGGAATATCTTCTGTCGCGACATTAGTATTCGGGGGGGGGAGGAGCTAGATGAGGACCGCCAGCCCCGTGGACGAGGGTTTGGGGACAACAAAGAGGGAGTTGGGGGTGTTTGGGGTCTTGGGGGGATGGATGAGGAAATGAGAAGGCTTTTGTTGTTGTAGGCTTGTAGCACGTACCGAGAGCTGCCATCCAACAACAGAGACGTCATATGCATCCAGGGTCATTGCGGGCGGTGAGAGAAAGAAGGAAAGAGAGGGCCAGAAAGGGCCGGGGGAAGAGGGGAGGGAGGGGACGATAAATGAGGGGGATGAGGGGGATCAGGGAGTCAGGAGAAGGAGGGAGAGAGTTGTCAGGGACGGGGCCAAGCAGAGATCATCGCAGGCGAATCCCCAGAGCCGCGGGTTGCAGACGAATGCGACGACCCGATGAAGCTTTTCGTTTGTTCGCTCGGGAACATGTGACAGCCCTGGTATGGATACGCCCGCCTGACCCGTATTTGGTATCGTTCGTTCTCTTCAGCACTTCAGGGTCCAGGCAGGGGGGTGGCCCCGAAATTCAGGCTCTTCAGGCACCTCGCCTGGCTGGGGCGACTTATGCCTCAGGCCCTAAGGCACCAGGAAGCCCGGCGGCGGACTAAAGCCGTCGCCGAAATTTCCTCATCATCTCCGTCTGTTCCCCCCATCGCCATTCAACCTTGATCTTGAAACGGCCCAGGGACCTCCTCCGCTGCTTACCAGCCTCTCTATTCATTCGACGCCTTTCCCGCCTTCGAGTCCCTACTTGCACTCTCCAGCATGGTACGTCAACCCCCTTCCCTTCCCCCTCCAAAACCCCTTCGCGGTTTCCATCAAGGCTATGATGCAGAAATGCGTCCCACCTCAACCCTTGTCCGTGACCCGCAGGTCCGCTAACGTGGTCGTTTGTCCGTTCTCTCCAGGCTCACCGGATCGTCACCCAAGTCGTCGTCACGGGCGCCCGTGTCTTCGGCAAGGCCTTCGCCGAGGCCTACAAACAGGCCCAGGCCTCCTCCAAGCACGCCGCGAAGACGGGCCAGAAGCTGGGCGCGTCCGCCGGATTGACCCTCGACGAGGCCTGCAAGATCCTCAACGTCAAGCCGCCGCAGGCCGGCGAGGCCAACCTCGAACCCGTCATGGAGCGCTTCAAGAAGCTGTTCGACCTCAACGACCCCAAGAAAGGAGGCAGTTTCTACCTGCAGAGCAAGATCCTGCGCGCCCGCGAACGGATAGAGATGGAGGTCCGACAAGCCGGGCGCAAGGCGGCCCAGGAAAAGGAAGTGCGCGAGGGGTGGAATCCCAAGGTCTACAAGGACCGGTGAACGCGATAACCCCGGTCTCTGCCCACTTGGGTCATCGGTCATCGGTCATCCAGCTCGGAAGTCTTTCGGAGACGCGAATGGTTTCGGGCTGGGCTGTCTTTCGGAGATCCCACGTGTTCGACCGGTCGCGGGCTTGGCTGAATAAACCCTACTGCTTCTAGCGATCCCGCCGACCTTCATTACCCCCTCTCAGTTTTCGCGGCATAGCATGGCGTTTTTGGTGGTTCCAACGTTGAGATTGGACGAGTTCTAGAACTTGACTTGATATTTATATGGCGGGTTGCATCTCATCTCATCTCATCGGAGCGGAGGGGCCATTGCAGCCAGGGGTTCCGCCACCCTTGTTCTCCGGCCCGTCTGGCTCGAGACGATATCCATTTGTGTATAGTATTGGAAGACGGAGGACTTGCGAGTCTACAAGGACACGAGAGGACGGGTGAAGAGTTCTCGTGTTTCTATTTTCTTTTCTTTTTTTCTTTTTTTTTGTTTCTCATTTCCTAATGGTCTCTTCTCCCCTCTTGCGTGCTACTTCTGAGGACCGAGTCCTGCGTGTATTATAAGACCGTGAGCGATGGCTTGCGTGGTTGGTGGCAAGTGCGACGTGTGTACAAATACCATGGTTATACCAAGAACCAGCGAACTGTCTACGATGTAAAATGATAATGCGCCGTGGAATGCTCATCCAGGCCCGGCATGGCGCCATCACCGATCGGGAGCGGCGAGAGGCCCGGCGGGGAACATCCATTCGATCTTATCTCCGCCGCCATTTTTCTCCCCTCTTCTTGCGCCCCCCCCCGCGCTTTCTTTCACTATTCCTTCATTTACTCCCTCCTCTTCTCTCTTTTCTCCTCCCCCCTCACTAACCCTGTAAATAACCCCCTCTTCAAACTCTTTCTTTCCCCCCCCATCCCAACCTCACCACCAAAATGGGCCGTCCCACCTCCCCCCTCTCCGCCCACCTCCCCCCCCTAGTAATGGGCACCGCAACCTTCAACACGCAATACAACCACGACCCATTCGCCCTCCCAACAACCGAACTAGTCCAACGGGCCTTGACCAAGGGGATCCGAGCTTTCGACACCTCGCCCTACTACGGCCCAGCCGAGGAACTGCTCGGCCGGGCCCTGGCCAGCGACTTCGTTCGCACCCACTACCCCCGAAACACGTACCACATCCTCACGAAGGTCGGGCGTCTGGCGTCCTCGTCCTTCGACTACTCGCCCGAATGGGTGCGCCTCAGCGTCCGGCGCAGTCTCCGTCGGTTGCATACCGAGTATCTGGATGTGGTGTACTGTCATGACGTGGAGTTCGTGTCGCGCCAGGAGGTCCTTGATGCGGTGAGGGAACTGCGGAAGATCCGTGATGAGGAGGGCACTCTTCGCTACGTCGGCATCTCGGGGTATCCGGTGGATGTGCTGTGTGAGATTGCGGAATTGGTGCTCCGTGAGACCGGCGAGCCGCTCGATGTCGTGCAGTCGTATGCCAATTTTACGCTGCAGAATACTAGGTTGTTGAGCCAGGGATTGCCCCGCTTGGTGGCTGCGGGGGTCGATGTGGTCCCTAATGCGTCGCCGCTGGGGATGGGCTTGTTGCGTCGCGACGGCGTGCCGATTGGCAGTATGGGTGATTTCCACCCCGCGCCGGATGGTCTCCGCGATGCGACCCGGAGGGCGGCGGAGTGGGTGGATGAGCAGGGGGAGAAGATCGAGGTCGTTGCGATTCGGTTCGCGCTGGAGAGCTGGCTGCGCGATGCGGAGAAGGTTGGGGTCATGGGCCCGCCGCTTGCGCGCGCGGCCGATGCGGACCCGGGCTTCCTCTCTGTGGCGAGTATGGGCACCGGGGAGAGATTGGGGGTCAGCGTGATGGGGGTGAGCAATTTCGGGGAGTTGGATGAGACGCTGCGGGTCTGGCATAGTATTGTGGATGGGCTGGAGACCGGGGCTGAGGATGAGGGACTGCAGTCACCGTCAGTGCAAGCGTCGGCGATCTTGACGCCCTCCGAAGGGGCCATTACCGATCGTGCCTGGTCTCGAGACCGTCGCAGCCGGATCCAGTCTCTGGCGCAGCATATCCAGACCATTCTGGGCCCAGAGTGGGTGGACTATGTGTGGGCCAGCCCGTCTCCGGATTTTGTCAATTCGGTGCCTGCGGATCGTCTGGCTGCGCTGGAGAAGGAAGTCTCACAGCCGGTGTCTTTGATGACGCCGCCTTTGGATGCAGTTGATAGAACGATACCCGATGATGCGTCTAAGGTTGCGCTGTGAACAACTGTTTTTCTAGGCTATATCAGTTATGTTTAATGTCATACATATTCTTGGATTGATACAGCAGGGGTTGCGGATGATGGGTGGTATGATCTGGCAGGTTAATGATATCGTTTGCTTCCTGTACATGGTTAGGGTTACGGCCACTCTGGGCACGCATCAAGAATAGATCTGCTTGCAATTCGAACATCGTCACCGAGGGAGAGCTCCACCCCCGTGCATCCTTGTCCCAGGTCATCCTCTCCAAAGGATCGCCTGTAGCGCCCCTTTGATGAGAAGGATATGGAAAGGGGGTAGAACGCACGGGAGACACAGTCTCCGTGTCGGTACCAATTCGATTTGCTTCTAACTCAATCTCTGCTGCTGCTGCTGCTGCTGCTACTAGCGAATGCCAGTCATTCATGGAACAAACCTGGCTCTGTGCGTTGACCTGGTGGACATGCCTCGCTCCGCGCGAGTCTTGCAGGGGTTTTGGACCTCAGAATCGGTGAGAGGTAGCACGACCCGGTAGCCCTGCGCAAAGTTAGCAATCATGGTAGACGCCATGCCTGATCCCTGGTCTCAAAATATGAAAGCCATTCGATCTTCGCAAGGCTCGTTGCCCGCTGCACTGGCCGAGTGACAAGCAAACAGCTGCGTCGCAGACACAGACCATAACAACATAGCGAGCGACACTGTTGATCCTTCAGTATGGCTCCAAAATCTCAAACAGACGACCATGAGATCTAGAACCGAGCATCCGCTTCAAGGTTCTTCAGATGTACGAGAATGGGTATCGGACGCTCAAGACAGACAGAAAACCACCCGGGGTATAATACATCGTCAAGCACACAACATGTACGCTGCCAACCCAAAAAGAGGAAAATAATTGCACAGACAGAACCCGACTCCTGCACAAATGCATCTAGCTCTACGAGGGTGCCGCGAGCCCCTTCTCTCGCATGATGAGGTCTCTGTCCATATCGGACTGTGTCGCATAACCTCCGAGACTCAGAGCCTGGTCATTGTTGATGGAATAGGGGATGGACGGTATGTCGGGCCGCAGTCGTTTGAGGCGAGCCGCACGCTCCCGCGCCGCTTGTTGTTTCTTCTGCTGCTTGGTTGCCTTTTCTCGCTGCGCGCGGGATTTTGGCCCGGTCGGAGGGGAGTTTGAACGCACGGGAGGCGGCGGAGGTGCAGTGGCGACAGGAGGAGGGGGTGCTTGGGGAGGTAGCGGGGGCGAGGAGGGCCGACGCAGGCGAGCGAATCGAGGGTCGCTGTCAAAGATTTCACGCAGCTGCCACCTTTGTTCAGCATACTCATCATAGTTTGCGGCAATGATAGTGTCCAGGATGCTGGCCTCCGGTGTTCCCGACATGGCCGTAGAGACCATGCGCGCCTTGAGACGCCGGTACGCATCCGAGAAGGCTCTGAAAATCAACGCAATCTCTCGCGTGCCACCAGAGATGTCGTTGTCTGCATTGTTGGGGTCCTCGATGGAGAGGCGGGGGTTGTTGTTCGACTGCTGATAGATTTTCTGTGACACGAATCGTTAGCCAGCGAGCATGGCCTTGCTCTCGATCAAACTTACCTTGTTAAAGTAGCCCGGAGGATCCAAACGGATCCCCACGGTGTCGTAATCGAACCGATTGCCATAGAATTCAAAGAAATCCATGAGAATGCTGCCCAGGTTTGGTGTCGTATGGCCGTGCGGTAGGTGCTGCAAGAGACTCGTCACGAGACAGGTGATCGAAAACCCTCCCAGCCCGCCGGTGGGTACTTCGTTGAGACCTCGAAGCAGTAGAAATTGCTTGATGACCGACACGACCACAGGCATGGCAGGGTATTCGGCCTTCCACTGCTGGAACGTCTCGTTGGCCACCAGCCCGCTATCATTGTCAAACGACAGGTCCACCCTCAGGCCCGTCATCTTGTCCACGAATTTCAGGATCGGCACGCGAGCATGGGCAATCGCCTCGATCGAATTGGGGACTGCAATGTTCAGGTTCTTGATAAATGCAGAGAAAGCATAGATCTGGCCCTTCCGCTCTCCGAAAGTCTTGATGCCACTGCGCATGAAGTTTGTTGAGAGCAGAACCAGGTCGATATCGGCAGTGGGTAGATAGAGACCAGAGGCGAAAGAGCCAAAGGGACGAAGCTGCACCCCATAGTACCTGCTTTGGAAGGCAGACTGCAGCCTCGCCACCAAGTCCTCTCGCACAATCTGTTCGTAGTACACCGGCTTCACCCAATGATAGAAGCTAAGCATTTCATTGTGCAGCCTGTTCGGTCAGTAACGGATAAAGGATCTGGGATAAGGAGTGACACCTACCGTGTGCCCAGGTGCAGGCTAGGTTCCATGCGGCCCAGCCATGGGGTTCCATTCTCTGACGGGCGCGCTCTCCATTCGTCGATGATCGAACCGTCGTCGTAGTATTTGCTTAATGGCTTCCCGGTCTTTTTCGAAGTACCCTTAATCTCGTCATCATATGTTCTCTTCCGGCTCCCAAACGCTGAGTCCCTGCCATCCATTTGGCGCCGTGGTCCAGTGGGCGCGCCATCCGGAGGGTTTTGCTTATCGTCGTCATCGTCCACCATGCCACTCAAGGAGATAAAGTCTTCATTGGACTTCACCGGGTCCTCTGCCGGCTGTGCCGCAGTCGCAGCGATACGGGCCTTGCGAATCAACTTGACGACATCCACACGTTTCGAGGTAGTCTCATCGGGCGGTGGCAGGGCAGTGTATGGATCGGGGTTAGACCACTTGGGGATGGGCGCTGGAGCTGGCGCTGGCGCAGCCGTCGCGGTTCCGGTGCCGTTGGTGTCCACAGCGCGCTTTTTGCGCGGATGCGCGGCCTCGTCCTCATCCGCTGAGGAAACATCCATATCGGCCTCCTCGCTATCGCTCAGGTTCTCAAGACGCGCGAACTTCAAGGCTGGTTTTTCGTCCGTCGATCCGGGGGCGCGCAGCTGGTCGGGGGTCACTTCTCGGCGCGATCTCAAGAGCGGGCGTTCGGATGTCGAGGGACGCGCATAACGAAAGGTAAACTCATGCCTGGGGTGATGGTGATTGTTAGACCGTCGGTCATTGCCCCGAAACTCGTAGGCCGGCGGCATATTGAGGGAGTTGAGGGGAGGGAAGAGGCGGAGGGGCAGTCGAGAGAACGGCGGCTTGCAAGTCGATGGAGTCAAAGAAGAAAGTGCGAGTGACGCGCGCTTTTTGGGCGCTTTTCTTTTTTCGGCACCCGAGGGCAGTGGCTGGCCGGGTTGGGCAGGCGGTGGGGGGGGGCTGACTAACTGGCATCTACACATCGCATTGTCTATCTATGGACTATGAATGACTATTCAATCTTCGCTTCCCATTCCCCCAGTCCCCTCTGTAACCGGTGAATCAACGGCCGATCCAGGGCCATTTCTGTGAAGCTTACTCTCTGCATGGCCCATTTCAACCACCGCTCTGCTTTCGAGCCCTCTTCTGCTCGCAGCAGCCCCACACTCACATCGATCAGCAGCGGTCTTTCTTCGTCGTGCCAGAAGATCGAGGCGCCACAGCGATTGCAGAACTCGCGGTAAACGCCCGGCGAGCTATTGTATTGTCGCATGGTACCAGTACCGAACTCCAGCTGTGCTTGACGGCCGGGGGTGTTGTAGAGATTCGACTTGGGGACAAATGCCCACGGTTGAATCGGAAAGCCACTGGCTAGTCGGCACGATGGACAGGCGCAGGTCCCGGCCAGATACCTCGTGTTTCCGTCCTGCAACCACCACTTCACGTCCTCGGGGTTCTCGGACGACTGTGAGTGATATGGCGCAAGCAGATCGGGCCATGGGGATGTTGGCACGGAAGATGAAGAATCTGGCCGCGTTATATAGAACTCGACTCCCCCGCAATGACAACGGGCAAGTAGTTCGTCGGAACTTCGGAATGTGTGCTGTTCATGTCCGACATCGGAAAGACTTCCCTGGTTGCTCGGAACGGCGCGAAGCCAACATGCTGAAGAGGTATCCATTTCACCAGGGAGAAAGGAGGTCAGCCCACCGTCGCGTGTTTCAGCAGCCCGCCAATGCCGGATTGACTGGGCTTGGGGGGGACCCTCCACCAGCAGTCCCGCTGCAACAAAGTATTGCCCCGTGTGCTTGGAATGCGCGAAGACATGGGCGCCACATGTTCGACAGAAGTAACGGGCGATGCAATCAGCTTCGTGGTATTCCCGCAGGCCGTCCAGGGTCCGTGGCTGCTCCCGCAGGGGATAGTACGTAGAGCACAGCATCCCCGTGACTGTGCGACAGGCGGTGCAATGGCAGATGTTGAGAACCGCAGGGTCTGTGGAGGGCGCCAGCCGGATCTCCTGTGCGACAGCCCCACACAAGCAGGCGATGGGAGATGTCACCCTGCCTTCCTGCATGCCTGCAAGCCGGCCAATCGTGGCAGCAATGATGGCGCTCTTTTGATCTTTGATCTTGGTAGTGGATTCCTACGGGGGCTGCCTATATACATATCTATATACCATCAAAATCATCGATAGGTGGGGGGCCGGTGCCGGGTCTACTAGTACAGCAAGCGCCAAGTATACCCAGGAGAACAGACCTGCCACATCTTACCATGGGAAGAGATGGTTGGTGGTTGGGACTGGGAACGGGGAGGACGTGCAGAAATGCGCTCATACTACTTTACTTATCTTGGGCCCACCAGTAGAGCTGTCGTCTGTCGAGGTATAAATACCGCCCGGCGCAACCCCGCTGCCCCCCTTTGTAGTCCGTCCCACCACTTCTTCTTCTTCTTCTTCCTCCTCCTCCCACCTCCTCTGCCAGAACCCTCTCGTCGTGTCCTACGCAAATAAACCCAAAAAGACTCGTCTTTTCTCCCCCCCCCCCCCCAAATCTATCATCATGGGTAAGTTTCCTTTTGTCATTCATTCCTCCTGACTTCCGGTTGGCTTGTCTGTTTATGTGTTGTTTGTCCGGCGGGGTAAAGTTGCCAGCCATGGCGGGGTAGCATTCAACAGACCCATCTATCCCTGGAGTCTTTTTTAGCACCTCAGACTCCTTGTTCTGGATACCCTATACGGAATACTCCCAATTACCCCCTTATAACCACCGTTAACCTTTCTCCCTTCCTCCCCTACCAGGTTCCGACCACACCTGCAGCTGCGGTTCCTCCTGCCAGTGCCCCGCCGGCCAGTGCAACTGCCCGGTATGTCTGCCCTATCTCTCTTCCCCCCCCCCCCCCTCACTACTACAAGACAGCACTAGAGGCCAGTGTCTATTGTATATTGTCTATGATGTCTATGATATCTATGATATCTATGACACGCCATCATCTCCCCAAAGAAGCCTTGTCACTAACCATCCCATCCCACCCCACAGAAATAAATGCAAAGTGATGGGACTAAGAATAGGAAGGGGGTGCTAGACGGGCGGATCATTCCATTCTATTCCATTTTGTGTCTCTCACTCATCATGTTGGCTATGTCTATAGGTTAAGAGATAACACTGGTTTGGAATGAAAAGTAAAGGCCCTGCCGTAAGCTATGGCATCAACTATCTTTGATCTTCAGTACATGTGAATGATTGATAAGGATTTGGATCGGATGGGATCGGTCCTCTTCTTCTTCCTTGGAAGTAAAAAGGTGTGCAATAGACAAAAGGACAAGCTTATTTCTCCCACGAAGACATTCAGACGGAGTAGATAGAGAACGACCACCTACTTTGTTACTGTCCTACATCCGAACTCAAGCACCCAGAAAGGGCAAAGCCAATGAAGCCATTATATACGTTCAATCATATTCATAGACATCAAAGTCATCATCAGAAGAAGGGGAAGAAGAAGAAGAAGCGTATAGATCTGCCGCAGAACAAGAACATTCGTCTCGCACATACATGCAACCAATCTCCCTACACCACAGAGTGCATCCAGAAGCGTAAAGCACACGGACAGAATAGAACGGTCACAAAGAACCAGAACAAGAACAAGAACAAGAACCTGGAAGAGAATTCACTCCCTCGGCTCAGCTTGAAACTATCTCCCGTTTATCTTCATAATTCAGTCCATCTTATCTTAAGGAAGAAAAAAAAAATAAAAAAAAGATAAAACGCATTCTTCAGTCGCGGGATGTACCGGGGTCCGGGGGCCCGTGGCATGGCATGTCATAGCATGGTTTGTTTAGTGCTGTGGGTTGGGGGGTGATGGTGGTTAGTGTGCTGTGTGTGGTATGGGATGTGGGATAGTATATGGTATAGAGTGTATCTATAGCCCTATGTAGAAGGGGAAGGAAATTCCGTCACGTACCTTGCAGCTGGTGCAAGAGCAGGACTTGCACTCGCCAGCGCAGCAGTTGCAGGTGCAGGGAGACATGGTGTCACGCGAGGTTATGATGGACCCGAGAGGAAGTAGGTGGATGGAAGAGAAGCAGGAAGCTTGCTTGATTGAAGGAGGAGAGGGGGGGGGGGGATGTAGCAGGCTTTGGGCTCAGAGAGTAAGGAGAAAGGAGTGAGGGAGCTTTATATCTGGAGGGCGATGGCACGACGACAAGTCTTGTTTGCCTCCAATGGGCCGGGAGGGAGAGAGTCTGGTGATCGTTCCATGGCAGCATGGCATCCGATGTACCTCCGACTCTCATGCTTTGGTACCGGTGACTTGGGGCGAGTCCACTGCACCACTCCATCTGCAAGGCTACTTGGTCAAGCAGGGACAACCTGGCGCGGCCCCGGCGCCGATAACAGTAACCATGCCAGTCACTAATCAGCGTCTCTTCATACATCATCTCACATCGCCGTCCATCGGGTGGCATGAATGAGTCGCGGCCCCTCCTTCTGTTCCCTCGTAGATAGCCCCGCCCCTCCATCGCACTGTAGCTTTCAGGCTAGGTAGGCTATCTCGATACTTGTCTGGCTGCCTCAGAAGAGAGAGACTGCACTAGCTGCATGGATTGACGCCAGGTTACTGCGCCATTTACCTCTTTGGAGCATGTATTCCCCACCACCCTCGTTCGTGGCAGCCTTGGAGGGGAGGGCAAGCCGAGGATAACCCTACCATACGTTCGCCTTCTGATTAGGTCATATAAGAGCATGTACTACGGTAGTGTCCCAGCCGCGAAAAGCGCACTAATCAGACGTCGCGGGGTGTTCACTCGGTGGAGGGCCAGACGGTCAGACCAGGTCAGCTGTGTAGATGGTCGATACTACTAGATCCATGGCCGGTGAAGGCTTGCTTGGGGACCCTCCTTTTTCGTTTTCGTGATTCGATCCAGGTGCCCATCGCCTGATCGATTATGAGAGTTTGGCCGGTGCAGATGAAGGTTGGACGGTGACGACGTCCAAAACTCTTTTTGTGGAGCGACATGTCGATCGATCGATGGGGGTTGTACGAGGCACAGCGATACCCCGAGGAGCTCTTCGCACGAGACGTGGTCGAGGGGCCTGCATCGGTGAGGGTTGGGCTTTCGTTCCCTGATGCAAGCTGGCTATAGCCAAAATCTACTAGGGGGCATGCAGGGTTGGTTGTTTGTATGTATACAACAGCGGACGGACGGACAGACGGCCCTTCTAGCCAGCTGCCGTGATGCAATCCATTCAAAGAATCCAAACTATAGACGAACGCTTTCATATGACCCCTGCCAATGTCCCCGTCATTCTTCACAGCTCATCCTTGCCCTTCGGGGCCGCCGGGCCCTCCTCGCCGCTGGCACACACGGCCGGCGAGGTCACACGCATGGAGTACACGCACTTCTCGTCCTCCGCCACCTTCAGGATCGTGTTCTCTTCGCCACATTCCAGGATCACGGTCGTCGACCGGGCCGGCCCGTTCCAGCAGCTTTGTCCGTTGGCGTAATCGAGAGAGACCCGGTCCTCAGGGACGACGTCGCCGGCCTCGTTGAGCACGTCAACGCTCACGGACCCAATGCCGACGAACTTGCCCATCCGCGAGGAGGACCCGCCCTTCTTCGGGATCTGCTTCGTCTGGTCCATGAAGCAGTGCTCGTACGTGTACTCGCCTGCATCCTTCGTGATGCACACGCCCTTCAGCGCGCGGAAGATCGAGGCGACACCATAGTCCGTGTCAAGATCGGACCGGTGGTTCTTCAGCTGCGACTGCAGATCTTTGAGACTCTTCTCCGCCGCTTTCACCGAATCACGCGCCTCCGAGACAAGCTTGGACTCGGTCGTGGCAGACTCGGCCGCCTTGGACAGAATCCCATTGTCCTCAAGGAAGCCCTTGGCGAGGACCACCTTGTCTTCGACGAAGTCAACAAAGGCAGGAGGGAAGTAGGCTGCCAGCTGGTAGACTGTAGATGCTGTTAGCAACGTGGTCGGTCCATCACATCCCCAGAACAATGCACATACCGATACTGGAGTCACACCCTTCATCCTCGTTTTCCCACTGCTCCCAGTTGATGCCGGATTTCTCGTCATCGGGCTTGGCGATCTCGTCCAGATCACGGTCCTGAGCGCCGTTCTCAGCGCCCTCCAGAGTGCCCCGGACCGCGTAGTCCTCCCACCCGCGCACGGCGCGCTTGACACCCTCGTCGTTGAAGTTCGGGTTATACTCCACTTTGAACGTGGACAGGATCCCCTCCAGCTCCTTCACCCGGGCGCGAGTATCATCGCGCTCCTTGCGGACGTCCACCAGCGCGCTCCGGAGCTCCTCGACCCGGCTCTTGGCCAACCCAGCGAGGACTCCCAGCTTGCCCGCCGTCTTGCCTTTCACGACCTTGCTCTGCTCCTGCTTCTCGACCTCCTCCAGCTCGACCTGGAGATCCTTGACCTTCAGCTCCTGGGCCTGGATCTCTCCCTCGAGGCGCTGGATGTTGTCTTCAACCTCCTTCCGCTGTCGGCTGGCCTCGTCCAGCAACTCCTTCTTCTTCTTCAACGCCGCCGTCATGGACTTTTGCTTCTGCTCCTCCTTCTTGCGCCACTCCTTGCCAATCTCCTTGCACTTGTCCGCACACTTCGTGCCCCCGACTCGGGCCCACTCGTCACTGCCATCGCAGCAAAGCTCGTAGTCGCAGATGCCGTCATTGACGCGCTGGAAGGGGACATAGGATGGCTTGTGGCCCTTGTTCTTGCAGTAGAATCCCGGGAGCGCAGCTACCAGCTCGAGATCATCATTGCCCGGACGCTCAGCCGGGGTCAACGCCGAGTTCCGGGAGAGGTGGGCACAGGCCGATGTCCCCGGTTCATCACTGCCGTCGGGGCAGTCACAGTAATCGTCGTTCACGGCGGAAAGGGGGATCTGGATGGCGGGATGGGAGATGCACGTGAAAGTGTCGGGATCCTTGTAGAACTTGGCAACTGCACACATCATCGACAGACCCACGATGTTAGCTACACACATTCTCCCTCGATCGATCGTCGCATACGCGGCCGTGTAACCAGTGACCACAGGCCGATTGGACCATGTGCCTGGTGGCTACGACTGCTGTTCCCGGGGCTGGAGACCGACAGTAGATCGTCTGGATCTTGGATAGTACTCACATTCGGGGGCGACTCCCCGAGGTCGAGACGAGGCATCCCCGGCGGCAGCTGCCACGGTCGAGCAAGCTGCGATGCCGGCGAAGAAGAGGGAACCCTGCGGAAGTATCATGGTGGCGGCAGTGGTGGAGGCAGTAGCTGCATTGAGCACCGTCACCAGTTAACAGTGAACAGTGAACAGTCACCAGAGAATATGCGATTGCGGAGAGAGCTTCTGGCCAGCTGGTGATTCCTGGCGGGAATCCGGGGGAAACCCGCCCCGCTGACTCAGCCCCTTATCGCCGTGGCGAGAAACATCGTCAGGTATTGTCCAAACCATCTTCAATCCTCATTCATACATCCATACATACATCTCACCAAAATGGGTAATGACGGTGGAAGGTACGTACCCGCCCTCATCTCTTACAAACCCCACTAACCCCCTCCCTCCTTCTTCCCTCTCCAGTATTCCCACCCGCCGCGAACTCGTCCGCGAAGCCGCCCGCACCCCCAGCACGGCGCAAGTCAAAGAAGCCCAGCGCGAACAACAAGAACACTCCTGGACAACCTGCCCACTATCGCACAAGCAGCTACAGCGCCCGGTAGTCTCCGACAGCGTCGGGAATCTCTACAACAAAGACGCCGTTCTGACATTCCTGCTCTCCGGCGACGACGCCGAAGGCATCAGCTCCAAGGCCGACTGCGAGGAGATCCTCTGTGGCCGGGTGAAGGGTCTTCGGGACGTCGTGGAGCTGAAATTCGAGGTCGACTCTGAGCGCACCGAATCGCCCCCGGTCTCCAAGCACGAGAAGCGCGAGGCCTGGATCTGTCCCGTCACGGCTAAGCAGCTCGGCCCGAATGTCAAGGCCGTTTACCTCGTTCCGTGCGGGCATGTTTTCTCCGAGGAGGCCATTCGTCAGCTCAAGGGTGATAAGTGTTTGCAGGTATGCAGGATAGTCGCTCTCTCTCTCTCTCTCTTTTTTTTTTTTTTTTTACACCTACCGTGTATCCTTGCTAAAAATGTCCTGCAGTGTGACGACCCCTACACTCCCGATAACGTGATCTCCATCCTCCCGACCAAGGAGACTGATAAACAGCAGCTCATCGAACGAGGACAGAAGCTGGCCGAGCAAGGTCTGACCCACTCGCTGAAGAAGGCCCCCGGCTCCAAGAAGCGCAAGAAGAACGCCAACGGCGATGGTGCCGGATCAAAGGAGCCCTCCGCGGCCCCGAGTCGCAGCAACACGTCCACCCCCACGCCCAGTGCATCGAACGGAATCAAGAATGCGGCCACGGCCAGTCTGACGGCCCGGATTCTGGAGGAGGAAAACGAGAAGAAAAAGCGGCGGAAGATGATGGGCACCAACGACAATATCAGCAGTCTGTTTTCGAAGGAGCCTAAAGATGGTGCGAAGAATGCCGATTTCATGACTCGGGGATTCACACTCCCCGCTACGGCTAGGAAGTGATTTGCTTTGATTTTTTTGACCCCCATTGCCTTCATTCATATTTGTTATCTCCAGAGGCGTACGGGGTTTCGGGCGCAGTCGAGCCGGCTACGGAACCGGTTGTTATTTCTGGCACGGTGGGAATGCGGTTTCTTGGATTGGATGATAGACCAGGGCTCGTGTGACGTGCCTGCCAATAATGAACAAAATGAAAGACGTCAATTCCCTATTATACAGAAAAACTCTTCGACTAGATATAACATGCTACAAGAACTAGAGTAAATCTCCAAGTCGTTCATCCCTCGTGCCTCCCTGCAACTGCAACCCAAACAGCTTCCTACAGAAGGCCTCTCGCACGAAGCGCGGCCTCAATGATCTTCTTCCGTCCCATCTCGTCATCCCGGTGGAGCGTGGTCCGTCTCTTGTCGAAGATCTTGACGTTGGGCAGGCTCAGGAGACGCTGGTCCTCGGCCAGGTATTCGGCCAGCTTCTTCGGCTTCTTGTTGAGCTCGCCCTGGGCGTAGGCCACGGCCTGCTTGACGGTGGAGATCTGCTGCATGATAGGGTCGGGGAAGTAGTGGCCGCTCAGCTGGGAGAATCTCTTCAGGTACTGCAGGATAGACGAGAGTCAGTCATACCGTGGAACGCAATCGTCTCGCGCAGCCAATGCTGCTTTTTGGTAACAACAAAGGCAAAGTAATCGAATGGGTAGAATCACTCACAGCAAACTTGGTAACCGCATCGGTCAACGGAAGGGACAAGAAACCCTCATCCTGGACATCCTGGTACCCGAAGAAAGGCGCGTCCTGGGAATCGCTCGCCGGCTCGTCAGCAATTTCCCCATTTTCCTCGAGTTCCGACGCCTCAACGAGATCCTCGGCCGTCTCTTCCGCAGCAGGAGCCGCTGGTTGGGCTCCGATCTGCTCGAAGATGTAGGCCAGAGTGTCCTGCGTGCGCTTGTTGGGGTATTCCAATGCCTTGCTCCACTCTCCGTTCGGCTGGATCTTGCACTCGTAGATCATGTCGAAGATAGGCTTCTCGTGTTCGGTCACATCGCAGACGCTCACCAGCGGCTTGTTCAGGGCGTGCATCAGGCAGATTTCGACGGCGGCTTGGTGGGCAGCGAGCGACAGGGGACCCTTCTGGTTGTGCTTCGTCTTCACGGCGAAGCTATGTGATCGGTCAGCAAGGAAGGTCCAGGGTGAAGAAGCGCCCACGCATATCAACGCCAGGGCGACTCTGGTCCTCAACAAGGGGAAACTTACGACTCATATGTATCAGCCTCGGAACGAGGGTAATCATTCCAGCGATTCAAGTGACCGACACGCTCCAGCCCAGCCCATGTTGTCGCCGGTTCGTAGGAGGCGTCCGTGAGCGTGAGGTCCTCGACTTCCTCGGGCTGCTCCGCCACCTCCTCCTGTTTCGGGGGCTGCTGTTTGCTGAATTTGCGTTCCAGCACACCCTGTCCACCATACGGGTCCTTCTCACCCGGGGGGTTGTCGGTTCCCCAGATCTTGCGGCGCACACGTTCGCTCAGCGAGTCCGCGTTGGAGGCATGGCGCAGGAATTGGCGGGCAGCAATGGGGCGCGGGCGCGCCTCTTGTCTGCAGCCCGAGCAGACGTAGAGTGCTCGGGAGCCCTGCAGGGAGGGCACCTCCAGATTCAGCAGCCGCAATGAGGGACGCATGATGGATGGCGGTGTTGCGGGATTCAAGTTGTCCGGACTTCTGCGGCCAACAGTTCGAAAAGTTTCACGGAATCCCGCGTGCTGGTCACGTGCGAGGCCGGGCTTGGCGTCGGCTAGAAGTATAGCCACCACTGGACCATGAGACCGGTGTACGAGTTGAAGATCAGACATAAAAATAATAAATTGTGGGTTTATTTACATGCGTCTACGCTGATATCATAAGAACTCATCGCTGTAACCGGACCCAGACTGTACAATGAAGGAAACACCCCGTTTCTTTTTTTTTACTCCCGAACAAACATACCAGCCATACCCATGCCGGTTCCAATGCACATGCTCACAACACCAACCTCCTGGCCGGTGCGCTCGAGCTCGGGCAGCAGAGTCGCCAGCTGTCTGGCACCGGTGGCACCCAGAGGGTGACCGATGGCGATGGCACCACCCTTAGGGTTGACCTTGGCCTCGTCAATGCCCAGCTTGCGAACACTGTACAGGGCCTGGGAGGCAAAGGCCTCGTTGATTTCCCAGATGTTGACGTCCGCCACGCTCATGTCAAGCTGCTGAAGGAGCTTGGGGATGGCAACGGCGGGTCCGACACCCATCTCGTCGGGGGCACAGCCCGCGACGGCAGTGGCAACCCAGCGGCCCTTGATGGCAGAGGTCAGGCCGAGCTCGGTGGCCGTGGAACGGCGCATCAACAGGGCGGCGGCGGCACCATCGCTGACCTGGGAGCTGTTTCCAGCAGTGCTGGCGCCGGTGGGGGAGAAGGCGGGCTTCAGGCTAGCCATCTTCTCGACCGAGATGTTGGGGCGAACACCGTCGTCCTTGGACACGGTGATCTCCTTGGGGGCGGCCTCGGGGTTCTCCGGGTCGAAGGACAGGGTCTTGACGGGAACGATTTCCGAGTCGAATAGGCCGGCGTTCTGCGCAGCCGTCGCCTTGTGGTGGGACGCGGCGGCAAAGACGTCCTGGTCCGCCCGCGAGATGCCGTACCGCGAAGCCACGTTTTCGGAGGTGATGCCCATGGGCATGATGCAGTCTCTGGAGTCCTGGGAATGAGACTCCTTCAACTCCGGCCAGAGGACGGTGGGGATAGCGCGGGAGCCATAGTTCCGGGTCATGGACTCCATACCACCACCAATACCGACGTTAATGGCTCCGGCGCGGATGCCGTTCGCGATGGTCGAGATGGCAGCCAGGCCGGAGGAGCACTGGCGGTTGATCGTGTGAAACGGAACGCTGTGGGGGAAACCGGCGTGGATCTGGGCCATGCGGCCGGCCTTCGCACCGCCGAGTTCCTGGAGAACGGAACCAATGGCGACATCGTCGATCAGAGCCGGGTCCAGGTTGGGGTTCGCCTCAAGGGTGGCCCGGAGCACGCTGGCGAGGAGCTCCTCGGGGTAGGCGTCCTTGAAGCCGCCTTTCTTCGCACGAGTGACGGGGGTACGGAGGGAGGAGAGGATGACAATATCGGAGGGAGACTTCTGGAGGACCTGGCGCAGGCCCCGGGGAATTGGAGAGGCCATCTTGACGGAGGTTTAGTGCGAGACGGGGGAGGTGAAAATGGCTTGGGGAATGAGGTTGTGCCTCGTGCCGGCCAAAACCGGGGCACGGCAACATACTTATATCGTGGGGGGAGGGAGTTGGCCACCGGAGGAAATTCCGGGGATGGCTTCGAACTGCCGGCAACGAAGATCGGCTAAGCGCACTGCCGCCGAGGCCGACCGGGCAGAAAATGTTGGGGAAGAAGAACCTGGGAAAAGAGCCTGGGCGTTGTGGAGAGACGGATCTTATCACCCGCAATTAGTATTGCAATATTATTGAATATGGATCCTGATCTCTGCCGAGAATTCCCTACCATCGCCGATTGTATAGATATCTGTCTACTCCCTACTCCCTACAGGCATCCCCTCCCTCGACAGGAGTACATAGACTGACTACTCCGTATAGTATCTCGCATACTCAGCCAGGATCCGATGGCCACTTCCGGCCATCTCCCATCGGATCCCGACGCTTATGTCAGCGATTTCGGAACGGCACTCGGATAACCGGCCAGCTTCAACAACTCATGAGCAACGTTGGCATGGCATTCATCATATGTGTACGCCACAAAGGGCATCACCCACCATACACAGCTGACGTCCCTATCCACGACCAATATCCATCCTACTTTCCCCGTCAGCATGGAGAGTTCCGAGCAAAAGGGTCTGAGATCATCTTACCGCCTGGATTGTCTGGCTGAACAGACCACTGGCTTCCCACCGATACACCGAACGGTGCGTCGGCTTTGGTCCTGACGCCGGTCTCGATATTCCTCAACCAGGTTCCAAACCGGATGTGTCGTTTGCCCCAGTCATATCCGGGTATGATTCTAATGATGCTATTGACATTGTATGTCTCGATAGGGTCCCGGGTCTCTGGGGTCTGGAACCATTCGTCCTCGTATACGGCGGGGTCAGTTGGGACCTGGGCTGACTCTATGATCAACCGGTTCAGCGCAATGAAGGTCTTCTGGTCATGAAGGACTTGAACGATTGCGCTGGGGTCAATGGATCCCGGGATTTTGATAGAGACACGGCGGGTGTTGGAGATGCGCCAGTTGATCGATAGCAGGGAGGCGACGAGGAGGCCCGTGAAGAGTTTGTACGGGACCATTTTGGAAAGTAAAATACTGAGTGTTGTTGACGCTGCGGAGATTGTGAGAAAGGCCGCTGTTCAATATTTGACTTGGTTCTCTCATACTTGTGCTCGGTTCTCCTTTTCGATATATCAGATAACCCCCTCTCGGCCATATATTTCATTTTTTTATACTTCTCCGAGACCCACCTGCAGGTTGCAACCATCTACCACCAGCATCTGGTATTCTTTCCAAGTTCTTAGGATTAAAGGCCTGATTCTGCGTGTTTATTTATTAAATTAAAGGGATTATTTTCACTAAAAAAAAAAACCTATAAAGCTTAGATACCTGTCCTAATCTCTTTATAGTATCCTTAACTAGCTAATTAAACTACACAGTGCCATACCAGCTTTGTCCTTCCCGCGCAGGCTCGAGTGGCCGTTTCCCTAGATATGTTGCATCACGATTCCCTGATATGGGGCGAGGACGCCGACCGATTTCGGCCCGAGCGATGGGAGGGACTCCTCCCGAATAAGATGGAGAGCGAGGGCAGCTATCTGCCTTTTCTCACAGGACCCAGACGTTGTCCGTGCACCGGGTTCGTCTTACAGCAGGTCAAAGTATTCCTGGCGGTGTTGTTGTCGGAGATGAAGTTGGAGGTGCCAAATGCGGCTATGGTGGAGAAGAGACTAGGTCCTATATCCGAGCCAACACAGCCTCTGAGCTTTGTCGTCGGTCCTTGTCAAAAAGACCTTGAGTTAGACAATTGTTCTTGGAACCCTACAGACCCCAGCCCCCAAGGGGCTAAACTACTTTACTTGTGACCCTGCCTGCTCCTGAACCACTTCGTCTTGTCTATCAGCCTGTATAGTGTATATAGCCTGACTAGTAGTACGGAGTAGCGAACCCCAAGATATCTATCACTGCTAGCCTGCTTGCTCGAACCACCAGCTCAGCTCAGGAGAGCCCCTAGGGTGACTGTCAGCTACTTACGTAGCTTCGCTTGGGGTTAGATACTCCCAGTGCTAAATCGGGATCGCTCAGTGGGCCGAAAGCGGAAAGGGAAAGTGACTGGATTTCTGCAGGAGTCCAGGTCGGTACTACTAGTAGTAAAGTGGTCTACTGTTGATCAGCTACGTGTCATGTCAATCATGGGTGGGTAATTCAGCTTGATGGTCTATGTACAAGCATGCTCCCATATATTTTCATCGTGCCGCTCTGGGCCGATGCTAGGTAACAGAAGTCCACGGCCGCAACCCCGGAACCAGTGGGTATCAATCAAATGTTAAAACAACCCGGCCGCCTGTGCCTGCGACCTGTTCGCCCAAAACGCCTGGTATCATCAAGGTATCAAGTCAACGAGTAGAGAGAAGAAGAGGAGGAGGTAGAGGAGGAGGAGAAACAGCAACGATGGGAATGCGGGAATGTTCAGCAGCGGATGATGTGGCTATAATGGCCGGGCACTCTGCGCCGGCATTTGTCGCAGTCCGCTCGATAGCCCATTGAAAACGCGGTTTTCTTTTTGGATGGAGAGACAGGAGTGTACTCTGGCATGGGATGGTCTGTCAAGAACGTCGGCTGGTGCAGGTCAGGAGGGGACGCTGGCTGGGATATGTTGTATGACATATCGACATCGCTCACAGAGTCTTTGCCGCTCGCAGGCATGCCATCCCCATTGTCGCTGACTGGGCTGGGGAGACGTTGTCCGCACCACCAGACCCTATCCTGGGACGAGTACGGGTCTTTAGGAGCACCCTGATGCGGAGAGGAGGCAGAGCTTTCGAAAACCACCCTTGTCACGGAATTCTTCGCGGGGGGGATGGCATTGTACGGAGAGTGTGAGACGGCCCTCTCGCTGATGGTAAGCGATTGGTCAACAAGTCTCTGTGGAATCGGTGATCGCGTATCCCCACTGATGGCCGGGTGTTGAAGCTCCTTCCCATCATCGACATCCATATCTGCGCTCAGTGTGGGAGCGACATGCTGAGGACCCTGCTGGGCTTGCCGATTCCAGGTCTCCGCCAAGGCATTGTCGTCTCGGTCCTCGTCGGAGGATTCCACCGGAGTAAGGGTTGAGGAAGCGAATCGAGAGGCAAGCTGATTGCTTTGCGCGAAGGGTGGGAGCTGGAAAATAACCGGGGGCGCGCGTAAAGGTAGAGATCGGTGTTTCTGTTCTCCACTCGTCAGAAATTGGGGACGGAGGGCAACTGTTTGTTTAGCCTGGAGCCGACGAACCTTTTTTTCACGGAGTGCGTTTCCCTCAAAGTCGTCCTGCTCCTGGTCTCTCGGGCGCTTGGAGTTGAAGGCGTACATGACGTGGTGAGCGTCAAGCCGCACAGGACACCCGGAAATAGAGAAGACAGCGAGCGATGGAGGGAGAAGGGGGGTGATCTGGTGCGAGATCGTGACGGGACTAGGACGGGGTATAACTTCGTCGAAAGATGAAGGAAGGTTCAGGCGCATAGAAAGCAGGGGCTTCAATGGACGGGGGCAATGCAACAATAATGAATGATTGAAGCGGAAGCAAAGAATCTGGATGAGTGAATGGAATGACCGATCATGGCCAGCCACGCGACTGGGGAGTCAGCAAGAACCGGGGTAAAAGATCGGACGTGAGGGTGCAAGTGGTCTCGATTGGCCGAGGCGCTTTTGCAGTCCGCGCCGAGGCTGGGGTGCCGGAGTGGGTAATCTATCTGTACGGTATGTTACAGCCTGTGTATCATCTGAGTCAGCGTCTAGTAGTTAGTTACCCTCCCTCCCCTGCTCCTGCTGCAGTGTTACTATTGACTGAATGACCACATAACACATAACTGCTACAGTTCCTTCAAAGATGCACCTAGACTCACTCTATTCCAAGCAGAGCTCCCTCTCGGGCGGGCTTAACGCATAATTTAACTGGTCTCTTACCTATGTCAAACATTCAGTCGTCTATATATATCTATGACGTCACCTCCATACCATGGGGTTCGTTCGAGATACTCCATCATCCATGTGTCGGTTGCATCCCCGCCATGCCCATGCTCTAGTGACAGGGCTTGGATGTATTCAGAACCAACCCATTTACAGATGTCATCTACAAATCTTGGGCTCGCCCTTGTGACCCCTGCCTCGAGAGGGCTGGGGTTCGCCTTCGCACGACAGCTGTTGTCACACACGGACCTACCCGTTCTCGCGACTGCGCGGAGGAATAGCGGAGAAGTCCGGGACAGATTGCTGGATGGAGTCAATGATCGGTCGGGGAGGGCTGAAAAGAGACTGAGGGTGTTCGAGCTTGACGTGACCGGTACCACACCCATATCCCCTGTACTGTCGGGGAAAGATGTCCTGACCCATTTCTTAGATGAGACGACGATACATGCGATGGCCACACGGATACGAGACGAGTATCCAAAGGCTGCACTGCGTATCGCGATCACTGTGCCCGGTGTTTTGCATGTTGAAAAATCCCCGACACAGATCGATGCGGCCAACGCGTTGCACAGCTTCCAAGTCAACGCCCTCGGTCCCATGCTCCTGATGAAGCACCTGGTCCCCCTTTTGCCGACCAAGTCATCGACTCCGTTCGCGGAAGATGCATCATCATCATCGGCATCATGGACACTTCCATCGCATGCGATCTATGTCATGATGGCGGCACGAGTGGGGTCGATCTCCGACAATGCAAGTGGCGGTTGGTATTCCTACCGTGCTAGCAAAGCATCGGTCTTTCAACTGGCAAAGACATTCGATCTGTACCTGCGCACTCGGAGCAGGGACCGGGCGATAGCGGTGGCGATGCACCCTGGAACAGTCCAGAGTGACTTCACGAAGGATTACTGGGATGGGAGAGAGATGTTGCAGCCGGAGGAATCCGCAGCGCGGCTGTTGCAGCATCTATGTGCGATGGGGACAGACGATGGCGACGGACGAGGTCGGTGTTGGGATTGGAAGGGCAAAGAGGTTCTGCCCTGAGATCGGAATACATATAGTGACCCAATAACATTCCAACCATGCCCTTTGGCGCCCGCATTTAGTCCAGGTACATCAACTCTGCTGAGCGTTCTTCCGTCGGGGCGGTGGGGTCCCGGCAAAACAATTACACGGCGCAGGGCGACTAAAACGCTATTCCGGCCACGATGCTTCAACGCCCGCAACTCCCCCCTCGACGGGCTTCCCAGGGTCTCAAAAGTCTGCAACACGTTGGTCTCACCCAAATCACAGAAGAAACAGCGCCCATTGTGACCCACCAGATCCATCTCACTCGCCAGAGCATCGTGCAGCCTCGATCTTAGGTCCACCTTGAACACACTAGGATCGGAGACCTTCCCCAAAGCCATGGTAGTGCTTTGCAAGTGGAGGGATGGCCATGCAGATTAATGATTATCTACCGACTGACAGATTTACTACTCACTAGCCTCAGCCGTCACTTCCCCAGGTCCACACGGGAACTGCCGCAAGGAGCCACTCGGTTTCGAGTGTCTGTCGTCTGTACACTTACGGTGTACACGACCAGGCTGATGTTACCATACAGAATCAAAATGGGCGAGTCGCAACGGGATTGCAGCCCTTCCCTCCCCCCCCCCCACACTCCCCTCTGCCGCGATATAGATCCAGATCCATGCTTATGCGCAGGCCCGATTGGCAGTTGGGCTGAGTCATGCCTGCCGGTTCTCGATACGCCTGCAGCCGGTCAGATCTAAATCACTGCGCTAAAGCTGCGCCGGGCCCATCCTTTATTTTGACCCAGAGACACTGTAGTAACCCGAGACTGGGGAAATGGCGGGAAAAGAGCGCCGAGTCCATTGAAAACAGAAGAAGCAGCGTGGACCATGGCTGCACAGGACTTGCTTCACCTACCGCCCATGGATCCATCATATGCAGACCGTCGTGCGGTCAGGTCAGCCCCATGTGGAGGAAGCGGACTCGATCAATAATCGGTATCACGACGTCTTACTGTCGTGACTATGCATGCATGGGCTTCAATAAACGGTTTGGCGAGCACGCAGCCCACGGTCCGGAGTATCCGACGATTTACTCCGGTGGATGGCCTCATTGCACAGACTCGTATTGATCAACCATTGCGCCCCGAATGATCCCTTGCAAGCCTTTCCCAGGTCGGCATCCGACTCCACGCAGATCGGTGATCCGGAGCCTAGTACTCTGTAGAAAGCCATGGCAATTCTTTCTCATTGGTAGATCACCTCTGAGACTGCAAAGGGGAGGGAGGAGTTGACGTAAGATGATGCTGGCATCCAGAAGGGGACAGATGGAGGCTCCCATGATCAGGAGATACGTACGTAGGAGGTATTTACCTAGTACCTACGGGACTATCGGTTTTGATGAGGCAGGCGCTGACGCCTGCATCGTGACACAACCTAAGCGGATACTCTATTCGCATGTACATGGGTATCCGGGATGACCGAGATCGGAGAAGACAAAGACTGTGCCAGGCCAACAATGGGAGACGTCGTGGGAAGTCCCCAAATCCCAGTCGATGACAGTTCTACACAATTGTCATGGCCCTATCCAACCAACAGGACACAAAAAACTAACTCGCACAACAACATCGAAACCCCATACGGTACGGGTAATACAGGGAACGCCACTGGCACGTTGCAGCCAACTGCCAGCTAATGAATCATTCACCGGCTGGTCCGCGCTCCCGCGGCGGCCCACACTTTCGCTTCCACTTGCGCTTCTGCTCTTCACGCTCGATCATGGCCTGTTGCTCCAACAAACTCTTCGTTCGCGCTCTCTCTTCCCCCCTGACTCATACTCTCCCTCGCGCCCCCGGCTGTCCGGCTCTTTAAAAGCTCTTACCACTCCCCGGTCCTATAAAAGCCCTTCTATTAGCAACATCATCATCGTTCATTCTGTTATCTACCTACCTATCTCCTTCCTTACCTTCTTACACCCTCACTGTTTCTCTAATCCCCCCCCCCCCCCCGCCTCTCACCATGCCTTTGATCCGTACCACCGAAGTCAATGAGGACACGCGTGGTGAGTATTATATTCCCCATTGTACACACGCCCTGTCTTTTGTTGCTGACCAGTCAATTCTGTTCAGTCCTGGGATACGACGCCCTGCTCTCTCCCCAGTTCCTGCAGACGGAGATCCCCGGTGTGAGTCACACTAGCCCCCACCCCAGCTAGATTGTCTTCCCAGCCAGAAATCCATGCCCCGCGCACGGCAACATGCATGGGGCTCCCCAATGCTGCCCTACCATCAACAGGAGACAGACCCCATGAGACAAGTGTGTGAGTCTATATGCTAACGTCCATCATCTAGCAAAAACATGCCATTGAGACTGTCCGTTCTGGACGCAACCAGGCCATTGAAATCATTGAGCAGCGCGATGACCGTCTGCTGGTCATGGTCGGCCCCTGCTCGATCCATGACCCTGCCACGGCTCTCGAGTATGCCGGGCGTCTCAAGGAGCTCTCTGAGAAGCTTTCCACCGACCTCTGCGTCATCATGCGTGCCTACCTTGAGAAGCCCCGCACCACCGTGGGATGGAAGGGCCTGATCAACGACCCCGACATCGACGAGTCCTACAACATCAACAAGGGTCTCCGGGTCTCCCGTCAGCTCTACGCCGACCTGACCGGCATGGGCATCCCCATCGCCAGTGAAATGCTGGATACCATCTCCCCCCAGTACCTGGCCGATCTGATCTCGCTGGGTGCCATCGGTGCTCGCACTACCGAGTCTCAGCTGCACCGCGAGCTCGCCTCCGGTCTCAGTTTCCCCATCGGCTACAAGAACGGCACTGACGGCAACCTCACTGTTGCCATTGACGCCATTGGTGCTGCCGCTCACCCCCACCGTTTCCTGGGTGTGACCAAGCAGGGTCTCGCCGCCATCACCAAGACCTCCGGCAACGAGCACGGCTTCGTCATCCTCCGCGGCGGTGCCAAGGGCACCAACTACGACCGTGACAACATCAAGGCCGCTCGCGAAGCCCTGCGCGCCAAGAAGCAGCGCGAGGTCGTCATGGTCGACTGCTCGCACGGTAACTCCAACAAGAACCACCGCAACCAGCCCCTGGTGGCCAAGGAGGTCGCCGACCAGCTCCGTGAGGGCCAGGATGCCATCGTCGGTGTCATGATCGAGTCCAACATCCACGAGGGCAACCAGAAGGTTCCTCCCGAGGGCCCCTCCGGTCTGCGCAAGGGTGTCAGCATCACCGACGCCTGCATCGACTGGGAAACCACCGTCACCACCCTCGAGGACCTCGCCGACGCCGTTCGTGCCCGTCGCGCCGCCAAGATCGCCCAGGCCAAGGCCTCCTCCAATGGAGCCTCGCAGTGAGCCATCCATCCATCTTGGACTGCCTGCCTCTACGAATTAAATCCCAAGCGAGTCTGTTCTGAATTGATTTAGATACCATAGCCAGGGGGTGAATCCTCTATTCCACCTCATTTTGGTTCTCTTCATTTGACTTTTAATTTTTTTCGGCGACTATTTCCTGGCTTTCTGTTCCCCGCTGGAATTGGGCAGTTGTTCTGTTCCCTTGCTTCCTTTACTTTCCATAAAAGCTTTCATTTGATCTCTTCTTCTTCTTTCTTCTTCTTTCTTCTCTTTTCTGTGTATTTCTTTCCTCTATTTTCTGTCTACAGAAGACAGACAGTGCGTAATGATAGTTTGGTAATAGAAACATTATTGTGGACATTTGTTTCCATGCCTCTCTCTCTCTCTCTCTCTCTCTCTCTCTCTCTCTCTCTCTCAAGAGTAACTCGCGGCTGCGGCTGCGGCTGGCTGCACCTGTAAATTCATCACCCCCGAGAGAGGGTGCCATGCATGAGCTTACTTTTGCGCGTGGAACAAGGGGTCTGAGACGACGCTGTAAACCAAGCGGATGGAAAATAGATGTATATGTACAACAATATAGCACAAACCCAGTAATACACACAGGGTCCAGGAAAGTCCCCGCAAAGAAGAAGAGCACAGCAGAAAAAGACACCCGAATACAACAGACGCCGCAACCCCAGATGCGGAAGACCGGAAAGAAGAACGATCGATGCCATGCAAACCACTGCAGAAAGGGGATGGACGCCCCGAGGATGGCCATGCCAACATGAGATTAGGCGCGCGTCATCTCCGAGCATCCCGGGTTCCTCCCTTCTTCGATTACCCGTCCCCTCTTCCTTCCTCACCGGCCGGTGAGCCAGCTCTTCCAGCTTCGCGTCGTCTGCTTGGCGGCAGTTTCGGCGTTCTCAGCCAGGACGTCCAGCTGTCCTTGCGGGGCGGCAGCAGCGGACTTGGCGTCCTCCGCCGTCTTTGCGTTCAGGGCCTCCAGGACTCCGGGCTTGGTGTTGATGTTGGTGTCGGCAATGATGCTGTCGGGGATGCCGTTGGGGGCCGCCTCGGGCGTCTCGTCCGCCTTCATCCCACTGAACATGTACCGCTTCAGCTTGTTCCACGGGCGCTGGGCCCTCTCCTCGTCCTTCTTCCGCTGGAAGATCTCGCCGATCTTCTCGTTCTTCAGCATTTCCAGCTGCTCCGTTGTCGCGGTGCCCCTGCCGTATGCCGTCTTTGCGTCCTCCAGTGACTGCAGCTCCTTCTCCACCCACAGAGCGCGCTGGCGGCGGTTGTACATGGTGAGAGAGAACACGGAGTAAATCGTAAGGACACCGCAAACACCTATGTTCGAAACATGTCAGTTGAGAAGTTCCCTTGACCATGTGCTTCTGCTTCCTTCTTTCATTTCTCTCTCTCTTCTCTGTTTTACGATGCCTCCAGCATCTCTGCACCAGTCCCATCCCTCCCCGCCCCACCTCGCACATGAGCACCTCCCCTAGCACCATCCCCAGCAAGCAAACATTGAGAGAACCTACCCGAAGCAGCAATCAAAGAGTAAACCATCGTCTTGTGCGCCTTGTTCGCAAACCGACGGCCGAAATCAACCATTTGATCCACCCGCGACGTCGACTGGGCTATCCGGGCCGCGCGAGCCTGGGCTCGCAACCGCTCGACCTTCTCCTTGGGAGTCTCCGGTTTACCGTCGGGGCCGACGGGCCGGCCTGTCCTTTCGAGCCCGACTTGGCCATGAAGTCGGGGAGCTTGTAAGGGGCCGCAGAACCGGGCTTGGAGTGGGCGTAGGGCCCGGTGGCCGTGAAGCGGGTTGCGTCGGCAGCGGAACGGGACATGTTGAAGCAGGGGGTGGGATAGCGTGCGAGTGGAATTGTATTGAACTAAGATGGAGGAGGAGCGCGTGGTGGTGTCGTAGTGTTGTGGGACGATACGGCAGGACCGGAGGGTGGATGTCAGGACGACCCAGTTAATCGGAACGAGACATTCGGCAGTCGGGGGCGATTGTAAAGGGCAAGAAGGCGCGGGGTCCGAGCTGAGGGGGGAGCAATTAGATGCTGGTGGGGGAGAGAATGAGGAGAAGATGGCAAGGGGAGCGAGTCTGTTGAGTCGTTGCGTTGAAGTGGACGAGTTCCGGGCGGGCAAATTTTCAGCGGAGGGAAAGAAGACTAAGAGTCCCGGACAGCCAAGTCGCCAACCACTCCCACCGCCGCCATTACCATTACCATTATACTGTCTCTCCCCTCTTCCGAGACAGAACTGGTCACCATCCAATGACTGGATGAGATTGACCTCCCAAATAACATTAACATCATCACCACCACCACCATGGACTATAACGCTGCAGACCTGACCTCCGTCCTCAGAACCCTATCAGCCTTGTCCAACCCGCAGCCATCCCAACCGCAACCACCACCACCACCACCACAACCACAACCCCCAAAACAACAACCTCACACCCCCCAGACCCTCGAGTCCGAAGAAGACGATTCCTACGAACCCTCCGAGACGCTCCCCCACATTCCCACAGCTACACCTCCTCACCCGCAGCCCCCGGCACCAGTCCCCACAATACCGACAGGACCTCAACCGGGAGCCCCCCCCAATGGCAAACCCACCGAGGACCCATCAACAATCACCGCCTGGCCAGGCGCTCTACGCTACGTCATGCGCACCGTGGCCCAGAATGAGGACATCCAACGACGGATCCGATGGCTGATCCAGCGCCAGCATGACCACGAGAAGCAGTGGTGGCAGGGCCGCGAAGCGCTGTTGCGGAAACAGCAAGCTCGGACGGAGAAGAAGAAGGAGCTTGATGCCGTGCTGTGAGTGGCCTGGAATTGAGTCGGTGTTATTGGGCTCTGAAACGAACCGAATCACGCTCATTCGTTCTCGCTTGGTGTGGCGATTGCTTACTGTTCTACTCCCCTCCTAGACGCTCTGTCGGCGCTCCCGTCGATGATTCCACTCAAGTCTCGGTATGTACCTACCAAATATAAACCGACCCAAAGCAAGACCGAAAGAGGAGGCGAGGCGAGGCGAGGCGGACGGCGGCCAGCAGATGCCCCCCCTCCCCTCCTCTTCAATCCCGCTGCGTGTGCCACTTACCTGATCATCAGAACACTGACTTACTGCTTGACCCCCACTAACAGACAGTCGAAGAAGACCGAGCCGAACTAACCAACTACGACGCCAAAGTGTATAAAGCGTCTAGGCAGATGTCCGAGGCCATGATCGCCGAGCTCCGGGGTTTGAAAATCCCCTTCTTTAGTCTCAGGAAGGGCTTCGTGTCCGAGTCTTCGCCAGCCCCGCCGGCTCCGGCCATCGATCCTAGTCGGCAGACTCTCTCGGGAGAGGACTTGTCTGGCTTCCAGCGTCGTATGCTGGAGCTGTTGCAAGATCTATGCAGGGAGGGATGACCCCTCCCCCTCCTCCATCTGTTTCCTGTGCGATGTAAATTCCTAGGATACACCAGTCCTAGGTCTGTCCGAGAATTCTTGGTAGATCGGGACAGGGGGGCTCATTCACCATGAACCGATTTAAGCACGTCGCGTATGATGGACCTAGGTAACTACCTATCTCATGTCGTGGGTACTGACTGTAACAAGCTGGTCCCATCCTCCTCCATTTCGTATTATTATGGAGGATTATGCCTGCGTGAGAAATTCGCGACACCCGACCGGGTGCGCGCAAGTCGAAGATCATCACGAAATAGATAGCTTCCGGCATCTAAACTAGACTAAGCCTACTCGTCATGCCCGCTGCTGTTATCAGGGGTGATCCGGTGGTCCTGTATTGATAATTACCATTATGTACACACCCAAGTTTCTATCCCGGGCCACGAGCCCATCTGTCTATGCCGCTCGCCTAAGGATCAAATGCTCCGTTCCTGACCTCTGAACCTGTATATGCAATGGCAATACCCTATGGAAGCACGATGCGAGAGCCTGGCCGTCCAGGGAAAGCCTCCGCGAAGAAAAAAAAAAAAAAGGAAATGAAATGAAATCAGAAATGCCAGTGTCCAAACCAAGCGCGAAAAGCGGGCGAATGAAATGTAAACCAGACGCGAAACACCTTGAATGCAAATGTAGCTGACATGCCGAGTAGATGCGCAAGAGAATGTAGTCTACTCGAGCTTTTTCTCCGCAACTGCCACCGCAACTGCCACCGCGGCTCCCAAGATAGCACTTTCCGGTGCCGGGTCGAGGCGAACGCTCGGTTCAGTGGCTGCATCAAGGGATGCCGGCGACACATGGGTCTCCTTGGCGAGGTCGTTCAGATACGCCTGGCACCGATCTCGGAAACCAGGGTATTTGTTGATTACGCTGCCATCGCACGCGATTGACAAACTCAGGGGATTTCCTTCGCTTTCCACCACGGTCACCTCCTGAGACTCCTTGATCGACGGCGGTGCCGAAGTGACCGCAATGGGGAATTCCACCTCATTCCGCAAGCACCACATGCTGTGAATTGCTGTTGCCAAATATCCGGCAGCTCGCTTGGAAACCGTCTGGCACACTCGTCGAAGGAACCGCAAATCTTCAACGGATGGAGGGACGGTGAACGAATGCTCTTTCTGAAGGAGCGCCGCCGATGATGCCAGAAGCGGGGACGTGTCCGCCTCTAGGGATGCGACAATGCTGGTATCAAACGAGTAGGCATCGCGCATTGAATGGGGCAGCTCTCCCCCGAACAACTGCGCAGCTTCCACCGCCTCCACAATTATAAGTCGGATGATTTCTCCCAGGTAACGTCCAGTGATCATGTACTCCAGGGGCTGATAGTCGGGTCGCAGGTGCGTACGGTTGAGAAGCTCGTCCCAGCGAGTCCTTGGCAGAATGCCCCCGCCGAACATGCTCATCTCGCTGTTGATGATGACATGTTTCGCATAGTCGAACCAACCCGGGGGTCTGGCGCCGAACTTGGTCAATCCGATCTCGTGCACCGGGAAATGAATGGCCACATTGGTCCCAGTTCCTAATATCAGAGACATTCGCGTCTTAGGGTCGATATAGGCCCGGGATAGGAGGGTTGCCGAGCTGTCGTTCACGATACCATCCACCTGTACATTGATGTCGCGCTTCCGACAAGCCTGGACGATGAGGTCTCCCAGTTCCAGACCAACCGTCCCATTCGAGCAATGGAATCCCTTGCCCATGTGGATGACTAGACCACTGCTCGCAGAGGTTTGCTCAATTGGAAATGACCATGACAAGCCGATCGAGAGGGGTATGGCCTCTCGACCGTAGTTGGCACCAACTTCATGTAGCATCGAGTCGATCTTCTCCGCCATCCAATCAAAGAACAACGTCCCCTCCAGCAGCTTCACTTCATTGTCAATGTATGACGATGCGACATGAAGGATGTGCATGTCCCCTTGTCCGCGGAGTTCAACCAAAGCCACCCGGAGCGTTGATCCACCCACATCCAGGGCCAGATACGTGCCTTTTTCAGTCCCCGAGGGCAGTGCATGGTTGTAGGAAGGCAGCATGCAGACCGGGTTGGACTGTAGACTAGTTCTGAACTGTGCGCGGATCTTGTCCGACATTGCGACCATGTTTTGCACAGACAATGGCGCCGTGAAAAGGTGGTCCACTTCGTCAGCGAATGCATCAAGAGTCCGACGTCGCCAGTACGCTCCATGGAAAGGCTTCCGCCGCTTACGGGTGGGGTCGCGAAAAAGGGAAGGGAACAATAGCATTGCCTCCAGAGCGGCCACAATGTTTGTGAAGAGTTCCTGCATCCTATGCAGGACCTTGACCAGTGGAGCCGGCATGGTCAGACGATAACAGGCCCCTCAGGCAAAGAAGAGGGAGTGCGTAGGCTGTATCAATCGAGAGATGAGATGAGGTGTGGAAGTCGATGTGGGTGTTGAATTCAAAGCGAATTTGCGCTCATATGGGCAAGGGGCTGATGTGACAAGTCAAAGGGCCATGAATACGAAGGAAGATGACTTGAAGATGATAAGGGGTTCGATCAAGGTTGAAGGTCAACAGAATGGTTATCCTGGGGGTGAAAAGTACAGCAACACACAGGTGCGGAATGCTAAACAGTAGCCCACGGCCCACTTCAAGGAAGATGGATAGATGTAGTATGTACGAGACTCAAGGTAGCACTTGCCACAAAGAATCACAGAATCCTTGCACCAGCTGCAGTGAAAACCGTCCGCAAGGCAGGAAGCCAGTTAGGACGATAGGAAAGGGAATGAGGGAGTCGGGGGCCAGGGTTTGCTTGTACAGATAATGTGGTGGATATTCGAAGAAGAGAGTCGATCGACCAGCTTCCAGGGGGGGGGCTTCACAGTCCCTGGCAGAAAAACAAGTTGAATTGAGTAGTGCGGGAAGCCAAGAAGTGTGTGGCCCCAGGTTGTTGATGTTGTCTGGGGGTGGTAGTCGTAAGTCGTATTATTTAGTAGTCGGGTGGATAATTAGTAGTGGCAGTGGTGGTCGTGGTGGTAGTAATCGAAGTAGTAGTTAGTAGTGGTAGCCGAAGCGGTAGTAGTGGTAGTAGTAGTACTGCTTGCTGCTGCTGCTCCCAGTCGTCAAGCGGCGTAGTGGAGGTGGAGGGATGGACGGAAAGCGATGGGACCATAGACTGGGGGGAGCAAGCAGGGAACAACGCGTGTCCATTCCTCAGGGACGAGGTGAGAGATGGATTGGCTTCACCGCAGGTTTGGGGTCGAATCGGAAGGGGTAGGGGGATGCCAGCAAGAAAGGCGAGGAGGAGGAAGAGGGATGGATAGATAAATCGAGCCGATGCTGGTTGAAACGGAGGAATGAGACTGGAAATGGATGGCCGGATGGCAGGGCAGGGCAGGGAAACTTACAAGCGGTATTCCCCCATACAGGGTGAGGTCGCAGCGTGGTACCAGGTTAGTTACTAGATACCTTAACCAACCATGGTTGCTCGCCCGTCGGTCGGCACAAAGTAGATCCAGTGAGAAAGAAGGTATGGTTCCTGGCAGATGATGTGTCAGGTATTGTATTTACTCTATGTACTGTACTCCCTGTCCAGTGTACAGGTTCCTCCACCCCCCCCTCCCCCTCCCTTACCCACCGGGGAAGGCACGATCCATTGCTACCTTAACCTCCAGCAGGCATGGCAATGAATAGCAAGTGATACTAATGAATCAATTATTGCTCAATGCTCACTCACACCACCAGGCCCGGTGATGGCTACACCGGTGCTATGACGAGATCGACCAGACCAGACTCTAGATGGATGATGAACTGTTCTGGCGATCAAGATTGGGCTCTACTTGAAACCTACCGGCTCCAGGATTGGTCTAGAACCAACTTGGGGCAGCATCCTACTTTTTGTACACTGTACTCCATTAAACTACAGTACTAACTAGATACTCTTACTAGGTACTCCTGAGTACTTAAGCAGACCTGTCGGCGACCCGATCTGGTCGTTGTCTTCACCACCATCCATTGAGTGGAGATAAGCATAAACGCGTATGTTTCCTCTTTCCCTGGTACTGGGATCATCTGCAACCATCTTATCTCCAGCAAGAAGGCGTTTTCCAGAACAAATCCCATGGTTACAGTACGGGTACTCGAGGTTATATCCATGCCGATGACATTTGCTCTGACTGAGTGTGCAGCATTGTTCGCTCCCCCCACAGGACTGGTGCAGGTACTACTAAGTACAACTAAGTACTACCTACAACCATGTAGTAGTACGTGGTACTCCGTACTATGTGGTACTACTACTCAGTTACTCATGCGAGATCAACCAAGTGGGCCTGTTAGTTAGTAAGGCTGCGTAAACATCAGCAAGGTTGCATCCTACCTAGCAGGGGATTTTAGGTAATCAACTGTCACCCCTACGGAGTACTTACTATCTAACTCCGTAGATGATGCTGAACTAGTAGTAGGTAGTTGTAGCTTCATGGCTTTGGGCAGGTAGGTATCTGTAGAAGATAGAGTAGTGAGTGTACCTATAGATCGGTTAGATACGGTTTCAGTAACCATTTGACCTTACTAGGTGGCCTCCAGTGTTTATGTCTCCCTACATCATAAGGTACCTAAGTGATCGTAGGAGTGACTCCAGTGGTAGTATAATCGAATAACATTCCCCTTCCCCCTTCAAATTCCCCAGCGTGTCCAGCATGGACAGTCTGTAGTCTGTTCGTCATGCCGTGGTATGTGACACTTCCTGGGTGCAACGGTGGTAGTTATGGGGGTGGGCCCGCATCCCACTGGCCAGGACGGGGTCTGTGGTGTTACACCGGCTGGAGGGTTGCGGCCCCCGCGACCCTGTGAGATCACGGGTCGTTCCCCCTCCCCCTCTCTCTTTTTTTTTGCCTCCCCTTCCCTTCCTTCCGTCCTTCCTGCTCCCACGACTGATAGATATGTCTTCGGGTCCTTCGCGGTGTCCTCAATAACTTCCGCCAGAGACTCCAGTATAGTCCGTCCAGCAGGATCATCGCTCCGGCTAGCCGAGGATTCCTTTTCCCACTAGACCTCAGAGACATGGATCCGACTCCTACATTCCTGAGACCCTGCCAAGCCGGCCGGACTACCATCCTACTCTACTATCTACTACCTCTGTATGGAGTAGTGTCGTGGTCAACGACCTCGGTCGAGCAGCAAATGTCGCTGTGCCTCTGCTCTCGTTCGTGAGATATCTGGTCAAGGCATCTACAAGTAGGGTACTACCTGCAGTAGTCGGCTGTGTTACCTGTTACATCGATCAATCTGTCCCTCCAGTGGGTGGCACTCCGGTGCAAGCAAGCTACGCACATAACACATACCATACCACCTGTCAGAGTCACTGATACTGTAGGAGGATTCTTTTCTGTGAGGACCGAGATTCTTCGCGTGCTCGCGTGCGTGCATACACTCACACATTCCGCGAGGCAATTTGAACTGTTCCGATGCCCCAGGATCCGAAACTGATCATTGCTCCTTGCCACTTGCCAGTTGGGTAAGAAACCCAGGATGAGATTCATAGTTGCAGTGCTGGTCGCAAATAACTCCTGGCGTACCCTACTAGTAGTTCAGAGCCGCGGCGTATCTCTATTCTCTCTGAACACCATAGAACCTACCCTTGTAACTCAGTGGTCCGGCCCGAAAGACAGACCAGTGTGACCCCAACGAGTCCGAAGCTCTTGTTCATGGAAGTCAAATCGGCCATGGCCAATCCCAATTACTTCTGGGGGGAATAATTGACTTTCACCGACTACCGTAACCCCTCAAGGTAGAGTGAGTGACATTGCTTACCTCCTGAGTCTGTCCCTGATATCAAATCAGGACGCACCAAAATACGTTCTGGTTTTTTGGAGGTTGCAATAATGGAAGCCATGGAACACAGTCTCGATGGCATCATGCTGCTTCATGATCGCAGCAAAAGTAGGCTTTGGCATGATAGTGACCAACAGATATGTCCTGTCCCACCCTCCTGCAGGTGGGAGTGACATTCACCTACCATACTTCCTTGACTTGACCTTGTATCCTTTTTACTTTCTCGACTCGAGCTGGAAGAAAGAACGGAGGCATGACATCAGGTTAGTCGTGGCTTCGCACTTTTGAAGCACTTTCGGAACCCTTTTCCTGGGTTGAGGGCTGCTGGAGATCGTGGGTAATCGTGATCGCTAAAGGATATCAGCAGCATTTAGAGGTTGCCGCCAGTCTATCCGTATAATCGTGTGGGCAGAAGTAAAAGCCGCCCGCATGGGGTACACATTCAACTGGATTATTTTCTCCGACATTGTCGAGCAATGGAAGGCCCATGCACTGCATCGATCGAAAAGGGGCCTAAAGACCAAATGAGCCCACAATAAGGAAGTTCATACGATATACTCAGGGACAGAAGAAGGGACTAGAGAAGGAGAGGTATGTGACCAGTCTGCTGTTGCCTTGCCCTTTTCAGAGTTTATTCTCAACAGCTCGCGGAGTGCAAGGCTGGCCGATTGATTCAAAACCGACAGGCTTGATCACAGATGACCCCACTCCTTCCAAGCAAGATCAAACTGCAGGCCCCAGACACTTGAGCGGGGGGGGCGTCTGACAAAGGTCCTGAAGACCCTAGGTCTTCCACGAGCACAGCACGAGCATCGAGTAGCACATACTATACCCCCCGAACTCCTAGGGAAGAAATCATCTCGAGGTAACAAAGCATCGTCACTGCAGGATCACGCCCTGTATTTTCATTCAACCTCCCTGGTCCGGAATATTTCTATTGGGTTGCGCTCGGTGATGGCTCTTGACTTTTGGCAGTGGCTCAACCCACCCCCCTGCACAGTAACGCATATGACCTGAGACTGTGGGGTTCCACCAGTCCCCTGGGTTCCCTGCAGCCTAAGTTTCTTCAGGTTGTGTCGTTGATAAGGATGCAAATATTTCCTTTCCTCATTCCCTAACCACTACCCTCTCGGAGTTTTGTCTTCGAATGGGAAAAGACCGGCCAACCTCCCGTTTTAGCAGATAATGACTGTGTATAGCCATTCTGGTAGCTGAATCAAGTTCAGAGCGCCTAAAATGCAGTCAGTTGACCATCTACGTCCGCGGCTCTGACACCCATCGCTTATAATATCCGAGTGCGAAGTGGATTGAGACCCAGAGACCCAGAGCAGTGTTATGAATGAGGCTCAGACGGCTGGCCTATGGTATGACAGGTGCCGGCTACTATTCCTTGTCAGGCAAGCGATGGATTAGGAGTCTTCTCCCTTTGGCACACCGTCTGGGGTATGTATGGCGGCACATGGGATGGTCAGACAGAAAGGCTTGACCCTGGAATAATCATGCACTTATTCCAGTGGAGACGCGTCCAATAGCTTCGCTGTCCGGTGAATTCACAGGCCTGCAGTTCTGTGAGTTTATCTGCCACTGGCTCTTGGCATTCACGGCTTATAAGAGGTCTGGGGTCCGCGAGTGAATAGTCAGTCGAATCAACATATGGAGCCCTGGTCATCCAAGAGATAGGGAGATATTCCGTGCTGTTGTCCTTCATCGGCTGTTTTAAATTCAGTGCTGAGTGCGTGTCTTGTGAGAATACTTCTTGAAAATTGTCTCACGTGTGCGTTGATGACAGAAAATGAGGTTGGCTCCTTTTACCAAGGCATGTCTCCTCTATTGGCTCTTCGCGAGCCCTTGGGTGCTTTGCTCTCCCCTGTCTCGCAAGGACTCTCCCGGATCCACCTCGAGCCCTGATCTCATCTCTGTCCTGTCGAGCGCGGCCCAAGATCCCGTGGTGGATGACAAGGTATCAGATACTGTCTCCAAGATTATATCCAGCATTGCAGGGGACAAGAACATCTATAGCACGGAGGATGCACCGGTGCAGCAGGCGTGGAGGAAGATTGAAGCGATCTTCACCAGCAGCACCAATGCGACTCTGTCACATTTCGCACACGAAATCATCGCCTCGGGCCTGATACCGTCCAATATCCTTACGTTTCTGAATGACTATTTGAACGCCCCCTTCAACTCAGTCCACAACCTGAACCCCAGCATACCGGTCCAGTTGATGATATATCCCTTCAAAGCAGCCGGTGACGCACCTTACTCAATCACTGAGGGGGATCTCCGCGCCGCTGTCTATCTGCCAGCATCCTTTATGTATGGGCAAAATGGAACAAAGCCCATAATCCTGGTCCCCGGGACCGCCGCGCCCGGGGGAACGGCATTCCATTCCAACCTTGCAAAGCTAGGCAGCGCCATCCCTGGGGCTGACGTTGTCTGGGTCAATGTTCCCCAAGCCTCGCTGGGAGACGTCCAAGTCAATGCCGAATACATAGCATATGCGATCAACTACGTTTCGACCCTCTCCCAGAGCCCGGTTACTGTGATCTCTTGGTCCCAGGGAGGGCTGAACACCCAGTGGGCATTCAAGTACTGGCCTTCGACCCGGCACGCGGTTTACGACTTCATTGCAGTGAGTCCAGACTTCCGAGGGACGGTGGTCAGCACGCTGGCGTGTCCGTGGCTGGCGGGCACCGTTTGCACTCCTGCCCTCTGGCAGCAGGGATGGGACACCAAGTTCGTCCGCACCCTTCGGGCCACTGGGGGCGACTCAGCGTATGTCCCCACAACAACCATCTATTCTTCCTTCGACGAGATTGTACAGCTGATGAGTGGAAGGCATGCGTCCGCAATCCTGCAGAATACGCACGGAGTCGGTGTGTCCAATAACCATCTCCAGACCATCTGCGCTTACTCGCCAGCAGGGGGGGTTTACCCGCACGAGGGAGTGTTGTACAATCCACTTACATGGGCGCTTATCGTCGACGCGCTAAGTCATGAGGGGCCCGGAGATCCATCGCGACTTGACCTCCACCAGGTGTGCGGGCAATTACTTCCCCCGCAACTGGGTCTGGATGATATGCTAGGGACCGAAGGACTCGTGCTGGTGGCGCTGTCCGAGGTCGTCAGGTACAAGCCGAAGACGTTCAAGGAACCTGATATTCAAGGCTACGCCTCCTAGGGAATTGGAGAGGCATCTGGACTCGTAATCGTTGGTATTGCTGTCAGTGCTGCTCATGGCCAACGTGCAAGAATCCACGGCGCATCGGGGTCTATCTATCTATCTGGTATCCCTTTTCCACTAAGGAGGCTTTCGGGGAGGCTACGGATCAATTACTAGAATTGGCTCTTGTACCAAAGTACTACCCAGTAGCTTGGTAGAAGCTTGACCCCATAGGTTAATGGACTCGTTTAACGGATATGCCTGATGAGTGGATCAGACTGTACGGAGTAGATATTTGGTAGCGATCAACTCACCGCAACGGATACGAGGGCGAGTGGTGGGACTGGTCGTTGACCTACTTACGTAGACCATGCTGGCATGACAGCATCGTGCAGACTGCATCTAGATACATAGTATCAGATTCTGCTACCTACCTAACTACGAAGTATCTACACAGTACATATATAATATGAGGTGGGTTGCTTAGGTGTGTAGGGAGTGCCCCAGGGAGAAACAGGTACTTAGATACTTAGATACAGCAGTATGAACGCATCTATCGAACAGAACAAAGTAGAGATACTTTCGTACACGTGGCGGTCAGGTGGCTGCCCCAGGCTGCCAGGCACGTCCCAGCGATGGGTTCTTTCCCTCCGCGTCATCCGATCTATCCAAACCTCCAACCTTCTTTCTCCCTCCGTCGCGATGGCCTTCGATCCGATCTCCGACCCAGCGCTTTTCACTGGGTAGATACCGGGTAAGAGTAAGACAAAAGTATACTACTCTCTCCTCCCTCTACTCTCTACTATCTAGTACCACCCCTTGCGCAGTGGACGAGAACGATGGTTCAACCAGTCTTGTCCCCCCCCCTCCAAGACAATCCAGACTCCAGAGTCGAATGTTGCTTGGTAAAAGGGGTGTCAAGACTCAACGGACCGACTCAAGAACAGGTCCTTCTCACAGTCCCAAATCCTCGCTGCCACCACTGTCGCGAATGTCGATCGCTCCTCCTGGGGGATGGGCTCAGGCTCCCCCGATGGGCAAATGAAACGGAGCCGACCACTTCCGACGACCCAGACGGGCCTCCCTCCCATTCGCCCATCCACCCAGCAATTCCCCAGGCGGCACGGTTCGCTCGTGGTTGAGTTGCGGGTATTCAAAGTTCACACCTTTCCAGAAAAACCTGGCTTGATCCGCTTGCAGCCTTTGAAGGCCAATCTCGCTCACTCTCGCTCACTCCGCCAAGAAGGTGGGAGGGAAGGAGTACGTGGTCCCGTCGCCAATTGACAACCTATCGACTCCGTAGTACCGGAGTCCTGATCTTGAAATGATGAAGCAATCAGACCATGATCATGGGTCTCAAAAGTCAATCCAAATCCAGCCCACGCCCATTACTCGGGGTCGGTCTAGATTTCTTGAAAGGGCAACTCATGGTGCTCGCGCCCTGGAAATCGAAAAAGCATCCCCTACACCCGAATCCGAGCCATGCGGAGTTAGCCACCGTCCCAGCTGTCTCTAGCGGATAAAACACACGCCCTCTGGTTGTTATAATGCACAGGGGGAAGGGGCGGGGGCAAAGAGAGGCTACGGCCCAAACTTCCAGTGTAGACCGACCGGAGGACTCACTCCTGTGGCGTACCATCACCACCACCACTCACCCACTATCTACCGGAGTCCTGGACATCTCATCAAAGTATGATGGACCACCGGCGTCCACGGCTCCCGGGTGAGTGCCGGGTACAGCTGACCCAGCAATCAGAGCGTCGCTTGCACCGAGGAAGTTCACATCGTGGGCCGTAGCTCCACCGTCCGAAACGCTGCCAAGAGTGTCCGCCTCGCCTGATCGTCAGCGGTCGTATCAGCACTTACGTTGTCACTGGCCGTGCCCGGCAAATTATGGAGGTTCCGTAATCCCCTGCGGAGTCTTAGCCCAGGTCGCGTTGTGCTTTCTGACAATATCCCGTTTCGGCGGAGGCCCTTGATGGAGTGTTCTGCAGGCGCACTCCATTCTGCTAGTCCGTACATTACTCCTGTTTGTTCCCTGCGCGCCAGGAAGATCTTCCAGTCTCCAGATACCCTCGACTGTCGCCCGACGTGCAACTGGTTGCTAGACGGAAGACGACCGTCTTAATGACCCGGTCGCCTCCCGCTGCCCTCCCTCTTTCTTCTCCGCTGCCCTTTGCCTTGTTCTTCTAGCTCTTCACTTCATACCCTGGGGAGGAAAGTGTTCCTCTCCTAGCCACTCCTTCACCATGCTGTTCTTCTGGGTTCTGCTGCTTCTTTCCTTTCGCCATGTCATCGCGGAGGCCGATTCGGACGATGATATGATGTCCTTTGTAACGGTAGGAGGGACTCCAGCATGGGATCGACCTTCTTAAAAGTACTAACCGATCCCCCAGCTGCCGGAAGTGAGAGCGTTGAAATTTAATATCGCCTACTACGATCGCGAATCCGTTAGCCCGGGCTACTGGTTCGTTGCGCCATATGGCGTGATTGACCCAGAAACTCCCACGAAGCAATGGAAGCCGTGCCAGGTTGGACCCTACATCTACGATGCCGATGGCGTATGTTCCTCTTTCCCCCATTGAGCAAGTCCATCGACGAAGGAATGCGGCCCTAGAGCTGCAGCCCACTCACTAACCGTCAATCATTAGACCCTTATCTGGGCCGGCTCTTGCATGTTCGACAACCGCAATATCTTCGACTTCAAAGCCGTCAACACCATCGATGACCAGTCTCACCTCTCATTCATCCTTCAGCATGCCTACCAGGACAACGGCGCAGACAAGGGCTACGGCTACATCCTGGACCACCATTATGACATGGAAAATGCTGTGCCGGTGACCAACGACCTGGGGACTTTCAACATGCACGAATTCAACGTCCTCCCTGGTGGAAAGACCGCTTTAGCGTGCGCTTACCGAAACGAATGGGTTGACTTGGGAGACCTCGGCCGCCCCAACGAGTACGGCTGGATCGTCGCGGGAGGCTTCGTCGAGATGGATACCGCGACCGGCGAGGTTCTCTTCGAATGGAGTTCGCTCGGCTATATCCCGATACATGAGTCGGTGAAAGTGGGCGCCAACTGGGCTCCTTCTGGCGCTCCGGGCTGGGATTACGTGCACGTCAACTCCATCGACAAGAACGCCAACGGCGACTACCTTCTGTCCGCGCGATTCACCAGCACCCTCTATCTAATTTCCGGGGTGGACGGACACATCATCTGGCGCCTTGGTGGCAAATACTCGGATTTCGTTCAAGACTTTACGTTCTCGAAGCAGCACCACGCCCGGTTCGTCGAGTCCAACGCCACCCACGCGACTATTTCCTTCCTCAACAATGCCTCGGACGAATCTGAAAATGAGGAGAACGTGTCGGCCGCGATGTTCGTGCAGGTTGACACCACGACCACCCCTATGACAGCCCGGCTGGTTAACAAATACAACCGCCCCGATGGCAGCCTCACCCGGCTGCGCGGTAGCGTTCAGAATCTGCCCAATGGCAACGTCTTTGTCGGATGGAGTGAGCGGGGAATGCAGAGTGAGCATTCTCCCGAAGGCAAAGTCCTGATGCAAGCCATCTTTTCATCCAGCCGCTTCTCGACCTACCGGTCGTACAAGTTCCCCTTCGTCGGCCGCCCCAGCGCGCCGCCGGACCTGGTTGCTTCCGTGTACGGCACCGATGAGACTGACCTAGCCACGATCTTCCACGTCAGCTGGAACGGCGCGACCGATGTTGCATCCTGGAACTTTTATGCACGGGCCGACCGCCACAGCATCCCGGTGCTGATCGGAAACACAACCAAGTTCGATTTCGAGACCATGTACATCGCAGACGGCTACATGGATTGGGTGTCCGTGGAGGCGGTCGACAAGGACGGCAACGTCCTGGGGACATCGGCTCTGCACCGGACGGAAACGCCGCAGAACTGGCGCCTGGCCGGATTCCAGGGCGATCTCAAGCCCACGGCCGATGACCCGTCAGTCCTGTACGCGCCCAAGAAGCCTGCAGAGGACGTGATAGACCCCGCCACTAAGGCCAAGCAGGAGGCCGAGGAGAAAGCCAAGGAGGCCGCCAAAACCATGGCCAAGGCAAATGAGGTCATCCACGGGATCGGTGGCCTACTGATCTTCATTCTGGTCGCATGCTCCGTGGGCGGGCTTCTGGCGGGGGCGTACTGGTATCTCCGCCGTCGTCGTATGCAGGCATACCACGAGGTTCCGTCCGAGGAAGGTCAGCCGTACACAGAGGAGGAGAGACCGGAGGTCAGGTCTAGGGACTGAGGGAGCGGTGGACGAACTGAACTGTACAGATACGGCGCTGAGTGAAGTGGTTGGTTGGTTGGTTACTGGCTGGGTATGGTGGTCTGGGACGACCAACAGAAGACGACGGCTCGGAGTCATTTTGCATATCGCGGGCGTTCATGCATGTCTAAAACACCCCTTTGGACCCTTGTACCGTTTTTTCCCCCCTTGACGACTGACGTACATATTGCCTACATCTAATTGTACTTGCATAAATAGACAATACTACCTTGATACATATACAATGATATGCAACGAAGTGGATTTTGATTCTTACTTGCTCATCTATTATATGATGTCTTGATCACATAGTCACTGGCCTTGGTCTTATTGGTTCGGGGAAACACTGCATCGTCTCTTTGAGATGGAAAAAGCACAAAAATGAAAGATAAAAAAAAGGATAGGGAGACGCAAGACGGCTGAAAAGGTGAGAAATCAAGCAGCTCCCAACACGTGCTGCTCTCTTACAAGCCCGTTCATTTCCCTTGCCATCTGCTCCTCCTGCTCCTCTTTCTCCCGGATCAGAAAGGCATCTGGATCCATCAGCATCCGTTCCAGCATGCGCGCCATTGTTCACAGCTTCTCCTGGCTGAACTTCCCCATCTGCGGCTGGATCCGGACAAAGTCCAGACGTCCCTTGAATCCCTCAAAGCGCAGCAGGGGGTATGGCCAAGGCAGGCTTACCGATCTCGAGATGAATGGGCCATTTACAGATGCAGAAACGAACGTGCAGCACCCGGAGAGTCGTGTAGACATCCGTCAACTTGTCGCAGGCCAGGAAAAAGGCCAGATCGCTGCGGCACTTGAAAGCGTGGAACATGGCCAACGACTGTTCGCTGTACATGACCTGGTTGATTTCGACATGTCGGATGGAGGCCTGAGCTTCCTTGGCGGTGATATCAAAGAATCGGGCGATGGCGTTGGTGGAGTCAAAGACGAAATTGGGTGGATGCGTATAGCAGGCAGAGGGTGTCGCGGTAGATGCTGCGACAGGTGAAGACTAGGGCCACGGGGAGCGGGCAACGCTTCTTGGGTTGCGAGGGTGTATCTGTCGGTGGTAGAGACGATAGTGTACCTGCTGTGAGATGGCAGGTTTGGACCATGGAGAGTGATGAGACTGAGGTGCCTGTGCCCGTATACTCAGGCACAAACTATCCTAGGCTTCAAGGCCCCAAGGCTCCCAGGCTCCCAGGCTCCCAGGCTCCCAGGCTCCCAGGCTCTTAATTCCACCACCTGGACTTCGACTTCAACTTCGACTTTTGTTTTTTTTTTTTTTTTCCTCCTATTTTTTTTGGCTGCGGCTTCATCTACGCGAGTCTCTCCGAACCTGCTCGATGCCTTCTTCCCTGCAATCCTCCGCCCGACTGCTGCGTGGAACCCTCCCTGGAGTGTCTGGAGTCTCTTCCGTGCGCGCAGCCCAGCCCGTGGCCCCCCACCTCCACCATCTCCATCGCCAACCTGTCCTGCATCGCCCCTATTCCTCTTCCCCTCCTCCCTCATCTTCCCCATCCGCCTCCCCGTACAGCCGCTCCAACTTCAAGATTCTCCCCTTCCTGACCATCATCGCCATCGGCACGGGCTCCTACGTTCTCCTCGTCAAATCCCGCACTGGTGTCCACAAACCCAAACCCGCCAACTGTAAGTTCTCTCCCTCTCTCCTCCATCCCACCCACACTATAGTTAATGTTATACCCCCATCATCCCACCCCTCCAAATCTTCCCCAGCTGACCACTCCACCCCCCCCTCTTTTCTCTCGGTCCTTCTAGAACCCCAAAATGGCCACCACCCCCGAAAAGACCCCCCGCTTCTCCCCGGCCGACATCACGGTCGTCTTCTGCCTGGGCGGGCCCGGCAGCGGCAAAGGAACACAATCCGCCAACCTGGTGCGCGACTACGGGTTCACGCACCTGAGCGCCGGCGATCTCCTGCGCGCGGAACAGGTCCGCGAGGGCAGCCAGTACGGCGACCTCATCAAGACCTACATCCGGGAGGGCAAGATCGTGCCGATGGAGATCACTGTGGCGTTGCTGTCGAATGCCATGGCCGAGGCCCTGACCTCGAAGGCTCCGTCCGCCGTGAAGCCGCGCTTCCTCATCGATGGGTTCCCGCGCAAGCTCGACCAGGCCGTCTTCTTCGAGGATACCGTCTGCCCGTCCCAGATGACCCTGTTTTTGGATTGTCCGGAGGAGGTCATGGAGGCGAGGTTGTTGAAGCGTGGGGAAACGTCCGGTCGGGATGATGATAATGCCGACAGTATTCGCAAGCGCTTCCGTGTCTTTGTCGAGACGAGTATGCCTGTCGTCCAGGCCTTCGAGAAGCAGGATAAGGTTGTCTCTGTTACGGCCACGGGGTCTGTGGATGAGGTGTATGCGCGCATCCGGGAAGGGTTCCAGGCCAAGGGGGTCAATCCTTTGTAAATTGGTTGATGGCTGTTTGTCTGGGGGTTGCCTATTCATTTTTGTTTATTTTTGGGGGGAGGGTTGATCGGTGGAGTGGGGAATATGGATGGGTTCATAGAGAGGGGCAGCTATGTATGTGAGTTGTGTAGAATTTAGCGTCCGGCTTTTGTGTATAACTCCATGTTCTGGGTTCGAGGCTTGGCTGGGGAACTGGCCACGGCTACAATGCAAGCCGCAAGCCCGCCGAATATAATAGAGCATGAATCGTTTATAGCTACGCACCCGTAAATGCATAACTCGTGTCATTTGTCAGGTCCTCCTCTCACGGCGAACCTGTCTAGAAACCAATAGCTACCATGATGAAACCGTAATGTGCCGGTGAACAATCCAGATGACATAAGAAATAGAAGGAGAAAAAAAATAACAGGCACAACACAACAGAAACAAAGAAGTAACACCTCATCCCAGCCAGACACAGAAACTTTTTTGTCATCGCCCAAGGTAATGCTCTCTGTGTACATTCATCACTTCAATCCACCTCTATCTCTCGCGCGTTCTCCTACTCACTAACTTCTGGGTGCGGGTAGGCCATTACTCCGCAGCCACGGCCTCCACCGGAGCGCTGACGGGCGCCGCCGGAGTCGCTTGCTGCTGGTTGTTGCCGTGGCGGCGACGGTCGCCACCCTTGTTACGGTCGTTACCCTTGCCCTGGGCAGCCTCCTCGGCCGCCTGGGCCGCCTGCAGCCCCTCGCGCACGAAGCGCTCGCGCTCGCTGCGAACGACACCCAGCACCCGCTCGAGGCTGCGGCGCCACACCATCAGGCGACCCTGCACTTCCGCCCACTGCTTCTCGCCGAAGACGCGGTAGGTAGCCCGGTGCACGAGGAACTCCGAGCGCAGCTGCGACAGCTTGCCCTCGACCAGACCGGCGCGGATGGTGTCGATGACCCACTTCTCAACGTCGGTGGCCGGCACGCGCAGGGCCGTGGCGATCGTGGCGTAGGGCAGCGAGCGGGATGGGGTGGAGGCGGCCAACGAAGCCAGAGTGAGGAGGCGCAGCTTGTTCTGCAGGGCGTCGCCGGCGTCGGCCAGCACACCACCGGAGATGCTGGCCAGCGGGCTGGCCGCCACGAAAGCCTCGTAGGCGTCGAGGGTGTCGGCGGTGAAGATCTCGAGCAGCTCAAAGAGAGTGCTGTCGCTGGAGCGCAGGGCCTGAACGGCGTCGGAGGCGGTCAGCGGGGTGAAGTCGAAGACGGTGGGGTTGGTGAGGGCGGACGTCAGGGCGCGTAGGGCCAGCTCGCGGGACTCGGGGTTGCTGGCGTTGGCGGCGGGGATGGTCTGCAGGGCCTGGATGACATGGGTCTGGGCCAGCTCGGCGTCTCCGGAGGCCGTGGCGGCATCGGCGATGGCGAGGTGCAGGCGCTGAGCGTCCTCGTCGTCCAACTCCCAGGCGGCGAGCCAGCCGGGCAGCTGGGCGGTCAGCTGGGGCTTGAGGGCGTCGAAGGCGACGGAAGAGCTGGTCTGGCGGATGACGGCGACGGTCGCCAGGAGAACGTGGTAGCGGCTAGAGTCGGTGGCGGGGAGGGTGTTGAAGATGGTGGACAGGATGGAGATGGCCAGGGAGGGCCGAACTGAGGAGAGGAGGTGATGGGCTTGGCGAGGTAGGCGCAGATGCGGGAGAGGAACATGTCCGGGTCGGAGGCATGGTGAACGAGGTGCACGAGGAGGTTGTAGGCGGAGATGATCTCTGTTCAGGGCGGCCATCGTTGTCGACGTCGTCGTCAGTGTCTGTCTGTCAGGTCCTCCGCGGGGGAGGGGGGGGGGGGGGGGGGGGATTACGCACCCTTCTCGGGGGCACCGTTCAGGACGGCGGCCGCGGAGACCAGCTTCTTCAGAACCTCATCGCGCTGCTTGCCATCGGGTTGGGCGTCGGACTGTTCCTGCTCGCGGAGGGGCTGCAGCAGCGGGGCAAGGTCGGCCTGGAGACTGGCGGTGCCTTCGGGCTTGCGGAGGGCGTCGATGTACTGGGCGAACTCGTCGGCGAGCTCGGAGAAGGAACCCTCGATGAGGAGGGTGGTGGAGGGGGCGGGCATGATGGTGGGTGGATGTGTGGGTGGAGGAGAGAGGGAGGGGGGGAGGAGGGGAGGAAGGAGAAGGGAGGGGAGAAAACAAAAAGGGGATTGAGGAGAGGATGGGCGAAGGGTTGAAGTGGAAGGCGTTGGTTTGGATTGGTTTGGGATCAGATTTGGCGGTGGAGAAAATTCAGTGTGGGAAAAACTCTTGGCGCCGCTGCCGCTGCTTCGGGAGATCGTCTTAAAGAGTAAGTACTAGTCAGTCAACTGAAGCCACGTCCTGCAGGAGTCAACTCCTACCCCGAGAGTGTCAAGTACTAACACTCCTGCCGCCGTCTACGGCTACTCGGCCATCTGCAAAGCGAATACACTTCTTCATTATTACACTGAATAACTCCCAGGCGCGAGGGGGGAATCGTACGAGACATCAAGTCGTAGAACATGCAACAGGAACAACGCAATACCACCACCAAGAACCACGATTACTTTCCCCTTCATTACACCCAATCGACCCCAAGAGTGGCTACAAACGATCCTATCCTTTTACTAACAGCTCCCCCAGATATTCCATGCCATCATCGGCCGGCCTTTTACAGAACCAGTCCCAGACCCAGGAACATCACGGTCGCCAGCAACCCCGTGGCGTGCTCCTGCGCCAGACGCACCGCGGCATTGGCGGTAGACGAGGAAGAGGAGCTGCTGCTCGTGCTGGTGGCAGTGGTGGTCTTGTCGTCAGAGCTGCTGCTGCTGGCCGTGCTGGTGGCAGTGGTCAGAGAGGTGGCGCTGGTGGTGGTCGACGACCCAGAGGCCACGGCCGAGGCGTTCAGCGTGCCACAGTTCTTGGTCTCCTCGGCCTTGCACTCCTCCTGCTCGTCGAGTGTGGGCGAGGCCTCAATGCACTGGGCATAGGTCGCCTGACAGACGTAGAAGGGGATGGTCTGCGTGTACAGCGCCACGTCGGCGGTCGAGCCATTGGAGCAGACGCAAGAGAAGTCCAGAGTGCTCTGTCCAGGCGGGTTAGCGGGGAATGCGCGGCGGCGCCATTGGGGTGTCACCTACCGCATCGCACGAGTTGCTAGTGGCGACTCCCCCGCAGATTTCGGGGCACGAGTTGCGCTCGGCAGTACACCAGGAGGCTACAGCATCGGTCAGTTTGGGAATGTAGCACGCGTCAGGTGGGCGGTCCTACATCGCGTGGAGTAGCTAATGGCGCTCAGGTTGAAGCCGCCGGGGAAGGTGTAGTTGCTGGACGCGGTGGCCGCAGCGACCAGACCCATGAAGACGAGAGGAAGCATGGTGATTGATGTGTGTTGTGAATGAAGCTGGGAATAGAAACAAGATGTTGGATGTAGTGAGTAAGAGAGGTAGAAGTATGACCCGACTGACGATGACAATTGAATGGGGATAAGAGAGGTAGGCAGACAGGCACGAGCAATGGATGGATGCAATGCAACCGGGAATGGGGAAGTGGGTTGTGGAGAGGAAGAAGAAGAGAGGAGGAAGAGGAAGGGGGAGGAGAAGAAGAAGAAGAAGAAGTAGAAGAAGAAGGAAAAGCCGGCGATAAGAGGGACGAAACGGGAAGGTGCAGCAAGCAGCGGAATTCCAGCTGTTTATTTATTCTTCCGGGCGTGTGAAGGAACCACTGGAGATGCTTTCTCGATGGGACGGCGAGCTAAAGTAGTTTGAATACTAGTCCAGCGAGGTGACAGGTGAGCGAGGGCGAGGGAGATAGTCCGGTGGTTTCATTCCAGCCCGGCTTATATGAGGTAGGTATCTATCTATCTACGGGGAAGGAGAAACAAAACAACATCGACACCAACAACAACAACAACAACAACAACAATAATAATAATAATAATAATTAAGGATATTAATATTAATATTACGGCGTACACATTATGCACTATTTCTTGCGTCCAGTCAATTTCCCGTGCCCGGTTTTGAGGAGGCTCATGATTTGGTCGGCGCATGTTTGTTGCCCTACGCGAGGGATGCCGATTCCTATTAAGTTACGATCACACTTTTTTGAGACAAAGGAATATCATGTCGCAGACAGGTAGGTAGTAGGTACCTAAGACCTAGGTACCAGGTACCAGGTACCATACCTCCACCTCTCTAGGGATGAAGGATTCCTTCTCACCTTTCTCACCTTCCCACCTTCCTTCCCACCTGAAAGAAAATTTCCGCCGGGAGACACAGACTGGAATGTGCATGGCTCTACTAGGTTCCTTCGGGTGGCAGGCATGAATGCTGGGCCCGGAGGCTAGTTGGTGGTTGGTGGTTGGTCGATGGGGTGGTGGTCAGGTCAGGTCAGGTCTTGCTTTCTCAATTCTCTCCTCTTTGTTATCGATTCATCCCCGGTAGTGCCCTGAGCTAAAGTCACTGGCGGGCGTTGTGACTGGCTGCTGCACTGGAGCCTAAAAACTAGTCGCGCTTTAGTCGAGGCCAGCGCCATGGCATACGTAGGCAGCAGAATGGGAACGGTGGGAACCAGGTTCGCCTCCATGTATGTTGCACAGAGGGAATAATGTATTTTTCCCCCGTCGGAAGTGGGAGGTCAGATTAAGGGGGAAGGGGGGAGGATGAGGTTTGAGGTTTGAGGTTTGATGTTTGAGAGAGAGGGAGGGGGAAGGGGGGAGGGAGAGAGGGGAATTATTGTGCATCTGCAAATAATTGAGGGGAAGTACTCCGTAGTGCTAAGTACTAGCAGTGGTACTCCGGACCAACGGTACATAGACTAGATACCACAGATAGATACCACAAGACATTGACGGAGTCCTACTCCTACTACTCCGTCCTATCCTTCAGGTTCCGATCCGTTGGGAACGTTGATGGACTGATTGACTAGATAATAATACCTACTTACCTTAGGTACCTTGTTACGGCAGTGCTCCGGACATAGTATGGAGTACGGAGGTAGATCAGTCAAGATCAGTCAGCCGAGGTCTCCATTTGTCTGCACTAACGGCACTACCCCCATTGGGCTAGCGTCCCACGGTGCGCTTCCGGTATTACCGTCCCGTCGATACCGTCTCGGTACCATCCATGGCTGATGTCTTTCCTCAGGGCTCAGGCACTAGTAGACTATCCTACTATCTACGGGGTACTACGGAGTACTACTCCGTACTATCCGTAGTACTATCTACTTACCACCTTACTAGTAACTACTACGCTACACCACTTCTCCACCATCACCATCACCACATCTCATCTCATCTCACATCCCAATTCAACTCCGCTCCCCCTCCCCCTCCCCCTCATCCCCATCCTTCCCTCTCACCTCACCTCAATGGCCTCCTCCATCCTCGACACCCCCACCCCCCCTCCCTCCACCCCTTCCTCTCCTCCGCCGTCCTCCGCCCCTCCTCCACCATCCCGACTACCTCCCATCCGCACCTACTCGCGCATCCCCAAGCCTTCCACCGGGGAGGACGGCTACTTCGCCAACTCGCTCGCCACCGCCTCTACCATCCCACACGTCCTCACCTTGCGACGCCATGCTCATCTCCTATCCCCTCTGCCCGCCCACCCCCCTGTCTGGCCCGCCCCACCGACTCCCCGACCCCGATCCACGCGCCCGACCTGATCCTGATACTCCAGCTCGCCACCCCGGGTATTTCAGGCCATCCCTCCACCGTGCATGGCGGCGTGATTGCCACCGCGCTGGATGAAGCCATGTCTTATGCCGTGGCACTATATGCGCCGGAGACCGGGCCCAGGTTGACGAACGCTGACCCGGACGACATCCCGCCCACCACCACCCGAGGGAAGTTGTATACCGCCCAGTTGGACATTCGCTACAAGAGTCCCGCCAATGTCCCGGGGTATCTGGTCATCCGCGTCAAGGTCCTCGCTCGCGTCGGTCGCAAGTTCTGGGTGCGCGCCCAGGCGTTCCAGCCCGAAGAGGAGGGTCCTGGGAGGGAAGGCCGGATGCGCCTCACCACCGATGCGATTGCATTTTGGATGCAGACGGGACCTTCACTCTGATCTAATACCCTTGACTCTCTTTCAATCCCCCCCTCTCTCTATCTCTATTTGCATATATGTACATATATAGCTCTATATATACGTGGACGGCCGGACGGGGAAAGGAGGGAGGAACTACAGCTTCTGTCGGCCTCCGATATTGCGACTCGCACTCACCACCAAACCCACCTGTGTACTCAACGCCACCACTTGTCCTCGTCCATCTAGCACAGTCACGTCCAGATCCGTCCGTCCTTCCCGCACCAGCTTAGTCTGGACCCTGCTGTACAGCCACTCCACCCCCTCTGCCGGCAACCGTCGCTTCAGATCGATATTCAGTGTCACTGTTGGGTACCAGTTCCGGGCGTGACCCTGGTCTCCAGACGTCGTGGCCATGTCATCAAACTCGGACAACGCCCCCGGAAACAAATCCGTCAGATACACCAGGGCTTCATTGGTCCACCGCGACGAGACATCCCCATTTGGCCGGAATCGCGCCCACTGGTCCACCACCGTCCGCTGACCCGAGACGGGAGCCGAAGCGGGGTCTGGCCCGTACAGTTCTGCATGCGCTGTCGCTCGCCGAAACGATGGAAATGGCATACTAAAGCGCGTCCACGCGCCGTCCCGACCCGTATCGCCCAGCGCCGCCAAGTGCACCGTGCCATCGGGCTGGGATCCCGGCGGCGGAGGCGGGGACAGCTCCCACCCCGTCGAGGTGGTCAGGCCCACCTCTGCGTGTGCCGGACTGACCGTGATATACCCGGCCACTTTCACTTCTAGTTCCTCTGCTTGGTTGTTTTTCGACGCTGTCTTCTTTCGTTCCGGCGGTTGAGACAACGTCACATGCACGGTACTGGTCCGCCTCCCAAGCTTGGTATCCTGGACAGTCAGCACGGCGGGTCCGACCGCCGTGCGGCGCAGAAACGCCAGCTGCATCGTTATCGGCGTGGCCGGACCATTGTAGAGGGTTGGGTGTGTCTGGGCAAAATGGACAAGCGCCAGCCGGTAGAGCACCGACGAGGTATATCCGCCATGCGGGACTGTGTAGGACAGGCAATTAGCAAGGTGATCCCGCGGTCGTAGATGGGGGTTTGCCTACCAGACCCAATGCACCATGCGTCTTCGAGATGGGCAGAGTAGCGATGCGAACCAAGGGGCGTTACCTGGATGGCCGCCTCGAAGACTGAACCGTGGGCAGGACTCATCGCACTGGACGTAGTGGCACGTAGGCCGTTATGATGTAGGTAGGGTATATAGGTGAGTGTCCAGTTTTGCACACGGTTCTGCAATCGGCTTGACGCTCCTCCTGGTTCAAAGTTCAGGGGAAAGGAGAAAGAGGCGGAGGGGAGAGAGGGAGAGAGAAAGAGAGAGACAACAAGCGGACCTCGGCTGTTTCCCCTCGCCCGAGGGCCCGGAGCTGACTAACTAACCTACATTGTAACTAGTTAACTATCGCGTTGTGAACCTCCTCTCACCATTGCTCTAGAGAGGCAGGCAGGACATGGATCTGTATTACGGATGGCCACGTTTCTGTTCCGAACCGCCATAAGCGCTCTTCAAGTTCTCCCCCTCCTCATCCCATCCTGTCTCAAGTCCAGCCCGCACGCTTTAGTAGGCGTATCACAATATGGTTGTATGTGTATGCACCTCGTGTGCCGAAAGTCTTACCTGAGGTAGGTAGTAGCCGTGTATCCATGTATGCAATGTAACATGCGCCCATCATGATTCCAGCTGTGCACTTGTCAATCAATTAACCCATGTATTCATCCATCAGGTAATATGCTAAAACTATGAGACTTGTACGCCGCTATATAATTCGCTTTAAGGCGCTGCTAGTAATCTATATAGAATCATTCCTATTTATACAATCAGTATAGCCCATCGCCGCCTCGGATTGGCTGGGTGTCCTCCCGCCGGCGGGGCCGTTGCCGCACGTGATCTAATCGCGTCTTGGCACATCCGTTCCATTGCCCATGTCGGCCTCAGGCCCACTACGCATCTTCTCTCTTTCTCTCTCTCTCTCTCTCTCTCTCTCTCTCTCTCTCTCTCTCCCACTCTCTCTCGCTAACTGACTGACCGACTGACTCATCCTTGAACTAAACCCGGGTCAGTCGCCCTGCCATGCCCTTGCGCATCACTTCCGCCCCCGTCTCTGGTGTCAAGAAGAATAAAAAACCCGCCAACTCGAGGCCGCGCGCCTCTCCCTTCGCCACTCATGCCCGTCGCAAACCATCGGCTCAGTCCTCATCCACCATTCTGAAGGCCGATGATGATGACCAGGGCCCGCTGCCAGATGTCGGCATCTCCCGATATGTCCCGGAGACTGTGCCCGTCACAGATGTCGTTCACGCCCTCCAGTACATCCGCGACACCATGTTCGAGGACCTCCCCCGTCGGGCCGGGATGAACAGCACGCGCATCGCCGAAGTCCTCAACTTTCGCCGGACGCTGCCTCCCCTAGCCTCGGTCGCCCACGTTCATACGTTGCTGGATGCGCCAACCAAGGTGGAGAAGGAGATCGTGGAACTGGTCCGCGCCGGTCGAGTCCGCCGGTTGATCGTTCCTGGGAGAGGGAACGATGCGGCCGGGCTGGGCGACTGCCTGGTTCTAACGGAGGACTGGGAACGGCTGGTGCGGGACAGCGCCGCTCTGGAGGCGCCGCTGAAAGGTATGCGTACATTCCGACAGCTGGGACGGACATACTCGTTCAGTCGGCTGACTTGTCGCAGATAAATTCCTGCAACTGCTTGGGCGGATGGGGAACACGTCCACCATCCCTGGCGCAATCTTCTCCCCACCGGAGTATATGGCTCTGGTCCGAGCCGGATTCCTCGTCTCTTCCTCATCCCTCGTGAAAGGCTCGTCAAGCCTTGCTTCCCTACCCGGTCTCCCAACCGTCTCTGCCATTCCGGCTTCCGCGAGCCGGAACGGCGCCGCTGAGCCGAACGATGCCTTCAGGGCCGATCCCTCCCAGTTCCATACTGCCACTCTTTTCCTTTCATTACCGAACACGGGGCCTTACCTTCGGATGCTGGGCGCCGGCCGGTCGCATCTTCTCTCGCTCCTGAAAAGGTCGAGCTCGAGCGAGGCTCCCGTGTACCTTCTGCGTGACCGGTGGGATGGTGCCGTGGAGACTGATAAAAGCTTCAGCGTAGCGAAGAGGACGAGGGGCGAGTTCTCGGGCATCTTGCCTGGTCGAACAAAGAAGTGGAAGGATCTCTACGGGATGACCTTCCGCTGGGTTCTGGAGGAGGCCCTCGGGGCTGGGCTGATCGAAACCTTTGACACTGGCAGCGTTGGCCCTGCCGTGCGCTGCTTGTGAACCTGGCCAGTTCAATCAGTTTCGAAACAGCCTTGGCTTTTGAGGTCGTGCTGGTTTGTCTCCGGGCATGGTATATTATATGATACCCACGAAGCAGTCCGTGCCTGGACCGAATCGACCCTGTAACTAGCGTATATAGTTATATAGAAATGTATATACCGTGTTGTTGCATGTGACCGCCTTGTCGTCCTCCCCCTCTTACCTTGATTGTTATCCGCATCCATCTGTTTCCCTCTCCCACCAACCACAATCATGTCTCCCATTACATACCTTCGTCTGACACCGCATCCCTTGTCCATCCTGCCCGATCATCCATCCCTCGACCCCTCGCCCACACGGCCTCCTCTTAACGAGTTCCTCACCGCCATTCTCACCGAAGCCCAGACCTTCGTGGCCTCCATCCCGGACACCTTCCGCCGCGATCGCAAACTCCGTCGATCGCCCCCGGCCACCGCCCCAGTCCATCTCTCCACGCGCGCCCGGTCGGGCGAGTACTGGGTCTGCCGGAAGAGCGTCCACAAGGACGCGCCCGTGCCCGGGTCCGCCTCATGGGAGGAGTTCCGCGCGGGGCTGAGGGAGCACCATTCCGAGCATGAGATGGAGTACACGCCCAGTGTGAGTGCGGTGAAGACGTTGTTGGAGTGGCCGTCGGCGCAGGAGCTGGAGCAGGAGCTGGATGGTGATAGGACCCGGGTGGACATGCATGGTGAGAATTCCTCTCCGTCCGAGTGGTATCCCAAGAGGAAGGACTCTGTACTGATGCCGCGTCACGCCTCCAGTCGTTATGATCACGCACACCTTCCACCCGACCGCCTTGATCGCGCCGCGTTCCTTTATCGTCCTGGTGGTATCTACCGACCGACCCGCGCGCGGATTCGTGACTGTCCAGATTCCGCTCACCGTCGCCCCTGCCGGGTCGGATCTGGACTCCTGGCGCAACACGATCTCCGCGTCTGCCCCTCGGAATACCATCTTCGCATCCTATGCGAGTGTGGAACAAGTGCTCGCCACCCCGGACGGGCTAGAGTGGATGGTGGCTACCACATCCGATGCTGGCGGGGCCATCCCTCAGTGGATACAGCGGAGCTGGACGATGGGCGGAGTCCCCAAAGCTGTGGTGGCCGACGTGGGTTTGTTTCTTGGGTGGACAGCCCGGAATCGATCGCGGTCCCGGCCTTAGCCAACAGTTGCTTTATAGACTGTATGTCTTGTGTACCGGCGGTCTGGCCAGGGACAAATGGGTCGGCGGAATGACACGAGCCATGACTCATTATCGATTGGGATAGGACTTTCTACGAAAGGATGCAGTTGCATCGGTGGCGTCCCTCGCCGGAACGAAAATGTCATGGCCGAACACAGAAATAGATTAAACAAGCCAGGCTCTTTCACTGGCAATGGTCGCCGAAGTTAACAGAGATTTTGACCGCCAGACTCCCTTTCCTGCTCCTCGCACACGGCGATGGGACGCTGATGCGTACACAATAACATGCGGTGGTAATAACTAACGCCCAATAAAAGAACAGAAATATAGATGGTGATTTACCATAGCCCCAATTAAAGTAAAGGAAAAGCGACAACCCGGTGCAGCGAGTACCGTCGAATGCGGATCAACATGGAGGACAGACCGAGGGAGAGGAGGTATAAACAGAAGACAGGGAATGGGACAAAAGATGTCGGAAAGACACGGGCATAACAACAGTCCCAAACCGGACTGTGAATCCGAGATGGGGAATTCAAAGCAGTACAACCGGCATCGTACTGAAGCCAGCACTATCGCCAACGGTATCCATAAGTTGGTTATAGAGAACAATGTTGCAGACAGGAAGAAAAGTGGCGCAGGCCTTGGAGAATTAGAGGAACCAATCGGAAATAGGAATTTGGGAGATGAACCGTCGTGACAGAGGCGAGGAAGTAAAAAATAATATGAAGGGTATTATGAGACTTGCATCAGGGTCGGTGTAAATCCATGACAGAAAGAATGTTGAAAAAAGATGGATATCTAATGACTTAACAAAGGAAACATAAACAGGCTGGAATGGCTGAAGAGACCCCCTCCCCCTCCCCCCCGAAGTAGAGGAGAGAGGGAGCGAAATCTCCATTCATCGTGTTGCAGTGCTGACAGAGTTTGCCTCCGTTTGAGGCTGCGGTGCATTAGAATTGGACATTGCTAACGCATTGACATTCGCAGACGCAAGTTGAGCTCTCAGCGCGGCAACCTCGGTTTTCAACCCACTGAGTTCTTCATGCACCGTGCGAATATAGGCCCAAAGCTTGTCTTCGCGGTCCCGACTTTGTTCAATGTAGGCGGTTTCATGGGGGCTGGGGAGTTGGCTGCCACTGTTCGAAGCCCCCTCCAGGCCAGGCTTCGAGGATAACGAGCCACTATGGTTGCTGGAGTGACCGTGGGATGATGTGTGTTTCGCATTTGAAGGTGCTGGTGGGACGGAGCCTTGCGAATGTAGTGCAAATCGGGAGTCAGTAGAGCTCATCCCAGGTGGTGGAGGGAGCTGGGGAGCACCCGGTTGCGGCGGGGGTAGACCCAAACCCGAAGCAGCATGGGTTGCGACGGAGGTAGAAGAGGGACCTGCCCTGTTATACGGTTGCTGTTGGAACGACTGGGCCATACCGGGAGAATGAGCACGATGGAGTTGGACATTATTATCCGGGCCATGGCCAAGTTGATGTGATGACAATGCATTTGGTGATAACGGTTTTGGGCTCTCTGTGATATTGGTGGGGAAAACAGATGAACCAGAGTGCTGACCAGGAGGTGGAAATGTCATGTTCCCGGACTGTGATATGGGAGAAGTCGATGTGCTGGAGCCAGCGTGGCTTGGTGGAGGGAAGAGACCCCCTGGGGAAGGTCTGCCCGAGGCAATTGGGGGATAGGTGCTCGGCTGGCGTGGCTGGTAACTTGTTGTAGTGTTGGAACGGGATATCGAATCCGTCGACATATCATGCTTCTTGATGCTAGGCATATTGAGCCGCCGTTCTTCTTCCTCATCCATACGCTCTGGCTCGGCGTAGACAAGGCCCTCCATAGTATCCTCGGTGCCTCCCGGTGCTGTAGCGTCACCGTATTCTTCCTCGGGAACATAGCTTCCCATGCTTGCTCTACGCCCTGCGCATCCGCCCTGGCCCTTGTTATGACGAGCTAGAGCATCGCCGCGGGCAAATCTGCGTCCACACTTGGGGCAAATATGTGGCCGTTCGCCAGTATGGAGTTTCGTGTGCCTTTTCAGATCATGCAACCGACGAAAGCGCGACTGGCATGTTTGACACACATAAGGCTTTTCCTGGCTATGGGTGAGGAGATGGCTCTTAAGATTATGGTGTCTTGTGAATTCAGTGGCACAATAAGGGCAGCGATGCTTCTTCGCCGACGGGGACCGCTGTCCTTTGTGAAATCCAGAACCGGGTAGACTTAGACCTCGCCGAGGATCGTTAAAATTGGCAGTGGGCATCGGGTATGAAAAGGCCTTGTTGCCTGATTCTTGCGAGATTTCACCATCCTCACGGTGGTGAGAACGATCGCCATCCTGGGAAGTCGATTCCTCGATCGGACCAGGGCTGGCTACAGTTGAGGTGTTCATGAGCGTCGTGTTGTTATCGGCTGCCCCGAAAGCATCATGCACGTTCCCCGGCGCTGGATGAGAATCTACCTGCATTTGATCTGGCGACGCTTGTATACTCTCATTGATGGGGTTGGCCTGCTTCTCGCTGGCCCCAAGAGCCTCTCTCGCAACCTGTGAACTGTGCTGATCTGATTCCTTTTCATGTTCCTGTGGTCGATCTGGTGGCCCGGTGGCCGAGGGCGCTGTTGTTGTCATCGGGGGCAAGGAATCTCCCGAGCGCGAAACGTTCAGTCCGGCGCTAGCAATTGAAGTCAGACTCGAATCAGGTTTTGATTGTTTTAGGAAGGTGACAGGTTCCGATGGAGCTGGGATTATTGAGTTGGACGCCCCAGACAAAGGCTTAGAGATAGAGACAGGTTCGTTATTCGATTGCATCAATGCGGCCATGGATAACAGATACTTTGCGCCAGCCTGGAAGGGTTGACGAGGATATGGAGAATCTAACTCGATGGAACCCATGTCAGCTGATCAAGGTCTTCAGCGACAGGCGTGTAAGGTTGTGGAAGGTTGGGAGTAGCGCGATACGCACAGGGAGGGAGAAGGGATTGAGATGTAGCAGCTTATATCAGAGGGCAAGCAGGTAGGACAAGGGAAAGAGTGGTATCCATCAGAGACAATGTCGCGTGGGGCGCTCACCTAGAACCGAGTGTGGCGCAAGCTGACGGGAGGTTCAGCCTTCGCGCGACGTCTTGTCAGACGATCAGGTCCCACAGGAAGAAAGATGGGACTCGCAGGTGGTAAAAATAGCGGTCAGCCTGGCAAACAGATGAACGGGTTTGAACCTAGCGCCCGCTCGATCTGGATCTGGTGGGAGGGGGAGGGGACTTTAGTCCATCTGCTGGGAAGCCGTAGGAGACCGGGGTTGTATGGCGGAATGGAAATGCGTGGTTAAGCTGCAGAGAGGAAGCTGGAACCCGCGATTGTCAAAGCAACGAGGGCAGGAGAATTATGCAGAACCAGGGCGTTGGAAACCAGTCAATGTACAAGCAACATGAAAACTCAGCAGACCATGGAAGTATTGGGACAGGCAAGGGGGCGGGTGGATGGATCTTCGGGACACGGAGGAGAGGAACCTGGTGTGCCGGAGGATGTATGTATAGAAACAAACCACTGCGGCGGTGATGAATGAGGCGGCGGAGGGAGAGGGAGGAAAGGAGAGGGGGGAGGGGAGAGGGAGGGGGGGGGGGTGGGAGGCTACTACCAAATGCAGCCGGGCAAGAGAGACGCAGGAGGGGAAGAAGACGTGGGTAGATTGGGAAGCATCAAAACTGATGCAGACGACCGTGGCAGAATGGATACAGGTAACCAGCCAGGTAGGAAGAATAATAACGTAGTAAGTAGTTAGTAGAGTGGTAGTAGTAAGCAGGTGGGTGAGTGTTCGGGTCGCCTAGGAAGCAGGCGCGGGAATTGTTCCTGATTGGGCCACACGGTCAAAGCGAAACAGGCTGGATCGAGCGCAGAGGGACGAGAAACAGGATCGAAAAAAATGTAGCAGATCGAGGATGACGGAGGTGGTAGGGGCTAGCTCGAGAGAATTCGCAGAGAGAAGGTGGAAACAGAAGAGGAGGAGGATGAGGGAGAAATGGAGGACGAACACGAGGCAGGCAGAGTGGCTGGAGCAGTGGCCCGTACCAGTTGTGGCCAATGGGCCAAGGTTACGGGCGGCTCTGCCGGGGCCGTATAGAATCTAGGCAAATACGGTACAGTACGGTATCTATCAGTACATAACTACTTAGTAAGGTAGTACATACTTACCTACCTAGTACTACCTGGGAGCATCTTGGACCGCGCCGGGGCTGAATCAGCCGATCTATCACGTAGTTATACGTACTTACTTACAAAGTACCTAGTAGTTATATCTATATACCTAGTACTAAGTACTTTAGGTAGTATTTACTGTAGGGATACCATGGTAATTTATCTGAAATTGGAAAAGGAACACAAGGGAAAGGCTAGACCTACCTACCTACTAGATAGTACTTGAGTACGGAGTACTAGTAGTAGTAGTAGTAGTAGTAGTAGTAGTAGTAGTAGTAGTAGTAGTAGTAGTAGTAGTAGTAGTAGTAGTAGTAGTAGTAGTAGTAGTAGTAGTAGTGGCGCATTATTATCCACCGCGTGTACGACATACCTGGTACCTGGTACGTATTACGGTACGGAGTATAGGACGGTGTACCTACTATGTAACCAGTGGTGCCTTAATACCTTAGGTGAAAAGGAAGTTTTGAGGTGGAAACCTTGCACCAAATACCTATCTATCGGCATTTTGCACAGCCATCTCCAAGTAAATGGGTCATGCTATCATGTTGCTGGTACCGGGGATCTGCCGGGGGGGGCAAGAATGAGGCTGTGTGGCCCAGCTGAAACTTCACTGTGGCTGGCAGCCAGCCAGCTGCAGAGAAGCTGGATGGCTCTGGCCTCTGATCCAATCTCCGATTTCTAGACCCGGATGGGGCAGCCTGGGTGGCTGTGCCGCCAGACATGGCCCAGTAGGCTATCTAATTGGTCTTCCTCTCTGCAGCATCCAGAATGTCTCCAGCCTCAATTCTATTTTCAAAGCGGCCATTGCTTAGGTACATTATTATTACTCCGTACATACTATCGTATCTACTCCGTAGTATCATTGGCATTAGATATCTACAAGGTAGTACTCGTACTCGGTAGTTAGGAGCTAGATACAGGCTTAGATAACCGTGTTAGCCACCTGCTGGTCAAAGCCCTTCGCCTATTAATTAAGAGTAGAGTAGTTAGATACTCAGGCTCCGAGTCTCAGAGTCTCAAAGGAAGACAATCTACTCCGTCCTTACCTTGAATCTGGTAATGATGAATATTATTGAGCCAGCCTTGTCAACCAACCCAGGGGAGGAATTCGGCTAGCGTGCACAGGCCTAATTTGGCTCTGGTATCGTTGTATTCCCCCCCCTCCCCCCCCTCCCCCTCGCTCCCCCTCGAGGCATCTCTGCCACGATGGGCTTGTTTTCAAGTTCAAGTCTGGGACAACTTCCGGGCGGATAAAAGATGTATACAACCAAATCACGAAGACGGAAGAATTTGGTTGAATCATGGATCCATCACCCTCCATGATCACGCCGGTACTATCTGTTCACTGTTCACTGTTCACCAGAGAAGGGGACTGTTTAAGCGCCGGGGAGGAGAGGGGAAACTGGGGGAAATGTGACGGCCGATGCAGTGGACAATCAATTAGCTAGCCTACCTATGCGTGATGGTTATCAGTACTAAGTATCAACATCATCCGATCCACGGACGGAAGGGCTAGATAGATACTGTTCTCTCCTCTGTATCTATCTACCCATCCATCCATCCATCCAGCACCACACAAGGCCGGCGGTTCTGCAGCCCCTCTGGTTGGCCGGACCCTCAAGACGATCAGCGTTGGCGCCGGGAACCCGACGCCTCTCATTCGCTCCCCGGGTGACCAGAGGTGCATCCTGCATCGCATCGCGAAGTGATTGTGACTTCAGTTGACTGGACTCGACTCAACTCGACTCGACTGCACGGGATGCTCCATGGCCTTTGCTCCCGGCGCATCGCGGGCTTCCCCTCCCGCTTCCCCACTGTGATAAGCCAGGCCAACCTGCTCTAGTCGTGTCTCGCAACATCCAGTCACGCCAGTCACGCCAGTCACCGTCTGGCTTGCTCAACAGCTTCCCATGGCCGGTCCAATCATTGCGGGGGGCTTGATGTGCTGCATGTTGCCGGGCGCTTATTTCTTAACATACAACCAACCCCGTGCGATCCATCCCAAGATGCTAACCCCACCGGCCCCCGACGGCAAGGCCAGACAGGGTCAGGGCCCATCATTGATATTCAAGGCGGTTGTGCTGCCCCCAGAGGTCGTCTGGTCGCCGTGCCTCCTTCATCTCTTTTCTCCCCTTCAACGTCTCAAACACCGTCGGTCTGTCCGCTGCTTGGTTTCTTGGTCCATGCAACGTGGGATTCGAGGAACAATCCAACTGAAGACGATCAGCCAAGAAGGTAGGTGGGTGTTCACTGGCCCATGCCCTACATGATTATCTCCTCTCCTGTTGCCTGAATTTGCATGCACACAAAGACAAAACAAAACAAAACAAAATCTGACCTTTGACTGACCTGGTCTCTCTCAATAGGAGCCGAAGCCATCTACCTCTCCAGCTTGACCGTTCTTCTATCTCAGGTAGGTAGTGCCTTGCTGCGTCTCCGGACACAGTTTTGGGAGTGATCCCGTCCTGGCGCATTGCGGTTGGCCAGTGTGCTTGCATACTAACAATGTCTACAGCTGTGCTGCCGTGAGCACCTGCTGTAGCTCCTCTTCAGCAAGGCGTCGTGGTACTCCTTCTGACTATACGCTTTTTCTTGGACGAGTGGGATCCAAAACTACACCTGGCATCTGCTTAAGAAAGGTTAAGAGCCGGTCCTCTTCACCAATTGGCTTCCTTTTTCACCCTGCCAAACTGCGCCTTTGATGTCTGCGTTTACCAATAGCCACGATAGCTCTCCTCAGACTTACGAGGCGGTCTCCCCCGTGGATATTGTTCGCGGCCACAATCTTGGAACAATGGCACTGCCATCACAGCCCACCGTAACCGCAGAAGAGCGGAGCTCTTCCGACACTTCTATCTCTTCGCTAAAGGAGTCCCGGACGACTCGCTTTGCGGAAGCCACCATGGTCCAGTCTCCTGGCACTGCAGATGCTGGAAGCTCCCCCTTTGCTGATCCTCCCAACCAATCGCAGACGCCCCCTGATGTGTCGGATGTGGGTTTCGGTTACGTCGCTGCGAGTGACCCTGCACAACATACGTCGCATCATGACCTTCCCACACCGGGTCCAAAAAGCGCTCTCAAAGTTCCCGGAACCCCAGGTCGCACCCTGAATCCACTGAGCCCAACTTTCCGGGAGGAATTCTACGTGGAAAAACAAGAGAAAGTCGCAGAGAAAGAGAATGCCAGAGATCTAGTAAGTGAATATCGATGTGCCATGGTAGGCGTACCGAATACTTACATTCGTCGCTATAGCGTATTAAACTACGTGTCCGGGTTGCCAAGATGTTCCTCCGGTTCATCAATTTCGGCTGTAGTCTGATTGTTCTTACGATTCTGGGGACAACGCTGACGGTGTTCAACGTGACCAAGTCGCTCCCAGAGCGAAACACTTTCCCTCCTTGGGAATTTGGCACAAATCCTTGGCCGCAGTATCTGCTTCTGACTGTTTCGTGCATTTCTTTGATTGCCAGTATTGCTGTGTTCTGGGGCTACTGGAAAGGCGGCCACAAGCGCGCAGAGAAGTATGCATTTTACTATTCGGCCATATCGATCGGTGTCTTTGTTTTCGACCTAGTCATGTGGATTGTTGCTGCCGCCATCTTCGAGCATTCCAAGGCGATCGGGGATGACAAAGATCTTTGGGGTTGGTCATGTGTCCATAACGAGAGAGAAGCGTTGTTTGGTGACCAAATCGACTATGCCCTCCTTTGCCGTTTGCAGGTAGGTCGATCCCACACCTAATCAATTCTTGAAGCTAATATGGTCTCTTAGGACTGGGGGTTGGTTTGTGCTGTCATCGAGATAGTCCTCGAAGTCTTGGTCCTTCTAGTCTATGCGATTATCTTTTACCGGTTCTGGACCAAGAGAAAGCTTGCCAGGTCAATGGACCGTCGCGATAGAGCCAGGACAGACTTGTACCTGGCCCAGCTCTATCAGCGGTCCGCACCGAATACGCCTGGATTTCCGCACATGCCCAAGGCCCCCTTCGTGTCAACTTCCATACCCCAAGACCCTTATTCTGCAGCAGAAAACGGGGAGGCCTGTGAAACCCAGTTCGCCACTACACAAAGCCAGATTAAACCCCAGCCGGTATTTCAGCTTCAGTCGCCCCCAATTCGGGTGCAGCATGCGACTCCTCAGCCAACACAAGGGGAGTTTCCAGCACCCGCCGCGACCTCAGGGGGCCCCAATCAACACATGGGTGCAGCACCTGGCGAGCGAACGTACGAAACAGTACCCATTCCCGATGCCTATGCAAGCCCAATGAGCCCTAGCCTTCCCCACGGGGCTCATCAGTGAACATGCGCGTCGATGAATGGGGAAGCCCCCGGTGCTGGTGGCTAGAACGAGCAGGCCTTCTGTTCTACACTTGACTGATACGACTGTTGCAAGCAAACGGTACACAGCCTCCAGCCATGGATAGTTACTTCTTGATTGATTGATTTCTCAACACTTTGGTGCTAAACTGGTTGGCATTAATCCTCAACCCCCCTAACGGCTCCTTTTACCCATGTGATACTTTGGCTTCTGTATACACCAGTTTTTATACCACCGATACAATCATTGTATCTTGTGTTCTGTTTCTGCTCCCCCTCCATTCCTGGTTGTGTCTTAACCTGCTAAGACATGGCGATTTACCATTAGAGAACAAGCATCAGATACTGTTGATAGTACTGCACTTGGTTAATGCTCCAGATAGCTTCGCTGGTTGGCCATGTAGATCCTGCTACGGAAGTACCGTATGACCAACAGCAACCTTTATAGCAACGAGACATCAACAATATAAGGAAGTGAAAAAAAAAAGTACGTAATCATGAAAAGTATTGTTATTTGCAGGCTTGCCAGCCAGAAAAAAGGTAAATACCAATCGGTTTCATAACAGAGAAGCCAGCCCGATCATCCAAAATACAATAAGAAATGCCCACCAACTCCCACGCATTAGAAACCCAAGCCTATATCCCAACCAGACAACATCACTCCCATCACAGCCCGCAGTCTTTCACATGACTGTACATTCATTCATTTACGTAAAAGACAACCGCGCCAAACCCCAGGTCAGATGGCTCCTTCCTCAAGGACAGCGTTTGCATCCTTGGAGACGAAAATCTCTTCTAGCCTGCCTGCGCCAATGCCATTGGACCCGTCATCGTTTTGTAGCACTAGACCCTGCTCGTTGGCCAAGTGAAGCAAGCAAATGAAGCCAAAGGATGTGCTGATATCGCGCAGCGTTTCTGGAGCGTACACCGTTCTCAAGGAGTTCATAATATTCGTGAACCGGAGCGTACCATCTGCGTGCCCCCCAGATTCAGGACCCGGAGCTGGGTTGTTGTCCTCTGGTGGCGGCATAGATTGTGTCTCGGCCTCAGTTGTTTGTTGTTCGGATTCTTGGGGGGCGGCCTCTACTTCAGCCTGAGATACAGAACCGAAATTTGTCGATGAGATTAGCCGTTCACCCATACCTTTCCACATTTCCAGCTTTAGTCGTCGGACATCAACCTTTTTGGCAACTCGCGCGTATGCCACGTAGTCAGGTCGTGCTCTGCGGCCACCTTGCGTTACCAGCTGCGAGCCAAATCCCCCGCTATTCTGTGTAGAGCCAGGAACCCCCCCGGCCATGTTGAGGAGAGCAGCAAGACCGGATGCTCCTCCAGCTTCTGCAGATGCGCCTGGAGCTCCGTCAGAGGGTGGGGATAGCATCTCCCTGGCGTCCGCAAATGGGAGATTGTCATCATCATCGTCACCCAAACCGAGGCCGTTAGGGAATGCTAAACCATCATCATCTGCAAAAAAGTTGGCGTCATACGCTCCAGCAACGCCTTCATCAGACGCAGCGGCTTCTTCGGCTTTATGATTGGCCCAGAATACCTCATCCATTTCACCGTTCCCCGAAGTCTGATCTTGTCGTCGATGGCCAAATCGCCGGGAGCCCATCAATTTCTTCGAGCCCATCCTAGCCTTCGGTTTCAGGAAGAGACGGAGTAGTTGGCGGGAATTAAAGTGTTTGTCATCGGGGAGGAGGTTGCGCCCTTTAGTCTTCCACTGTGTCTTCGGCAGGGAAATGGTTGAATTTGAGCTGGCTGGCGTATACATCAACTCGGCGACCGTAGGGTCTAGAGGTGCCATGAAGTCGATCTCAAAAGGCTCCTTTTCCTTGCGTTGCTTCGGTGCCAAGTTGGCATTGGTTGCGGCAGTCTGCTCTTTGATCCGGCGAATCTTCCAGTGCTCTGGCCCAGCCCAATTCTTCTGCAGCGCATTATCGAAATAACTTAGTATACTTTCATGGTCCCGGTTGTCGGATTGGTGGGTGAGGGAGATGGTGTATGGATCATCATTGTCAAGTTCCTCCCCGTCAGCGTTCTCGTCACCTTCCCTATCTAGGCGGTGCACCTTCAGCATTGGTTCAAGGGCAGCTTCACGTGCCCATACTTCACCACCATCGCCGAAGCCTGCGTCCCCGCTCAGATCGAACCCTGCTAGAGTGGCATCATCGTCATCGAACCCGACAGCATTATCATCGTCGAGCATGATTCCTGACGCATCGTTTGGGTGGTGTCCTTCCTCTTGCCCCTTTTCGTGGCGCCAGTCTTCGGGGGCCTTGAGGAAGGGTATATCTAACGAGCCACTAGGGTCTCCAAGGTCGAAATTCTTCAAAGACGGGCAGATATCTTGGCTTTCGAGACGGTCCAAATCTGGGAAAAATTGACGCGTCAACGGAGCTATGTCGATTTCCACATCTTCATCAAAAGTATCGTCGGGCTGTTGTTGGGTATCAGACGAAGGGGAGCCTGGCTGCTCAGGTTCATCGGGATCTGGACGCGAATTCTCCGTGTCCTTGGTCTCTTCGGCAGCATCATCGCTGCTATCAAATACGATACGTCCTTGTCCATCGATTGACAAATGGTTCAGAAGCAAGCCTTTGGCGCCACCTTCATCAAAATCTGCAGAAGCCTTCTTGAACAGAGGATCAACCGAAAACTCTAGCTCAAACTTTTTCAGCTGGAGTGAAGCAAAAGAGGGCGCAAGAGTAGCTTCATGTGAGCGTTGTGCCTGGGTAACTCAAGTCAGTGATCACATCACGATATCCACATTGCCGACATGCGTACGAACCTTTCTCCGTGATTTTCTGGACGTCCCTTCCTCGCCGTCTTCGTCGTCCTCAGCGTCCTCGCCGTCCGCCCCGGCTTCGCGGGCTCTCTTATCCCGGCTATCTGCCAATCCACTTAGAAGCTTGCCGGTCTCCGTTGCCACACTATCGACTCTGCTGGTATAGATCTTGACACAGCCATCTAGTGTGCAGCTGGCTTTCTGGAAGTTCACGCCGTCGCCTTCCTTAAGCAGGGACATATCATGGAAGTAATCAATCAGGGCGAAGTTCCAAGAATTATTGGCATTGATTTTGTTGTCGGTAGCCATCTTCATCCACTCCTCGAAGTTGGCCAGGATAGGTACGCGCTTCATCGGGGTGACTGCCCTGCGTCCGTCTCCATCACTTTCCCGGCCCCGGTGGCCCGAACCTCGCGGCGTCGCGGGGCTCGTGCCGTTATCGTATACGCCTGTGTATCGTCGAGGTGGCATAGGGGTCTTCACGGCGGCCTTGATCTGGTCCATCTGACGGTCATGTCGGGCCTGCCTCGCCTCCATGCGGGCGGCTTTCTCGCCCATGTCATCATTGAGCGGGATCCTAGTGCAATTAGTGAATGGCCCGATGGCAGCGTCGCAGCATGACGTAGCACTCGTCCGGGCGTGGGACCTACTTGACGGGAGAGTTCTTGTGAGGGGTGGATGCGCCATTAGAGCGGCGGTGCTTGGAATTTGCTACGCGGGGCATTGTGGATGAATGCCGCGGTAGACGGACTGGTGTTATGGCTGAGGAGGGGGAAGGATTGGAAATGGGGATCAATCATTCGGAGTGGACTGTTCGTCGCGATCTGCGTAGTAGAAGGCAGAAGAGGACAGTGAGGACCAACGGTAGAGAGGACCCTGGTCATCCCCTTTGGTGAAAGGCCGCGGAGGAGGGGAAGGGAAGGCGAAGTTAATAATATGACCGACCGATCGGACAAACAATCAACAAAAAACATACGCCGCGCGACGGCGACCAGGCGCGCAGAACGCACCGGTTCGGCGGTTTCTAGTAAAGTAGTATATACGGTATCTTACCTGTCTTAATACCTAGGCAAGGTACCTAGGTACTACCACCTTACCTTACGTACAGGTCCCGTATCAGGTACTCGTACTAGCCGGCCCCGCGCTGTCAGGTGACCTTCCTCTTCCATTCTCGACTACTTCTCGACTTCTACTTTTGTCTACGCAAGACTTCGAGTCCAACTCGTCTACTTATATGACTATCTCTCGGTCCAGTCTGTTCTGGTATGTCCCGAGTCCAGGAGGCTACAGTAATACTTGTTGTTGCCCCCCAGATGGGGCCATCTCCATCTACCGTGTACCACGATGAGGATGGTTGATGCACCGCCACCTCCTACTCCATCATCTGAACTCTGACATCAGTCCGTGGCTTGTGCCCAGCTAAGCTGCCTTATCGGTGGGCCACAGTCGAGCTCCAACTGGGCGGGTCGGTCGGTGGTGCGTGCTGCGCTGGCTGCCACTTCCCAACTACTAGTTACTACAACTACTACTCCTCCTACTCCTACTAACGACTACGGAGTACCTAGGTACTCATCATTGTATCACGTCCCCCTTGCCTTGGCTCTGCTCTCGCCAATTTGACTCAATTGCTTCTCGCGTCCCCCCTCCCCTTTTGTTATGCTCATTCGCCTCTTAGGCTCGACTTAGAGAGCGCACTGTGATTATTCCCAGACAGTATCGCCCAGGATGCCGCGATCTCTCCAACCATGCTACCACCACTACTGACGCCCGACTTTCGTCGTCGACTTTCGGCTTCCCAGAAGCATCCATACTCGGCTCGGCCGTTCTGGAGCTGCTGTTTGGCTTTTACTGCCCTTGCTCTTCTCAGCTGGACTTTCGGGCGTTTAAGTCGTGATCCGACAGCTCCCTTGGCTCTGTCAGTCGTCGAACGACTCCCCGATCACGATGTCCCTCGGCTCTTTAGGCGGGACGACGCTCCGGAGGTATGTTAGAGTGCACCATCTGCCATGTAGAAAAATGCTCACCTCCTTTGCCTTTACCCAGTGCCGTCTAGTCCGCCAAGTGGAAGACCAATGTTCCTTCGTCCAGTCCAATTGCTCTGATCACGAGGACGGTCTTTTTTCATACCTCCAATTATATTATTGTAGCTTGGCCAATGCCAAGCCTGTTGCATTCATCATCATCGTCTTATGGCTTTCCCTTCTTTTCAGCACCATTGGCATTGCCGCCAGCGATTTCCTCTGTGTTGATCTGAGCACCTTGGCCAGCGTGCTCGGCTTGAGTGAAAGCCTAACCGGTGTCACCTTCCTCGCATTCGGAAACGGGAGTCCGGACGTCTTCTCCACCTTTGCTGCCATGAGATCTAACAGTGGGAGCTTGGCCATCGGAGAACTGCTGGGTGCGGCAAGTTTCATAACATCGGTGGTAGCTGGCTCGATGGCGCTGGTTCGCCCATTCAAAGTCGCACGGAGAAGTTTCATTCGTGACGTCGGGTATTTCATCTTGGCGGTGAGCTTCAGTATGTTCCTCTTAGGAGATGGTCGCCTCCATGTCTGGGAGTCGGCTACGATGGTCGCCCTCTATTGCTTCTACGTTATCTTGGTGGTGACGTGGCACTGGTACATTACTCGACAGCGTCGCTTGTATGAGAGGAATTTAGCAGCTCGATCGCATTTCCATATTCCGGACAACCAGGAGTTGGATATCGAAGAAGTGGAAGACGATGACCCCGGGGTCGCTTCGGAATCTACTAGTCTTCTTCGGGGTGAGGATTTCGATGCTTTGGAGAGGTCTGGCGTACCGACTTGGCAGGAAGGAGAGGAGGACGATGAAACTCGCAACCGATATCTTGCTGAAATACGCGATAATATGCACATATTTCGCCCATCCACTCGCAGGCGCAATACTCTGAATCCGATCAGACCAAGTCTTGTGGGTGCGCTGGAGTTTCAATCGGTACTTTCATCTCTTCAAAGGTCCAGGAATATCCACCGATATGAGTCCATTATCCTCGGACGGTCCTCCGATGACGAGGAGAGCTCGCAACTGCATTCGCTACAATCAGACAATGCATCTGTAGTGTCTCACCCACAAGCTAGTCGTCCGTCTGTTGGCGACCGCTTGTCGCCTTATCAAGCCGCTGGTCCTGCTCGCACTCGAGCTGCATCTGCCAATGCTGCTGCTGACCTGAGACTGGATACACGCATGTTCAGTTCCGGCCTACAACCCCGTCTTACCATCAGTCGACCCTCTGCTGATGAAACAGAAGCCGTGATGTCGGCGGACATTCATCAGCCAGAACAGAGTGCGGGGCCAAACTTATCCCCACAATTGCCCGACAAGGCTTCGCAAATTTCGAGTCCTGGGCCAAGCGCGCGTCTTCAAAGCCCCAATCTACTTGCACCTCCGGATACCTTTCATTCTCCCACCTATCAAATGGCAGGCTCACGTCCTCGTTCCCCGCTCCCGCTATCCCCGCGCGCGACCTCTCTCACGCCTGGTGCGGCTGGTGCGTTGCCCGAGAGTCCTCTGAGCCCCTTCCCAATCTTCCAGGACGCATCGGGCGCTACGCCCTCCAGGGCGCCGAGCATACGCCTTCCAGCCGCTTCTACCCCCTCTGAGGTGTTACAAATTCATGAAAGTGTCTTCGGTGGTGGGAGTAACCGGACAAGGTCGTTGTCGTGGTGGCCATCCATACCGTTTGCTTCCCAGCAGATCTTTCCAACGCTCTGCCCGACCTTGGCTGGTTGGAAATCCAAATCATTCTGGGAACGATTACTTGGTGTGGTTGCAGCTCCCAGTGTACTCCTCCTCACAATCACACTTCCTGTCGTTGAGCCTGTACAATTTGACGCCGGTGTCCCTGTTGTAGTCACTTCAGCAGATGGTGACAATGCCCCGTCGCCTGCTGTGAGGCTGCCAGAGGACAGCCCTCTTTTCCGAGCCCTTGATCAAGATTCCATACCAGACGTAGTCGACCGGAATGGCAAGCCTCATCCTCCACAGAGGCAATCCCGGTTGGATTCCGAGTTGCCTGCTGTTCAAACAAGCATTGAATCACAATCATCAACCTCAAAAGAGTGGTGTCTTTGGCTTGTCTGGGTGCAGCTTTTCATGGGTCCCTTTTTTGTGTCCTTGATGTACTGGACCACTGTGGATTCCGAATTGAAGGCCCGAAACCTTTTCTTGCCATCCATGGTCTCGCTTCTCTTCTCTTTGATATGTATCACGTGCCTGACAACCAGTGTGCGACATAATCGATCCTCACAACCCCCGCTTGCATGGCGTCCTACCCTTGCCCTTATAGGCTTTGTGGTCGCGATCTTCTGGATTGCAACCATTGCCACTGAGGTTGTCAACCTCCTGAAGACCCTGGGTGTTATTTTAAACATTAGCGACTCCCTTCTCGGGCTCACGGTATTTGCGGTTGGAAATTCCTTGGGCGACCTAGTTGCGGACATTACAGTTGCGCGCTTAGGTTATCCGGTCATGGCTTTGAGTGCCTGCTTCGGGGGCCCCATGCTCAACATTCTCCTCGGCATTGGCTTGGGTGGTCTGTACATGACTGTCAACGCGAAGCCAGAAACAATAGCCGCGACCGGTGGTTCGTACGAGATCCCTGTCTCCAAGGTGCTCATTATCAGCGGTGCTACTTTGTTAATCACCCTGGTTGGCCTGTTGATCGTGGTTCCCTTGAACAAGTGGAAGATGGATCAGAAGATCGGTTGGGGACTTGTCATTCTCTGGGTCATCAGTACCATAGGCAACGTACTTGCCGAACTTCTAACCTAGTTGCATTTGGTCTGCTTTCGATTTGCTCCCACTTTTCGTTGTGTGGGGTGTCCTGTCCACCTGCGTTTGTTTTGCTTACTATTGTATATATATGTGTGTGTGTGTACGTATTGACTTCTCACAATACGTTTCTTTCCAACGAATGAACTGGCAATCTTACAGAAGGAATTCATAGCTTGATAAACTTATTATCATCTACTTTATCATCTGCTTAACGTGGAGTAAATAAAGAGAGGCTGAACATGTAGAAATATTAATGCTGATTCATAATCTGACAGGAAGAAGGCAGAAATAATGCAACAAGAAACAGGCAAGTGCCTTGTTCATTAGGGGGGAGGTCCATCCCATAGTCTGGACGCCATAGGATCTTCAAGCGGAACACGAATTGTAGTTGACGGTGCGGTGGGTATTGCAGCCTCAACCCAGAACACGGCCCGCGGAGGAGGTCGTGCTCCGGTCATTTGTTTGAACCTTTCTCAGTCCCTTTCCTGCCTGAATGGAGGCCAACAAAGCCCCTCGACCAGCTCCTCCGGCTGGGGCGGACGGAGGCGGTGGTGGCGGGGGTAGTCCCGGGGGTGCCATGGAGGGGGCCGGAGGGGGCGGCGGCGGGGGGACGCCAGCTTCGACATGAACAGTCGGCACTGCCGGTGGTGCCGGTGCCGGCGGCGGAGGGGGCGGCGGCGGAGGGGCAAAGGTGGCAGGTGCCCCCGAGGTGGCCTCACTCGTCTCAGCGGCTGATGCTGCTGGCATTGCGGGACTATCCTGGACCGGAGTGGACGATTTAGAGGGAGACTTGTCATCCATGGCACTCAAGGGCCGTGGAGGGGCCATTGTGCCGAATAGGATACTGGCAAGCTGCTTCGCACTACCGCCGCCTGGCCGCTCATCGTCGTCATCATCGGACGAATCAATGTCTGACCCGGCCGCAGACCAGTCGTCATCCGCTTCGGGGCGTACACGAGATTTGCGCTCCAGTGGCCCAGACGCGGTAAAAACCGGCCTGGCACTTTCTTGCTGTTGGGTAAGGCGGTGGAAAGGGTTTGTTGACTGGGGCTCAGCTTTCAAGGCCCCAAGCTGAGGTGCGGGAGCTGGAGGCGAGACTTGATTGTCCGTAGGCTGACTGATTCTCTTGAAGTAAGGGTTCTTGGATTCGGCTTCCGGGCTGAGGCTAGCGGGCCCAGCGTGACTGCCAGCAGGAGAACTCGCGAGGCTGGCCACCATTTCTGGCTCCGAGGCTGGAGCTGAGGGTACAACGGCCGGAGGCGGCGTCGATGCAGCATTTGCCGCAGAGAAAACCTGGCTCTGAGTTGGGGTGCTATCCTGAGGGGTCATATCATAGGGCCCCTCTTCATCCGACGAGCTCTCCTCTTCCATCCCTTCCAATTCCAATTGAAGTTGGCGCTCTCGCTCTTGGGCCATGTCAAGTTCAGCACGCTGAGCTGCTAGCTTGGCTTCCTGTTCCCTCGCCGCCCTGGTCGCCTCTTCCTTGCGACGCTTCTCTTCTTGCTTCTTGATCTTTCCTTGTCTGACCTGCTCTTGGAGAATGGCAAGGCGAGCCTCCTGTGCGTCCTTTTCCTTTTGAAATGCTGCTTCACGCTCTTTGGCCTCGGCTCTGAATAGAGATCTATGTAAGCAATGCGTCAGCGGGGGATGCAGGGGTAGTGAGTCACCTACTCTAAACGGTTTGTCTCTTCTTCCTGCGCCTGTTGCTCTTCTCTAATAGATTGCTCTCGGGCCGCCTGCTCTGCTTTAGCTGGTCCATCCATTGCCTTCTTTATATCGGCTTGGCCTGCGCTACCGGTCCGGCCCTTTCGTGAAGGCGGTGCCGGAGGGGGCTTCTTGCCAGCCGGTTTGGCAGACTGCACCGCAGGTCCGCTTTGTTCCTCGGCTAGACGGCGCTGCCTCTCCTGTTCCCTCTTTGCGTCTTCCTCTTCTGCTCGCCTTAGGCGCTCTTCGCGTTCCTTTCTCTCACGCTCTTGTCGTTGCACGAGAGTCTCCGCGGAATCATTTTGGGGTTTGAGCCCAGCAGCTGCCATTCGTTCGGCAATGCGCTTTTGCGCACGTTCTCGAGCAGCCGCAACACGGTCCTCGTGTGTAGCACCTGGCGTTGATCCGGCAGAACCGGTTGGCGTCGGAGAAGAATGTGTGGTAGTTGTGCCTCCCAGTGGCGCATCATCGTACCGAGACCGCTGCTCTCTCACATCTGTTGCTCTTGATCGCCTGTAAATTCATTAGCTCGTTTCGATTCGAAGGTACAAACACGCATTGTGATACTGGTATAGAAGGGGAGGATCAAGAAAAGCAGGCGGAAAGAATAAGGCAAGAGGGGAAAGGATATATGGGGGACGCGCGAATATGCTTACTCTTCCTTGCGAACATGAGCAGTGCGACTACTGCGTTTCAAATCGTAAATGAAGTCCCGGATCACATCTTCAACTCCCAAAGCGTCCTCCCAACGCCGCCGTTCATGCTCACGAGTTGAATTCTGACTACCATCTCTGAGGCTGTCTTCCAGACTTCTCGCAAATTCCCGGACGCTATCCTCTACATCACGGGTCATTGCCTCATTTCTCTCTCTCTCAGCCTTGAAATTGCCGCTTTCGGCCTCAAGTCGACGGGCTGCAGCCCCGTCGTCGTCTTGCGAGGCAGGAACAGGCCGTCCAGCAAGCTCGGCCGCTCGTGCTTGCATCCTAGCACGGGCACGCGCTTTAATACGGTCAGCCTCTGTCACCATACCACCAGGGCCTGTGCCCACGATAGAAGAGGCGCTGTTAGGATGTTCCTTTGCATCCTTCAGACGGAACAACTCGAGTTTGACATCGGTAATTTCCCGCTCAACACGCCTTACTTCCGAGGCTACCTGGGGAACCATATCCTGGTAGGATTGCAGTTGACGACGTAGTGATCTCCGTTCAGCCCCAGTATCAAGGGCACGGAATGTCGCATCCGGGTGGGTGTCTATGTCATCCTGCACCCGTCGAATCCGGTCCATGAGGCTTTCTGCTTCTCTCCGGTCTCTCCGGTCCAAAGCATCATCCTCTTCGGCTTGATTTTCATCCTGGAAATCCACGGCATCCAGCATAATCTGGGTTTCACGGATTTTCTTCTTCAGCTGCTCGACAGACAACTCCTCATCGGACGCCTTAGACGCAGCAGGTGAGGGTGTTCGGCCATTGTTTCCAACACGGCGGCGAGCACTGGATCGATACCCAGCAGCAGCTTCATCGTTGTTTTTGAAAAGCGTGGCATCCTTGCGACCGACTCCAGGAGAAACCGCGCCACCGCGGAAAGAATGTTCTTTCAGATAACTTACACCGGTCTTTTGGGGTTGCAGGAATGCGCCAGAAGCCTTTCTGGTTTCCGCGTCTTGTGAAAGCATGGACTTGATTGTGCCGATCGAATCATTCAGATTCCTTGTAGATGGAGGTACAAGCTCTGGAGGCAGGCGGTTCGGGACTGGATATCCATTTAGTTTCCTATAAATTAAATGCATTGCCACGGCAAATTCATCCATGTTCAGTCGACCCCTGTTGTTGGGATCCGCTAGCGTCCAAATGCGTTCCAGGTCTGTCCGATCAAGACCACTCTGCCCCATGATTTCAATAGCAGTATCACCTCCGATGAAACCTTTGTGGAACCCATCCCAGGCTCGAAAGAGGTCGTCATAGATCTTTTTCTCTTCTTTGGTGATAGCCCATGGGATATGAGCATTTCCAGAGAGACCAGCAGCAGAAAACCCACCTTCGCGACCCGGCTGCGGCATCAGCTGCTGCTTCAGAGCCTCAATATTCGGCAAGCCGGATGATGGAGCATTGACAAACCCCCACTGGCCGGGTACCCCAGTAGGTTGTGCAACCAGCCCAGATACTCCCCCAGTCTGTGCAGGGCTCAAGCTTGAACCAAAACCAGTAGGCATGGGAGGCATAGGGGGACGAGGTCCATTATAGCCTGCTGGCTGAGGGTTGGTCATGAACCCAGTCGGTTGAGCCTGGAGTTGTTGCTGAGCTTGTCCGGGGAAGCCAGTAGCCTGTGGGGCAATGAAGCTCGATCCCGAGAAAGAGGGTTGGTTTTGCTGAAAACCTGTCGCCTGATGGAACCCTGTAGGTTGCGCTGTAAGCTGTGTGAGGAGATGCGAATTGGTCGGCTGCTGTGGCTGCGGTTGCTGCGGGGCCGGGGGAGCAGACTTGTTTTCCAGTAGCGGAGGATCGAAGCTGGGAACATTCGTTCTGGTTGGCTGTTTTGGCTGAGTGTCGGGGACCTGGAACGAAATGATGTCCACAACACTAGAAACCTCGTTCCTAATCTTCTCGGGGAGCGCGTCCGGTAGATCTCTACCCGTGATTCTGAGATTGCACAGGTACATAGCCAAGGCAAACTCTGGAAAGAATAGTTGCCCAGATTTGGTGGAATCCGACAAGATCCTACAACGATTAGCGGTCCAATTGCAGCAATCGGGCATAACCATTTACACACCATATTTTTGACAAATCACCGCCCGGGAGCTTTGACCGCAATAGAAGTTCTTTCGCCTTCTCTCCTGTAGGCAACGTGTCAGGAAGTGCAACGGGTCACCATATCCTTAAGAGGGGTCGTACTAACCGCTCATCGTCTGGTTTTCGCCAACCGCAGACTTGAAGAGTTGTTCGAATTTCGCCTGGTCTTGCGCGGTGATAAATGAGAGGCGAATGTTCGGTATCTTACTTCCAGCAGATTTGGGCGGCGGCGGCGGAGCTATACCAGCACCATCCTGGAAGGAGTCTGCTATCTCCGATGAAGTCCGAGGGGCCGAACGAACAGGAAGGCCAGTGCTTGAGGGGGCCTGGAATTGTGGAGGCTGCGCCTGAGCGGGATATCCAGTGAACTGGGGCTGCTGGGCAGGGATTCCAAAGCCTGCCTGCTGAGACTGTGGTACCGCGCCAGGGAAACCTGTGAATTGAGGTTGAAGCTGTCCAGTTGGGAACCCCGTAGGTTGGGGTTGCAACTGCGAGCCTCCGAACCCGGTTGGCTGAGGGGCATACCCGGTTGGCTGAGGAGCAAAACCGGTCTGATGCGGCTGCTGCAGTGGCTGCTGCTGACCAGGTGGGAACTGCGAGTATGGAGATGGCTGCACGAAAGGTGGATGTCCTGGACGAGCGCTGTTGGCGCCGCCCAGGAAGGAATTCGATGAGGAGTACATTACTGAAGTGTCGCTTGCATCAGAGACGGACGAGGCATTGAAGGGACAAAAGCTAAAGGAAGTGGAAGATGCGAAAACACAGTAAGCCAAAAACAATGTCAAGAGCGCTGGGTGAAGAAGTGAAGGAACCCGCGCGAGAATAATGAGGACAGACAGGCAACCACGGGGGAGTCTCAGGAGGGAGGAGGAGGAGCTGCTGGGTGACGCCCATAGCAGTTACATAATCAGGGACGCCGAGGGGGACTTACACTATAGTACTAGTACGGAGTAAACTACCTACTAGGTACCTTACCGGACGAGGGGGGGTTTATGGTTTGGTATATATATAGTATTTTAATAAAAATAAGTGTTTTTCAAATTATGTTATATATATATTATATAAATATAATTAAATATTATATAATTCTAAAATATATATATATTTTTTTTTCAAATATATATAAAAAATAATATTTATTTATTTATATATATAAATTAGTCTTTATTAAGATCTGTAATATCTTATAAATTTATTTTTAATAAATCTTAAGCTTTCTAAAGTATATTATAATATTATTAAGATAAATAATTATAAAATAATCTTAATAGTTAATACTCTGTAAATAAAGATTTTGTAAATTCTTAAAATTCTTAGATAGAGTGGCTTAACCTGACTATTATATCTTAATCTTAATCTGGCTATAATCTAATAGTCAGATTAAGATATAAAAAATTTTTAATTATATAATTAAGATTAGATTAAGATATAATTATTATTATAACTATTTATATTTATTAATTAAAAAGATTAGATATAATAGATAGATTAATAATTATAGATTAATTTATAATATATTATATATATACTCTTTTTATATAAATAATATATAAAGTATAATATATATTTAATTATAATATAAATATAATAATATTCTTTAGATATAGTCTATTATTTAATTTATTTAATTAATTATTTTAAGAGATATACTATACTCTAAAAAAGACTTTTATAAAATCTAGAGTGGCTTAATCTGACTGTTATATCTTAACCTTAATCTGGCCATAATCTAGTATCTAGATTAAGATATAAAAAAATTTTAACTATATAATTAAGATTAGATTAAGATATAATTATTATTATAATTATTTATATCTGCTAATTAGAAAGATCAAATATAGTAAATAAATTAATAATTATAAATTAATTTATAATATATATATTTTTTATATAGATAATATATAAAATATAATATATATTTAATTATAATATAAATATAATAATATTTTTTAAATATAGTTTACTGCTTAATCTACTTAATTAATTATTTTAAAAAATATATTATATTTTAAAAAAGACTTTTATAGAATCTAATATAAAAAAATAAAAAAAATATAAAATATTTATTTTTTATATTATTTAAAATAATAATTATAATAATATAAAAATTATAAAAATTAGATCTCTATCTTTATTTAAATATATATAATAATTAAAAACTTAGATAAGACTAGTTTTTTTAATTTTAATAATAATTTATTCTCTAAATTATTTTTAAAATTATTTATATTTTTATTTTTATTAATATAAAAAATAATAATTATCTTATTCTTTTCTTACTTTTTAAATATAAAAATAATTAAATTTAAATTAAGATTATTAAATATATTCTAATATTTCTTATTTATAATAAAATAATTAATATATATTTAAAATATAATTATTTTAATTATATTAAGATAAAAACAGCTTTGGTAATAATAATAGATATTTTAAAAATTATTAAAAAAATATTTAATATTAATATTATTAATTATAACTAAGAGAAAATCTCTAGCTATTTAATAAAAAATAAAAAATTAATTATAATAAAATTTTTAATAAATAAAAATATTAATATATTTTATAATATCTAAAATTATATTAATTTAATTAAAAATATTTTAAAAAGCTATATATTTTTAATATTTAAATATATTTTAAGTTTTTTATATATTTTAACTACAGATAAGAGTTTTTAGTATTAAAAAATATTATAAAAAATCTTATCTAGATTTAATAGTAATTTAAAGATTATTAATAATATATTAATTATTAAATTCTAATTAAAATAGAAAAAGAATATCTTTTTAAAAATAATTTAATATTTATAATATTAATTAATATTATTATCTAGTTATATATCTTTTTTAAATTTTTTAAGTTTTAATATTAGATTCAGAATAATTATAATTATATAAATATAATTTTTTATTTAATAAATATAATAATAATACTTTCAGAATTTTTAATATATATTATATAAATTCTTAAGAATTTTTTTTTTAGAATATCTGTTTTTTTTCTAGTCTATTAATTAAATAATCTAGATAATTAAAAAAATTATTATAAATATTATAAATCTTATAAATAGTAAATCTATTATTCTTAGAGAAATAAAAAATAAAAAAAAAAATTTAAAAATTTAAAAAGATATTTTATCTATTTTTATTTAATTATAATAAAATAAAAATAATTAATATTATTATATTTATAGTACTGAATAAAACTTTGAATTATTTAATAAAGATTAAATATTTAATAAATTATAAAATAGATTAAGTTTTAGTAGATTTTATAATTAAAAAAAAATAATAGACTAAGCTAGATTTAAATTATTCAATAAATAAAAACTTTTTATAATATTAAAAACTTATATTTATAAATTATATAATTTTCTAAATTTATAATTAAAAATTAATATAATAAATTAGCTGATAAAAGATTTCTAAAAAGTTTTTATAAAAAAAGATTTTATATTAATTTTTTATAGATAGCTTTTAAAATATATTTTTTTAAAAATTTTTAAAATATTAAAAAAAATTTTAAAATTTTATTATTATTTTTTTATATATATTTAATAATATTATTTAAGATTTTAATCTAAAATTTCTATAAAAAAATATTAATTTTAAATAATTTTTAAAAAATTAAAATTAATTAAAATATTATAAAATTAAATATTTTAACTAAATTAAGTTCAGAGTTCAGCTAAGATTATATTAAATATTATATTATTATTATTAATATTATTAATTATTATATCTAATAATTAATAAATAAGATTATATTTATATAAGATTAATATAATAATTATAACTAGATTCTTATTAATATAAAATCTAGATATTAATTAAAAATCTAGTAAAATCTTATAATAATTTATATTTTTTATTAAAAAATATTTAATTAAATTAAGAAATATTTTTTAATTAAAACTAATCTAGTAATCTATTATAATTAATATCTCTCTAATATCTAAAAATTTTAATAATAATTATATATATATCTCTTCAGATAGTTTTATAAAATATTCTTTAATTTATATTTAATTAGAAAAACTTAGTTTTTAATAGAGAGATAAAATAGTAAGATTAATTATATATTTAAATTAAATATATTTAATAGTTTAAAATAATAAATAATAGATAATTATAAAATATAAAACTTAATTCTAAAAATCTTATTTATTATAGATTATAATTTATAAAGATCTAGAAAAAAGTAATAATTAAAAAAAAATTATTTTAAAAAAATAAATAAATATTTATAATAATCTTTTACTTAGTATTTAATTAATTATTTATTTAGATATAATTAATAATAATTCTTTTTTATAATTCTTATAAAGATAATAGTTTATAAAACTAGTTTCTAAGTTTTTAATTTCTAGATATTATAAAATATAAAAATATATAATATAATAAATATAAAAGATTTTATTAAGAAATAATATATTTTTCTAAAAATTATCTTATATTATTAATAATTTTTTTTAATTAAAATAAAATAATAATTTTTTAATTTATATATAATTTTTAAAAAAGATTATCTTCTGCTATTAATTTTAAAAAATAAAAAAGTTTTTTTTAAAAAATTAAATATAAAATAATCTTCTGATTTTTTATAATATATATAATCTTAAGATTTAAAAAAAAAAAAAAGATCTTATTTAAAAAGTTTATTTTAGTTTAGATATTATTATAATTTATAAAAATCTAAAAAAAAAAAAAAAAATTTAATAATATTTTTTAAAAATAAATTAAATAATTATAATTAATTTATAATTTTAAAATTATTTTATAAATAATAAATATAAAAAAATAAAAGCAAAAAACTTTATAAAAATAATTTATTTTATTTTAAAATATAATTTTATATAAATATAATCTATTATATTTTAATATATAATTAAGATATCTACTATATTTTATTTATTTTAATAAATTTAATAAATAAAAATTTATATCTAGAGTCTAGAGTTATAAAATAATCTTTTTTTTTAAATAAAGCTATTTAAAATATAATAGACTAGAATAAAAAATAGATATTTATAAAAAAGATTTATAAAAAGTTTTTATAGAATCTTCTATAAAAATTATAATATTATAATATAAATCTAATATATTTATTTATTTTATTTATTTATTTTATTTATTTTATTTATTTTATTTATTTTATTTATTTTATTTATTTTATTTATTTTATTTATTTTATTTATTTTATTTATTTTATTTATTTAATTTATTTAATTTATTTAATTTATTTAATCTATTTAATCTATTTAATCTATTTTATTTTAATAATCTGATTATTTATAATCTTCTTAACTATTTATTTATTTTTAATTCTATTAATAGCTCTTTAAGCTATATTTTATTTATAAATCTAAGAATAGTCTAATTTAAAAAGAATAATAAAATAAAAATAATATATTTATTCTTAATATTCTAATTAATAATTAATATATAGTTTTTTTAATATTCTATATAATATAATTAAAATATATAATTAAAATAAAATAATAATTATATATTTTTATATATATTTTTTATTATAAAAATAATAATTTTATAAAAAGCTGAATTTTATTAATATAACTAGAATTTCTTTATTATTTTTAATAAATTATAATAAAAAAAATATTAATTTTTTTTTAATTATATTTTTTTAATTTAAAAAACTTTTTTTTATATATTTTTAGATAATAATAAAAATAGTTAGATTAATAATTATTTAATCTAAATATATCTTAATTATATTAAAGCTTAAAAAAATATAATAAATAAATCTTAATATTAAAAATAATTAAAATAATTAATTATCTAATTTTTAGTTATATTATAATCAGATATAAAAATTTTCTTAATTTAATTATAATCTAATAATTAGATATAAAAATTTTAATTAATCTAATCTAATCTGGCTGCTAGCTACTCTAATAAAATCTAATATAAAAAAATAAGAAAAGATATAAAATATTAAATTTAAAATATAATTATCTAATTAATTAATTTAGTTACTCTAATTAAATCTAGTTAAAATAAAAAATATTTTTTAATTAAAGCTAATTTAGTAGTCTACTATAATTAATATTTATTTAATATCTAGAAATTTTAATAATAGCTATATATATATATTTTTTTAAATAATTTTATAAAATATTCTTTAATTTATATTTAATTAAAAAAACTTAATTTTCAGTAAAAAAATAAAATAATAAGATTAATTATTTATTTAAATTAAATATATTTAATAATTTAAAATAGTAGATAATAAATAATTATAAAATATAGAATTTAATTCTGAAAATCTTATTTATTATAAATTATAAAAATCTAAAAAAAATAATAATTAAAAAAGATTTATTTTAAAAAAATAAATAAATATTTATAATAGATCTTTACTTAGTATCTAACTAATTATTTACTTAGATATAATTAGAGTAACTAATAGCCAGATTAGATTAGATTAATTAAAACTTTTATATCTAATTATTAAATTATAATTAGATTAAGAAAATTTTTATATCTAATTATAATATAACTAAAAATTAGATAATTAATTATTTTAATTATTTTTATTATTAAGATTTATTTATTATAGCTTTTTAATCTTTAATATAATTAAGATATATTTAAATTAAATAATTATTAATCTAACTATTTTTATTATTATTTAAAATTATATAAAAGAAATTTTTTAAATTAAAAAAATATAATTAAAAAAATTAATATTTGTTTTATTATTATTTATTAAAAATAATAAGAAAATCTTAGTAACTTAGTTATATTAATAAAATTCAGCTTTTTATAAAATTATTATTCTTATAGTAAAAAATATATATAAAAATATATAATTATTACTCTATTTTAGCTATGTATCTTAATTATATTATAAAATATTAGAAAAACTATATATTAATTATTAATTAAAATATTAAAAATAAATATATTACTTCTATTCTATTATTTCTTCTAGATTAGATTATTCTTAGATTTATAAATAAGATTAGAGTGTGATAGAATAAACCAGCTATCAGGATAAAGATCATCGGGATGATATATTATAGTGATTATGAGAGTTGTGTTATTAGAATGATATATTATAGTGATTATAAGAGTTATAAGATTATTAATAGTGGTTCTATATCTCTCTGGTATCTATAAGATATTGATCTCTTTATAAGAAGCTACTGATTCTTTAAGAATCAGTCTATCTTATAGATATAGACTATCTTTGTTATTATTAAATAAATATATAGTATTTTATAATTAATTTTTTATCTAGTTAACAGGCTTTCTACTCTAATAAATAGATTTTATTATATTCTGATTTTTCTTTTTTTGATTATCTAAGAAAGATATTATTTATTAAAGATAGTAAAAAAATAGAAATACTTAGTAATTAAATTAATCCAGAATTCTCGCTGAATACTATTTTTATTATTAAAGAGATTTAACAGCTAGAAGATTATATTTATTAATTAAAATAAGCTATTAACTTATAGCAAAGAATAGTTTATTTTTAAAAAAATAGCTTCCTAAGTAAAATTTTTTTAAGATATTATTAATTCTCTTCTAAATTAGAAAAGAATAAAAAAGAGATTAAGTTTAAAAATATTTCTTACTTTACTCTGAACTTTAATCTTTAAAAATATTAAAAATAAATTATTAATTTGAAATATATATTCAGAAATATATCTAAGAAATATTTATTAGAGAAATACAAGATTCTTGCTGTTATTAGCTATATAAACTTAGTATATAAATAAAGATAATATTATTTTATAAATAATAAGAGTCCAGAAGAGAGATAATTTCTTAAGAAATTATAATCTTAATTTAAAAATTAAACTCTTATATTAATTTAAAATACTGCTATTTTTTAATTAAATATTATAATCTAACTTAAACAGGCTTATTAGTAATACAGTCAGAATTCACAAGAGTTTTATATTTATCTTAATATCTTAAAGTAATATTTTTTTTATTAAATAAAAAAAAAAGAATCTTATTCTATTTTACTAAGCTATTATTAAATCTAAATTATTATATTTAAGAGTATATTTTTTATTTATCAGAGAAGCAGAATAAAATAGTGACTATTATTATTTATTATTATAAATTATAGAAAAATAAAAAAAAATATAAGTAAAATAATAATTAATTTAGTAATTATAAGTTATGCAAGCGCTTTTAAGAAATTACTAATAAAATTATTAAGAAAGATATCCTGAATTATAGAAAAAATTCTATTAGAAAAAATAGTAATTAATTATAATATTTTATATATAAAAGTATTTAATATCTTATAAATTAATATTCTATTAAAAATAAAAGAATTTAATCTACTAGAATCTATTAATTTTTATTAGATTTAAAGAGAAAAATAGAGAAGTTAGAATAGACTTTATAATTTTAATTTCTTTATTTATAATAGAGATTATATATTGTTTTTATATTTCTATCTATATTTAAAATAGTCTTAAAATCTTTATAAATCTGAATAGCTGCGCCGAAGTAGATATTATTAATTATTAGTTTATTAAAATTTATAATTTTTAATATATTTTAGTTACTGCGCCAAAGATTAAAGCTATTAATTAAATTATTATTTTTATTTATAATATATAAAAAGTCTCTATTATTATTATTAATTCGCGAGGAGACATCTATACTTTTAAATAATATTATATAAAGATTAATTAAGATTTCTGACTAAAAGATAGTTCTGTACTATTTTTAATAATTATATTTTATAATTTATATATTATCTTATTAGTATAAAACTGTTAGTAATAATTTAATATATTATTTATTTTACTATTTTTTATTATTTAATTTATTAAAGTAATTTAAAACTCAGCAAGAGTATATATTATTATTAAGCTTTTTAAAAATATCTGATTATCAGAAAAAGAATCTTATAATTTATTATTAAATTCTGAGATAATTTTTATTAAATTTAAATAATTTTAAGATATATTTTTTATAGATTTCTTCTAATAGCTATCTTTTTATAGCCCTGCGGACTATATTATTAATATTAAATTTAATAAAATACTCTCTTATAGTTTAATATATCTTTTATTTAAAGCTAAACTTAAGATTTTATAAGAATATATTAAAGAGAATCTGAAACTAGATTAAATTTAATTTTTAAAAAGTTCTGCTAAAGTCTTTATTTTTTTTATATTTAAAAAAAATAATAGCTTATATCTTTGTATAGACTATAAAAATTTTAATAAGATTTTTATTAAGAATTATTATTTCTTATTTCTTATTTTAAAGATTCTTAACAGAATTTTAGGAAGTATCTACTTTTTAAAGATTAATATTAAGAATATATATTATTAAATTTATATTAAGAAAGATAATAAATAAAAAATAGTATTTTATATTTAATATAGCTATTTTAAATATATAGTTATACTATTTAAATTAACTAATATTTTAATAACTTTCTAAAACTATATATATATTATGCTTTGAGAACTTCTTAATAATTTTTATATAGTATATCTGGATAATATTCTTATCTTTTTATTAGATAAGAAATCTTATATAAAGTATATTTATTAAGTTTTAAAGAGACTTTGAGAAGCTTAGCTTTATATAAAATTATTAAAATATTTATTCTATTAATCTTAAGTTAAATTTCTGAAATATATTATTAACTCTGACAGAGTATTTATAAATTCTTAATAAATAAATAATATTATTTTATAATTAATTCTTAAAAGTTATTATAATATCCAGATTTTTCTTAGATTCTGTAATTTTTATTAATAATTTATTTAAGATTATTCTTATATTATCTTGTCTTTTATTTCTTTGCTTTATTAAATAATTAACAGATAAAAGTTAGAAAAGATTTATTTAATTTTAATTAAATAAACTGCTTTCCGCTGTTTTATTACTGTCTTTTAATAAATATCTTTATTAATATATTTTAATTCTACAAAACCCCGCTGTTTAGAAACTAATATATTAAAAGAAAAAATAAGTAATATTTTATCTTAATCTAATATTAAAAATATATTTTATTTAGTTATATTCTAATCTTATAAGTTCTCTAATATTAAACTAAATTATAATATTTTAGATCAAGAGCTATTTGCTATTATTTACTCTTTTAAATAATAATAATAATATTTAGAAGATATTTTTCAAATAATTAAAATTTTATTAAATTATTTGAACTTGTAATTTTTTATATATTAAATCCGGGTTAATAAAAAACAAGCTTAATAATTTATAAGTCTAATTCTCTATAATTTTATTATTAAATATAGAACAGAAAAATCAAATTCAGTAGATAGATTCTTTAGAATATTTTCTAAATCTTAAATAAAATCTGCTTCTCAAGAAAAATTATTAATCTTAATTTAAATATAATTTATAAATATATTATTTTTAATAATAAGAGATCTTATTAAAAAAAAAACTTAGTTTAAATCTTAAGATATACAGGATTATTCTGGATTTAATATTTATATTATATTAAGCTTAAAGAATCTTAATAATTAAGTTAATATAAAGACAGTTGACTGGGCTGCTTAAAAGAACTTATCTTAAGAAAGATTTATTTCTTAATCTATAGTATTATAAATATATACCGCGGAAGTTTTATACTTGAATATATATAATTCTAAATTTTAAAAGATAATCTTATATTTGTAGAATAATAATTTAGAGATATAATAATAAAAAACTACTATTTAATAAAAATAATTAGATTAAAAATATTAAATTATTAAAATAATTAATTATATTTATTTTAAAGATTAATACTATATTTTCTCTTTTAAGATATTATATCAGATACTTATTAAGCTATATTATAATAATTTATTAGCAGAATACTTCAGAAAGATCTGAATAGAAGTATTATTATATAAAAAGTTTTACTGAAATAAATTATAATATAATATAGTTAAATATATCTAAACTTATTTAATATATTAAGAAATTACTGCTTTAAAGTATTAATTATATAATAGTCTTAAATTATTATTAATTTTATTATATCTTTTTATTAAATTAATAATAGATTTTATTACAGAACTGCTTTCTATTATCTAATATAAAAAAACTATTAATACTATTCTAGTTATTATTAATTAATTCTTAAAATATTATCTTTTCTTTACTATTTTATTTATAATAACTGCTTCAGATCTTGCTGAACTATTCTATAAATAGATTAAATTAATCTTTAAATCTCTAAATAAGATTATATCTAATTAAAAATTAATCTTTATTAGTAAATTCTAATTAAATTTAGTTTATAATAGCTATATAATCTTGAAGCTTTTAACTATATTTTATTCTTAAACTAATAATTAAATAGAATAGATAAATCAAATACTTAAATATTATCTTTAATACTACTTCAGCCAGTATAATATTAACTAGTTATTAATTTTTTTAAGTACTTAATTTATCTGTAATAATATAGATAATATAATTATAAACTAATTATCTTATAATATTCTTTATAACTTTTTGCTGGATTTTTATATTAGAATTAAGACTAATTCTTAGCAGTAAGAAGTCCCAGTAATATAAAATAAAATTAAGAAATTTAGAGAAATAAGAGAACAGCTATAAAAAATATAGTAAATAGCTATAGAAAAATAAAAGAAATATTATAATAAATATAAAAAACTATTTTATTTTAAAAAAAAAGATTTAATTAAGCTATTAACTCAGAACTTATAACTTAAAGAACTAAAAAAGCTGGCTCTGAAGTTTATAAAATTCTTTTAAATTCTTAAATATATTAGATCTCAGATATATTAATTATATTTATTTAAGAAATATAAATAAATTTATAATATATTCTATATTTTTTTATTAGAATTATAAAATACTGAAAGAAATTATAAAGAACCGCTTCTAATATCTAAGCTAGATAATAAAAATAAATAGAAAGTTAAAGAAATTAAAGACTATTAATACTATAATAGTCAGAATTATTATCTAATTAAATAGAAAAAATAGTCAAGCAAGTATAATCAATAAATTTTTAGTAAAAATATAAAAAATATATTCAAAGCTATAAAATAATACTAGAAATATTATAAAAAGTACTATATATTAAGAAAATAAAAGATAATTACTAATAAATTACTCTATATTCTTAAGAGATAAGCTACAGAAACATTAATCTCTTAATATTTTTTATTAATTATATTATCGCGGATTAAATATATTAATAAATATAAAATTATTCTATTATAAGACAGCAGAGAATACTTAAATATATTTAGTTATATTTATTATCTATTTATAAGATAAACAACAACAATAATCAGATCTTTTTATTATAACTTAGAAATATTTATAAAAAAAATAGACTTTAGAAAAAGAATACAGAGATCTGTAATTAATTTAATAATATTATTCTTATTATTTAAAGTTAATTTATTATTATTAATATCCAGATATTAAATATATACTATAGCTCTTATTAAATTAAGAAAGTTTTACAGAGCAGAAATCTAGTCTATATATTCTAAATTATCAAACAGTAAATATAACAATATTTTTGTTTTATAAATATAATAATTCTTTAGCAAGACGCGAAGACTAAAATAAAAAATTAATTATACTAAAAAAATATAACAGATCTTAATAAACTTAATATACTCGGTAATAAACTTTTAATAGAATATTAATAATAAAATCACAAAGATTTTATCTCTTAATTATAATAAGAACTTATATACTTGACAGTCTTAATATTCTTTAATAAAAATTTATAAGTATAGATATTCTTTATATTATTAAATATCTTTATAAAAATATAGACTTCTTTGCGGATAGTCTATTTAATATTATTATTTTAATATTTTTTCTTCAGAATCAGAGTGGCCTATTTAATAATTTTTATAAAATTATAAGTATTTTCTAACAGATTAGTTACAGACTTAAGAAATATTAGTAAATTATATATATATAATACAGAGTATATAAAATCTACAGAATTATAAGTCTTCTTCTTCGCGGAATAGAAATAATATAAGATAAATATTTTTATATTTAATAGATAACTGATATTATATAGAGTATTTTTCTTAAAATTAAAGTTATTATTTATATATCTTAGACAGTATATACAGAAGTTATAGCAGGCTTTAATAAAAATATTCTGCTTGAAATATACTGTTTTCTTTATTATTATAAAGTAATCAAGAATAAGATCAATATCCAACAAAAAAAGAAATAACAATAATACAGTATAGATAGAAATAATAAAGATTATATAAAATAATAAAAAAATATAAAGAGAATAATCATAAATTACTAAAGAAATAATAATTATAAAGTAGAAGAGAAGAAAAAAGAGAAGTAATATAAAAGATTTTTTTATTTATACTTCTTCGCAGGAAATCTATCTATATAAATATAATATAAAAAATTCTTTTATTTATATTTCTTCGCAGGAGATCTATCTATATAAATATAATTAAATATTTATAAAGCTATATAGAAACAGTATATAATTCTGTTTATATTATATATTCCGCGAGTTTTTTATCTTTTGCTATTAAATCCCCACTATTCTAAATCAGAAATATATAAGATTATTCTTAATATCCGAGCCAGATAGCTTGTCCCAGCAGAGAAGAATATTATTTATAATAAAATAAATCAGCTATTAGAATAAAGATTATTAGAATAATATATTATAGTGATTGTGAGAGTTATATTATTGAAATAATATATTATAGTAATTATAAGAGTTATAAGATTATTAATAGTGATTCTATATCTCTCTGATATTTATAAAATATCAATTCCTCTATAAGAAGCTACTGATTTTTCAAGAATCAGTCTATCTTGTGAATATAAACTATCTTTATTATTATCAAACAAATACACGGTGTTTCATAATTGATTCCTTACCTAGTCAACAGGCTTTCTACCCTGACAAGTAGATCCTATCACATAGAGTGGCTAACAGCCAGGTCAGATTAGATTAATTAGAATTTTTATATCTAATTATTAGATTATAATTAGACTAAGAAAATTTTTATATCTAATTATAATAGATTAAAAATTAAATAATTAATTATTTTAATTATTCTTAATATTAAGATTTATTTATTATATTTTTTAAGCTCTAGTATAACTAAGATATATTTAAATTAAATAATTATTAATCTAACTATTTTTACTATTATTTAAAAATATATAAAAAAAAGCTTTTTAAATTAAAAAAATATAATTAAAAAAGAAATTAATTTTTTTTATTATTATTTATTAAAAATAATAAGAAAATTCTAGTTATATTAATAAAATTTAGTTTTTTATAAAATTATTATTTTATAATAAATAATATATATAAAAATATATAATTATTACTTTATTTTAATTATATATTTTAATTATATTATATAAAATACTAGAAAAATTATATATTAATTATTAATTAAAATATTAAAAATAAATATATTATTTTTATTTTATTATTTTTTCTAATTAAGCTATTTTAAATTTATAAATAAAATATAGCTTAAAGAGCTATTAATAGAATTAGAACTAAATAAATAATTAAAAAATTATAAATAATTAAATTATTAAAATAAAGCAGATTAAATAGATTAAATAAATAAAATAAATAAAATAAATAAAATAAATAAAATAAATAAATAGAATATACTAGATAGAATATACTAGATTTATATTATAATATTATAGTTTTTATAAAAAGTTTTATAAAAATATTTCATAAATTTTTTTTATAAATATATTTTTTTTATTTTA